ATCTTTTTGGTTGCATTTCAGATTTGATTTCTCTTCTTCTCATTTCTATATATTGTAATTGTTTTTCATCCACAAACTGTCTGTCTAAATCAAAATCTTTTGGTAAAGCCTCTGGTCCTCTTGTAACTGGCCTTTTTTCAGGATTAAAATTAGCATGCCCACTTAATTGAATTTTAATAGGATATTAAGAATCTACTAGCAGTACGTTTAAAGAAGAATTGACTCTTCCAACATTCTTAGGGGCAAATGTTACTATGAATTGCCTCTTCATTTGAGGTCCCAATTAATATTGAAGTGGAGACACCAAAAATTGTGGTGCTTTGCTAAATGTAACATCGATAGTTTGGTTTTTATGAGTATTTTCAATAACCAGAATCGCATCTCTAGTATCATTTACTTAACATTCTCCAAAAGCTAAAGCTTATTTATTCACCTTGACTTGAGGTCGAATGTGTTTACCCTATGCATGAACTATGAGAGTTTCTTCATTCTTTTCTCCAAAGAATTCAAAAAATAAAGAATATCCAAAATCAATGGGAGATTCGTACTTCAAATTATCGTTGGTTTTGTCTTGGAAAGCATAATTTTCACATCTCATCTTCCCTTCTTCAGTTACTGGACCCTTGCATTCAATTTTGATGGGCATCTATGCATAAGGTTCCATAGAGCCTTTCTCTGGTGTTACTCTGATTACTTTTTCCAACCATTCTAAACCTACTTCATTGGGAGTTTGAAATCCTCCGACTGAAGAGGTCATAGTGTGGAAACCCTTTTTTATCAAGACTTTCCAATTTTATTTGATTGGAGTGTTGTTTACTAATGATCCAGAATATTGTTTTGGATACCCCATAACCAGATCTTAGAAATCGATAGTTGTACTCTACGCCTGATTTTAGTCAATAAAGAATATGGAGTAATCCACAGCAATACAAGAGACTTCAATTGTGTCAATACTGTTATTCCAGTGTTTAATGACTTGAATGCTTTGTCTAAAAATGCTTGCTTAATTAGTTTAATATTTAACTGTTATCTCGACTGTTTCATCTGGTTTCACCAAGAAGGTATGTCTTGGTTCGAATGTTAGTTTGTCATTTTTTAAGGTGATTTCAGCTGTCAATTCTTTTTCGATTTCTGAATCTCTTTCTTTTTCTCCTTTCTTTTTTCTCTTGTCCTCTTCTTCAATTGGAACATTTTTAAACCTGATCTTCCCCTCCTTGCATTTATTGATCTAACAATATCCCAAATCTAAAAATGTGTCAAATTCAATGAATGGTTGAGGTTTAAGTGCTGATAATTTTACATTAAATTTAAAGCCATCCTCTGAAGTAATGACAAAAACATCATAATAATCCTCAACGACTGTACATTCAAAATACACTACCAATATCATGGACAAGCCTGCTGCCAATGACCCCTACATATCATAGTCCACTCTAAATCGAGCTGGTGCGGTTGTTGGTTGAGTAATCCTTATTCTTCTTGGAATCTTCGTAAGATTACGGACTATCACCTGTTTCTATTAGGGAATCTGTTTGCGAATATTGTAAAATCTAAGTTACAACATTTAAGAAACACTTTTTACATTATATGATCAGGATTAATTTCGATAACCTCGTTATTAGACAATGAATCTTTGTAATGCACGTCTCGATTTATTTATTATGTGCTCGGACGAAATTTAAAACCCGTTGATGACATTGTCTTCTTCTATCTAAACCCTTCACTTGCTGTTTAAGCCCTATTCATTAATATTAAATATATGAATTATTTCTAATTTTAAAATAAGAAAGAGAGCATCTTCGTACGATTTACAATTTTCATCAATGAAATCTCACATCATTACTCACCTATTGTTCAAAATCTTATTGGCAACCAAGAAATAAATTCAAAATTCTAAACCAAAATAAGATAACTGAATATTGAATATGCAACTCAGGTTCTTTAAACTTTCTCGAATTGTTGTACACTTGAAGAATTAATGAAATAAAGATGTATTCAGACACAAAGAAGATGATGAAGATTATAAAAAGAGAAGGATTTCAAGCAATCATTTTATTATAAATTAATTAATAAATTAATGAGACTCTCTCATCAAATGAGGGGTTTATGTTATGATCAATTTTATGTATCTACATAGAAATAATTTCTCATTTTAAATCAATTTACTAAACTATTATGGGATATTGGATTTGATTAATAATATTATTATTAAAAATTAAATATGTGGTTATACTTAATTGCATTCCTACTTGCTCTTGCGATTGGATATGCTTTGCGAATCTATTTAAGAGGGAGAGAGTGCAAAATAAGAAGAGATATCTCAAACAAGACCATTCTTATCACAGGAGGGAGCAAAGGAATAGGACAAGAAACCATTCGATAACTAGCTAACTATAATTGCACAATAATATTTGGAAGCAGGACCAAACCAACTGAATTCTTGAATCATTTGAATAAATACTATCCCCAAACAACCATTAAATACATTCCTTTGGATTTATAAAATTGGAAATCAATATAATAATTTGTTGAATAAGTAAATAAGGAAGTAAAGAAAATTGATATCTTAATCAACAATGCTGCTATAATGGGAACCTTGACTAGAGAATTCACCTCATATGGTTTGGAAGCACAATTTGGTACAAATTATTTTGGCCCTTTCTATTTAACTTAACAATTGGTATTTGTTTTCACTCATCCTAGTTACCATTATTAAAAAAATCAGATAGTCCTAGAGTTATTAATGTGGCTTCGGTTGCTCATACCTATGAGGGGTTGGATTTTAATGATATCAATTGTGATAAGTGGGCCAATAGTATATTTTGGAGTAGAATTTACACTTATAGAGCTTACGGTAACACTAAATTGAGTCTGATTTTGAATGCTCAAGAGTTCTCCAAACGGACTGGGATTAAGGCATGCTCTTTACACCCAGGCGTTGTTAGGAGTGAGGTCTTGTAATATTAGTTATCTTCTAAATGGTTCGACTGGCTATTGAAGATATTGTGGCCGTTCTTTGCCTACTTCACCAAGGATTGCTACTATGGATGTCAAACAACTCTATATTGCATTATGATGAGTGACAATCAATTGGTAGATGGAGGGTATTATGATAATTGCGAGTTGTCTAAACCTAAGTACACTTCCAAAGAGAGGGCTGAATAATTGTGGGACTTTACTCTGGAATTAATTAAGAAGGTCGAAAAAGAATAGAGATGAATAAATTTGTTTATTTATTTATTAATAACAGTAGTATTGAAGTTTAGAAATTATTCTGAATATTAAATATCATGAAATAAAAACTTTTTCTTATGAAAACTCATTCGTATGCTTTGGATCATAGTTATGGTCCCAAACAGAATATGAATTCTTCACAGGTGACTCGTTCAATATAACCATCCCCAAGATCAATAGCTTCTTAGAAGAGTCAAAATAGTGTGATTGAATTGCCTACTCGTTTTTAAAGTTAGGATTTAAGTGTAATCTTAGAATCTGAGCAAGATCCGTAAATGAAACGTAAGTATTATTTGAAAATGAAGGATACAAATATTAATGCAAGAATCCATAGTTGGTGAGATTGGAGAAGATTTAGGAATTAGTTTACAACAAGAAATTGTAAAATAAATGCAAATATACGGAGAAGAACAGAAACATCAAAAAAGCAGTATCAGTTCCAAAAGGAAGTGTATCAATTATGCTGAATAATTAAACATAAAAACATTCCAATTTCAATCTAACCAAAAAAGTAACTGCTAGATCAAAGTTTAAAATGAAATGGAAAACTATATAATGGTTGTTGAAAAATAGAAAGGAAGCCATCACGTAGCTCTTCAGTAATTATCAAGTTATGGTCAAATATGCAAAAAAGAAATAAAATGGTCTCAATAAAGCTGAATTTACAGACTTATTGAGTGTAGTCGGATTGGGCACTGATCTTTCGGAAAAATTATTTTATGTTTTTGATGAGGATCAGAGTGGCACTATCGATTATAAGGAACTAATTGTAGGATTAGAAGTCTTTAAGGAAGACTCCATCGAGGAGAAGATGAAAGTCTTCTTTGAAATTTGTGATACTGACGGCAGTGGAGCCATTTCTGAATAAGAATTATATAATGTCTTAAAACTAAACATTGCCTCATTCAGTGATAGATAGAAATTGAAGAAAACAATTTCGAAAATCTTTATAGAGTGTGACATTAATGGGGATGGCTAATTAGACAAACAAGAAATCTTAGAAGCCGCAAAAAATAATTTCACCTTAAGATAACTATTACAACAAGGAATAAGGGATGTTAAACAAATAGATAATTTGATTGACAATGATCTTCATGAAAATTTTAATGAGTGGGTGCCAGCTTCTGCTAATTTTGTCAATTACAAGGAAGGCATTTTTTATCCATACAATGATAAATTATTACAAGCATTTAAAGAAATGGAAGAAGTATGTAGTCATAATTATTATATATAGATTTATGATAAAAAAGAGACAATATTCAAATATGTTCATAGAGATGAATAAAGCAATCTATTTAATTAAGATGCATGAAATTAAATTATATTAAAATTTATTGAACTTAAATTTTAATACTATCTAAATGGATTTTCGTTAGAATAATTGTCATTTTATTCAATATTATCATTGTTAAAGAAAATTAAATGGTTCTTGTATAATAATTATTATTATTGGATTCTCTTATTGAATTTATATAATACTAAATGCAATTTAGTGCGAAATTTTGTTTGTTTCATTACAAATTAAGAGTCTTTTCGAAATATTTTTGCAATTAAAATTAACATATATTCATTATGAATCTAAAATGTTAGATATTTATTCTTTCTATTATAAATTAATATCCATATCTTTATTAAAAAAGTATGTAGAAATAAAAAAATATAGTATGAATTTCTTTAAGATTGATCTATTGAAATAAAGAAATATTAAGTTCAATCTTAGAATTATAGACAGTGATTGAATATTAATCTAATATTTTAATTATAAATCAACTAATTGAATAAAATTTCTTGTAATATCTCATTACTTGCTATTCTTGACCTCCACAAGGCAAGAGCTTGGTTGGGATATTGAGGGGTCTGAGTGTGTTTGCACTAACAAGCATAAGGGATGAAGAAAGACTCAAGAAATCTGACAAAAGACTCTCTTATATATTTAATTTGATCGGTTCTCTAAGGGTGTCATCTTAACAACACCTCCTGAAGTCTTTTAATTCTGCATCTTAAATTAAGACATCGTTATATATTTAATATAAACTGATTGTTGCTGATGATGAGAACGTCGGATAACTATCTATGCCTATTTTAATAGTCATACCTATGATATGAATAAATTAATCTTTTACAAATTGTCCATAATCGTACACATCATCATAGACTTAGATTTGCATATTTTTGAATGAAGGTGTATAAAGAGTGAGTATTTGAAACCCAACATTCGATAAATTTTAAACCTTATGAGCAGTTATAACCACTATCTATGGATTGTCTAGTTTTTCTACTTTTTTATTTTTGATTGCTTGATATAATTCATGTACAGATGCTGTCTTTTACAAATAAGAATAGTAAATTCTAACAATTGAAGATTGGGCGTAAATATTCTTATTCAGGAACTGTTCTGCTATCAAAGAAGAAAGTGGGGTGTACTCCTTCAGTGCTAAATGCAAAATACAAAGAGCATGCATATTTAATTTCTATTCAAAAATCTCCCCAAGAACCTCTGCTATAACTAACTATAATTACTTGGATTCTCAATTACTGCCTCTTAGAGTAAGTCCTTAGCAACTTGTAAGTCAATCGACTCATCAGTAATTTAATGGATAAATTGCTACTTTCCATTCATTATTATGAAATTATTATATTATTAACATTAATAATAGATTAACGATAATAATAACATATATTACTCACTAATTTTTATTATTATATTCACTTTCCAACTCTCTACTTAATAATCTAAACTAGATCCTTCAAACTAACAGTCTCTTCTTTCTTCTCAATGAAATCCTTAAATTTAACAACTTCTTATTTGACTTCATCTTCTCCAATGACAATTGCATATGGGATTTATTAATCATTTGCATAAGTTAATTACTTACCCAAGTTCCAATTCAATTTATAGCAAACATCAGCTTTAATACCATTAGACCATAACAAATCATAGATTTTGAATTTCTCAGCAGTCATATCAATGTTTTTAGAAGGGATTGTTGCAACTATACAATCTGATTGATTTTCACGCAAAACTACTCCACTCTTCTTATACTTATCCTCTAAAATAGCAAAAATTCTCTCAATTCCAATTGATGCACCAACGCAAGGGATACTGTTTTTTGAAAACATGCCTACTAATTCATCGTAACGACCACTATATAATTATAAATAAATTATAGTACCCTCCAGAAATTGAACCTAATTGTCCTCCTAATAATACAGTTTCTTGGATTAATCCAGTGTAATAGTCAAGTCCTCTTGCTAAGGAGAGATCAAAAATCACATTTTTTAATCCATTCATATATTTCAACAAATTAAAAAGCAATTCCATTTCATCTAAGGCTTCTTTTCCCTATTATTCAAATATCTTCTATTCCTTGAGTTATTAAATCAATTAGAAAGGTTCTCCTCTCAATTACACCATTTTGCTAAGGATGTCTGCTTATTCTTCAGTTACTCCCTTCTTCTCAGTCAACTCTTGTCTGATCTCTTTCCATGGTTATTTATCTAATTTATCAATGCTGGAGCAAACTGTCTTAAATTAAGTCTTAGGTATTCCAGCAATTTAGATCATGGCATCCAATAACTTTCTGTTAGATATTTTAATTTGAAAAGGTCCTAAATCCAACTTAGTAAATATCTAGTCAATTATTTTAATTAATTCTGCATCAGCCACCATGGGGTCATTCCTAATTTATAATTAAATTGGTACTCTCCAGCAATATCAAAATCACACTAAAAGAATTCACGGAATCTACCTTATTGTATTGATGGATTGTCTCTTCTATACACCTTTCCAATGTGATATCTTTTTAACTTCTTATATCCGTGGGTGGCTAAGTATCTGGCAAAAGGTACTGTTAGATCATATCTTAAAGATAGGATTTCACCTCCTTAGTCTTGAAGGTCATATATCAATTTTCCTCCTTCCTCACCGTACTTACCGATCAGAGTTTCTTTCAACTCGAAAACAGGGGTGTCAATTTCAACTGCTCCGTGCTACTCAAATACGTCTGTAATTATTTTAAATGCTTGTCTCCTTATCACCATTTATTGAGGTAAGAAATCCCTTGTTCCTTTAGGATTTTTGACTGCCAATTGTTTTTCTTTAGGCTATTGTTTTCCTTATTATTATTTTTATTGTGCTTTGTTTTGAACTTATTCCTCCTCTTGTTATTCTGGTTTTTAATCCATCAATTAAAAATTTATATTATTATTTTTAATACAATATGCAAATTAGGATTGAAATATTGAATATTTTCTTGTTAATAACTAACTCAAAATTCTTTTAGTAATCATAATTCTTTTATTAATATTTATTAAAATAATTGTATATAAATAAATAGGAGACAAATACATTTTGAGATTGGTTCATTAATCACAGAATATTTGAGAAAGAAAATATAACTTTTCATAAGTAAATATCATAATTATTTTAAAGAACTCATTGTCTTTGGCTCCAATAGAATTTCATATGGGATTAATGTCAAACTTAATCTCATTAATTTCATTCTCGAACTAACATACTTTAACCAAAAATAAGAGATCGAACCTAAAATAATTAGCAAACCTAGTCCTGTTATATAAATATATAATTGCATTATTGTTGTGGCTTATTATAATTTCGATTAATTCTATTCGAACAAATTGTCCCCTATGATTGTCAATAACTTTCCAGAATCTAGAAAATACTCAACAAATTGATTAAGATGAATTTATGTTTTTAAAAAAGATACTGCCTCTTAAGTTGTAGATACTTGCAATTGCTTTGATTAAATTTCTTTGGAGAAATACAAATTTAAAGTCTTTGTAAACTCTTATACACAACCCGTAATTCCACCAGATAGATAATCAAAATTATTATCCTCTAACCATGGATTACCATAGGTTGTTTTGAAGGAGTCAGGAACAGAAAAGTTTTGATTTGATACTCTGATAGTACAAAATGGTATTTCCTCACTCATGTAATTGCACAGACTATCCTCAAAGTACATTAGCAATTCTTTCTTTTATGCTTCCAAGAGTCCAGATTAACTAGCAAGGGAATCATAGATGCTTCTCATTGAGTCCTAAAATCCATCGGTTTACTCGCTAAAGAGATCCAAAATTAATTGATTTTTCATATCAATATTAATGTTTCCAAATTTGGCTTCTAATTTATCACTGATTACTTATTGAGTTTTTAAACATTCCCCCAAGACAATCAAGGTGTCAAATCTAAGTTTGAATCGAATCAATTGTAAATTAAGATTAAGGGTAGGTTTAATATCTGATACTTAACTGATAGTAACCAAAATCCCTCCAATTATGAATAATATTGCCAAGAACCATAGGAAGAAAAGGAAGATAAAATTCGAGGGATAACTTAAGGTTAAATCATAGATTCTCTAAGCCAAAGAGTTACTTTAATATGATCTTTTCGATCTTACTTTTGACTTTTGCCCAGAGAGTTCATTCGATTTGGTAACCGATTGAGTTTTCACTGATTTTGCAAACAATAGACTCGTCACTTATTGATTTTATTGGACTTGTTCATAATTCAATTCAAAGTAATTTACTCTTTTCCATATCAATTATGAAGGCTCAATCAAAATTGTCTTTACATCAGTTAGTTTCTACATGATATCTTCAGCAGTTCTATGAGATACTCTAGTTATTAGCATCAAAATCTATCGTTCATATTGAGTCAACAAAAATGTATTATACAGTAGATACAAAATGATACAACTATTGACGGCAATAAAAGTCATGGTTAATACTACGACATCGTTTATAATTCTATCCTCATAATAAACCAAGTTTTCATTAAGTAAAGTGATGTATTTGTAAGCAAACTTGTAAACATAAGGGACATTCAATCTAAAGAACATGCAATCAGAAAAGATAACACCTTCTTCAGCATTGTCTATATAATTAAAGGAATGCAATTGAATTTATTAAATCAATTAAGTAAGATCAAGCTATTATTCCGAAAACGATAAATCGTTAATGCTTACTAACTTAAGCTCATCATTCATAATTTACTCCTCAAATTATATAATTCCTTTATATAATTCATTTAACTTTATATCTATGATAGCTCTAGTGGCTTTCAGTTCTTCTATTTGTTACTTTCTAATGAACTCACTATACTCAATGATATCCAACCTATCTTACAAACTGATCCAAGCAAAAAAGGCCATCTTTTAGAAGTAGAAATTCAAAGTTTCTGGATAAGTGACATAATTGATATTAGTTTATAAAATGTCATAATTGTCTACATTAATTCTTACATTTTACTTTGAATGATGCTCAACTTAACAAACACAAGACAAAATTGCAAAACAAGATACACTAAAATGGCAAATATAACAGACTTAAGTCCTCCTCCAAATGTACTTACCTAATACAAGGAACGAACAAGCAATGAAGGAGACTTAGAAGTACTAGTCTTTGATGAACTCGCAATTGATCTTTTTTTCTTCTCCTCCTCATCAATGTCATTTTGATTCCTACAATTAGATATCATAATTCAATCTTACTCCTATAGCATTTTTTTATTCTCCACCAATAATTGAATAAAGTTCTTCTTATTGACATTTTAGTTTGAAGAATGCTTCTCAAGATTATCTTCTATTTCCTATTGTGATTCATCCTTATCTTTAAAATCATCACTTGATTTCTCCTTTTATAATTCTTTCTCCTCTACTTTGTATGGTTTTTCCTAAATAATAACATTGAATTCTTACATCAAATTACTTGTGGAGTTAAAAGAACTCATCAGAATCATCGTCTTAATGTTTCTGTCGAGGGATTCCACTAAAATCTGGCCGATATGCATTCTTAGGTAACATAATTTCAGATGGTGGAGCAGATACATCTTAAACTTCTATTGCACTTGGTTTATCGAATAATCTAATTTATGAATGGTCATTTCCAAACAGGATATTACTGTCATCTTATTAAATTAATTATTTTATTTTTTCTTCATTAATTTTTGATGGTTTTGTCAGTTATGAATCTATTACTAATTTAGCTGGCTAAAAACTAACTGGTTTAGTATCCTAAATTGATCTGTCTGCACTTGATGGAACCGTTTCATTTAAAGATTTGTGGTTTAAAGCTGAGTTAAACAAAGTGTTGGAAGCCTCAAAGTTTTATCCCATAGTTGGATATCTGTTGTAAAACTTATGCTAAGAAGTAATTTCATTCATGTGTTCTAATTCAATGATGAAGTAAGGGTAAGAATACCTTTTCACTTTCATCATCTAAAAAGATATTTTTATTTTGGTTCTTATTATCGTGTACTTTATATTTACATGAAATCAATACCTTCTCCAATTAGTCCTTATGCTAGTTCATAAACTGAAAGTGAAAATTAATATTAGATCTATCCGCTATAGGTACTTTCTCCCCTAATATAGTTGTATTACCTCTGTCCAATCCCAAGGAATGATCACTCTTCAAAGATTTAGATACAGATTTCCAAGATCTCCAAGAACTCAAATTTTAACTCTCTAAACCTTCTTAAAGTGTATTGCCAATTCTCTCATAAGATTCTCTTACAAATAGAGAATTAAGTTCAACCAAATTTGATGGTATATAGAATAGATGTTCTTCATCTTCAATAAATTGATGATCTAATTCATTTATTTTACTTAGATTTTAGTTCAAAATAGTCAAAAATGAGGGGAATATCAGAAAGAAGTGACAGAATTCTTTAAAAAATTCAATGGTAATGTTTGGAATCTTTGCACTTATTGTTTTATATAATTCCTCACTTATTCCAATAATCTTTCCTTCAGCATCAACAAGAATAAGCTAATTAGATATATTGCATTTAAGAATGGATGCTGTGATAACATAATCATCTAATTCCTCAAACAAATTCCCTAATTTTACATAGCATTTCTCAATAAATCCTTTTTTATTCTCATAATATCCAGATATCTTACGAATGAAATATTCACTATGTCCTTTCTATATAAAAGCATCTATCAAATATTCATGACCTTTCATCATAGTTTTAGGTAGCAAATTATGTACCTAGGAGACTGATTCCTTGAAATCATTTGCATCAATGTAATGGAAGAAATTCGCTAATGCCAATTGATTTTTATTAACAATCTTCCCTTTATTCTTAACGATGCTAACCAAAATAATGGTAGTTGAATCATTGTATAGAGATATGTTATCTATTATATCAATTTCCTTTTATCTATCATTTGAAGTTAAGTCTTTCACATACTATTCTACATAAATAGCCTAATTATTATATATATCCTTACTCTATCAAAATCATTCATTACTAAAGAATAAAATAAAGAGTATAATTTTAAGGTTATTACATTGATGTTTAGTTAAGCATGACTTAGTTTTTTTACAGCAATACCTTTAGTAGTGGTTGTTTTCAAATCAAACCATTCTTAAGGTACTCCTATATACTTATCCAATGCAATCCTAAGCTAATCATATGTCCATACATTACATTCATGATTTTTTCACACAATTTTTATGTGTTATATTAAAATGGATTCAAACTCGGATATCCATTTATTAGATTTTGCCAATGATCTATTTTTTAATCTACCAATTTTATATAGATTTATAATAAATTTTCATACAGATTTTGAGTTTACCATTGCTAAGTCAATGAGATTTCTATAAGTTAAGTTCTTTATTCATGAATTAAGACAGCCTTTGAGTTCTGTCTGACTTAGTTATCCGTGATTTGTTTTTTTAATTGATCAGCCAGTTTGTTAGTAATCTCAACGAAGTAAGTGGAATTGTTATTCAATTTATTGTTCTAATATTGTCTCAATTCTAAATATCCTATGAGTGGCTTCTGAGCGATTTCCGAGACAAAACTAATATACTATAATTACAACTGCTCGAATTATAAATCTGCATTTTGATTATGACTATTTTATTATTATAAAGAGTACATAGAAAACAGCCAGTTTTGGGCTGCCTTAAATATACATTTGATGATGCTCAGAGTGAGAGTGTTGAGATCCTTTTTTTAATCCACATTCAAAGTCTCAAACCGTTTGAGTTTGGAGTAGCACTTATTATTCTTACAATACAAACGATGAATCATTAAAAACTGAAAATATTGCAATTATGCCTATGGGTCCTAGAATCAATTGCTTATAACTATACTTTTAAATATTCAATATGATATTTATAACATTAGTCGACTGCAATGATGATATGTTTTTCTTCTATTTAAATGCTAGAATTATAATTTAATATCGCATGATTTTAAAATAAAGATGATAAGGTTTCTCCTACAATAGCTAATCCTGGCAAAGGCAAGATAATCAGGAAAAATAGATTCTCTTCTTGAAAAAACCCAAATTTAAAGGCAGTAACAGCTATGACTATCCAAGCATACACGAAAGCCAATCTAATAGAAGGAACTCGTATGGGATCTCTATAAGGGAAATTTGTTAATTGATCTACAATTTAATTCAGCGCAAACAAAATAGCCATTGAATATTTCAAAATATCAGCAGCTTGGAACTATTAGGTAATTGATCTAATTTTACTTCATAAATGTAATGGGAAAAAATCTCAACGAGAATAATCGTGTTGTTTAACAATAAAAGAGGGGAGTATCTTCTTTTCAAAGAGTTGGGCTCATGAAATCTGTGATTCCTCATTATGTAAATCAAGATTTGTCCATTTATGTATGAAATTATTAGTGGAGTTATGGCTAGTATTTGTGTTCCTATTCCTATTTGGCAATCGGATTTTGGAAAAATGCTTACAGAATTGCACGTGAGGGAACTAAAAGAAATAACTGCAATTTGGAGATAAATTACAGGATACAGAACAAAATACCAATGGAGGGTTTCATTGAAACTCATCACCCATTGCTATATTTGGGAATTCATGTTATCATTTCCTGTGATGTCTCTTCTTATAAGATTGGCTGTCCATATTCTAATGAATGTGGAGAACATCAAAAATAGGATGAGTATTAATTGGGAGGCAAATGAGATTGCGATAATAACTAATGCCAAATTTGATGTCATAGATGATTTCAAGGTATTATTTAAGATGAAAAACTCCAAAAAGTCTTGTGAATAAGCCAATTTAAAGTCTGTAAAACGCTTGTTCTAATTTGCATTCACGATTATTGATAAATATTGAAAATGATTGATTAAATGCAAAATAAAATAAAATGTACCATCCATCTAATTTAATAAAATCTGTTGTATACTTTAAATTTTGGTCTCTCTTCAATCCCATAGAGCATGGTTTGCATATAGCCTCTTGCGAATTTTCGAAAAGTATGCATTCTGTTCTACTGATATAAATTATTAAATATTAAATATTAATATTAATTACTTTAGTCTTTATTCCCAATTTAATCTTGAGAAACAAAGAGGTATTTCTCAATCTCGTTTTCCGTCCCAATTAAGAAATAATATTCAAAAAAGTACTATTATAGAAAAAAAAAGGAATGATTTAAATTTAATTAAAATAAAACTTAGCCAATAACAATAACATGATTGTTTAAAGAAAAAAGGAAATAAATTTGCATTTACAAAATATGTGCAATACAAACAAAATGAAAAAGGAAAAAAAAAGAAGGCAATTTCAATTTGCCCAGTATCTTATATTGATTTATTAAACTCATTTTCTACGCAGATGACTCATTGTCATTTTCTCTATTTTGGTTGGTTCGTGCAACAGGATGGAGAAATCTAGACTGTAGATCAGAGTGCCATTCACTCTTAATAGAAAAGTACTCCATACATGGACCAAAGTTCATTTCATAATTCTCATCGAATACATGATACTTATCCAAGCTCATTGAAATAAGTTCACTTTCTGTACTATTTGCCTCAAAGCCTCTAAGTCCTTGACTCAGAATGTTGTCTGAAGGTGCCGTTAGGTAGGTTTCTGGAACAACTTGTTTGTAATTGATTCTTCTAATTCCACTAGTGCTTTGTTCCTTGAAAAATATATTTATCTTTACTTCAAAGTAATTGAAACCTCTAGAATCCACACCGCCTTATTTTGTTATAGCTTTAGAACCTTCTCCCACAATAATCAAAGCCACTTTGACATATCTTACATGGGTAGTGTCTTTAGTTTTTAAATTCAAATCAACGTTTTGCAATTGTGAATCCAGAGCACAATTGATTTGAAGAGCATATGGTCCGTTTTCTGGATTAATTTTGAACCCCACAAGAAAAGCACTAACTTTGGGTGATTGGATGTTAGCGTTGACAGGTTGGGTGAAGGTGTCTTCCCTTATACCAGAACCTTGAAGTATTTGATGGATGAGAATACCTTGGCGAAGTTCCCTTAATTGCATGAAATTGAATTCACGGTAGGTGAGTTAGACATTTTTATCGACGAATGCCACCCATCTGACTTTAAGTTATTGGACTCTTGCAGGTCCTCCTAGACGATACCGTAATTCGAAACCTAAAAGGAGAGCTTAAATATTCTACCAGATTTGGTCACTTGACCCAATGATAGATTAATGTCGACATCCAAGGTTGATTCGAAGGTTACTTGTTCAAACATGAGCAATACTTCAGGCACTCTTTTAAGACAGATACATACTCTGAGAATTGCTTGTCAAATAGGATTTCGATTTGAGTGTGGATTGGATAATTGCTGGTGAGTGTCAATTGAGGTTAGTTTTTGATCACGTTGTCCAATCCTGTTTGCCACTCAGCTCCCAAAGCCAAAACTATGAAGAGTACAAAATGAAATGGTTTGTGCATAATATATTAATAAAATGTAATTAATTGATGCCATTTTTGAGGATCAATTCAAACCAGCTCTCATTGAACACTACAAACAAAACAAAATAGTCCGCAGAGCTGATTATCTTTTAAAGGCATTGTAATCTGTGGATCAAACACCTTTAGAAGAATAACAAAAGTTTTATGATCATTTAGAGACATAATTATTGAAATGTTCTTCATTGTAAGCCTTAGCATTAATTCACAACTAAAATGAGCAGATTGTAGATTTGTTATTGGAGTTTTGTCTGACTAATGAAATTGTATGAATTATCTTTAATTTTTCAGCATACGCAATAATTGTTTCGGATTATAGATTGGTTTTTGGGAGCAATCACATTGACAAAGCGAAATTACAAAAGTATGTTCATCTACATCAAAAATTAGATGTACAATTCTTAATTGACAAATGAAAAAGTTCACAGATTCATAACATTATTATAAGTATAATTGTACTCATATTTTATAGAAAGTCTTTGCAGAACATCACTATGATTCACCTTATGCCTCATTCTACTTCAATTACATCCATAGTGGATTGGTTGTGGACACAAGAGAAATGAAATGGTGTTTTAGCAAAGGCCTTTCTCTCCAAACATGGCTTTATCCCATTGCAATTAAATCAGAAGTTGAAACCAAAATTATGTACCTGATGTCGGATAAAAAAAAAGGATGTCAATTTATCTTGAATGGAAACAAGTTAGTCTATCAATATGTTGATTTAAATTGTATACTTTATTACTCATTATCATACAGCACCTCATCATGAAGTCCCTATTAGTCTGATCGAAATACCTTATAATGAATGGTCGTCTTTATGCGTTCAGATTCAATCCAAAAAATTCTTCCTCTAAGAATCCTATTACCTCTATTTGACTTGTGGGAATCAATAAATAAGAGAAATCAAAATAGATTTCCCCCAAATCTCTAATGAGGCTCTTGTCATTGAATTTCAATTTTTTACCAATTTTTATGGCTATGTCACTTGTCTGTTAATTTATAATGATGGATTTGATGGAAAGTATAAACTACTATTATGCATATAGTGATTTAACTTGTGGAGACAAAAACTTGGGTATTTAAACAAATGATCACCTTAGAAATTTGCATAAATCTCATGGGAATAATAAATTACTATTATGTTATACTCCACTCAGAGCTAGAGCCAATTTTATTACTGATCCAATCAATCAATTCGATGGAGCCTTACAATCATATAGTGGATCATACTTGAGAACAACACAAAAACAACAATTTGCATAATTTTGTAGAATCGAAAACTTTGTTCCTCTCCTTTTATTTTTACGACTGTAGCCCTATGATTAATTGTTAAATGAATTGTTGACTCTGTTCTGTCAAATTTTCAAATCAAGACCAGAATCATAGTCGGATGCAATCAGAACAGAATATTTAAGTTTGATAGCCCTTAAACTTAATGACTCCGGACTCTCAATGATCAACAGCTAAACAATAGAACTGCTCTCCCAATTATATAACTCCATTCAAGACTTGAAATTAAAGTAACAATTCGTATGCAGTCTCTTGTGGAGAATCCAAATTTATAAACTAGACGACTTTTCAATCATTGAGGACTATCTGAAATTTATTCGAGTGATCTACAATGGTAATCCTGAATTTTGTATATCCATTTTTGGTATTAGTTAGATCCTATAAACTCTCATATATGATATTGATCCAAAAAATAGGTTATGCTGCGAAGAACATGCTAATTAAATGGGTTATACCAATTTTAATTTGCCAACAATACCCTACTCCTAATTAATTGATTCCTATCTAAGTATGAGAATCGTATTAAATTATTAGATATCATCGATGCAATTCTGCATTACAAACTATTTTAATCGCAATCCAAAATCGAGAAAGAGAATATCATTGACATTGCAAGAGTCTTCACATTAAAATGCTCTCCATGCTTTTACTAATTACTACTCAAAAAGTTATAAGGATTATTTTAATACGAGACCAAGAGCAATAATCCCATATCTCAGATCCTCATTCAAGAGGAAGTAATGCAAATGTTATTGAATCTACTAACCACTTGTTCCTGTCCAGATGTGAAAACTAGTTGCATCAAATTGATAGCAGAGAGTATTCGAATTAATTAATCTTCAAACGAAAAAGAAATAGCTAGTTGGATTGCTCACACTCTAGGCAACAGTGCTGCTGTCGAGACATACTCAGACGATGAAGATGAGGATGTTTAACCCAGGAAACCATTAATAAATTAAGCATTAGTCTTTCATTAACAAGAAGAACAACAAAGTTCAATTGAGGAAAAAAAAAAGTAACCTGTCACGCAAACAAAAAAGATTGTATAGCCAAATAGAAGAATCATCGATTATGAACCTCTCTATGTAGCCATCATGGAATGGATGCTGAGAACAAGAGTTGGAAAAACCAATTCAGACACTCTCATCCTAGATGAGAACTTTGTTATTAAATCTGATGGTGGATTATCTTTGTTGATCAGTTATTTCCAATATTGTGTGGATTCAGTCAAAGGTCGTATTATGTAAGATTTGTGTATGCTAATTAAATGGAATCAGACCAGTGCCCTTTTTCTATTAAATAACGAAGAATTTCATTGGTGGATCTTAGAAACCCTCTTAGAAATCTAATATTAATATAACAATAGAGAGTTGACACAATTTGAATTCTGGATTTGGGATAGTGGATTAAAATTGTATTGCAATGTTATCAAAGTTGCTATTCAAAATGAAAAAAATGGATTTCAAAGGTTGGCTTAATTGCAAAGTTATTGCAGAGTTTTGGAGGAATTCTTTAAAGAAAAAATCAATTCACAAGCTACTTAATTATTGATAAGACTGATATATAAGCAATTACTATCTAATTTGTCGTAAATTTTATTTATTTTATATACTAGTGACTGTTATAAATTGGACTTGTTTTCATAGTTTTGGGTCAACTTATACTCTGTTATTTTTGAAACTTTCAGATTGGTTACTGCAGATCCAAGAACTATGGAAAATGAGCATTATTATCTATTCCATAAATTCTAACCTATTGCCTTTAGGTTAACCATCTCATAGTAGGAAATGCCTAAGAGTAAATATTGTATTAATTATATCCTTAGAATGGAAACAATAATTTGGAATTATTCAATGGGTTGATCATATTCTAATTGTGAATATCTGTGAAATAGTGAATCAATTTTGTGGCAAATTCTCCCCACAAATAATTAGTTCTTTAGAAGACTATCAGATTGTTTAAAAAGGAATCTTAGGGATCTTGGAGTAGAAGAACCCAACAGAATTATAAAAGTCTTTTGCTGCCATGATGTTCTCATTTGAAATTGGGATGGAATAACATTCATGTCCCATTTTTGTTTAAGTTTGCCAACTTTTTCTGTAATTGAATGCTGAGTATTTTGCATATAATGTGCAGAGTAGTGAAAACATCAAACAATTGCAAGTGATATTGAATACACTAGATAAGTTGGTCAGGACTTTGATTATATCATCTGAAACACTAAGAGACAAGGAGATTGAGGAAGTGCAGGATAAAGTAGTTTATTTGATTATTGGATCACATTTCATATTTCTGTATTAAATGGAGGATAAAATAAAAGAGATTAATTATGATGAAGAAATCAAGTAGGAATTATTATAAATCGTGAGAAATTGCTTATTTAATTCATTTAAATTTCTAATTGTTTATGTTGATAGTTTTACTCAAATTTTAAATAAGAATGAGTCCTTTTAAGCTCTCATTTTTGAAGGGTACAAACAACACAAGCTGTTTTTAATCAAAATGCTCAATGATTTAATTAAAAAGGATAGTTCTCACATTTTTGATGTAATCGAGACAAAATCACTCAAAGTTAATGATAAGTTGATAATGGAGAAAATGATATCTGCAAAATAAGTGTTTGTAGATAATCAAACTTTACTGTTAAAAATATAAGAATCATTTTTCATGAATGAGGAGTACTATTCAAAAACCAAATGTGATTTTGAAGAATCTTATCGGATTTTTGCTTAGAAGAAAAAAACATTATAGGACAAATTGCAATAATAACGTCAGGGAATCGAAGAAGTCTTATTTTCATAGATGTAATTCATTACAGTATATTGTGTATAGGATATCTTCATCCACGACCTATTCTTATGATTAAAAGATACAGAGAATAGATTCTGAACAAATCTGTATGAGACAAGCGAGATACATGTTTAAGAAGTCATTTAACCGAGTACGCGTTTTTAATTAATGGTGGGCTCATCCAGATTTCAAGGCGCAAATCGATAAACCATTTGATTCGATTGATATGCATTATGAAAACATTAAATAAAATTAGATGTAATCGAAAGTATTTATATTAGATTTACATGGAAAATGTGGAAATACGAGACCAAGCAAAAATCAAGACCATTACTCAAACCAAAATTATACGACTACCCTTAAATTGATACCGTTATGCAATCGCAACAATAAAGCACAAGAATAATGAATTTGGCTGATTACGATAAGAAATAACCAGAGAGACAAAGAAAGAAAATACATGAAATCATATTTGATACCATCATCCCATTTTATTCTTAATAACATGAGTAAGATGAGGTGATCCTTCACAGAGTCCAATGGATTAAGACCTTAACAGTTAGAATAGGTTCTTTGCGTATTAGTGACACTCATTTGATCTTTTATTTTGAATCAATCACTCAAAAGGAGACTCATCAAAGTCTAATTAAATTTAGAGTTCCTGAGGATTCCCAATTAGTCAAATAGTGGGATTTGGATTAAATCTATGATATACAATTCCGAAGATATATTGGTAGATGGACATCTTTGGAGTTGACCCTCTTGGAAGGCAGTACGCTTGTATTCAATTTTTCAAATGGAGATCATCAAAAAGTGATTGAAAAGTTGATCTCCTTGAAAAAATAACGAACCATCAATATTAAACCCAGGATTTTATCTGGTAAGTTGGATCCTGTTAGTGTCATATTGGAGAGTAAGGCAATGAACAAGTGGTACAATTATAAGATCACAACCTTTGAATACTTAATGAAAGTCAATAAAATTGCTGGAAGAAGTAATAAGGATTTAACTTAATATCCCGTGTTTCCCTGGATAATGAATGATGGCGAGTAATTGCACAAATATCGTGATCTTACTAAATGTATGGGGGCTTTGGGTACCAAGGACAGGATTGAAGTGTTCGAATAGAGATACAATATGATAGATCATTTTAATAAGGTTCCGTAATTTCACTATGGGAGTCATTATTCAAGCCCAGCAATCATCTTCCATTATCTGATTAGATTGAAACCTTTCTCTGACGGTGCCAAAGAATTACAATCAGGAAAGTTCGATTTAGCAGATCGACTCTTTTTTTCATTCGTTGACACCTATAGGAATGCAGTTGAAGAATTAAGTGATGTCAGAGAGTTGATACCAGAATTCTTCTACTTGCCTGAGATGTTTCTTAATCTATCTAAGTATGACTATGGCTTATAGCAAACTGGACAAAGAGTAAACAATGTCGACTTACCTAGTTGGAGTCAATAGAACCCATATTTGTTTATCTGTGCTCACAGAATGGAATTGGAAAGTGATTATGTCTCATAACATATTTGCAATTGGATTGACTTAATTTTTGGATATAAATAAAAAGGAGAAGAAGCAGTCAAAGCTTTGAATACATTTTATTATTTGACATACGAAAATTCAATAGATTGGGACTCAATCAAAAATGAAAAACAAAAGATTTCCTTAGAATCATAAGCAATTCATTTTGGTTAATGTCCTAGTTAAATTTGGGACAGACCTCACATTTCTAGGGGAAAATTAAAAATTGTATATCGAATTGTAGATGAAAAGGTAGAAAAGAGAATATTTAGGTAAAAACAAAATAATCCCCAAACTCAATCATTAAACTTTTCAAGAAACAAGTCGATTATTAGAATACAGTTTTTGAGTGATAACAAAGTGTGGTTGATTCGTCGAAATGGAGAATGTGCTACAATTAAATTAGATTTAAAAGACAATAAGTTTGATATTAATAATTAGAAAGAACAGTCAATCAATTTTGGAAAATTTTTGGATGAAAATCAACATCTATTTGATTGGACTTGTAATTATGATGAATTACCTGTGTTACTTAGAGGAAAACAAGTATTGATTGGTGGCGTTTGGGATGGGAGAATGCTAATTTATAATAACGGTATTATTTCTGAATAGAAATTCGAATAAGAATATACTATAACTGTAATGAGATTTGATTATAAAATGAGAATATTAGCAACTGGTAGTAAGGATGGAACTCTTATAATCTACAAAGTGTCTAATAATTCATACATTCCTATTAGTAAACATCATCATCATGATTAATAAATTACAGATATATTTATTTGTAATGATTTGAAAGTTGTATTAACATGTTCTAGCGATAGTTGGATTCATATGTATAATTAATGGTCAGGCAAATATCTAAGAAGTTATAGGCATCCTAAGGGATTACCCATTAGCAAAGTTTGTAGTTATTGTACACCTTTGTATGGAATTGCCTTTTATGAAAACAAAAATATTTATTCATATAGCATCAATGGCTAATTCTTGGCCCATCTTGAATTAAAATAATATGTTGTTAATCAAGGACATCTCAAAGTTGTAAAAGACTCAAAACTAACTGATATTATTGTAAGTGTTATTTAATATAATAGGTTTTACCATTATGTATGGAAAAGAAAATCTTGATGTTGTCAACTCCTTTTCTACAAAAAAGAAATGAAATTTAACTGACTGATTGTCCACCATCAATGAATGATATAAGTTCGTTTGCTTTGTCACCAGACAGAACAATTTTAGCATTTGGAACATCTGATGGAGAATTTGGATTGGCTGTTGATTAGAGAATCTTTCAATAGGATTGAGATTTAAATGTATATCAATATCATAAATTGTTATTATTATTCTACAAAATATTATCAAATCTAATTTTTTAAAATGGATGCAATTTCTTTATTCTTTAATTACCTTACAGCCAAATAACTCGAAGCCACCGCAATCAAAATACCACCAAGGAAAGTAAAAAGAAAAGTATACAAAGGAAATGCTAGTTTATACTAACTTTCCGAAAAAGTGGCTATTTACATTGCAAAAGTAGATGCTATTATGAATCCAACTAAAGAACCTATTATACCTGAAGATACTATCAGTGATATAGATTCATATATAAACACCTTTTAAATTTAAACCTAATGTAATTATAATAATCTTACTTCTTGTAACCCAATTGCTCTTAAGATACCTATTTCCCAGCAATTATTTCTTACATTGCTAATAAATGATATTAAAAGTAAGAAAAAGGACAGAATCAATGCAATAGCTGCAACCACGGCATTAAATATCTCAAAATATGTAAACACTTCATCAAAAGTTCTCATCAGCTCTTGAGAATCTATCAAATAAATTTAATCATTTGTGAAATAATTTCTCAACCGATTACTAAAATCCAATCTTTCTTCCCTAGTTGTTTCTCTATTAAACTTTATAAACAATTAATCTTTAGGCAAGCCGAAACTTAAATTCTTAGGTAATTACTCTATAAATTGTATAATTTTCTTATATTTGCTACTCTTTCTTACCGCTCTATTGTTTAGCATCTCTTTTAATAATAATTCTGCATCCTCCATAGTTATCAGTCCTTGTCCAAAAAATACAACTGTAGCATAAGCACTAAAGTCAAAATTTGGTATCTTAGTTGCCATATGCCTAATTTTCAATCTCTTCTCTATCCTGTACTCCTTATTCCTAATTGTAAGCAATGCAGGTGTATTAACACTTAAACTACCTGCATTTCTATAGCCTTCTGGAATTATTATATTTATTTCCCTATCTATTTTTATAGTTTTCTATTTTGGTTCAAATATCTAATAAAGTTTGGAATTGGATTTTATTCCAGAGATATCCTTCTGTTATTTCATATCAAAATTAGAGTCCCTATTATATAAATCATATATTCCATCTCTTACACCATTGTCCAAATATTTAACATCATGCGATTCAGTATCATACTCAGTTGGTTGATAATAATCTTATGTGATTGAATTCAGTAAGTTTTTCTCGACTGGTTGCAATATGATATTGTTTCTAGGAAAACGAGATAATGGTGAGATTTAAAAGTGATTTTAGATACCAGGATAATCATTCAAAGGTAATGCACAAAATGTATAATCTCGGATTAAAGTAGAGTCATTCTTTTGTTCCCATGCAAGATGCTGTCTTAATCGTTACTCATCTAAACCAAACTTTTTGGAGACATCAAAAATACGAATATCTGCTGCTGTGCTTATTTTGATGTAATTTTACATCATCTAGCTCATAATCGCAAATGAAGATCCTGTGAATATAATCAAAGACAAACCAAGCGAGTACATAAGGGTTGTTTTTGCATTCCTATTCTGATGACTTTTTAAATTATTTAAGATTACGGGTTTCAAATTTTAATCTGATGGTTTCAGACATAATATCAAATAGAGAAGATATTTTTCAACTATTTTTTGAACCAAATTGATTATCATTGTTACACCTACTAACATAGTTACAAATACAATATTTAATACAAAAATAGCAAGTCCAATATTTTAATAAATTATATTCATAGGAATGACGTAATAACTTATAAATCCTATTGATATTAGCATTATGGAATAAATTGTTTAATTTAAACTTATCCCTATCTTTTCAAGTCTCATAACTGTTACTACTATGTTGCTGACAACCTTATGAAATAGATTTAAGGAATCCCTAAGTGTTGTCGATAAAGCCTATTTAATTGGTAAGATATTGCTAACAATAGGCATACAGATTCCTATGCTTATTTGAACAATCAAAGCATAAAGAGGAATACTATATGAGGAAATCAAAAGAGACATATCAAATATATACATAGAAATTAAGGCATTTAATAGGTAACAAGTAATCAAGGCTAATAATAGGCCTGGTACTAATAATATAGAATAGTGATTACTAACTTGCAAATGTTAATGCTTAGAATAGTAGTAGTACAATTAACCATGATTTTCTGAATCCTAAGGCTCTCAACATTCCAAATTCATAAGTCTTCTCATCCACATCGCCTATCATCAATGAATAAATTAAAAGAATTGATAGCATTAATAAGATTATAGTTGCCACTTCAATCAGAGTCTCAATGAAGTGCTTTATTAAATGATATAGTTCAATGATAAAACCTAATGGTGCCATAATTTGCACAGGATAGTCATACCCAGCAATAGAGTAAAATTGATTTGTTGATGAAATGACTGCGGCTTTTGCATTTTCTGGAGTCTCATATTTTGGATATTTATTTTAGAATACCACATTGGCCATCAGAGAATACTCCTATAGTTAAAAAAGTTTTAGCTTGTCTCTGACAGAATTTCTAGTCTCTTTAACAGGAATTAATTATGATACCGCTCCTGCCATACCTTAGTCATACTTTCTCTTTTATTTAATTACAGCATCAAATCTATCGAGAATGGCATCTGAAAATAAGTCAGTTGCATTTTTATAATCCATGAATACCATCTATCCTAAAGCTTCTGTCCATTTTCCTTTTGGGGATTGGACACTTTGATAAACTGAAAAATTTAATTCAAATTCAGCCATTTCAAAGGCGATATCAAATATGCCATCCTCTATTTATGAAATAGTGATTTCTTAAGTAAATTTTGATAACCTTAAAACAAATCGATAAATGCTTTTGGCATCGTTCGTCAAATTTCTAGTAAATAAGTATTCAATCATTCGTTTAGCTAACTTCTTCTAATGAGTTGTTATGTTTTAACTATAAATTGATTAAACTAAACTTTTTTTAGTCTGATTTTTCTTCCATTCAGATGCTTCTAAATCATTAACATAATATTTATATTCTTTGGCATATTTCAACATAGTTGCAACATCAAATTTCCTATGTAATATATCATCATCAGAAATTTGCAATAGGTCATTTAAGAACCGTTTGAAAGATTCTCTTAGATTATTCTTAGATTCACCTTCTTTGTCGTTGAATCCAAAGTGTTTGAGAAATTGAAGAACGCTAAATCTAATTTGAATAGTGTCTCCAATTTGAACACCCAGTCCTTTTTAGAGCGTGCTGGAGATATAAATTTAATTAGAAGTGATGATGTCTGTGTCTAATCTTCGACCAAGGCCTATGCTGTTTTCAAGTTGGGAATCTAGAATCATAAAAAAGGAAGTCAAATTAAGTGATGTTTTGGGATTGTAGATATCACACATAAACAGCCATCTTGGGGAAACATCTAGGAATTCGTCAATTTAAGTAGTATACTAAATAGAATGAATAGATTACTTGGCGTAATTCTGTTATGTTGATGAGCCTGAATTCATTTTTGCTAGCCAGATTTTTGGGTAAAAATTGTAGATCTGCATCCCCAACAGAGGTTTCAGCCAATTGAAGAAACAAAAAAGGACTTAGACTTTTTAAACATTACAGTAATCCCAGAAATGCAATTACAATATAAGTTGAGAATAATCCAATCTTGAAAGAACGTGGCCTCTTGGCAATATCGGAAAAGATGTATTTAAAAAAGAGTCGGATCAGTCTTTGAGGTTGGATCGATTGCATGTCAGCTAAAGTAGGTTGATCTTCATTGGGTTAAGCCATTCAAAGTATTAATATTTATCATTATTTTGTTAGAAACATTAAAAAATTATCACAATAGACCCTTTAAAATGACTGAAATGCTTTTATCTTTCATATCCAAGACTGCTAGGTAACTGGCAACTATGGCTGTGACAAATCCTCCAAGACAAGTAATTAGAAATGTAGCTGTTGGGAACATCAACACAAAAGGTAATTCTATGAACATGAGAATTTGGAGGGTCAGTAAAATGGCCAAAGAGATCCCAATGAAAGTACCAAGTAATCCAGATGCGGTGATTAAGGAGATTGCCTCATAAATGTAGATTCTAGTAAGTTGTTTTTTATTTAATCCAATAGCTCGAAGGACTCCAAATTCCCATGAATTGTCTTTGACATTTCCAACGAATGAAATTAGAATTAAAAAGAATGACAACGTAAGGGCAATCACAGCAACGACTATGTTTAGGATTTGAATATAAAAGAAGGCATTCTCTGCTTCTTCTTTTAAAGTTTTCACGTCGAATAGTAATGTTTAATCATTTCTAAAATAGTTTCTTAACCGATTACAAAAATCCACCCTTTCAGTCTTACTAGTCTGTCTTGCAAATTTAACTCTCAAGCTTGTTTTCGGCAATCCATATGTTAATCCTTTTGGTAAATTACTCAAATATTCTCTCACATACGGTTATTGAATACTAGATATGTTGCGGATATCTCCTCTAAGATAACTATTGACCATATATAATTAGTCAGGCATAGAAATGATTCCTTATCCAAACTAAGTAACTTATCTGTAGGATGAGAACTCAAAGCCAGGTACCTTTGAGGCAGTATGTCTAACATTAATTCGATAGTATCTTCCCCACCAAATCAAGGATGGAGTGTTAACATCAATTGAAATTTCGTATTTGTAGCCTTATGGAATGATGATATTGATTTCTCTATCTTCTTCTATTCTAACATTTGGTCTGGATATATTGAGACCCTTGTAGTAACTATCTCGTATGTTCATTTAAGTAATCACCTTTTTCACATCCTCTTCACTCTCAATATCCAGATTGCCACTCCTATCATAAAGACCATATACTCCATCTTTCTTTCCACTCTTTAATTTTGGATATGAAACCTAATCGTCATAATCGTCAGGCAAATAATATTCCTACATGATGGTTTCTAAGTAGTTTGGTTCCACTCCTCCTAATCGTATTCTTGCCCATGGAAACGTTGCCATTGTTGTAAACCATTAAATTCCTCCTAAAAATGGAAAATGAGTCAACAAAATGGCATTAAATGAATAATCCTGAATTAATGTTTTATCTCTCATCATTTCACTCTCTAAATGTTTTCGTATTTCATATTCATCCAAACCAATTTTATCAGTTGGCATTACCATAACAGTCACATCTCCTCCTAAAGCTGATTGCAATGCATCACCAATTACTTTGGAATCCAGGGTCAGGGATGCTCCTGCAAATAGAATAAATGAGAGGGCGAGTGAATACATGAATGTAGTCTTCCAATTTCTGCTTGCATGACCTGATAAATTCTTAAAAATTATCTATTTAAGATTTCTATCGAATTTACAAATCCATAAGATACAATTCAGGATGGCTCTTTCCAATGGCCCTTAAAACAAGTTGACTAGTAGCATGAATCCTATGATCATGATAATGAAGATGACATTGATAATGTTTAAGGCCAAGGTCACATTATTAAAAATGAAAGCCATAGGTATTAGATAATAACTAACAAAACCTATGGCAACTAAAAGTAATGAACAAAATGTCTAGGTCAAAGATATACCCATCTTCTCAAGTTTAACTACATTAACCATCACTTCTTGAATTGTTCTATGATATAAATCTAAAGAATCTCGCAAGGTCTTCGATAAAGCTCTCTAGATAGGAAAGATATTGCTAATGATTGGTATGAGTATTCCTAAGCTTACAGCTAGATACAATGCTTGATCCGCAATCACATAATTGGAAACCATGTCAGTTGTCGCAAATATTAACATAGAAACCAAAGAGTTAAGAATGTAACAAGTAATCAAGGCTAATAATAGGCCTGGTACTAATAATATAGAATAGTGATTACTAACTTGCAAATGTTAATGCTTAGAAGAGTAGTAGTACAATTAACCATGATTTTCTGAATCCTAAGGCTCTCAACATCCCAAATTCATAAGTCTTCTCATCCACATCACCTATCATCAATGAATAAATTAAAAGAATTGATAGCATTAATAAAATCATAGTGGCTGCAGCTATGAGATTATCTATGAAATTTTTCAATATAAAGTAATTTGAAACAGCAGTCGCTAGGGTTGAAGATGCTGACACAGGATAATCAAACCCAGTTGTTTTAAAAAATTAATTGGTGATATCAATGATACTTGATTTAATGGTATTTTTGTCTTAGTAAACTTGCAATCTATTTTTTAATACAAGATTCTAACATAAGGAGTAATCTGGCAAATAGATCCTTTGAGAGGCATTCCAAACGACGGATTTTACAAAATCTATTGGTATCAATTCTGCAACAGCTCCGATAGTGGAATCGTCATTCAATCTTTTGTCAATTACAACATCTTCAAATTTCGTTAGGAGTCCTTCAACCAAGATATTGGTTGCATTTTATTGATCCATCAACAAGGCATTAAATCCATCTTGCCATTTTCCTCTGGGTGCCTCAATCTTTTCAGTGACAATGACGTCAAAGGTGAAATTAGCACTTTATGCTACCAGACTGGAAATAGCCATTTCAATTTCATAAACAGTAACACTTTCGTTTAATTTATAAGCAAATCTTTCCAAGGTTCTGGCATCTTCACTTAAATTTCTTTAGTATTCGATTTCAATAATGTCCAACAATAATTTCTTCTCATCTTAAGGAATATCCTAACTATTAATGTATTCTTCGATGTATTCTTTGGATAAATTTTTCAATTCTTGGTTGGATTCCAACAAATCAGCAAGAGCCACGACATCTTCTGCTCCTTGTTGGATTTCTTCTCTTTAAATAATCTGATATTCAAAGTCATCTCCGAATATTCTTCTCAAAGGTTTATTAATGGTTGAATCGATTAATGAATAAAAAAAGTCCTCGCTTCCATTTTTTGTATTTCCATCTAGCAATGAGATCAATTCATCGACATCAATATTCACCTACAATACATCACCAACACTGGCATTCAGTCCTCTGAGAGTAGAAGCTGAGACTTGGACTTGATTTGCAGTTAAGTAATTTTGAGTCGATCTGCGACCCAAACCTATGCTGATTTCTTGGGTTTGATTGAGTATGATGACAAAAGTTCTTAATTTCTGATTTATCTTCTCCACATGGGTATTATTGTTAATGAGATAACCTGTCAATAACCATCTTGGCGATGATCCAAATATCCCATCAGTCACATTGAAATACTCGTTAATTTCCGTGGTGTTGATAAATGTGGAAGAGGATTCGTAGGTGATTGATTTGTTAAGTGAAGACATGGGAGTGAATAGTAAGTCGCTGTCTCCAGATTGAGTCTCAGCCAATTGAATAAATATTAAGGGAGAGAGTTGAACTGCACTTTCGAGCAAAGCCAAGAAGGTTACTACCAAATAGATCGTAAACAATCCAATCTTAAAAGATCTTGGTCTCTTGGCTATGTCAGATATGATGTAGCGAACTATTATCCAGATGGTTTTCGTCTTGCTGTGTTTCACCAATGCATGTTATTTTTCGTCCGAATCTTCAATCAATGGAGAATGCAACATTATATAATTTTGTATATGAAATATTACATAAACAAATCCTCAAATTATACGCAGATCACCAGTTTTACAACCAAAAATTGAAATTTGTTTTGTTGCCTAAACGAACCTTGTGCAAATTTGGGCAGGCACTATAGATAGTCTATCCAAAAAGGGCAATCGATACTCAAATACGTTATTGTCTGTGAGGACAATCTACAAAATTATAATTGATTCCATACCAAAGTATTTATGGCAGATTTCCTGATTTCGAAGTATTCTATGTTTCCCTTGACTTGCAGTGATTGCAACAAGAACCCATTGATAGAATACGCCACAATGCGCTCATCATGGGAACTAAACAAAACACAAGGTAATGGAGAATAACTCAATTTTAAGTAGAAGATAGGCAACCCCTTCGGATGATTGATGAATCTATAGAGAGTGCGATTGTACAAATTATATAAGAATATGGTTCCATCCTGAGTCCCAACACAAAAGATGGTTAGCTATTCTGAAATTTCTATTGAATTTATTTGCGAAGTTGTGTCATATATGACATATTTACCCTTAAGTACCTCCTCCTATTTTATGTCCTACTTGCTTTACAGCAATTTATTGTAGTAATACACAAACCCCTTATTGGTTCCCAGTATCACTATATTCTGTTGCTTGTTTGCTGCTAAAACAGTGACCGTACAATGATTATTGATTATCTCACTTTCCAATTCAATCACTCCCTACAACTTCAAATTATCTAAACTATAGTATGTAAGTGTTCCATTGTTAATTCCACCAAACAACACTATTGACTATTCAATCAATACCAAAATGGGTGATTGTACATATTTTATCATTGCATCAAAGTTAATCTTCGGCAATTGCACCAATTTTTCCTATTGAAACTGATACTAATTCTTAACAATCTACCATTAAATTAATGTAAAGTCCTCTTGAATGCTCACTACTTTACTCTTATTACAAATTAAGTAGATCAATTTGCTTTATGACTTTTTATTCTTTATTGTCTGCCACTAAGTCTTATCGACTATCTGATTCTTTTGAGCATGTGGCTTATAAAAGATCTGCTCTGGTGTTTATCCAAAGTGGGCAATTTGGGTTTCCATTGCCAATTCATTGATTTCTATGCTATTTTCATCGAAGTTTGAGTACGTTAAAGGATAGAATACGTTGAATGAATCCACAGCAGCTGCCCCTTGTTGTTTGTATCCCCAAATCAAATCAATCCATTCATTTAACTTTATTGCATACTCACTCTCCAATGCTATCATATTCTAAGCTACAAAATAAAAAGCATTCTTATTAGAGTAGAATGGTAATAATACGTTGTTTACTATTTGGCTGCTTTACAGCTTACCGAAATTATACCCATTGATATTTAAGAAGGCCTCAGGCAAATAAAAAAACTCAGGTGTTAACTCCCTCACATCAGCCATCTCATTATTGCAATCGATCCAAGACTTCATTATAGACCTAAACAGTCGATCTGGAATGTCAAACTTACCATCCTATATAGATATGGCTGCTTCTGTAAATGGACTCAATCTGATCAAATACTAGGACACCAAAGCTTAACTAGAATAATGTGTTCCATAGTAAAACTATTCATTTTCAAATCTCTTAATAAATTAGTCTAATCTCTACTCAGTCCCACATGCCCCTATTGGCAGAGAAAGATCCCTGTAATTGATCTCGTTTTGTATTGATGCAATATCATTGTCATCGAAATCTGAAGCATTTCCCTTCAAAACCCACGGGAACACTGGATATCTGGTCAAATCTATGTAGGATCGACAGGATAGAAAGTTCAAATACATTAAATACTTGAAATTGCTAACCTTATTGAAATCACATTGTTTCGGTTGTATTTTCAACTTCTCAATTATCTGTTCCTTTAATCCCTAGTCCTAAAAGATCAAGTACAATGATTCTCCATCCTTGAAGATGATTTCAATGGCATTTCTATTTCTGATATATATCCTTTCGTGCAGCCATCTAATTTGATACCTCTTCCACGATTTCTTGAATGGCTTGTGATTTGGTATTGTGTGTGGCAACAAGGTGATGTGGTTTGCTTATTAAGAGTAGGAGTAATAGGAGAATGTTATCTTGTCCTCTCCTATTGTGACGCCTCCTTGTTTGAGGTACAGACTTTTAAGCCAGAAGCATTTGTGCTGCTACTTCTTCTCCAGAGGCACTTGGACATCATTCTCAAATTCAGGATTCTTCTTAAACTTTATTTTTAATATTGGACGAGAATAACATTTGTTGATGTACTTCTCAATCTTATTGATGTAATAAGGATTCCCATTGAATTGGTAATCATGATCAATTTATTCATCCACTTGAAATTTGCACTCCTTTGGTCGATACACAGTAATTCTTAAATTGTGCCAAAGTTTACACCACCTCTCTCTGATCTTTCTGGTTTTATTCATCAATTTATAAACAGATACTTCCATCTATGCTGCAGCCTAATTGATTTCATCTGTTAATTTAGATAATTCTTCTGATTGATTCATCTTGATCTATTACTGTTCTTGAGTCCATTTAAGCAGCAACTCCTCTTGGATAACTTAAAAATCTTCTTAAAATTTAATCGAATCAAATACTTGCACCTATTGTACTGTGAGTGATTGAAGAATTAGTTCATTTTGAGTAAGGAATTACTCAATTATCTCCTTGGCCTATTCGTCCTAACTTTATGATTGAATTGCTCTAAGTAAATCAATTATTTAGATCATGAAGCTTTAACTTGCTTCTGTGCGCAGAGATGAAGTCTATTAAAAGAGCTTTGTAAAATAGAGTAGCCATTCTTTCAATTTATCAAGAGGAAAACTTAAGTTGATAATCTTCTGAACAGCAAATGGCAGTTCTTTTTGTTCCACCATTTTGGATAGTTCTTACTCATTTTCTAAAGAGATCACATGCCTAATTAGTTTAGTTAGGAACACCTCAAAGTTTTTAAACGATTGAACTGAGAAGTAAATTTGGAACATTATCTATTAGACTTGATATATTTGTGCCTCGTTAAACTGTTCTATTGCTTCAGTGACTACGGTGATGAGTGCTGAAACATCCTTTCTAATTTGAAAATGAATCAAAGTTTAAAACATGAATTGAGGATTCTATTTTAGAAGATAAACAAAAATCTCTAAGAGTCTCTCATTTGATTCAAACTTCAATTGATCTAAAAACCATATTGAATATTACTAGAGGATGAGTTGTTACTATTCAATTGTGATCTTCTTGACATAATTAAGATAGTATTCGAGGATATTTTATTACTTGGTTTAAGAGTATAGGTGCTAAAGAATTTCAACACTTAAGCAATTGATCTTCAGTAATTAAGTCAACGCATTCAATAAGCTATCAAAGTTGTTGGTTACACAAATCGCCTTAGAAATGTAGGAGATCATGCCTTAACTTAATAGATCAGTAGTTCCATAAAGCATTTGTCCCAATAACGTAATAGTTGCCACCAAGCAATCCATACTATCAGTTTGCAAGAGAAGAAGGATGTCATTTAGGATCTTATTTTGGATGTTATGATCCCTAAAGACAACAAAGTTTTCTTAGTCATCTCTAAATAAGTCCGAAACTAATCTAGTTGCACTTTAGATGGCTTTAATTTTAAGTTCGATTGTTGATGCTTCAGCCACCTTTAAAAAGAGTTTGAATTGTTCCTTCAATGTATTGAAGTTATATTAACAGGAATAGATCATAATTTATAGAATTTGATCTTGGATTTGGCTTTTCTGATTGACACTTACCAACAATTGAGCCAGATATTAGATTGACGTGACCTTTAAGTATTGTTGATGATCATTGATGTAGAATTATTGTAACAAGATGCAATATTGCTATTAATCGGTGACTCGTTTAATGAAATTGACATCAATAATCAATAGCAAGAGCTGATTCAATATGTCTTAATCCTCCACTTGTTGTTTGATTTGTAAAATTTAAGTGAGATTAGGGATGTCCACCATGATAATTTAGGCTATCTATTGGAATAGTTTCATATCAGTAATTTGATTCTTGTTGATCTGACTATCCTGTAATAGAGTGTAGAGTAGGATTTGGAATAAGTCATCAATTTTAGAGTGATCATAATATTGAATTAGATTGAAGAGTGGAATTAATATTTTGATACCACCGTATTCTACAAAATCATACTTTTACAATGAGGATGTCATTTTGGTGTCGCCTTGGAGTTCATAGACCACATTCTGGATTCGGTCTTTGACTCTTTTGGTTTGGTGAGGATCGTACAATGGGTAGATTTGATAAAAGGGGGATTTCAGATGGAGATCCACGACTTCACTATAAACGGAGATCTCTTTGACCTTGCACTAAATGTGTTGGAAGTAGAGAATCTCCAGATTTTGATTCCTGATTTTGGGATATTCAATCTGCAATGTGTTTTTTTTCTGATTAATTGAATATATAAACTTTGGTCTGGAATATAGTTTTCCACATTCATGTGAAATAATTAGTTCGTTCCATCCATTCATGATGGCGTCCCCCAACTTATTATTGGAGGAGTTATCCTCTACAATAACCTTCTCTAGATTGAATCTCTGGTACACATTCTTATAGAACACTACACCAGCCATTATATAACAATGAACTCCATTGGCGATTATTCTTTTGCCATCGACATGAGAGGATGAAAATTAGAAGAGTGTTCCATCTCCTTGAGGATTGAATGTTAAACAGATTGAGTATTACTTTTCGAAGTGCCATTAAGATTGATGGATGAGTTTTATCCCTCCATTGTTGATGACGAATTGATCTTCATTCTTTTCCTATTTCAGATACTCATACAAACCCTAGATGCACTCAGCCATGGTTTGAGGGTTGTATGTACTTTTGGCGTATTCATCAGATAAATCATGAAAGTACTTTAACATGAGTATATATTAATCATAGAAATTGTTAAATAGTCTTCCGAATTGATCTTTTTTTCATTACATTTTCAGCGTCCTTCTAACTAATCTTGGCCAGTAGATCAACTCTGGTTAGGTTAGCCACATCATCTAGATTTCCATCATGGGAGACTTGCACTGATTGCAATCTATCCTTCATTTTCACTTCCTCATTCTTCTTCTTCGTGATATTACTCTCCTCCTCCTCCAATTAGTCTAAGTCTCTTATCGGAATCATGGGAGCCTCCTAATTTCTGATGTTATTCCAATCGATCCCATTGAAGAATTTATGAGATTTCACTTCGTCAGCACCCTTCTCTCCAAGTCTCTAATGGTATTATGGTTCCAACAATGAATTGATTAATTCGTATGCATCCTAACTCATCATGTCCTCTCCACTGCCTATATCTGGCCACTCGATAAATCTATTAATTATATTCTCGAACACTTTCGGAATGCTACAGTCATTGAATGGTGGAATTCCTACCAAAAATTCATAGGCTATCACTCCAAACGCCCACCAGTCAATTGAAAAGTTAGAAATGGATAATCCACAGATAACCTCGGGAGGAATGTAATCGGGAGTTCCAATTATTCTATTCTATCTTTTTCCTGATTGAGTTCGCTCTTAAATACTGGTCTTACTAGTAGTCTTTTGTAAATGAAATTCAATATTGCTTTTGGTTTTGATGTTTCTCTTCGAAACATTCATTGGTAATGCTTCAGGATCGATTGAACAATTGATTCCATCCTTGCCTTCCCTTATCTTTTACACCAAGGCAATTTCAGACAAACCGAAATCGGCTAACTTTAGATGACCCTGCGCATCTAATAAGATATTTTGTGGTTTCAAATCCCTATGAATTATACCTTTCTTGTGTAACGATTCAATTGCTAAGAGCAATTCAGCCAGATAAAATTTAGCCACTGATTCAGAAATACGTCCATATTGATACAGCACCTAACTAAAATCACCCCCCATCATATATTCTAACAAGAACAACAAGCAATTGTCTTAAATAAAGGAATAATAGGCTTTGACTACAAAATCCCCTTCTAAAATTTCAAAGACGTTTTTTTCAGCCCTCAAATTCTAAATTTCATTCATATTCTTATTTCTACAATCTATCACCTTCATGGCATAATAATCCTTAGTCTTCTTCTTAGACACCAACCAAACTGCCCCAAATGCTCCAACACCCAAAACCTGGATAAATTCAAAATCCTGAAGAGTTACATTCAATCTAGCATATTTAATAATGATTTACAATTGTTTATTCTTGACTAATTTAGTTGTTTTGAAATCTCCATCGCTGTAATACCCCTTGACTTTCTATTCCTTCTCATTATCAAAATCACACTTATCAATCACGTTATTTAAATTTAAATTTAAATCTTTAAATGAAATTACATTGCTTTTGGATTGTTAAACAAAATCATCCATTTCAAAAGATTCTTCAAGTGATTTTTTAGTGATATTCTTTTTGTCGTCTCTATCTGACACTTCCTCTGATTGTGATTCACTGCTGCTTTCTCCACCATCATCAGATTCACTCAAACATTTTTAGAAAATGCAATCCTTTCCTACACCTTCAGTAAACGTCTTGGATTGCACTTGGTGAGTGTTTTCAAAATTGGATATGACGTTTTACTTATTCAACCATTTGGATCCAGTCGAACTGTTTTTGAGCATTTCAAAATGTTCTTGTAAAGAATTACCCAAAGAAGTTCTGCGATTGCCAGTTTCCACTTTGGAGATCTTCATGCGGAGTGGAGAAGTGAGGCTCTCAAGCTTATCTTCGTCAGAGATGAGTTTTTGTAATCTAGAAATTTTTTATGTACATTAAACCTTTTCCTAAAATTATAAAATATTTTTCAATTTTACTTCAATTAGCTTCAAAGTCATTTTTACTAGATCTTGTACATCTTTTTGGAGTGTATGTTTGATATTGAACAATTCCACCTGTATTTTTAGATCAAATTAAATCGACTGAGTGCCATGATGGGTTTTAAGAGTTTCTTCAGTATATTTAGTAATTATGGAGAGAGAGTTTAACTGTAATCTCAAATCTTTTAAAATTTCTGTATTATCACTAATTTATAAACACAACGTTGTACTCAAGAGAGAAGGGACTCCCCATTCCATTTGATAACGGAGAACTTATTTATTTGATTTCTGGCGAAGGAGAATGCGCAAACTTAACCCCTTGTTTCTACTACTCTATTTTCTTTGACAACTTGATCTATTGTTTCATTATTCGATCCAGGTCCTCTCCTGTAATATTTTCTTCCACAATCTAAATCACGGATTCCTACTCACGTTCATCGGGCTCATCATCTGCCAAGCTTGTTCCCAAATTCGCAAACCTCGACTTCACAGTACACTACGATTATACACCTTTACACTCACCTTGTTTGTTCTTGAACCCGTATCCTCACTTGCACAATCTTCTGGTTGATTCAATTTCAACGGAGCACTGCTGCGCATCCCTCGATTCTCGTTGTTTGTGTGCCTAGCCTGCTTGGACTTGTGGATTTGATATTTTGTATTCAATGTGCGAAAGCTGTTTTGAGCCAACTCGGCCAACTTCTGAATTTACACATCCAATTAATGCAATTGCTTTCTGGCTTCAAAGATTTGTTAACAATTAACTAAATGATTCTCGATCAATGTAGCATCTGTCTACACTTGTAATAGTGCATTCATACTTTTTTTTCGCAGATTCTACACATTACTTATAGATCTTCATTACTCTGGACTTCAGCAATCATAAATATATATAAATATTATAAACTCAACGATTCTCGACTATCACCTAAACCACCTCCTCAGACTCCCCAACTTCCCTTCACACATATGTCTGTTACACCCATTTAATTAAATGTAAATTATACTTCCTTAGTATTTGATTCTTACTAATGATTAAATTTGGATCCCACTTTAATTCCCTTTTCTCACACACACACACACACTTTTATTTTACATATATGTTAATAAATTAAGAATTGTTCCATATGCAGAAATTAAGGTTTTCTGACCTTTTTACTCTTATTTATTACAAATATCAATATTTCCATATTCTTTACAAAATAATATTATCATTTGCAAAATTGTCAATTTCATATGACATCTTTTATAAATTGAAAATTATGAAATCATCAAAACCTTATAAATTCCACAATGGATTTTTTTGCGCTTTCCAAGTGAAACACACAAGCCATAACTAGGTTATTAATTGATAAATACAAAAAATAATTTTACTCAGCCAATTATCCCAGAATCCTTATTAACTTAATAACAAAATCATTATTATTCTTAACTTTGAGTCTAAATAATCTCCCTTCTGAGTTCATAATCTAAATTGCGATGAGGAATTAAGAACAAAATTTTCAATATATTGATTACTATCTCTGGAACATATTTAATAAATTTAATTAAAATACTTAATAATTACTTTGAACTTATATTAAATACCATATTAATAACTGATTATATCTATAATAATAATTAAATTGATATATTTTCACTTAATCTATATTTAATTCTAAAATTAAGCCTACACCTCTTTTATTATTTGCTCAAATTAGTGTATTGGTATTCTTCACTAAAAATCAGACAAAAAATGATATATGATCTTTAATAATAAAATTGTGACATTAATTAAGATATAGTTAATTCAAAATTTCTACCCTTTTGAGAATAATGAATCCTTGCTGTTTGGATTAAAGTCAGTGTTTTAAACGCACTTAGGGTGTTAATTGATAAATAATCAAATCCTACTCTAAACAATTCAGACCAATCTCATCAATCAATTTAGATCTACTGGATTCCCCTTAGAGGATGCTTTTAATGAAGAGAAAATAATTCCTATTGCATAGTATTAATTTAATAACTTTTTAATGAAAATTAATCATCTCAATACTGAAATTTGTAATCATTGAATTTTATCATTACAAGAGGATAAATTGGACCTTGAGAATTATGGTCATTCTGTTCGATCTCTATTAAAAGTGACTGAATAAGACCAAGAAATAAATTTGTATGAGAATCAGAACTCAAGGACACATAGACAAGTTGATCTGGCGAGCATAATCATTGAATCCAAAAATAAGTATTTGCTATTGCTTACTTAGATTGAGCACAACGAGTAATCGATAATTACGAATGAGAGCAGTTAGTTTTCAAACTAATAAACCCATGCTTAATTATAAGGAGGACAGCCCAATATAATCAGAAAGTCACAACTCTATGGAAAACTTTGGTTTCAGTAATAAAATTTGGAAAACCAAGGCTTTGGAGATACTCATGATTACATTGCGATTTATTAGTTTTATAACAAAATCAAATTTCGCAACAAGCTTTAAATTAATTAAGAAAAATGTATTTGACATAATCGGGGATGTTTCAGCAGATTTTGAATTCTATCAGCTGCGCAACTTCTTTAAGTACGAAGTAAAAATAGTGATAAAATTGTTTATTTTCTAGAAACCAACGGGATTCCAGAAATTGATATATTTTTTGAGCCAGCGGATTTTAGTCCCAATCAGAAAAACTAAACTCTTAAAAATCTATATTGGGAATCAGAGACTGATTTTGAGACCAGAATCACTGGCATCTATTTGGTGGAATATATACATATTGACCATTTTGAATATCAACGTGCTCTATGTATCAGCCAAAATAGCCTTTAAATTTGACGATAGTACGAATGATGATCTTCAATAAGCAAGATAGATCATTTTTGATGTCTTGCCATCATACTCATTTATGCTTGAGATACTATTGAAATTCAACACATGCTATTACAATAAGGGAGCAGTGATAGAGAATAGATATTTGATAGCTAAGAACTATTTTCGATCATGTAAATTGACAATATAAAATTAGCATTCTTGTTTGATATCTTCGTGATAATTCCATATTTTGTAAGTTTGAGATTTGATTTGGAATACTTGGATTTGGTGATTATATTAAAAGTGTTTCAAATTAAAAAGTTTTCAAGAACCTTATTCGATAGATTAGAATTAACAGCAATTTAGATAGTTATCTTCGATTTAATTAAATTGGTTTACACGATATTGGCAGCTGCTCATTTCTCAGCTTGTCTTTGGTTTTTGGTAGGATCGACAGGAGATCCAAGTGGGAATTCGTGGATTAAAGTACAGAATATAGAAGATGAATATTGGTTTAACCAATATTTGCATTCCTTTTATTGGAGCATAATAACAATGACGACAATTGGATATGGTGATATAACTCCCTAGAATTTGAGGGAGAGAGTATTTGCTGTGGGGATGGCGTTGTCAGCAGTGGGCGTATTTGGATATTCAATAGGGAATATCAACACGATATATGCAGAGTGGAATCGAAGAAGTTTTTAAGTGAGGACTGATATGAACAATTTAAAGAAATTTATTCGTATTAAGGGAATCAACAAACACTTGGCTGAAAAGATTAGGAAATACTTTGAGTATTTATGGAGTGATCAGATGGAGGATAACGATAGAGAGGTGTACAAATTTAGTGATTTGATTCCGAGACAATTGGCAGAGGAAATGAAGATCGATACCAATATGAAATTGATTTCTAAGATAAATTTCCTCACTCAGAATTTCAGTGAATAGTTTTTGATTTCTCTCTCCAAAACCATGGTGGAAGAGAAGTTCGTTCCTGAATCTACAATATATTAAGTAGAATGTATATTTGTATAGGTAGCAACATGATCCAAGTGAGTATCTCTATATTCTATCGAATGGGAGTCTTTCATTTTACATTACTATGAACAACAAATAGTAGACCGTAAAAGTACTTGAAACAGTAAGATAGGAAGGTATTCCTTTTGGTGTATTGGAATTCTTTCAATCTTAAGCCTACCAGATGTCATGCAAATCAAATCAATTCTCTTATGTCTTAAAAATAGACAGATCTCAATTTTTAGATATTCTCCAACAACATCAAAATGATTATGTAGAAATCTCGATTGTATTATTATTAGTTTAAGTATTGTGAGTTAGTGCAATAAATCTCATTTATGAACAAACAGGAATTGGTTGACGTTACATGCCGAGCTTGCAACAAGTCAACTCATATCATCAGAGAGTGTCCGTAAGTAGATGGTCTTATCTTAGAATGGTGTGTGGTTATCCCAATAGAGCCAAGGTGTTGCTTAATTATAGAAGGAACATTCCATCCGACAGAGTGAAATACAGAAGGAAGATAGAGAGAAAGATCTCTACAAGAAAGGAATCTCTCGACATAAGGAATAGTATCTATTTATACATGTGCAAAACTCAAATGGTCTCCCAAGAAATAGATGATCAGCGTTGTCTATTTGATAGCAGAGGTAATCAACATTTGATATCAATAACAAGGAGCAAGTTTTGCTGATAGTGCCAATGATGAAATAATAGAAAATTAACAAGAAGTCGATAAGGAAGTTCTTAATAGTACAATATTGGCCTTAGATCGGAACTCTAGATTATCAAAATAATATGGAAAACGAAAATTAACATTCCAAGCTTGTACTGACGCTTTGAAGGACGAGGAGATTGTATGTTTATTTGTATCAAATTATTAGAGAGATAGGATTTTGGAAGTTATCGGTAAGATTTAAAGGGCTGAGAGGCAGAGTCTACGTTAGAACAATGTCTCAAATCAGAATGTTCAATAAATGCAATTGAATGCGAGGTAGCAGAATCATCAAAATACGGTTTTGAGTAATAAGAGTAATCAGGATTCAGATAAGAAAACAAGTGAGCAAGTGAGGGATTAATAGAGAAGACAAACCAAAATAATTATTACGCCTTTTATAAAGGTGAATGACAATTCAATGGAGTATCTGTATCTGAATAAGAATTTGGAAGAAGAACAGGGTAAGAAGATGGGATAATATTTGGAGATTTTCGAAGGATTTGACAAGGTAAAGAACTTTGAATATTTTTTGAAACATAATAATATTAGGGAAATAGCTCAAAAATTTAAGGGTTTAATAAAAAATTAAAGAATCAGAAATTAAAATAAATTAGAAACAATAAAATTTATTTGAATATATTTATATATTTTATTTCATTGAATAATCAATCTTTGGCTGCTCTGTAAATTTTGTTTGCTGCATCTTCGAGTAATCCTAACAATGATTCTTGAGATTCTTCTCTTAGTTTCTTCTCCTCTTCTATTTCACTCTTCACTCTCGACACTAGATCCTTGAGCATCTCAAAGATGGCTGTTTCTGATTCCTCTCTAACGAAATGCTACCATTTAAGATGTACCTCAACTTCTTTTGATTTGCCAAACCCTCATTGAGACGACGAATTTCATCTCCTGCTCTCCTCAAGGTTCCATTGTCACTGTCCTCTCTATCTTACCCTTCTGTTTTCACCATGTCATACAATTTCGGTAGATCGTTCTCCAAAGATGTAGTAATGTTCTCTGTCTATTCTTACCTGATCTTGCCTTCAGTCTGGATATCGGATTTCAAGTATACGACCTAGTATATTAAGATTTATGGGAAACCTTCTCATCCAAATATCCTTGTAATTTTAGATTCCCGTCTCTTCTCAATGCTATTTCCTATTCCAACTTGGTTGTGATGCGACTCTCAAATGCTGCAATCTCTCTGACTCTTTGTTCAAATTGAGTTTCAAAGGCATTGTTTTCCTCCTCAATTTGCTTTTACAAACGAACTATCTCATCCTTTAGTGAATGCTAATTGAGTCATATATGCATCAACTTACAAGCTTTCTGTTGTAAGATGTGATTGTGTCTTGAGTTCTCTCCTCTACGGCTGTGATTCTGCCACAAATGGTGTCAATTCTATGAGCCTTGGATTGATCATGTTGCAAGGGAATCGAATTCAATTTCTCCTGAATCTTATGGAAGCGTTCATTGAAAGGTGTATTTGGATTCATTTTAATAACAAATTTATTTAAAAATAATATTTAATCAAATATGGATCAAATAGAGGAAGAGCACAAGATAATCCAATTAGAAATCAAATACACCACAGAAATCCACAAAAACGTGCCCATCGATCTCAATGGAACTGTACTCAAGTTCCAGGAGACCCTCCAGGAATTGCTCAAGGTCCCTGTTGAGAAATAGAAGATTATGATCAAGGGATCTCTCTTGAAAAAGGACCAGGACCTGACAAAATTGAATCTCAAGAATGTATACAGGTCTTTATATCTTAGGGACAACAAATCATGGTCATGGGAGCACGAGAAGAGCATCTTTTAAATTTGAAATAGGGCAAGAAAATTTTTGAAGAGGATCTCACTCCTGAATAGAAGGCCATTTTATTGAAAGAAAAAGCAGGGGTATGTCCTTCAATCTCAACTTTAATAGATTGTTCTACCAATAGGATTGGTCAATTAGGGAAACACTTGTTATATGAATGCCTCAATTTAAATTTTGAGAAGAGTCAATGAGTTGAATGATTACGTCAAGAATAACACAAAACAAGGACAAGGACCGAGTGTCAAGTTTTTTAACGCATTAAAGGATGTCTTCCAAAAACTTGAACTCAAGGGTGAAGCATTTAAGCCATACAATTTTCTGGATGTAATCCGTCTCCCCAATATGTCTAGGTTTTCTTCTAGTTGTATCCAGAATTCGGTTAAAGGGACAACCAAATGCAACTCAAACAACAAGACGCCGACGAATGCTTTTAAAACATCCTTCAGACCATTCAACCATTGACTGCCTACGAGAATGAAGAGGGAAAACAAAAAAACCTGATCCAAGATCTATTTGAAATAGAATTGCAATCAACAATAGAGAATCAAGACATACCAGATGAACCTAAGAAGGTAGGTATCGAGAGGGGAAGAAAGTTAATGTGTATCATCGACAATCAGAGCAGACCAGTCAGCACGTTGGTGGAAGGTATTACAGTAAGTTTGGAAGAGTAGATGTAGAAGATCTCTGAGATTGATCAATAGAATCACATCTATAAGAAAACACAAAGGATTAGTAAATTGGTAAGATATTTTTAATATATTATTAAAGCCTAGTTATTTATTATGCCAGATGGTCAGATTTTATTGGAAACAAGGAGTCTAAGGCAAGGAAGGAGTGAAGGCCAAAATATTGAGGAATGTGGCATTCCCAAAGATATTAGAGTTATATGATTTCTGTACTCCAGAATTACAACAATTATTGCAAGCTGGAAGAGATTATGAGAAAAAGAAACTGTTGGAGATGGCTGCCAAGGAAACAGATGAGTTGGAACAATTCAAAAAGGATTTAGAGGCATCTGGAAAGATGGTGCCTGATGACACCAGAGAAATCTACAAGTAGTTTAAGGCCAAAAAATTACAGGAGGAAATCAAGAATCATGATGATTAGTTGTATAGAAAACATGGGTATGGATTGGATACAGGAAATTACGAGTTGATTGGAGTTTTAAGTAAATAATTGTATAATTTATAGCTCATACTGGAAGAGAGGCTGACTCTGGACATTATATGGCATGGGTTCATCATTCAGGGGATAATTGGATATGGTATGATGACGACAAGACTGCAGAGAGGAAAATTGAACATATTCTGGATTTGAGAGGAGGTGGAGATTGGCATATGGGTTATTATCTGCTGTATAGAAAATTAGAAATTGAGTGATATTATAAAAATGAATAATTATCATTATTTATTCAAGTTCATTATTGTGGGAGAATCAAGTAGTTGTATTACTTAGGTTAGATGTTGGAAAGAGTTGTTTATTGTTGCAATACACAGAAGGCAGATTCCAGGTTGGGTATGATGCTACCATAGGGGTTGAATATGGATCTAAGGAAATAATCTATGATGATAAACTCATCAAGTTGTAGCTTTGGGATACGGTATAATTTAATTCTATTCAGGCAGGCTAAGAATCCTTTCGCTCTATCACTAGAGCATATTACAGAGGGTATTTAAGTGCTATTTATATGTTTAGATCAATAGGGTGTTTCTTGGTTTATGACATTACGAGGAGAATAACATTTGACAGAATTTAAGCATGGGTTAAGGATGTGAGACAAGACACTAATAACAGAATCGAGTTCTTGTTGGTGGGCAACAAATGTGATTTAAAAGATCGAAAAGTTAGTTATGATGAAGGGAGACAATTGTCCATCTAATTGGGATGCGAATTCCAGGAGACATCAGCCAAAACTGGAGAAAACGTGGAATTTATCTTTGAATCATTAACTCAGAAAATATATGACAATATAAAGTCAAACAAAATTGATCCTCATGATCCTAATCATGGAATCAAAATTGGAAGGATAGGTGAAAACGAAAAGATCACAGAAATCCCCAAATAGAAACAGAAAAGTATTTGTTGCTGAACATATCTACAATTATATAATGTCATAATTAATTAATATCTAAATTCAATTCTTTTTCCTTTATTTAATAGGACTTTAACTAGTTTTTCTCTTTTTTGGTCTTTCATAAAATAAAATGACATACATTTCGACTCCTTTCTATTTGAGCATACCATACTTTTTAGCTAGTGGAATTTCTTCAAAGTTCTCTTCAAAAACTGAATCTTTCCAACCAACTGTCTCAGCACATGAATTTTATCTACCATTCTAATTACCTGTTTCAGCAGTCTACTTCATATTCTAAATAAAATCTTATGGAGAATTGTCATCACACACTTTGTTATCAAAAGCTATTTGTGAAGCCTAGTATTTCGGCCTTATTGAGTTGTAAGTACTCAACATCACACTCCCAGAAACCACGCTGGGCTATTGGGAATCTTGTCTCTTCAATTGGGAAGGCGGAATCAAAAATTGATTGTTGCTTAATCTACCTGATACAACTTGAAATTTACTATCGAATCAAATTAGATCCTTGTTTCTCAATTGACTTCTTCATCTCTGTAGATTAAGGAGGTTACAATTATTATTGAGTAGTTGATCTTTGTAAATTATCTGGATTCTCATTATTATTTTGAGATATCTTCATCTATTACTATTAATCCCAATCAAATATATTGTCTAATTGGATTCCTTGATTCTCAGCAGCCTTTTCGAATTAATGATACACAAAATAATAATTAGGTTCATTGTCATATTGCAATTATTTCAGATATCTATAGAATTTAGTACAATCAACTTACTCTAGAATTTTAGCAAACTCAATTGGTACATCTTTGCACAATTCTCGAGGATCCATGTTCATTTTCATTTCACCGACTTTGACAGTTCTATCTTCATCACTGACATTCTGCATATTTTGCCATGGAAGCTGCCTAGACTTCTGATAATTCAAGATTTCTTTACCCTTTCATGAAATACAATAACACATATATTAATGATTCGATATCATCCTTCCGACTTAATTCATGACCCTTATGTGCAGCAATCGATGCATACCTAGTAGTACCTATAAATGATGCATTGTCTCTGAAGGGTCTAAACTCATAACACTAAAGAAATTACAATATATTTCCTTGAGCATCTCTGAATATTTTGCTGATCCCAAAATCGACAACGTATATTTTAGATGATTCATCGTCAACTCCGAATAAAATGTTTTCTGGTTTCAAATCTCTATGTACAACACCTTTATTATGTATCCTCTCCAAAACATGCACAATTTGAATGCCCAACTATATCGTGGTTTTAAAAGAGAACTTCTTCTTGGTCTTCATGAAATAGGAGAGATCCTTCCCCAACAACTGCAGAATGATTACATTGTATTCATCCTATTGTCCATGCCACCATAATTTAGGTATCCCGTCAGTTCCTTGCAATCGTTCCAAGACTTAAACTTCCCTCTCTAATGAACGCACATCCTCATTCTCTTCTTTTTCTATTTTGATCGCCACATCAACATTTCTCTCTTTATCATGTCCCAGAAGCACCACTCCAAATGACCCAGAAGATATCTTTCTTTATACTACATATATTCCATTAAATATTGATGCAGTTTGCATAGTATTTTATTGATAATTAATTATTTTATAAATACCCATTATATTATTTACGATTTAACTACTGGAATGTCAGAAATAGTCCCTCATGTTTACTTGTCCTCAATTGTCTATGCCAAAGATTTATATTGGCTTAAAAAGCAAAAGATTTCAAATATTCTCATTATTGGATAATTGCAAAAATACTTCCCATTAAAGTTTTAATACAAATGCATCCTCATTGAAGACAAACCAGAGAATGATATCTCACAATATTTTGAAGAGTGCATACAGTACATCGATCAAGTTGTTGCGTAAAACAAAAATATTTTAGTTCATTGTTATGGTGGTTAAAGCAGATCGGTTAGCATTATTATAGCCTATGTTATGAGAAAATTATCTATTGATGCAGAAAAGGCTTTCAATTATGTCAAAGAAAGACACCCAAGAGCAGAACCTAACCATGGGTTCTTGAATTAACTCAAAACTTTTAAATGATAATTCTTCATATTAATAATACTCCATATGGATAGATTTTCATTTTGGGAAATCCTGCTTTAAAATTTACAGGATTTAATCGAAATTTCTAATTTTAATACACTCATATACTTAAGAATTTAATTTTAAGATCCAATAAGAGCACGATTTTATTTTAAGTATGTTGATAAAATCTACTCCTTTAGTCTCTCTAATTCTGGAATGAATTAATTATCCTATTGATTTTCTTCAGGAACAATTATACTATTCTTTTTGACTATTTTTGAAGTGTACAACACATTTTTATTATTATTTGGTCCACTCTATTGATTATTGAGTTTTTTTTGATCAATTAATGATATTTTCATTGGATTCTGCAATGACTGCCCTTTAAACACAAGAGGTGATGATTTAGCTTAAATTCCAGGGTTTGTCTTTGTAGTCTATGGTCGTTAAATATTTTGATTCTGTGACTTCTTTCCCCCATTGTCTTTCCTCATTTCTTGGGTTTCTTCATTAACAGATTTAATACATTACTCTTTATAACTCTTGTTAGGAGCAATCAAATGAACAGGAGTTTTAGCATGCTTATCTTTATTGTTTTAAATAAGAGGTTAATTCTCTCTTTCTTCTGTAAACAATACATCCTCTTCTATAATGATGTGTGGCTTGATAGATTCCTTGTTTATATCATCCAATTAAGCAATTTAACACACATCAGTAACTAACTTACCAGGTATAACTACATTGGAACTTGAATGCAAAGATTATGAATTTTTTTGATGGGTCCAAGTTGCAATCAAATTTTCAACCTTTTAGTTCTATGAACTTAAATTCAACTATTAGAATGATCTTTACTCCTTACTTGTTTTTCACCAGAATATGATTGCACATTGTTTTTGTGTCTTGAATTGTCTATTGAAAATTTCAATGATCTCTAATAGGTTTGTGATCTTTCATTTGAAGGGTTTCGAGAACGAAAAGACTACTAACCAAAAATGGATGCTTTCAGTGTTTCTAATTCCTAGAGTTATGTTGATTGGCGCTAGGATAATAATAACATTTATTGTGGCTATAAAATTAAATTATAAAATTGCAAATTATTTTATCCAAAGATTTGGACATCAATCCTTAGTGTTAGATAAGTGTAGAAGTGATAATACAATTATTAATTTGAAAGTAATGTTATTACAAGATTATTTAAATTATTTTATATTTAAGTTGTACCTTCTTAATGGATTTACCTCCACTCTCTGAATTAGAGTTGTAAAATATTTATGCATGGGTAAATTCTGAAATTTAATTTACAGTTAGACAAACTCCCACTCTCAAGGGCTAAGAAGAATATTCAAAGAGATTTTGCAGACGGAGCTATGGTAGCTGAAATTGTATACCATTACTTGCCCAAATTAGTGGAGAAGCATAATTACCCTCAAGCTCATAGTGTTTAATAAAAGTAATACAATTGGAGCACTCTCAATTTGAAAGTACTTATAAATACAATTTGTTAGGTTTTCAAAAAACTTGGATTTCAGTTATCTAAAAATGATATTGATAGTGTTATTGCTTGTTCGCCAGAAGCTATTGAACGAGTTTTGAAGTTTTTGTAAATCAAGATTGAGAAATATTTGGAACAATAAAAGGAATTGGAGAAAAAGGCACTTGAATAATAAAAGCAATAGTAATATTAATAGCAACAAAAATAGTAGGTGTAGGAGGATCCCCTACAAAACCAAGATTTTGGACTCATCTTGGCTGAAAAGAATCAAGCAATTACAGAGTTGAAAGAAACTGTCGAAATTTTATAACTGAAAGTAAAAAAACTTGAGTAGCTCTTACAAATTAAAGATAATAAAATTTAAGGGTTAGTGAATCAATTGCAAGGTAAACAATGAATTCTTATTATTTTCAATTCTTTACAACATAATGTATTTTAATTCATTGCAATTGCAAGTGTATTATAGTTTATATATATTATAAAATAGAAATATATGTCAAGTCAAAATGAAGAAGAAAGCGATGTCCAAGATGTTGATATCATCAGTAAGTACACGAGTGATTACAACGGCGAGCAATCGAGTCAACAACCCTATTAGGAATCACATGAATATGAAAGAGTTGCTGATGATATTAAATCAGATTACATCTCACATCAGGAATCCTTCTTTGTTAAATAGCCTCCCCTTTAGAATAACAATAATAACAATGCGGAAAACGAAGAAATTGTTAAATCATGCATGAAGAAGGCCTCTGCAATCAACGAATAAATCATGATCCAAAGGAAATAGCTCAAAGATCAATTCAAGGAGTTTTAGAATGTATTCGAATTTACAATGACTTTAGACCATAAACGCTGCAAGAAGCAACCTTAAAGATTATGATATGCCTTATCAGACGGCTCATTTTCCTTTGTATTTAAAGACTTAAGAAAAATTTGTGGTGTTGCCTGCTTAAAATCTAAATATTAGGAAAGGGACGGTTGAATCCTTCATCAAGACCAATTTGGAAAATGAGAATTCAGTTAAGAAAGCAGAGCAAGACAAAAGAGTGGCATTTAAGCAACGAAGACCGTACCAGAGAAGAAAATTCGATTCTTGATTATAATGAGACATCATTTAATCGTATTTAGTCATTTCACTAGAACTTTTATTTGCTAATTACAATCAATTATTTATTGTTTCTTCATGATTGAATAGAAGTTTTATGATATTCTTGACTTTTTGTTTAAGTTGGTGTTAATCATCTTTTAAATCCATTGTTGCTTTTCTTAATTACTTAACTTTGAAAGGTCTACCCTTTTTATTGTATTAAATTTATTCATATATCTTGCAAATCTTGCTCTTATTGTTTTAATTTCCGTTTATTAAATTTTCAATATTTAGAATCTTTTACTGAAGAGTTAAAAATTGATTGCCCACTGGTTTATTGTTAATTAGCTTAAAGATTTCTCGGTTGATGTTATTCCCCACCCGCAAAGTATGTTATCTAATCTCCATGGTTAGTCTATGAATAGGCGCGAAAATTTGCACTATTACTATAAACTCAAGTAGCATAAGAAAAACTGAGAAAGAAAATTGAGAAACTACCATCCTCATAAAGATCGTACTTAATTCTTAATTTTTTTCATCCAATCTCCCCTACATCTCGATCGTAGTAGTAATGTTAGAGTATCTCAAAATTATATATTACAAATACATGATGAGAGTATATTCTTGATTTGGAAGTTAATAAGTAATTAGGTATACAGATTGATTTGATAGCTTATGGTAGAAGATTTGGGGTGTTTAATTGTTATTTAACGAATTTTCTTAGATTTTTAGCCAATCAGTTTTGTTAAAACCTGTGATGCTCTAATTATATAAGTAGATTGACTAGGTGTCATTAAAATAGTTATCTTAATTAGTGTATAACACAACACCTGTATTATCTAATAGTAATACATTATAGGGGATCTGTGGAATCATATATGAGTCGAATCTCAATTGTGTTTTAGAAACTGCAATAAGTTCCTTCGCTTTCGATTTAATTGAATAACATATTGACACCTCCAAGGTTTAACTAAGAAAATGGTTAAAGGGGGGAGTGTAAGTAATGTTCAGATCTGGGTTCTTCGCAGAGGCTTAAACGTGATTCTGATACCTAAATGTGATATGTCTATTACCAAGGTCGCTTTAGTACATTATAAGATTTCATTAGGTAGCTAACAGGATATGCTGCCATATACTAAATGTTCGAAATAGCTCCAATGTGAAAGTATTCCTTCAATTTCACTATATCTAATCCAAAAATCATAGAGTATCCGCTCAATAAAGTTAAAGTGGAATGGAGTGATTGAACTGAAGTGTCATTTTGAGGCAGAGTAATTGAATCACTTAATCCATTGGCTTGATAGCAAAAGGATTCATAATTGATGAAATAGTCATCGCCTTTTAAATAAGCAAGTGGAACACACGCAGGCAGAGGAGATTTCAGTTCTATTGTAATGTTGTTGTAATCAAAATAATAGTAAGATTTTGAAATAGATGCCAATTGGTTTATTACTTAATAAGAACAATAATATTACTTTTCTAATGTTATAAAGCCACTCTTCTCATCAACATCTTTCCAATAATTATAAGTTGAGTTTTATCCTATTACACTTGCAATAGTTCAGTTGATTGAGCTGATATATAAGAAAATATTTCTGATTAAGCATAAAATGCTGAAATTGGCAATGAAATGACAATGGTTAGAAATATGATGTTTGCTAATATGATTTAGTTTCTCATTTTTAGGCTCCTTATTTTTCTAATGAGATTCTGAAACATATTATAAGTAAGATAATTTTATATGATTTATGTAAATTAAATATTTGTCATAAAATCGAATAGAAACCAGAATTCATTTCAAAAAAACATCAAAAAATCAAAATAAGACTTTGTTCTATATAGCAGTTATTAATTCCAAACTTTTACTTTGCCTACATTAATTACATTTGAGAATATGGAAGAAACCAGTTTTAGTTGCTAACAATATTTTTGTTATTGCTATTATAAGGATTTTGAAACCTATTGTAAATAATCCTTTATTCTTTTCTTTATAAGCTAAGCTTTGTTTGACAACTGAAATTAGCATGATTTATAGCCATTACAAAAATATTCCAAATAATAGATCTTGAGGGCAATGTATATATTTAGTGAAAATTTAAAGATATTTAAACAATTGAGAAATAATTAAAGATCGATTATTCATATATTTAAACTCAATTTTATAGTTAAATCTTCTCATGATAGAACACAATATATGATTAAGACAAAGAAACTTGTTCAATGAAGAGAGGTCCTTTGTAGTGATTATTCAAGAATAATTTCATAATTTAGAACTTAGAAATAAAATCAAAGTCAGAAAACAATATTGAAAAAGAGATAAAGAAAAGTAAGAATTGATGTTGAAGGACCTGAACTTTTGGAAAGGATTTCAACTTAATTAACCAGCTATTTAAAATAGAACAAGGATTATAATAAAAGCACTTAAATGATTATTATAAATACTTAAAAACCTTAAGGAGGAGAAAATAACATAGGACTTGGAAGATTTAGAAGAACACAAACACTAAAATTTGTGATAATTATGAAAAATATAAAAACAAGTCGTCATCTAAATATAGAATAAAAAGTTCAGAATCTTCATAAAATGTTGATAATCTTAACTTTTTTTAGAGAAAGAATTATGATGTTATGGACGATTTTGTTTTAGATGCCAATTGATCCAAAACTAAGTAGCTTTGATAAAAAATGAAGTATTAATTAAATATTTTATAAATAGTTAAGTGTAATTAGAGAGTTTCAATTGATGATGTTTAGAGGATTGATGTTTGAAGTTATATCTGAGGATCTTGAATATTTAAATACAATCTTAATAGTAAGATCAATATCTTTCTTGAGATATCATAATAATATTTTATTTAAATTAGTGTGTATATTTAATAATATTTATAAAATGGGAGTTTGTATAAGTAAAATTCCATAACCTCAGCCTGAGATCAATATGGATCCCATGCCTACAGTGTAACCTCCAAAAGGAAATTACTCGATGAGTAGTTTGCCTGCGGAAGTAAGTTTATGCAACTAAATCATTAAGCCAAGAAGGGGGGACAAGAAACGTTAAGCAAAAATAGAAGTGATGGAAGAGCAGATTCACGAGAATGTGGTTAAGTAGGCAAAGGAGAAATCACCTTTTGATTTTTAAATGATTCTGAATGCCTTTGGAGACCACTTTATGTTTGCCCAGCTCGACAATGATGACAAGTAAATAAAAGTATTAAAGGTAGGGCTAAACTAATTGATGAGATGTATTATGTTACAGCTAAAAATGCAGAATTCATATTTAAACAGGGGGATAAAGCAACATTATTTTTTATAATTGGTAGATTTCATCATTAATAAGTAAGAAAGGGGGGATTGTAAAATTATCATAAATGATGAGGTTAAGAGAGTATTGAAAACTCCTGCGTATTTTGGAGAATTGGCCTTAATGTACCATGCCCCAAGATCTGCGTCAGTATAGGCAATAGGTGATTGTGGATTTTGGGTGTTGGAGAGAAAGAAATTCAGAAAGGCAGTTGAGGATATCCAATAAAAAGCATACGAAACAAATAGAAAATTCCTGGATTAAGTTAAATTTTTTGGTATTGTGTTGTTTATTGAGTGTTTAGATTTTATGACTGAGGAACAGAGAGACAGTATAGCAAATGTGTTGATAACATTAAAATTTAAGTAGGGAGAGATAATTGTAAATGAAGGAGACATGGCAAATTCATTCTACATCATACAGAAGGGAATAGTTTAGGTCACAAAGTAGGGATAGTTCTTGAGATACATGAATTAGGGGGATTCCTTTGGAGAATAAGCCCTTTTTGGTAATTGTGTAAGAGGAGCAACTGTGAAAGCCAATGATGAGGATGTTAATTTGTTATCGTTGAGTAGAGAGGATATTACAACTATTCTGGGAGAGAAGATTCAGGTACCATAATTGCATTTATTTAGTTGCATAGTTAATCATTTATACAAATATGCAGAAATGGGCATTTGAAAAACACCCTTAATTAAGGGATCTGACAAAGATGTAAATTTAAAAGATAGTGTCAAACTTTAAAATTAAGACTTATGAAAGTAAAGAGTACTTATTCTCAAAAAATTAAATGATTGATAAACTCATTATTATTCTTGATGGTTAATTAGAGTTTAATGGACAACTATTTAACAATGGTCAATTATTTGGAGACACATTTCTCTAAGTTGAGGAATCTAAAAGGAAAATTAGTTCGGATATAGTAACTACTCGTAAAACCACATTGTCTGTGCTCCCTTTTAAACAGTTCTTTGAGTGTATTGGAGGAGAATTGGAAACTGTTGTAAAGAAGAATAAGGACAGAGCGGGATCTTCAAGTTTGTTAGAGAAACGATAAAAAAGCAATTATTCTCTGCTTACTTTAGAGGACTTCATTGGATTGCAGCTTTTAGGAGAAGGCACCTTTGGAAATGCTTACTTGGTTAAAGATATCCCTCAATAAAATCTGCATGTCATGAAGTGTGTTCCAAAAGTAAATATAATAGCAAATAATACTGAAAGACACATAAAGAACGAGAAACAGGCTCTAGATTTGTTGAATCATCCAAGTTTGGTCTGTTTTCATAGATCCTTCAAGGATCAAAATTATATATACTTATTGACTGAATATGTCAAGGGAAAGGAACTATTTCATGTGATCAGAGATCTTGGACTATTGAATTCATATGAAACTCAATTCTACATCGCTTAGATGATTAATATTTTAGAGAAACTCCACTCTTATCACATCATCTACAGGGATGTAAAACCTGAGAACTTCATAGTCATGGAAGATGGGTATTTAAAGTTGATTGATATGGGTACTGCCAAAGTGTTAAAATCTAGAGCTTCTAAGACTTACACTATCGTTGGCACACCTCATTACATGTCTCCTGAAATTTTGAAGGGCAAAGGATACACCTTCTCCACTGATTTGTGGTCTTTGGGAATCTGCTTTTTCGAATTGATGTGTGGAGAAGTTCCCTTTGCTGGCAATGAAGATGATGACCCGTATTTATCAGTTTATATTTAGATACATAATCTAAGAAGCCATTCTGAATGGGAGAGTAGAGTACCCTTAATTTTTGAAGGACTTCAAGGCCATTAAATTGATGGATCAATTGATGAATAGGACACCTGAGTTGAGATTGGGGGGATCGTATGATGCTCTCAAAGTTCATTCTTGGTTTGATGGATTTTAGTGGGTAAACTATTGGTCCTATAATTTTTAAGGAAGACTTAGAAATGATGGGAATTAAACCTCCACACATTCCTAAGCTCTAGTAATCCAAGTTTGAGGAAATACCCTTTCTAGAGATGATTACAAGGGATACAAGTCCTGATATGATTTGCACCGTCGCTGTCGATTGGGACTCAGAATTTTGAAAATATCTGCTCATTTATAATGATGATTCTTTTCTGATAATAAAACATATAATTCACATCCATTCTACTGTATGTTCTCTTTCTTATAAAAGATTATATCCAAATTTAAGGGAAGATTTTTATTATAAATCTGTGTTTATTATGGATTGAGAAAAATCTAAGAAATTCCTCAATGTAATTTAAATAAGAATTTGAATAAATGCAAATATTATTGTATAATAAAATATAAATTCATTAGTAACAAACTCAGATTATTAAAGAATTTCTAGATGGAAAAAATTAAATAATTTAATTTCTTATGATTAACACCACAAATCCTTACGTACTATAAAGACACTTAATATTAGGAAAAAATCCCAGTTAAAGTGTTCAATAACTAAAGATGCGCTTCAGTGTGGATAGCTGGAGAGATAGCACAAATTATCAAGTAGAAATAGGCTTAGCAGCTCCCGTGTGTTTTGGGTTTAGCTACTGGATCAACTCCAATATAGGTCTACAAGGAGCTAGTTAGATTGCATAAGGAGGAGGGACTATCATTTTAGAACGTGATAACATTCAATTTGGATGAATATTTCCCAATTCCTAAGGTAGCTGTGGTGTATATATGTAATTGTAGGAATCTCTCCATTCATATTACCATTTCATGCACGAAAATCTCTTCAATCATGTGGACATTCAGAAGGAGAACATCCACATTCCAGACGGAACCTTAATTAGGGAGTAGATTGAGGACTTTTGTTAATACTACGAAAATTTGATATTGGAGAAGGGGGGATTGGACTTTTAGCTGTTGGGCATTGGAAGCACTGGTAAATGTTTTGACAATAAATTTAGGACATATTGGATTTAATGAGCCAGGATCTTCGGTGAATAGCAAAACTAGATTGATCACTTTGGATAGGAAAACAAGAGCAGATGCTTCGTCTTCATTTTATGGGATTGAAAATGTTCCCAAATACGCAATAACAATGGGCATTGGAACAATTTTATAAGCAAAGAAGATTATCATAGCTGCATTCACAGAGGGAAAACAAAAGATAGCATCTACTGTGATTGAAGGTTAACTTTCATCATAGTATCCTGCAACATTCTTGTAGAATCACAAGAACGCATTGTTTGTTTTGGAGAGAGCATCAGCTTAAGGATTGACCAGATATCAAGCTCCTTGGTTGTTGGAGGCTTAAGGGTTGAAGGGTGAATTGTAAATAAAGTACGATTTGAGTACAGCAAAGAAGGGAGTGATATGGTTGAGTTAGAAAGTGGGAAAGCCAATATTGAGATTGTAGTAGGAGGATTACGAGGACAATGGATTGTTGGAGTTGATCACCTAGGTTGGATAAGGAAATTGCGGAATAGTGAATTTGACAGTGTTTAAGGAGTTGTCATAGATGTACGCAGATTAATATAATATGTAGAATTACTGGATGGCCAGCAGGAGGAAGACCTGACAAATTGCCAGAGTCATACTTTACTTAGAAGAAGGCAATCAGTAAATAGAAGATAATAATATTTTCACCACATCCAGATGATGATGTAATTTGTATGGGTGGAACAATGAAGAAACTAACTAATTAAGGTCATGAGGTCCATGTAGTATATATGGTGAGTGGGAATTTGGCAGTGTTTGATTTTGATGCTCTGAGATTTGCGGATGTTTTGAAGGAGACCTCCAAAATGATTGGTGGGAGTGGGGAAGAATTCTATGAGAAGGTGAAGAAGTAGATAAAGGATAAGAAACCTGGAGAAGTAGATGGTCCAGATCTGGCCTATGTTAAGACGATAATCAGAAGAACTGAAGCGAGAAGTGCTGCATTGTGCACAGGAGTGGAGGAATAGAATATTCATTTCTTGGATTTGCCATTTTATGAGACTGGTAAGTCATAGAAGAAACCCCTTGGTGAGGAAGATAAGAAGATAGTGAAGGATATAATATTGAAGATTCAACCAGAGTATATTTATGCCGCTGGAGATTTGACTGATCCACATGGAACTCATAGAGTGTGTTTGGAATCTATCTTGGCAGTGTTGCCATAAGTAAAGGAACAATTACCTAATTTGACTACTCTCTTGTATAGAGGTGCTTGGTAGGAGTGGGAATTGGATAAGGTAACGATGGCAGTACCATTGTCACCTGATGAGTTGTACGAGAAGAGGATTGCAATATTCAAACATCAGAGTCAAAAGGATAGGCCAATGTTCCCAGGGTCTGATAGTAGAGAATTCTGGTAACGATCGGAGGCTAGAAATAAGGAGACTGCAAGGTAATAGTTGAAATTAAGGTAGATTGTTCACAAACTTGGGATTCGTTAATTATGAGGCATTGGAATGCTTTGTTTCTTTGGATGTGTTGCTTGTGTTGGGAGAGTTGTGAGAGAGTAATTTCTATTAAAAATATTAATTTAATCATGATTTTCCGAATGTTTAACTTTATGAATTCGCGGATGGATGAATTCATCGAGGAGAAGAAGGACATCAAATTAATATTGGATGAATCGTTGCTGTTGTAAGATCTCTTGATGCCCTAATAACAATACAAATTGCTTAATTAGTAATCATGGGCATGATTCATAGCGTCAAAGATCACCCTGAGCATCTGGACACCCTCATCGAGTATATCACCGATTTCGTAGATGAGGCTAACTATCACAGATAATCATATAAGTATGCCTCTGTTCAACAACAAACTAGATATCCTTTTTTGGCAAGCGAGATCCTGAGCAAGGAGAATGATTTCTTTTAGGATTTCCTATTCGAAGAACAAAACCTCCATTATTTGAATAGACTGTTTTCGCTTCTGAATGAGGATATCCTCAACGTCACATAAGCAGGTTACTTCTCTAAAGTCGTCCTCACTTTACTAAAGAAGAAGCATTTCAAAGTATCACATTCAATATCGAACACTAGATGTTGCAATACTTGAATGACAGAGATATCTCCAATCTTCTTAAACATCTAGACGTACCACATGTTGCTGAAATTATTGAAAAAGTTATCACTCCTGATCCCAATGACGAAAATCAACTGCTGGATAAGCAGAAATCCATCTTGCAGAGGATTATGAAGATCTCCTTGAATCGTTATTATGAAATTGAAGTACCTATCCCAATTCTACACCTAGGTTTTCGATAATTGCATGCTGATAATCAACAATCTCTTAAAGAGTTCAATCAATCCAGAGCAGGAAGAGTTAGTCAAAATTCTAATGAACCCCTATTTCTTTCTCACTATCTGCGTAAACAATTATTGCTCATATTGATAGTATTAAAGTCAGAGAACTTCAGCCTATGAATTAGTATCCAATCTATTGTAATATATTAATAATTCAGGTAAAACAGACTACTTTCTCTACTTTATGGATGTTGCTAAGCATCTCCCAAATGCATTCACCACTACTAACATCTAAGCTTTTCCTCATCAAACCACCTATGGTTAAATTATCACTCCTTTGTCCTCCAACAAACTCACCTTACTCCAAATATACCATTTACTACTGCTGAGTGAGAAGGAGGAGATATTGAATGAACTGATCAATAACCAATCATTCTAAGTTATTACTAATCTAATATTGTCACATGAATTCAACAATCAGGCTCTCATTTGGTTTGATAAGATAGTCGTCTTCATTTTTTAGAAACTTCCAGAGATGTTCAAATCCATCCAGCAATTCTTAGCATTAACCATTCTTAAATACAACAAAAATGAAAAAAAACAAGTTGGATCTCTTCAAAACCATATCAAACCTGGATATTAAGGGATATTAACTAAAATATCTAATTTATTAGTAGACAGTCATTTCACAAATGAGGAGTGGGAACAGTATGTTAATGACACTCTCAATAAAATTAATTCAGTAGAAAAACGATTACTATGTGACTTCGATCCAAAACCAAGATCGATATTTTAGTCCATCCAAGATTCAACTACAATTTAGCCTCAAAAAGAAAATGACAATAAAGAAGAAGACATTGAAGTAGAAGAAGACATCCATGAGGAAGATAATAATAAAGAAAATGAGAATGAAGAGTATAATTTGGAATTGGATGACGATGAAGAACTGGATTATGAGATAGCGAATCTTTAAGAGGAGAAATTTTATGATTGCAATGAGGAGGGACGATTATAATAATTGTAAGAAATGCAGTAAATTCAATAAGAAGAACCCAAAGTAGAATCAATGTACGTTTATCTATTTAGTTCTTAGACATAAAGCAAGCTCGGAGGAATTAGAGTTGATTGATGAACAAATTGAAGAAATAATTTCGGATCCTCAAACTAAACCAGAACAGGGTATTCATGATTCTATGAATTAGTTGCATAAATCATCTAGAATGAAGCAAATCTCATCGAGGACATCGGTCCATTAGAGTTAGAAAACAAACAAGATCATCAGGTCAATGAATATTATAAAAAACATGATGATCCCAAGAATGAAGAATGATATAAAAATAGATATATATTTAAGCATTTTAGCTTAAAAAAAATATAATAAAAAATAACAAAAAAGTATGAATCAAGATGTATTTTTGAAGAAATAATGGTTCATCATGAGCCACGAAGGCAAGATTGAATAATATTATGATATCAATCTTAAAAAGGTCATTGGATCTGGTACCTATGGGAGTGTTGTCAAGGCCACACTCAAGGGGACTAAAAATCAGAGGGCTGTCAAAGTCATTCCGAAAAGCAAAGTTAAGAACCCTGACCGATTCAAAAAAGAAATAGATATTCTGAGATAATTGGATCATCCAAATATCATCAAACTATACGAAACCTTCGAAGATCAAAGAAACGTCTATCTCGTTATGGAGTATCAATATCATTAAAGTATTCAAGACTTTGCGAAGGTGGAGAGCTCTTCGATCGAATTATGGATAAGGGATGTTTTAGCGAAGCAGAAGCACATGAAATCTTTCTTCAAATTATGCAAGTATATCCTTATACAATAATTAATTAGGCATTAAACTATTGTCATACTAATGGTATTTGTCATAGAGATTTGAAACCTGAAAACTTCTTATTCCTAACTAAAGCTGAAGATTCTCCAATCAAAGTAATTGATTTTGGATTGAGCACCTTATTTGAAGATCCAATCTCAGCCAAACAAGCAGGAAATCAAAAGGTCACTATGAAAACAAAAGCTGGAACACCATACTATATTTCTCCTGAAGTGCTCAAAGGAAGTTACGATGAATCCTGCGACATCTGGAGTGCTGGTGTCATCCTATACATCCTCTTATCAGGAGTGCCCCCCTTTTATGGAGATAGTGATCCTGAAATATTGGATGCTGTTCAGAAGGGAGAATATACATTGGAAATCCCAGAGATGAAGGCTGTAACTGAGTCAGCCAAAGATCTCATCTCTCATATGATTACCACTCCTGAAAAGAGATACAAAGCATCATAGGTGATACAACATAAGTGGATGAAGGATGGCAGTAAACAAACTAAATGTACAAATCATAAATCTCTATTCTAGAATTGAAATTAAATTTTGGTTAACTAAAGAATTTTACAGGCAGCAATAAACTGAAGAAGGTGGCATTGACATTCATAGCTTCTCAATTGAATGAACAAGAAATCACAGATCTAGGAAAGTAATCATTAAGATTAACATAAGGTTATTCAAATAATTGGATAAGAATGGGGATGGAGTTTTGACTATAGAGGAGTTGAGAGAAGGGTTGACAGGAATGAGTGATTCATAAGCAAAAGATTTGGCAAATGTCATCAAGAGCATTGATACCGATGGAAATGGCACGATCAATTATACAGGTAGGGATTCAAATATATTTCAGAATTCTTGGCTGCAACTATGGAAAAGTCTCTGTACATGAAGGAAGAAAAGTTGTATCAAGCATTCAAGATGTTGGATTTGGATGGAAGTGGAAAGATTGACAAACATGAATTGCAAACTGTATTGGGAAGTAAATAAAGTATTATTCTTTTAAGAAAGTGACAATATCATTGATGAGAAGTATTGGGATGATATGATCAGAGAGGCAGATAAGAATGGAGATGGAGAAATAGATTACAATGAATTCATAGAAATGATGGATAAATTTAGTTTATTAAATTGATTAATCTATAGAATGACAGAGTTACTCAATTGTATAATTTCTTATAACATATTATTATAAATGGAGGAACCCAACAAACCATACGATGAATTATATAAAAGTAAGTGATACTTCTCAAATCATAGTAATTTTAGTGGGAGACTCAAGTGTTGGTAAGACAAGCTATCTGATTCGGTACTAAATCTAATCCAATTTAGATTAACCAAAAATGTAATCAAGAAACAATCCCAACCAACAATCGGAGTAGAATATGCAGCTCAATCCATTCTACTACCAGAGGAAGGTAAAATAGTGAAATCTGTAATTTGGGATACCGCAGGAGCTGAAAAGTATAAAGCCATAACTACAGCACATTATCGAAAATCAGAAGGAGCACTATTGTTTTACGATTTAAGTGATAAGAATTCATTTGAAAATGTGCTGAGTTGGCGTCAAGAGGTATTGATCTAAATTTCGATAGAGATTATTTAATACACAGAAGACAGCATTGTTATTATGTTAGTTGGCAACAAATTGGATTTGATTCAGGAGAACCCCTCAAATCGATGTGTGTCTGTCAATGAAGTCTAATAAGTGTGTTCTAAATACAACATGATTTACTATGAGACATCAGCTAAGGAAGGAACCAATGTTAAGGAATCCTTTGAACAGTTGATTAGAAGTTACAATTCATATTCATACTAGAAATTTATGAACACAAACAGCAATGTATCGAGGAAGTGAAGTCTTCAAACCATTAAGATTATCCTAGTTCCGAACACAAAAGTTCCTATTAACCGTTAGTATAATCGAATTTCGAATAAAGCATTCAGATAAAAAAGCAATCTGACACTTGCTGTGGTACTTAATGATCGAACTACACATAGTTAATGATTTTATATAAACCATTCAAGAACTAATACTAAAATAAGAATTTTTTATAAAAATGTCTAATTTTAGAGTCTATTTACGAAAAAGTAAAGGACTTTAATGATGTATTATCAACTCTTTGATGAAAAATTTAATCATCATGATTAAATTAATTGTATTCAAATATGAATGATATTTACTCTTTTCCTGTGGAGGAACAACTTAATTACATCTAAGGTAAGATCACCGTATTTTTAGAATGAGGACAACCATACAAATGCGAGTTTTTTCATCCTGGTTTTACTTGTGAATCCCAACTGCTTCATATGTAAATTACTTATTATAATGAGGTTTCCACTCTTATTTTCTAAGAACGCTAAAGTCTATCTTCCAGTTCATTTGTTGCCGTTCTTGATATATAAGCGAAAAGCTTTTTTAAAAAAGTATGATTGCATTTCTTAAAATTTAAGTCCAATTAGTACAACAGCAAGATCATTGCTATCCTACATTAAGAGTGTGTTGTTTTTGACTTTAATGGTTTAATCATTGAGATACAATTGGTGCAAGCAGGTAAGATTTCGAAATGTTGTTGACCCATTGATTCCTATCACAGGAGGTTTTTTAGGAGCTTTGTCCTTATTTTTAGAATCGAAAACTAGGTATAATTGTCTAATGAAGTTTGAAGAGTTTAGGAAATCATGTTGAGTATTGTGCCTCGTTTTTTTGAAACTCTCCTGAACCTCATGAAGAGGAAGGGGTATATGATAGATATTCCAAAGGGAGATGTTTTGGTCTTTGCAGTGGTATTGGCAATAATTCATTACTATTATTAACACGATGTAAAAATAAATGATAAATTTGAATAGCAAAAAGCTTTGAAGTCAACATACAGAGGAGTGTTTGCTAAATTTTGGGGGAAGAATTGATTGTAATTTAATAAAAATATTCTGAGTGTGATGTTTAAAAAAGTAAAATTAAATTAAATCTTTAATTCATGTCTATAAAATTACATTCACCATCTGGTTAAACAAGAACAAATAAAATATTAGTGGCAGCTAAGTTGGCAAATCTCTAATTGGAATTGGTTGATACATAATTGAATGACAAGAACATCTTAAACTAATTCCCATTTGGAAAAGTCCCAGTCTTGGAAACAAAAGAAGGCAATCTTTTTGAAAGCAACGCCATCCTTAGATACATTGCAAGACACTCATAAGGATTATACGGGTACATATATCATAATAATCGAACATAGAAAAACACCCTATTAATAGGGCTTAGTTGATTAATGGCTAGATGTAACAATCAATGAGTTAGAAACAGACGTCATAGCAGCAGCTATCTAAGTTTTGGGTCAAATTCCAGCTATTCCTTCCTAATTTAAGACCTCTTTGGCTTAAATTACCTACGCATTGACTGTTGTGGATACTCAATTAGGAAAAACTAAATTCATCTCTGGAGATTCATTGACAATCGCAGATATTGCCTTAGCATAAGTTGTCACATTTGCATTCACTCTTTTGTTCGGAGAGGCATAGAGAAGCAAATTCCAACATTTATTAAAATGGTTGAACGAAGTGAATTCACTTCCTGAATGGAGAGCAGTAATTGAATTTGTTAATATTATCTAAGTTTTTCGGTAGACCAAGATTCCCAAAGACTGCCTTTGCTTTAAATGAAGTAGCTGATGATAAGGACAAGAAGGAAAAGAAAGAGAAGAAATAAGAATAACCAAAATAAAAGGAGCAACAAGAACAACCTAAACAAAAGGAATAACCTAAATAGAAAGAACAACCTAAATAATAGCCAAAATAAGAAGAGGAGGATGATGCACCAAAAAAGAAAGAGGCAAACCCTCTTGATTTGTTACCACCTTCAACTTTCAACATTGATGATTACAAGAGAATCTTTTTTGCAGAAAAGGATATTTAAAAAAACATTGACACTCTCTTTGCCACAATTGATTTGAATGGATGGTCCTTGTGGTTAGTCAGATACAACAAGTCAGAAAATGAAGGAAAGCAATTGATTCTCACCAACAACTTAATGAAGGGCTTCATTAACTAAAGATTGGATCAAAATTTCAGAAAGTATGCCTTCGCCATTCACGGAGTTTATGGTGATGAACCAAATCTCCAATTGAGAGGAGCATGGCTCTGGAGAGGAACTGAAGTTCCAAAGGAATGGGTATATAACAATTAATATATAAAATTTAGAAAGATCACGTTGCTTATGATTATCACGAATTCATTAAGGTTGATGTTAACAATGCTGCTTAGAAACAATTATTCGTTGACTATTGGATTAAATAAGAGGAGGATGTTTCAGAGGTTGAAGGTTTAAAGGCCAGAAGTTTAATGTATTTCAGATGAGATATATATAAAATATAACAATAAATTGTAAATCAATCAGTTAATATGAGTTTAACAATTGACTCACGTATGCCAGGTAGGGTGTCTAAATTGTGATTGGAAAATGATTTAAGGATTCTTTCGATGTTTGTATGACATTATTGAACAGTATAAACTCCAAGGGAAGCCACCTTATAGTCAGTTTGTTATGGTTAATCAGTGGAATCTCCGCCTTCACTTAGTGTAATATCGAATTACTCTGAACCCAAGATGGAACTGTCTTCAGCCAAAGAGGAAATGATATCTACGGATGATCCATCCTCCTACAATTTCATTTTCTTTTGTTGTAGTAACTACGTTAATTCCACAAAGACTTACATATTAATATCTCTCCATACAACTCTAGGGGTTTTTCTCTTGAAATCTAGATGTGATTTGATTCCAAACTCCTTTATATATTTTAAAGGCTGCCCACAGCATTTTGTCATCCATAGCATTCCAAACATTCTAATATTAAGTTTAGGCCTACTTCTGAATCTACTCTCTTTTTTGTTGTTAAAGTAATGTCAATTAATATGGTTACTTTACCAGAGCCTATTGGAATTACTATAGATGCATTGATTCACTAGAGGATTCCTCGTTGTAATCAAAGTGGGGATTGTATCTACGAGGTATTTCCCTATGTTTTTTCTTGGCCTTCTTGACTTTGTGATTTTGATTGTCCATGTCTGAATAATCATCCAAAGCATCCAATCTCTCCAAAATTTCCTCTTTCTAAACCATCATAGAGATATCTTACATTTTTAAGGATCTTCCACCTGGCTTGACATTGTTTGGAGTCCTTGGTTGGAACTTCTTCTTGTATTTTACTCCATTGATTTCCGTATTTTTTTATGGCTTTGAGTAGTAATTCATCTTCGACTTCTTTCCATTTCTTTCTGGGAATTTGTTTGTTCATTTGAGTACCATTATTTTTTTAACAGAAATCCAAAAAATCATTTATCATTAATAATGTTCCATTTGGGACTGCAGATTTTGAATAATTTATTAGCAAATTTATCTAATGATTATTTTTTTGTATTATATATATATACAATATATTTGATATTATAATATGATCCAAAAGCCTTGTTTAGAGGACACATTAAAATAGAAATGGAGTGACAAATATGAAAAATCAAGAGATCTATTTCGATCCACTTTAAAATTCATCCACACCAAACCCATCTTACCATTCAAGGCCTACTTTAATTTACAATTAGTAATCCTCCTTCATTCAATTAGAGATTGAAAACAAAGTGCCCACTCAAATCAGAGATCCTGAAACAGAATTGATTGGAGAATTCAATGAAGATGACGTTAACTTTCTTAATGTGGAATAAAAAGAGATACTGTTTCGCGTAGATTTCTCTACAGGGGAAATAGTGGATGACGAAAACAATGTGAATGAAAATAACGACAACCCAATACTCGTTAACACAGCACCCATATGCTCATATCATTCAATTGTTGTCCCATTTTTGAATTCCAAATTTCAATAACTTCTAAGCGGATTCATAGCTGAAAGTGTGTTCATCCTTTTCAAGATATCCCAATCCCCGCATTTGAGAATAGGATATAACAGGTACACGATATCACTCATATATTTACATAGCAAATTAGCCAATTGTTCTATCAATCATTTGCATTTGCATCTTATTTATGTGGATCAACTTTTTGATAATAACCGATTCCCAGTTGAAGAATTCCCCATCAAACCTTTGGCCACCATCAAAAATGCAACACTTGGAGAAGTTGAAAATTATCCCTTAAGAACCCTCGTTGTAACTGGAGAAAACATAATTGAATTGTTATCTCTAACCATAGACACACTTTTGGCACATGAAATACCACACAATATCATGTTTGTTAGTCCATAATTGGCATACATTTTCCCCAGGGTACTATTGTTAATGTTCTAAGATAGAGAAATTAATTTGATTTCATTCATGAACACGGAATGAAACCAGCCTATGCCGAACTTAGTGGTTTGATGATTTGTAGAAGCAAAAAGTATTTCGAGGAATTGACACTTCAAGAAATTGAAGCCAAACTGTCAGAATTGACTCATCCTCTATTTGATAACGTAGTCTAAGACTTAATGATGTTATCAGCTGAATGATATTCATATAAAAAATAATATAAATATTATTCTAATTGACATTTTTTCCTTATTTTTATTAAATGATTTTAGTCCTCATTACGAATACTAATTCGTACAACTATTTTTCATACTATAAAGTGAGGGATTTTGTTTGTTTTCAAATGATCTAGAAACTATTGAGAATAGCAGAAAGGTTGTACAGCTTATGAAATTTAGATGCTATATGATGATTATTAAACATTTCAAGCAGAAAATGTAAACGTGATAGTTTAATTTCTTTGATTTTTTATCTAATATACAATAAAACTCAACGACTTAACATTATAAATATTTTAGTTTAAAAATACATTGGTTCTGTAATTTATTATTATTATCAAGAATGGACGTGTCTGAAAATATAGTATCGGTATTCTCATAGAGTGTTGATGAAAGAAGGCTTATCAGGCTAGATCAATAACCGCAGAGAAAAGGAAAAAAGATACAACTTAGTGAAACTTAGAAGTAAGAGAGCCAATCAAACAAGTTAATTTTGGATGCAACAGAAACTCTGTCTATAAAACAAAAGCACATTAAGAAGAGAAACAAAATCTATGAAAACAAGAAAATCAGAAAACCCTGGAGTGCTCAGGAAGATCATTAATTGCAATGTTCCATATCATTATACGGACCTAATTGGGTTCAAATTGCGGCTTCCATGGTCAATCGAAATCCTTCATAATGTGCTTAGAGATGGAAAAGAATCAAGCCAGAAGATGTAAATTTTATTAATTATGTTAAGTTAAAAAAAAGAAAACCCTTCACTAAAGAAGAGGATCAACTTATCTTGAAATTAGTCACTAAATACAGAAGAAATTGGAGCAGAATTGCTAAATTCCTTCCTGAAAAAACGAGTAAATAAATACGAGAAAGGTTTATTAATAAACTTAATCCACAAATAAAATTTGAACCTTTTACTGAAGAAGAAGATCACATCATCCTCAATGCTTATCAAGAAATAGGCTCAAAGTGGACCAAAATCTAAGACCTCTTGGTTGGTAGACCTGTAAATATTAATCTCTAATTCTTTAGGAAAATATGATCAAAAATCGTTTTTACTCCTATTTGAGGTAAAAATACTTGAAGATCAAGAATCCTTATTATGCAATTCCTTCAAACAAAGCCCTTAATGACAAGGATCAACAATCTAAAATTGATAATGTTTAACAAATCAAAGAAGAAAAGCAACTTACAGAGTCTCTACAATCTATGGAAAATTATAATGATATTCAAGAAATTTAACCTCAATTGCCAATTAACTCATATTTTTCAATTCCATGCCCTATGGTGCTTGGGAATTTCTTTTGTAATAAACTTCAATTTATCTGTAGATCCTTAATATTAGTTATATTAAGCTCCGGTAGCCGTGGTTTACAGTCCAATGCAGCAAGGACAATTAAATTAGTAACATGGTTTGAACACTCTATTTCAACAGCAGGCTTATTTGGGTCACTAAGTAACCAACTCATTAATGTTTTTGTCAAGTTCTTGATAGAAACATGATTTATTTTTTTATAAGGCTAGTAATAAAAATATTAAATTATCAACTATTGATCCTTCAATGATCCTTTCAACTAAATTACTTACATTTTATAAGTACTTAGAATTAATATGATTCATAAACATTAAAAAATATGCTATTGCTCAATTAATTCTTATTGAATTTGAGATGTTTCTAAAGGAAATGTTGTTATTTATTCTATTTGAGTTGAGGAGTCAATGATATTATTGTTCAAATTAATAATTATTTTCATATTTTCTCGGATTAGAGTGTTATTGAAGGAACAGATTAGCTCTAGTTTCAAACAAATTCATTTTTTGTCATTTAATTTAATTATTTTTACAAATTCTTTATCAAATCGTCTCTTTTAACTTCACTAAAAATGTATAAAATAATATTAAACCTCTCTAAAATATAAATCTAGTTTAATTAGATTTGTCTTATAGAATTGATAAAATTTTATATTCTATTATCAAAATTGTTAAAAATTTCTGATTTTTCTTAAGATTTTTAAGACGAATCTTTTTGCTTGAAAAAATTAATCAATATTTATTGATTCCCTTAAATAATTGAAATTTTGATGAATGGTATCTTTTAAATGATCAACAAAATGTTTCTAAACTGTGCATCTACTTTAGTTCTAAATTTGTTTTAATATTTATATTCACTGTATTTTATGAATATATAAATATAGTCATTGAATATAGTTATCATAATCAACATATTAATATTATCCTGTTTTACTACACATGTATAATAATTTCTGATCCAACTTGTTACTTTGATATTCAATGTCATCGCAATCTTATTGTAAGGAACCTATCTATTAATCAAACTGATTATTCTGCTCTCTTTAATCCTAAATATGATAAAATAGGGTCTTGAGGAATATTAATCAATGTTACAGATTTCAACTTATTGATATTGACTGTTAATTCATATTCAGTATTGAGAATGTCTCTTTATTGAGAGTGTTCCAGATTGTTTAGACTCAATCTCAAATCTTGGATGCCTTGACGAAGTCTATTTCTCGTTTCTTTGGTGGATTGAATAATTTCCTCTGTTTAAATTATACGATGATACTCTTATTATTCTTATATGGTCATTGGCACTCTAGGCCATCAAAATGAAGGCAATTGAATCTTCACATAGAGAATGAGGTTATCTTGCAGTAGTTGAATCTAAAATTGAGTCCATCAAACTCGATTCATGTATTCTAGATGTAATAGATCCCGAATGTTTCATTTTCTTATTCATTTTATTGAGATGAAATAAATATATATATAAAGATAATTATTATTGCAATTATTGCTTAGCTTGTTAATTTTACATATATATTATAATCAATGAGATAAGATGATTATTTTAGAGTACTAGAGAAGGAGAAGAAAAAAGAGGACTTAAAACGATAAGAATAACAGAGATTGGAGGAAGAACAAACAAGGAAATAAAAATAGGAAGAGAAATTGATCAGGGACAAGGAGCAAATTGATAGCGATTCTAAAGATAAGAACAAATCTGCAAGGGATGACAAAAGCATCAAAATAAAAATCGATGATGATAGAAGCATTAAAGTAAAACCATAAAGGAAAAAGATGAAAGATAATAAGGCAGATAAATATGATAAACAATTAGAGATTTTGAGACCAGAACAATTAATTGAGAATGAGATAGGCAAGCCTTATTATTTAGTGCCTGATGATACCTAATTAGAAATCAATGTAGCAATTTCTATTGATTTTAGAAAGAACTAATCAAGAGGGAGGATGATAAAGTTAGGAGATGGAAGGTTTTTATTAATGAAATAAGGTTGGAAAATTTACAAAAAGAGTAACTATCCATTTTTCTGAATATCAGAATAGGATAAATTGGGAAGAATGCTATTAAGTAAGCAGATGTATCAAGTGAAGAAGCCTTTTTTAAATCAGAAATCTGCAGGGATCTAAAAAGAAGTGAAGTCAAGGTAATTAAGGTGATGTTTGAAACAGAGATGCATCTCTCATATTAAATGCTAAAAGAACGTTATTTAGTCATAGAAGTGTGGGAATGCAGGCGATTTAGGTTGAATTTGTTTTTGGGTAAAATTCAAGTGCCTCTGATTAATATCGCGTCTGGAAATATAAAGAGACAAGATGATATCAAAACGGCTTTTGGAGAGAAAAGATAATTTGCTAGGATCTATTACAATGTCTTGTTTTAGGAGGTGTGGGATTACAAACTAACATTTGAAGCTTGGAAAGGATCAAACATTATAGCAGATCAAGGGAAAGAGCATGATCCTAAAATACAACTGACTTTGATGACTGATGAACTAATTTAACCATAAGTTGAATCAGAACAAATTAAGAAGACCAAGAATCCCAATTTTAGAAATCTCAAAGGATTTATGCAGTTTAGAGGAACCATGGAGGATTTGACTTAGTAAATGATGAAGGTAACATTATTCTTTGATTCCTATTTTAATAAAATTGAAAAATTGGTTTCATTACGAGGAATACAGGATACCAATTACTTGAAAGTGCAATTTAGATTAAAACTTAAAGTACCTCCACCAATAGTGAAAAAAACAAAGAAACCAAAGAAGAAAAATAAACAAAAAAAGAAGTGGGATGGGAATGATGATGACAAGGATTAAGGAGACGATGAAGATGGCTTAAGAGATGAAGCATACTTAGCAATTATTGAAGGAAGAGTAAACCTTAATAAGGTACCACGATATTCATAAAATGGAGAACTCAACACCTACATTCCATAATAATATTATCTAGTAGTTACAATAAATAGACTTAACAATATATTGAGTCCAGATGATAGAGGAGTTATAAACACATATTTGACTGTGGCCTGGAGAGATCAGGCTAAAACAACCAGAATGATCAAGAATGATCCAAATCCATCATATAATGAGGAATTATACTTTAGGATACCTATCCTTAGAAGGGAGAAGACCTTTGAAGATATAATCAATTAAAAAACAGACTAGGATTTACTCGTTGATGCTTTGCGTGAAGAATTGAAATCAAGACCAGATATTACTATATAGTTATGGTTAGATGGATAAGATATTTTGAGTGATGAATCTTTGGGATATTGCAGAGTGTTTCTATCAGAAATTCAAAAAGCAAGCAAATTCAAAAAGACTTTGTTGACTGATGACAATAGGAGATTTTAGTTTGAAACACGAGAAGCTACCTTTACTAAGAAATTTGAGAGTGGGTTATTTAATGTTAGTCATATTTAAATCACATTTTAAGCATTCTTTGCTCCTGATCTACCTGAAGAATTAAACTTAGATGAATTTTGTGAGGTTCCTGATGATATATATCCATATCAGATTTCAGATCAACTCTAAGTCTAAAAGAATCATGAAGAAAATGAGGAGTATAAAGCTTGGGAGAAACATGTGAGAGATAATTTCTCATAGTTTAGTTTGGATAACAACACAGCTTTTAACATATTTTTTAAGAGTATCTTTGTGAGAGATCAATTTAATTATAATCATTTGGTTTGTAAATATTTGGAGAAGTTTTACATTAAATTTTAAAGTGAAGAAGCTACAAATGAATTGTTTGCTAACCCTAAAGATATTAGGATTAAAAATTTACATGAAATGTGTCATTTTGTTAGAAATATACCATTTATCTCAGATTCTTTTTCAAAAAATGATGTCTGGAGATCACCTGATTTCTTATTGAAAATACGAAAAGGATTTATACATGATCATGCAATCTTGGGTGCTTGTTTATTTATGGGTTTTGAGAGAGAAGACAGAAAGAGAGAGTCTGAAAAGGATTCTCATAAATATATCCCATTTGAACATAGAGTTTTTGTTTGTTTGGGTACACTCAAGCCCAATTCCTAATTTCATGCTTGGCTTATGGTTTATTCACATGATCTATCTGGTGTCTCATTTTGGGATGTTCAAGAAGATTTTCATATGCATTTAGAGGGAAGAATTAGAAAAGACAAAAGAGCTGCCTTAAGAAAATTCTTGTATGCTGAAAGACCGGTAGCAAAGAAGGAGAGTGGATTTGGATTAGGTGCCTAAGGAAATTTAAGTAAGGATAAAAAGAAGCCAGTTTCAAGGGGGAAGCAATTAATGGAAATGAAGAATAAGGAATTTGAAAAAGCCTAATTAGAGTAAGCTTAGAAAAAATAGAAATAAAATGATATTCTAATTTAATAACAACAAGAGACAGACAAGAAGAGGAAGAAAACAAGAACTAATGCTATTTTCTAACCTGAAGATGATGGCAGAGGAGATTAGGATGAAGAAGCTATAGAACTAATTTAGTTAGAAAGGTTAAGTGGAAATATCAAACTTAAAAACACAAGATAAATGGGAGAAGTCAGATAATCAAAGGAAAGAATGAGTGAGCAAGAGGAGGAGGATGATAAGAAACCTACTGTAAAAGTATCAGGATCAGTTGCCAAAAAAACAACCTTTACTAATCCTTTGCTTGCTTACAGAGAGGCTGAATAATAAACTGCCATTGCTAAAAAGCAAGAGGCGGAGGAAGAAATTTTAAGAGCCAATCCAATTGCCAAATTTTCTAAAATTGATCGTTTCTTTGACAAAAATGGAAAAGAGTATAATTTATTATTATTTTATATTAGAGTCGTTGATCCTGGCCAATTACCATACGAAACCATAGAGATTATTTTTAATAACAAAAATATGTAATTTTTAATGATTGAAAAATAGATTTGGTAATATGGCTAATTAGAATCCCTAGCAGATATTTTATCATTTGCATGACAAAAGAAAATGGTACCCATTTATTAAAGAGACTATTCCAAACACAGGAGAATAGGAGGAAAGCGATGAGGCGGAGTCAGATAATGATACTAATATATAAATTGATGAGGAGGAACTTGAAGATAAGTTGAATTTAAAGAATGAAGAATTCATAGAAAAAACTTGGAATCAAAAATTAGGTGCTTTTTATTCTGCTCAAATTCTAAAGGAACCAATCAAAAAGAATAGAATCAAAAGATTGTTAGAGGATATTTTCATGGAAGTAAAATAAGGAGTAGAAAAGGCTCGAGGAAAAAGATCCCTATTTACTAAATGGAAGCATGATTAAGATGGAATTAATAAAAAGATGGAATAATATTTGAAAATCTTAGAATATAAGACTACTTACAGAACATTAAGAGTAGTCTAATAGAAACATTATGAGGAAACTCAATGGAATCATATTTACAAGAGTAGAAATTATGAAGAAATCATTGAGCAATGGAAAAAAGAAGTCAAGGCAATGTTACCTTTGAATACACATTTATGCGTACTTCCAATGAGATTTGATTATACAGAAGTAAACATCTTATAATTTATTATAAAAGTCTGGGAAAATCAAATCAGCCATAGTTGAAAATATGGAACCCTTTTTTATGAGAAGAGAAAATTAAATTATATTTAACCTTGCAGGAAAGATTTTTAACTATCCCAATAGAGTAAATAATCATTTTAAATATGAAAGATAGTTTGTGTTAGATTGATTCTTGGATATTCATATTGTCAGAATTTAGAAGATATTAAATAGAAGGAGGAAAGTGAGGATGAAGAATAAGAATATCTATAAGGCGAAATTGATATTTAAAAACCTATGCTTGATGATCTTGATGGGGATGAAGAGGAAAATGCAGATTTATTAAAAAAGAAAAACCCAGAAAAAGATCAATAAAAATAATGAATCTTCAATAAGATTATAATAATCTTTTTAATAAATAAGCTTTAAATAATAAAATTCTATTTTTTAAGAATCCTACTCAAAATAATTATCTCGAATCACTATTTTTATTTATTAAATTATTGTAAATAATTCTATTCTACTATATAATTCTAAAAGATTATTCAATAAATGTAATTATTCAAAGAAAATTGACAATAAGAATTCTATTCAAGTATTTTTAAGTCAAATAAATAACAATATTATTAAAATATGTCTCAATCAAAACTGAAATATAAATTATATTTTTTTTTATTCACATTTTTTTCTTTTGAGAATTTTACTGTTAATTCACTTTCAGAATTTTTTGATTTTTAAATATTAAGTGCTTTTTAGTAATAAGGTGCAAATGTTCCATTAATTAAGCTTTCAACTCCTTGTCCAAATGACTAAAAGTGTAGTTTTAATGTTTCATTTAAATATTTTGATCCAACCACATTCTAATATAACGAAATTTAATTTGTATGAGAGTTATCTGAAAATATGCCTTATTTATTTAAGGTAACCTTCAATTATTACGTATTTTACATTATGATTTATTATGGTTACATTATAATTCAGCAATTCTAATAGATATCGATCAGTGTTAGAATAGCCATTAAATACAAAGTTAGTAATTGTGAAATTATTGTTAGTCGAATTATATCTCACATCTATTTCACATTTAACACAATTTACAGACCTAATCAAATAATAAAGGTACGTTTGTCTAATGGATAAAATGACTTTGGTAATTGATAATAGTACATTTTGTGTAGAAATTCCTCTAAACTTGCATTCGCATCTGAAATGGATAAACAAATAAACTCAGAATTGAAGGTTGCGTAAATGACACCCTTCTAATAATATTTTTAGATCGATTCAATCAATTCTTTATATTCTTTACTTCTTTAGCAATTAATATTTACCCAAATTCATGGTATACTCCAATAATTAGCCAATTCTCCTCATCTAATAGGTATGCATGATTTGCTTTGCAATTATTACAAATATCACTAATTATTGATAGATTAGATTTGCAATCCATTCTTTCAGAAAGGAATTCCTAATTTAATTTCTAAGGTCTCAAAGTTTAATGTGTTAATTATTATTGAAGTGTAATCTAAACAAGAACAACTAATGAAAACATAAATTTAATAATAATATAATTAATATTTAGTATTTCAATTAATTGCTTCTGAAAATGCATCAGCAATTTAGAATAAATAAATAAACCCCAAAAGCAAAGAAGTAAAATCATCTAAGGAATGATAAAATTGTAATTTCAAAACAAGAATAAATATATTTAATTTAATTTCAATCTTATTCGATTGACTTTCGTTCTTAATTTAACTAATTTTATTAAGTGTTCAGAAATTGGTTCTTAAATTACTATATTATGATATTGTATTATTACATCTAAATAACCAGGAGGGAATTTGATATTAATATTCATATCTGTGATAGTTTCTCCATTTTACTGAGCCTCAATAATCATTTTCTAATGAAAGAATAGGGAATGTATTTACAGCAAATTTTTCTCTATCAGTTTTATTGCCTCCATCGTGCTTCAATTTGATGTGCAAATTCAAAGAAACATCACTTCCATACTATTTATTACATTTTTCATAAGGACAGACAAAACTCTTCTCAATTTCCTAGGAAGTCCTTCTATTTTTCTTTTTATGACGATAACTCAGAGCAAAATGCAATTCTTATTATAGTTTCTTAATAATATCACTTAGGTTTACATCAATATCTCCTATTAATTCATGCAGTTTTTAATTTTAAGAATGAAGTTCATTGACTTTCTTTATAGCCATTTCATTTAGAATGTAGTATCTCCAAAACTCCTTATAATAATTAACATCGCTATTATACTCTAAATTTGAATTAGATTATGCATACCCTAATTCTAATCCTTATTTTACAGTAGCTATTCAGTCGATTGGTCATCTAATTATGATTTTATTTCTTGTGACTATTTTAATTTACGATTTAATTCATCATCCACAATATTCCAATCCCTTGACTTATTCATTAACTGTAATATATATATTAATAATTAAATCAAATGTTAACAAATTATCATTGATTGAATTCACTTTACCTTATACTCGATGCAAGTGCCAAACAACTTATCAAACAGAATAAATTGTGATCCATAATTACCATTGTTTTCGCTGTGATGCAATCCATGGTGAATTGAATTCGTAGCAAAGGGCAAATAATTATAAAGTTCCCAAGGGAAAACATACCCGCAATGTTGATGTATGGCTTTTGATAAATGCAATCCAACATAAATTAGAATAGTTATGCAATGGATTCGATCACCTAATAAATAAGGACCAGAGAAAATAGGGATTATGTTACTTGATATAAATTCTATTGGATGAGCATATTCAGTCGCAATGGCAACTAAGTATAGTTACAATCCTACTTGAAACATTGTATTAATGATGAACTTTGTGAATCTTTGGATACAACTTTGGTAGATGTAAAATTCTATGACTCCAATAAAATATGAAATCCTCGCTAAGATGACATATAATGACGTGTTTCATAATTTCTAAGTAGCTTGGAAAACTGAGAGTATCCATTCTACATTGAAAAGGTGGTATCACTGAAACAAGCAAAGCAGCCAGGGATTAATTTAAGATAATTGATTTTAAGGTTTTTATTTTCATTTTTTTCCATTCTTCCTTGTTCTTCTCCCAAGGCCAAGGTTTCTTATTTAATCAAATATATATACCTTAACTAGTTTATACTATTCAAAGAATGGATGATTGAGCGAATAAAATATCTAATAATATGCACAAACGACAACTTAAATTACATTTTGAACGACTACCATGACCACAATAAAGAATATATTTTCTAAAATACAATAATACTTTACTATTTTGTATCTCATTTGGCCAGATAAATTCCAAAAACTTTGTAAAGTAGATCAGATAGATAAGATAACCTGAAATTCCAATTAATTTATAAATCATTAGAACTGATAATTTATATTATCACTTCTAATCAATTTATTTAATATCAATATATTCATTTCGATTAATTATATCAAGTCCAAGATTTTTTCAATTTAATTTGTTCTTTAAGTTATTTATAATATTTATAATTAATTTATACACGTTTATGATTAAATTAGCGTTTTTATTATTTGTTCTAACACTAGGTTAAGACATCGAAGAAGAAGAGTAACTTATTTGGTTTATTTAGGCTGTCTAAAAAAATTGGCGCCTGTTGGATGAAAACTATTAAGGATATTAATAATGAAAAAGACTATATGGGCAAAATTATTGATAGTGTATAAAATGCAAATAAAACATTGATCTTTCATAAAATATAAATGTCTATGATTTTGCAATGTGAATCTTTGATTGATATTAACAACGAAGTAATTTTTAATTGAATATTTAGAATTATTTGAGTTTAAGCTACAAGGATGTTGTAAAGGACTTTGATTATAAATAATATATCGGCATAGAATTTAAACTAACTAAAGAAGAAGAAACTTTATTGAGAATCATCAAGAAGATGGAGAAGGACTTAGGTGAACTAAACAAATAAAACTAAATTAAACAATAATATAAGCAGACATAATAGGTTGAAAAGGATTGGCAAGATGCATACAAAACAAACTAAGCTGTACCAACTCTACTTTCAAAACCAAACTATTTTCATTATGCATTCTTTTTAGTGTTGTTTGTTGCTATATTTGGAGGAGGTTATTGGAGTGTAAAAATGATCTAAGGAATGAAAGATAGCTCAAATAGAAATTAAAATAAAGCAAAATGAATTAATCTTACATATTTAATATATTATTATTTGACATTTATAACATTCTTAAATTATATTCAGAGATGATATGATTATACAACATAAATCTATTAAAATAAGTTTAGTTCTGAAACTACTCATGTTTAATATAAAATAACAACTACTTTGGAATCATTATTTATCCTATTGCTTGTAATCATTTTGCGTAATAAAGAGAAATTAATTCTATTAGTAGCTTAATAATAATTTTCACATTAATAATTCATCCAGTTATTTCAAGCAAATCTTACATTTTTATTTACATATTGTTAATAAAAACAATTATTCTTTCTAAAACTATAAAAAGGTAATATCTTCATTGCTCTCAATCACAAAGGAGTGACTTTTAATAATTAAAATAGATCTATTTGTAATAATAGAATATATTCTTAGGTTCTTAGCATTTCTTCTACCCTCTACCATTTTTTTCCTTGTTACTATATTATAATATACAATATAAATAATAATTTATCAGAAATTTAGAATAAATGTTTGATAATTGGCAGATTTTGTTTATCTTCATTTTTATAATTTTATATTATAGCAGAATGATTAAAGTTTGATCAAAATTAATATCAATAATAATATATTGTTGACATCATGCTTTTTTTTCAGGAGAAACAGGTTATGATTTTCTTTATGAATGATTCTTTTAAGTCTGTTGATGTTGAATGTTTTTTAGTTCTATGTCATAGTGATATCCTTCAAATAACGCTAATTTATTATTCATTTTTAATACATTGAACAGTATCTCTTCTCAAAAGAGTTTAATTTTCTAACAATTACTCATCGTTTAATTGTGTTTCTTCGGAAATCTAATTTTAAAAATCGAAATTTTCATCAACAGCCTTTATATAAGAAGAACTAATACCCCAGGTACATAAAGGGCTTGAACCTTTTTCTTCAGTAAATCATCCCAGGGATAACCTTTTAACCAAGGATGATGTAGGATTTCTTCAATTCCATTGCTACCTAATCTCCTTTCTGGTTTCCTTAGAATTAACTTGATATTAATGCACGGTATTTACCTAATTCACAAAATCAAGGGAATTCTCACTCCACCCTAAAGGTAATTCCTCTTTTTTAACTTAAACTTGTTTTGCTAGAATTTGTTCTCGAATATCTTATCTGGTTCTACCATTATATGGTCTTCTTCCCAACATTAACTCATATGTAATAACACCTAAAGCATAATAGTCAGCCACAACAGAGTGATCCATTCTACACATGACTTCTGGAGCCATGTAACCAGGTGTTCCTGAGGTATCTCCAGCATTGTTTCCTTTATTCATTCTGGCAATTCCCAAATCTGTTAATCTCATGTAACCATCTTCATCCAATACCAAGTTTTCAGGTTTGAGATCTCTATGAATGATTCCATTTTAATGAAGATATGTTAAAGCCAATAAAATACAAGCAACGAAGAATTCTAAAACATTAATATTTAGATATACTTGTTTATGCTTCACTAAATCTTCTCATTTTACCTAAGTGAAATCTGAGATCCCCTCCAGTTAATAGATCTATGATTAAAAATAGATTTTCTCTGTCTTAGAATGCATACCACATATTAACTAAAAAGGGATGATGTAAGTGTTCTAAAAGATATTTTTCATTCAACACTGAATTAACACTTCTTTTTTAAATAACTTTAGCTTTGGACATTTCTTTTAAGGCGAATAATTTTTTATTCTTTTTCATTTCTACTCTCCAAACTCTTCCGAAACCTCCTTTTCCAATCACATATAGAAATTTAAAATGTAATCTACCTACCTATTCATCTATTTTCAAACCGAGAACTTGAGTTTTTTCTGAGATTTCTCCTGTAGATTTTCTTCTGATTTCACTAGATTTCGAGTCATTTTAATTGATTTTACTTTTCGAGATAGAATCATTTGGAGTGATTTTGCTCTTTGTAGAATTTTCATGATTGTTGGGAGAATTTGGAGCTGATTCAACTAATCCTGAATTGATAATCTAATTATTTAAGAAATAAGATACAGCTGAAAATTTAGGTCCTTGTTGATTGAGTTTCAACTTAAAAGATGTTTGAGTGTTGCTAAGGACATGACTTTTTGATTCAATTCTTTTTGGAATGACTTTGGACTTAACATTATAACTGTTCTCATACAACTATGAATTACTTAAATTTCCCTTTTGATAATAGTTATTTAAAAAATTTTCCATGTTATGATAAAATTATGGCTTTTTGCTTTGTTCTTTAGGAGCTTATTTAGACTGGGGACGAGATTCTTATAATTGTTGTAGGTGGCTTTGTAATTACTTTTGTAAGAACATTTATTGCATTTAATACTATTTCTCGCGGTTAGGAGATTGATGAGCAGAAACTGAACTTGTTACTTTAATTTCTCTTCTACTATCTTGATCACAAGCTTAATTTTTGGTTGCTACCTTAACTTTTAAAAGAGGTGAAGCATTAATCACTACCCTTTTCTTCATACAAACAGAGCAATTTTTTTAATTGCAAGAGCATTGAGATACATCCGCTTTTTTATCCCAATTCCCTGATTATTTTCTAGTTGGTTGTATTTTACTGACTGGTTCCCCTTTAAATTTGATTTTGCTATTGAGTTGTTGCTTAATCAACAAATCCCTTAAGTTTTTTGCTGTTGATTGACTCATTTCGTTAATTATTTTTATTAAGTGATAATATAAATAATTCCAAATAAAAAACACACATATTCACAAGACCAAGATATCCGAGCTTACTGTGCACATAAGAAACTCTCATTCATATGATTTATATATTCTGTATTATTAATATTTTTTTTTTCAATAATTATATAATCATGATTAATAATTAATAATGAAAAAATTTCTTAATTATCTTAAAACATCTGCTGCTGAATAATAAGAGCCTATCACACAGAATCAGTCAGATCAAGAACATTTTCTAGTTTTGGTTGGTGATATAATTAAATACCAAAATGAACCAACCAATCCAACTAAAATCATTCCTGTCATTAGACAAATCATCCTCTATGCTATTAAAGGAGACAATGAATTGCATAAGTAATTGTTTGAGTCATTTATGGAAATCGATCTTCTCAATAGATTATATGACATCTTATAACGGAGATTATGTCATCATTCATTGATTTAAGAAGTAAGAGAATCAAACAATATTTATAGATTTTTGAATAGGTAAGTTCATTATTGATCAATGTGAAAGAGATCACAAATAAGAATTACATCTTATCCCATTCTAGCATTTCAAATATGGTTTTATGGAAACAATCGTTTGAATAATACTAACCCAATATCGAGATTGTAGAAACATATATCAGCTTTTTAAATTTATTGGCAGTGAAATTAGATGACATTACGACGATGTTTTTTATTAATCTCAAATATCCGTAGTTCCCACTTTTATGGAATGCTATCAGATTCTATAATCATCCTGAATTGATGGTGAGAAATAAAAGTAGATCAATTGTTCTTCATATTCTTAATAGTAATATTCTATAGTGAATTTTAGTCAAAAATCAAAACATCATAGCTTATACTAAAAGCTTCCCATTTCTATAATATTATTTCAACTTGGGAAATCAAGTTTTGCTTACAACCAAGGAGATTAATGTGGTTGTTGAAAAAATTAAGTGGCGATTCGAAGGTTAGTAGTAAGACCAATTAGCAATGCTATCTGAAGAGTTAAAAGAATAATTGTAATATATTCATGATCTCTTTATAAATAATGAATATTTGGAATAATTAATTTTAGATTATGCAATTCAGAGACCTGTGATTCAATTAAGTTAAGTTATCAAGTATGGTTATGTAAGTTATCATAATAATAATTCAAATAGCAACACTTTCATATCGCTGTTGCTCTTCAAGCCTTCCTTTTACTCTTGTTATATTTTAGGACAAATGTTAAAATCATCCAATACATCTATTATATTTTCCTCTCCCAAGACAAATCAAAAGTTACTATTAATGAAGAATTCTGGGCATATTCTAATGCATACGATAATGACCCAGATTTTATGAAAAAGTTATGTCTTCAAATATATTAAACTCTAAAACCTATTGATTTATTGGATCTGAAACATGAGAATTTAGAAATTAAAATGAGTCTATAATAATTGAAGCAAGTGGATTGCATAAATTAATAATAAAGAATTGAGAGTGAGATTGAAATGTAGGAGAGCTAAATCTTAAATAGTGTTTATTAACATAGTTCAAATAAGGAAGTGTTAATTTATGTTCTCCTATTTATGAAAGAATTAGCCAATCAGCATAATATATAAACTTACTATTAATATGTAATTATTATTTTCTATTCTAGATTCTTAAACTTGCATCAGAACAAGATTAGCAATTAATTGTTGTTATTTTATCACTAGACATTATATACGCATTTAAATAATAATTGGATTCTCAAAATTATATTAAAAAATTGTATTACTAGATATTAGCTGAGCTTATTTTTAATATCAAAACATCTTAATTATTTCTAGATTAATTAATTGATATTTTTAAGAAGTACAATAGAATTTTATATTAGAAAACCCCTATCGATCAAAAGAGAATTCATTATTGATTAATAAATCAATGTTCATCACGAAAAATACGCCATACTCTTTGATCCTTATAGTTCTTTGGCTAAAATCTAGAAACTCGAATATTGCATGCTGCTATCTTAGCATTAGATTTTTGAGGATCTTCCAAAGATTAATGAGTAATATCCTGAACTGACAAAACTTCAAGTACCTATCTATTAGATAGGGGATAAGCCTAATTGTGCAAAGATGGCTTGTCAATATAGTCAAACAGGACATTTCTATAACACAGATACATAGTAATATCAATATATATTTAGTTATATCTTAAATGTTGATAATTTCTTACATGTTGTGTAATTAGATGAATAGGGAGTCATTGTTGATGTGATATGTTCTAAATTATGGCAATTATTGTAGGTTTATGGAATTGAAAGAGTTTAAGTTCTCCAATTTACTTACTTTGATTTCTCTAAGGTATTAGATTCATAATAATAAATAGTTTTATTTGAGATTTAACAATTTCGATGATGTCAAGTATATAGATTCCCTATCCTCATAGTAGTAGCAATAATTTGGTGATTGGTTCAAAGAGTTACTTATTTAGAAATTAGAGAAATTATAATAGGAAAATCAGCTTATTTTTTAATGAATTATTAACTAAAGTTGAATATTATAAACATCACAGTATTAAAATTAAATTGAATGGTTGATACTAGAATTACTTAATTTTAATATTTTATGATAGATAGATAAATCATTGCTGTTGTTTTAGCTTTTATTTAACTAAGCATTCTTTAAGCACAAATTCGAATTCATTGAATGATACTGATCCATCTTTATTATGATCAAAAAAACTAAAAATGGATTTGCATTCTTCATCTGTCACAGAAGAATCTATACGTTTTAGCAGTTTGCCCAGTTCTAGAACATCTAGCTCATGATTTGCTGATTTATCATACTAAAATCATAAGATACAATTACCTTATTAAATAAATCTAAAAGGTTGATATTATATTTGACAATTGAAGTTTTCAACTTTTCAATAACAATTCTAGCTCTGTCATCGAGTGATCCAGCCTATATATCTTACTAAGGTTTCAAAAGAATGCTGACTTTCTTCTTTGTTCTGCTTACTTCTGAAGCGGTCATTCTACACTAAAAGAAAATGAGAATTAATATTTACATCATTTTCCTCTAGCCATTTTTTAAATTCATTGAATTCAATTAAATTGTTGCCATCATCATCGAATTTGTTAAAGATATATTCAATTTCTTCTCTTGTTAAATTTTTATCAACCCTTGTTAAGAATTTTCCAAGTTCATTAACATTTAATGCTTTATCTTTAGTCATATCTAACTCAGCAAACAATTCCCCAATATCCAATTACTCTTTTATAATCATTTATCTGATATCATTAATGAGATAAGTTGCTTTATCTTCCAAAATGCTAACATTCTTTATGAAATCTGTGAAATGTCCTTTAAAGAGTGGATGTCTATAGATATCATCCCATGACAGTCTATCCTTTTCCTCAGTTTACAAACATCCAGTTAAGAATTCTTAGGCTTCTTTTGAGATTTGTGGTCCCTTGAATTGAAGAGGCTGATTTCTAATATTTTTGAGTAACTCTTATGGTGATCTAGCAGTCCAGGGTGCTAAAAAAAGATAGGATTAGTAATTGAAATACTTTTGCCGAACAATGCTTCATAGAAAATAAATGCTATACTCCAAATATCAGTCTTTGAAGTATATTTTTTGTTATCCAAGATTTGAGGAGACATATAAAGTGGTGTTCCTACTAATGATGCCAACATATCCTTTTTAAAATTATCAACACATTTTGCAAATCCAAAATCTGCCAATTTGAATGTCTAAATGATTTTAATAAGTATACTCCTTTATCTATTAGGATGTTGGCAGGTTTGAGATCTCTGTGGATGATTCCATTTTTAATTAGCTAGATAAATCCATTTAAAATATCAATCATAAATTTGACAGCATCCTTTTCAGGCATAGTCTTTTTTTGTGACACATAACTAGTTTAGAGTTTATGGATACTTTTCTATCAATTTATCCAAATCTCCACTATCACAGTATTCCTGTATTATATAATAATTGTTATTAGTTTCCATCACATCCATAAGTTGTACGATGTTGGGACTCTTCAATTTCTGCATCACCTTGATTTCTGAAATCAGCCCCTCTCTTAAATAATCGTCGCTGAACATTTTTCAAATATTAATACGCATTGATGACTGACTTGTTCAATACTTTAATGGCCACCTTGACTCCTGTCTTCTCCTCTCGTCCTCTGTACACTTGAGCATATGAACCTTCTCCGATAAGATCTTTAGGATTGAAGAGATATTTGTCGATTCTTTTCTCCCCCATTAAATAAATTTAAATTCAATCATCTTCATCATAATCATCATCCGATTATTATCTTCGAACTCTTTTCGATTTTCGTCCTCCTGCTTTCTTCTCCACCTTCTCAAACTCATCATTCCCCTTACGCTTCTTCCCCACTTCATCGCTCTAATCATCCTATTGTAAACCCTTCTTCTTCTTTTTGCCTTCCTCCAAATCAGGCAACTTTTACGCATAATCCTTCATGAAATCGTATTGAGACTCCTGTAGAACTATCTTTCTTTTATTCAATAATTTTTTTACAATAAACCAGGAGTAGCCTTATTTAATTTTCTGTCTTTCAAAGTCTCTTTACATTTCGAGAGAATGTCTGATAAAAACAATTCAAGTGATTTTGCTTTACAATAACATTCAAGTAATACTTAATACATATGGAACTACATTATTGATTTTGCCCACATCCTAATTTTCCTATACAATTTTTTTCACTTTGGACACAGGGAATTTAAGTTGATTCTTTTTTAATTATTGATCCTGTTGTGTGTCCATTTTATTTATTATTTTATAAAATATTATCCATAATTCATTATTAATATATATTTTAAATGACAGATTTTTTTTACATCCAAGTCCCAGCTGATGTTAAAGTCTTGTTGCTGACTGGAACCTTACTGAATAAAAATCAATTGGATTAGATATAAAAATGCACTAACTTACTTAAATTGGATTTGTCTAATTGCAATCTAACACTCATTCCAAATATCAAGAGGCTAACTTATTTAAGGATCCTATATTTACATCAGAATCAGATCACTTAACTTTCTGTAGAACCAATCTAAGGATGCAACAATTTGAATTATCTCACTCTTTTCTTAAATCCTGTGTCAGCCCAATGTTCTCTCAGAAGACAAGTGATCTCCTAAATAAAATCACTATGGGCATTTGATTTCAATGCAGTTACCGATGAAGAGAAACACAAAGAATTGAGATTATAGTAATCCACAGAAAAGAGTCGTCTCCCTTGGCCAATCATTAGCACTCCAAAGCAATTCAAGGATCAATCCTAACTAGTAATATTGCTATGGAAAGAATTAGAAGTGATCAGAAAAATTTGGCAAAAATGTTCTGTCATTTTGACTATCTAACGTAATATTAAAAGTTTTTTAACAAGAAAATAATACAAAAAAATTGTTCAGAAACAAATAAAAATACAGTAAATTTTACTTTATATTTAGAGCATTTGTAAGACAAGCTGTCAAGCATTGGATAACATTTACTAAGAATAAAAAAGACCTTAATTCATTTTTAGCAAATTAGTATAGCACCTAATTTGAGAAGGTTAAAGTTCTGGTTCAAAATTATAGACTAAGAAAAGGAAAGGCAATTAAAGAATAAAAGAGTGCTAGGATCATCTTCAGATCCTTGAAATTCTTTTATTTTGATCAAAAACTTAAATTTAAATCTATTGGCAATGTCTACAGGCTCTATTTCTATAAAGAATAATTGGATCTATTCAAATCAATCCTAAACAAGCTTATTAATAAACCTGAAATCAAAGCAATTATTAATTAAGCCCCACTTTTACATGAGGATTTTTAAAAACCCAATAAGATTTATGATTCAGAAATTTTCACTTATAGGCTACCTAGCTAATTAAATTTATAAAACAATCCTATTTATTTTAAGAATATGCTCACATATCCTGCTTCTTTAGCTAAACTAAGTTGCTGTCTACAATAATTAAAACTGAGTATAATAAGGTAATGGACATCTGCTACATAATTTACTCAGGATGTTCATGCTTAATCATACTTACAAAAATATGATGAGTTGATGCCTGCTAGAAAACCATACGTTATTATGTACAAATTGCCTAAACAGGATAAGATTAAATATGAAAACTGTTTAAAATAAATTAACAAATTTTAATACCGAGAGTACAGATAATTGTATGTTATAAACTTAAGCAAAGAAAATCTATCTATGATAACTAAATGTATAATCTTGCACAATAAGGATCATCCTTCATAAGTGTTTATTGCAATTTTTGAGAAATAGTTGAAGGAGGCTGTGGCTGCTTTGAAGATATAAAGATAATTTAGAGCATATTAAGATGTAAAAAAGCATGGCAAAAATATGCAAACTATTATTAAAATTCTAGTAAAGGAACGATCTCTTTTGATTTTATAAAAATGGTGTAAAGATTTAAAAATGCATCATAGAAATAATTTTTTTAAGGCTATAGGATATAGACTCAAACAATTAACGCAAAATGTATTATATTTAAATTACTCAATCTATTTACAATTGAACTAATGTGTATCAAAGTTGTAATTTCTTGAATAAAAATCAAAACTAAGTTTGATTAATTATAAATTCCAAGCAATTCTTGAATAGTTTCCTAAAAAGAATATTATACCAATTTGGTTAAGAAAACAAATTATTCAATCAGATGATATTGAGTAATAAGAATTTGCAATTAGGAAAACTTGTGATGTTTATCATTTGTTGCATTTTGAAACTTAAAGTGAGATTAAGAATTTATTTAATCAAAACTGGATGAAAATCACATTTCCTTAAAATGAATAGCTAAAATTGAGATTGTTTTTGTTAGCTCTATATACCTATTCTTTTAAAAACTATTGTTTTGTATAATTATATTAAGAGAACGAATTGTTAGAGCAAAATTAAGGTGTGAAACAGAAAGATGAATAGATAATAGAGGCATATGGGCTAAAATAATAATCCGAGTAAGTAGAAAATTGTGAAATACCATGTAAACCATTAATATGGCTATCAAAATTATTATCTGATAAAACAAATAATGAAGTTGAAGTTAGATTTTATAAAAATGGGATTGATTAAAAAAATAAAAAGAAAAAGAACATATCAAAATTGCCAGGATGTTAACAAATTTCAACACATCTTTTCTTCAGTTCTATTCAAAAATAGCATAACCTATTTTCGTTTACATAATACAAACAAAACTGTCCTACTGCCTCAACTAATATAAGAACTATTACATACACTGACAAACCTAAAACCGCCCTTCAAACATTTATTTTTCAATAGGACAGTTTTGAATTAGAATCTAACAATCCTGAAAAATAACTATAAAGATTGAAATTAGTTACAAATCCTACAAGATAGCATCTAAGAACAAAATCAGTTACTAACAAAAGGTAAGCATTATAGGTAGAATTACCGATGTTCTTTCAATAATAAAATTTGAACTTAAGCTATAGTGTAGGAAGAAAAAATAACTAGCCTGATATATCTAAGTAATTGTAGTATTGGGAGGATAGAGAAAATCAATAGAGATAATAAATAAAATAACAAAATCTAGAAAAAAGATAAGCAAAATTATAGATTCAACAGGAAAGGTCTTTTTGTCAGGAGTTCAATATCGGCTAGAACATTATTAGTAGATAAGGAGATAGACATCTGATGCGATTATAATAAAAGAAATAATAACAAATATCGTAGTAACTTGTACAATAATTGAAAGAGCAGTCCAACAACATTAAAGAGATACAAGCTATCAATAACAAGATGAAATTATAGGCAATTAAAGAAGCCAATTCTTAATATAAGGCTTCTATTGAATAACCAGAGTAATAGCCGAAAATTATTTAAAAGCATCAGACAAAAAGAGTGGGAATAGCAAATAAGTATATTCATTCTGTATTACCAGAAGAAATATTTCCAATTAAAATTGACTTTGAAAATATATGATATAATTTAATTTATAAACACATGGGTTGTCAATGTTGTAAAGACGAAGAAAGTGTCAAAGATAGAAAGTAGAGTGAGTTACCAGATAATTGGAATCCCAACAGAGTTGACATTATTAATAGCAAAACAAAAATCAAAGTTGTCTATTCCCCTGGAGATTCCTCTAAAATTGATAGCTCTGTCTTTGCTGTTAGCACAAAAGGACTTTCCCCCTTGTTTTCAAATTAGTTGGTTAACGCTGCATAAGAAAGTTTATAAGATAATCAGGGATCATTTGAATATGGAAATTGTTATCCAATAACCAATAAAGAAAAAAAGATATTTCTAGTGTGTATTCCGATGTGGAGAGGTGGTTAATTCAATGAAAACAAGCTTGTTGAGATGGCCTTTAACAAATTGGCAAAATAAGTTAAAGAGTCATCCTTGCAATAAATCGTTATTAATGAAGTAGGTGTTAGATATTTTGGGTATCCAAGATAGGTATAAAAGCAATCTTAAATTATTTTAGGTAATTATATCAAGTTTGATGCATTCATTTAAGCAGTTTATCCTAGAGGAGACATATTTAGAATAAATCATATACACTTCAAATGACAGAGCAACCATAGCCTTGATTGAAACCTAACTTAAGTCAGCTCATCCGGAGTTATTTTAAGAAGAGGAAAAGCCAGATATTAAAAAAATAGGTAAAAAGAATGACAATGATGTCACCTCAGATTTAGAATAACCCTTATTAGCAGAATGAATATGAAATAATATAAATAATTATTATATTATTTACATCTATTATTTAATATATATATATTATAAAAGATTATCAATTAATATTAATTTTTCTCACATCTAATTATAAGTATAATATTTATCATTTTCTTTAGTCAATAGTTTATGTAGTTATTTAATAGATGATCAAAATAATGATTGAGGTGAATGTAAATGTAGTTCTAATTATTATCTATTTAAATGTTTAAGGAGTATTAATTATAGACTGTTAAATAAATAGTAATGTGAAAATAAGACTATTCTTCTTATATCCTCATAAATTTAAGGATGGAAATAAAAGAACTTATCATTGATTTAATCAATTCTAAAATTTCCACTATCAGTTTATTATTTTTTGAAGTAAAAGTGTTAAAAATTAAGTTGGGTATCATGAAGAAAACAATGGAATTCCACATTTTATTGTATATAAAAATGTTCTCATTTGACAAAATGCTTACATGAAGATGGAGAAATTTGATTTGTTTTTAGATAAATTAGGATGCAATTTTAAAGACAAGAGCAACTTTAAGTTCACTACAATTTTAAATTCGAGCATAAAAGATGATATCTCTAATCTGGTGAAGATTTGATATGTCATTCCAGATTCAAAAATGAAAAAAGAGTTAATGTATTGATTCTAAAGTAGTGAGTTTCTAAGTCAAAATGAGGGATCGTTTTGTAGGGTTTACTTCTGATAATAGATTAGAAGGGGTTAGAACTCCATATGTCGAAATTTTAGTTGATCTCAAGTTGAATTGAAGTTGAAAAAACACAATATTTTTCACCAATTTCAATTAAGTTGATTAATAATTATAATAATGAGAGTCTCTGTATGTAGTATATGGTCTAGAGAATATCAGAATGAAGATCTGGGGGATTCTAGGATGAAGTTTTGGAAATGAAGGGCTGATTGGTACGGTCTGAGCATACTAATAAGGAATTTTATGATGGGTGGAAAAGAGGAGGGGACATTAGTTTTTGAAGGTGTTTGGAGTGTTTTTAGTTTGATTTGTAATGTTTTTGGTTTTCCTTGGGATAGTATCTTCCTATATATTCAAGTTTCTTTAATTATTAATCGATTGGGCACCCAAGAAAATGAAATCAAGACCAAGACAGATCGATCCAACAAAACCAGTCCTGATCTCCAACAGTCTAGAAGCATTCACCAATGCAGAAGGGCAAGAGGCAGACATAAAAAACACTGAATAAATCATCACACCTGATCAACTCTTAAAAGAAAAGTAAATTGCATATATTCATTCAATTACTAATAAGGAGCAAGTGGAACATTTTCATGCTACTTTATTGTAGTTTGTAACAGCTTGCTCCTTGACCCCCGCCATATTTATTTTTATATTATACTCATTATTATTTAGACCCAAATAATTTGAAGAGCCCACATTAAAATCGCAGCTTCCTACAAAATGCCGTGAGGATTACATCTCTTATAAGGCACCTGTCTATCCAGATGGCACAGCTTACGAATTAACCGAAGAGGATATTCATTTCCTCTCTACAATTAATGAAAAACTAAGCAACCCTGTACATATTGAAGACTTTGAATAATATTTGTCACTTCTTGACCAAAAGAGCGGGAAAGATGTAGAAATCGACTTTACAGAATTTCTCAAACTCAAACTACCCTTACCTAAGACCATTAATATATAAATGTAATCTACTTAGGAATAATTATACGCCTACTTTAAAAAATAGAGATAACATTTTTCTCGCCCTCTAACCAGATATCTTATGCATCCCTATTATGAAGATAACAATCCACATCTGGCATTTCGTCCTCGTACTTAACCTATGGATAGAACGATGAAATTGAGAAGAGGCAATCCCCAGAATTCAAGAGGAGTAATTGAGATGGAGAATTTAGGATAGAAGATTGTTATGTTAAAGAAAGATTTATTGATGGTTTCCAGTTTGATTGACCAAAGTGTTTAGAGAGAAAAGGCAATGGAAATTGATAGGAGATTCACTTTTTGTAAATTCATTAAAGAATTCTTTGATCAATCTAAAAGAGAAAAGGACGGTAATTCAGAAATTAAATTATGGCCCAAAGATTGTTTTGTAAGGGATTGTCCCGAAAAATGCAACATAAATGTAGTTGAAAAGTAAGATGAGATGTTTGATCATATTACCAAAGAAATATTGAGTTGGAAAGAATAAAATGAAATCTAAAGAAGGGAAAAACAAAAAAAGGAAGACTAAATTATTAAATATGAAAAATAAATTGAAGATTTAATTATAGAAAAACAAAAGTACGAAGAAAAACCAATTGTAATACCTCCTCCTGTTCCTTAAGCACCTGTCATTCCTCCCCCTATTCCCGTGATTCCTCAAGAACCTCCAGATGAAAAAATGGAAAGTGTTGCTAGGTTCTTGGCGACTTTATATTTAGAAGCCAGGAAATATTAATTAACATTTGATTAGGTCCTTTCTGATAACTTTCCTATTTACAAGATATAAAATCAATAGTAACCAGTCAATTCCAAGAGCGTCTTCCCTTTTTCTTTGATGCAAATTGAAGGAAATGACTTAGTCTATAAAGTTAGAAAGGATAGTTGTTTGGAGAAAAAGGATAGGGCTTACTGGGAAAGTTACACAGACCCAACACTATCAAGCACTTTATATTATTAAAATGACTATTTTAAAGAAAAGGTAAATGATATCATGGAAATGGCAGATATGGATTAAATGGTCTATGCATAAGGTTTTGATGATGACAAGTAGGATGAAGATGATAAATTATTCAAAAAGAAGGTTAAAGGAAGTACAACCAGACTAACTGGTTCTAATGGAGGATAAATAAAATGATTAATAACTAATTTAGTATGTAAAATATTAAATATTTAATATTCAAATGAAAGGATTCTTTGATGTATTTTAATTTGGCTACTTTTAATGCTCATTACTATAATCAGCAAATGGGTTGCTTGGTTAATAAGTTTAAAACATTCTTGAAGGTGCTTATTAATTATTTTCATTTGCAAATGGATTATTAGATCTAGATGATAGGATTTATGAATGAATTTGTAATTATTGATTTTGATTTTACTATTATTAAACATAGGTATCATCAACTTCATCATCAAATGGATTTTTAACACTTTTTCTAAATGATTGCTAATTATTTTAACCTTCATCAAAAGGATTCCAAGGTACATTGGATTAAATAACCATTGATTAACTTACTCTAAAATCTTATTATTAATATTGTTATTATTAGAACTATTGTTACTATTACTATTGTTACTATTACTATTACTATTGTTATTATTACTATTATTATTATTATTATTATTATTATTATTATTATTATTATTATTATTATTATTATTATTATTATTATTATNCTTTGATCAATCTAAAAGAGAAAAGGACGGTAATTCAGAAATTAAATTATGGCCCAAAGATTGTTTTGTAAGGGATTGTCCCGAAAAATGCAACATAAATGTAGTTGAAAAGTAAGATGAGATGTTTGATCATATTACCAAAGAAATATTGAGTTGGAAAGAATAAAATGAAATCTAAAGAAGGGAAAAACAAAAAAAGGAAGACTAAATTATTAAATATGAAAAATAAATTGAAGATTTAATTATAGAAAAACAAAAGTACGAAGAAAAACCAATTGTAATACCTCCTCCTGTTCCTTAAGCACCTGTCATTCCTCCCCCTATTCCCGTGATTCCTCAAGAACCTCCAGATGAAAAAATGGAAAGTGTTGCTAGGTTCTTGGCGACTTTATATTTAGAAGCCAGGAAATATTAATTAACATTTGATTAGGTCCTTTCTGATAACTTTCCTATTTACAAGATATAAAATCAATAGTAACCAGTCAATTCCAAGAGCGTCTTCCCTTTTTCTTTGATGCAAATTGAAGGAAATGACTTAGTCTATAAAGTTAGAAAGGATAGTTGTTTGGAGAAAAAGGATAGGGCTTACTGGGAAAGTTACACAGACCCAACACTATCAAGCACTTTATATTATTAAAATGACTATTTTAAAGAAAAGGTAAATGATATCATGGAAATGGCAGATATGGATTAAATGGTCTATGCATAAGGTTTTGATGATGACAAGTAGGATGAAGATGATAAATTATTCAAAAAGAAGGTTAAAGGAAGTACAACCAGACTAACTGGTTCTAATGGAGGATAAATAAAATGATTAATAACTAATTTAGTATGTAAAATATTAAATATTTAATATTCAAATGAAAGGATTCTTTGATGTATTTTAATTTGGCTACTTTTAATGCTCATTACTATAATCAGCAAATGGGTTGCTTGGTTAATAAGTTTAAAACATTCTTGAAGGTGCTTATTAATTATTTTCATTTGCAAATGGATTATTAGATCTAGATGATAGGATTTATGAATGAATTTGTAATTATTGATTTTGATTTTACTATTATTAAACATAGGTATCATCAACTTCATCATCAAATGGATTTTTAACACTTTTTCTAAATGATTGCTAATTATTTTAACCTTCATCAAAAGGATTCCAAGGTACATTGGATTAAATAACCATTGATTAACTTACTCTAAAATCTTATTATTAATATTGTTATTATTAGAACTATTGTTACTATTACTATTGTTACTATTACTATTACTATTGTTATTATTACTATTATTATTATTATTATTATTATTATTATTATTATTATTATTATTATTATTATTATTATTATTATTATTATTATTATGGTAATTGCTATTAGGATGTTACAAAGGGATTTGAGAATCCTTAATTAATATCATTTTAATTTGGCTACTTAATATCTGATTATTCTAACTACTTTCTTTAATTTTTAATAGTTTAATAAACTTATTCTTATTATTATTAAATTTATGATAGTTTTTATTATTGGTTTAACTTAAAATTCTTTTAATCCTTACACAATGCCGGAGACTCAGAATCCTCTTTAAATTCTCCAGCAAATTATGCTGAAACTCTATTAAATTCTTCAAAAGGATCAGTATCTGGATTTGGAGTAGGGGTTTCCCCAAATTATTATTGTTTGACTTGATGCGATTTTTCATTTTATTGAACTTCTTATGCAGATTATAAATTTAATAATTTTCTAGTTTTATTTATAAAGTTATTTTCTTATTCTTAATTTTCTGGTTAAACAGATTTAATTGTGTTACCATTTGAAAATTCTTTATCAAAATCCAAACATTCTTAAAATCGTTTACCCTCTTGCAAAGAAACATCGTGTTCTATGCTAATAATTGAGGATAATACAACGTTCATCATCCTTATTTTATTTGAGATTATATTATCCATTTTACCAATCATGTCAATGCAAATATTTTGATATGCTGTAGTTGCCTTTTCTAACTTTCTTTCATTCTAAATTAAATAATAATTCATACTCTATTGATCTTATCTGAATCCTTACTATTTTACAACTCTTTAATTTTTAACTTATAATGATCATAAATCAACCTATCCTCCTAATATCTCTCCAATAAGATCTTTATCTATTCCATAGTGTCAAACCATGGCTTCAATTCAAGTTTCAACTAGTAAACAGGTGTAACCTTCTCCCCGTGTAATTCTGATATCTTTTGGAACATCTTCACAAGATTAGTCGCAATTAATTTATTAGATCCTATTTCATGCTCAAATATTTTAGTGACAATCATTGCAAATTGATTGTATTGTATTTATAATTCTTCATTACATTAAATGATACATTAATGACATTAGCTGATTGTAACCAATGTTCTTTCAGCCATTTAAAAATAATTGTTTAATTCGTAAGCTTCACTCTTCTTGTCTTCCAATTAGGTATTCTTTGTTATCTGTTAACCCCAAAACTCTTTCCACTATCTTAAAAGTTAAATCAAGTACCTTTTAACCTGCCCTAGTAACTGCACTACTCATTTAATTATTTATATTGTATGTTTATGAATGTACATTGTAATAAAATCAATAAAAGAAACCAAGGATTTTACCTCCGATATGTCTTTATCTAGCTTCTTCATGAGTAAGAATGCCAACATTTGTGGTTAACACAACGCATCCAAATTATCTGGCAGGTAAAATGTTATTTGCCCATCTCTCAAATTCCCCTAAGGTCACATCATAACGAGGTGATATGACTCCACATTTATTGATGCGTCCTTAAAGTAAACAAAAATGTGTACCCAATAATTCAACGACAATTTTTCCACTTCTATGATCATCGACGATTTCAAATTCTCCAATATATCCATGTCTCTACATCACTTGCAAAAATTTCACAACTAATTTTGATGTTGGTCTAATTAACACTTATTTTCTTCCTTGTCTTTTCAAATTAAATTATTTTTAATACCTTTCAGCATTGACAATTGAACGAAGGCAGTCATTGAGAACATTCATCTTAACCATTTTAAAATAAAGATTTAAAATATATTAATATTTTATATATTAATTTTTACTCCATTCTCCCTTTACTTCATCTACATCATTAAATTTCACATCTCTAAATTCATATAATCTCTTATATTTGTATTATAAATTCAAACATTTAAAGAATGTTTTTATTAATTATAGAGTTCTAGCACATATATAATTTAATATATTATTGAATTATCATGCATAATCAACTTAATTTATAGATCTTTAAACATGATTTCTATATTTTAATTGATCATATGTAAATAAACAATTTGATATTTAACACTGATAACACATTCTTAAACTTTAATAATCATATTAATTTTCATTGAATTATACCTTATTTGATTGCTTTTAAGAATTAATAAGACTTAACATAATCTATTAGGATAAGAATAATAATATTGAAATGAATATCATACAGAAAAGCAGATTGCCTTTCATAACTTATATCTTCCGAAGTTTATGAGGTAGTCAAAAATTATATTAACAAAGAAATTGATGTTCTTAATTCGATTGTTTTATAAAAATTGCTAATAGAATTTAGAATTTTATAAATCAACTTTTATTGGCTAGTTTTGATAACTCCGTTTAAGATATTATTCTAATTCTCTTTGGGGAATGGCAATTCTTTCTTAATGACAATTTCATTGGGGATCTAAGATTCTATTAAATTTATAGTTATAATTCAATACTATAAGATGCTATGTAGTAAAATGTTGTCCTTTTGGGATTTCTGTTGAAGAAGAATCGTTTTTATACTTCTTAACTTTATGATTGTATTTGTAAGGATTATCACTTTCATAGATTCTTTCAGACATCAGCATAGGAATGTGAACTCTTTGTTAGTTATCACTATGAATGGGTGGTAGTTCATTCTAATTTTCGGATACTAATTAATCAAATAATTTGAATTCAGGTTAAGCATATTAATTCTTATCAGTGCTAAGTTGCTTACTCTTTCTTCTCATAGAACGATTCGTTTAATCAGATTCTGATTTGTAATACTGTGATGTACTTAATTTTCTAATACGACTCTAATTGATATTAGTAACAATTACCTAGCGTTATTCTATTTATTCTTTTTCCTGTAACCTTTTTAAAATAGCAATTTATTGATAATCATTAGATTTTTTAGCAGACTTAATAAAATCAGCTTCTTCAATTTCATCATCTTCATCGTCTTTTAATTCAACTACCTTATTGTAACAGATATCCTCTAAAGACAAGAGATTTTTGCATTGCTTAACTTTCTACTAAGTATTCAACGAATTAGAATTTATCTTTTGTATAAGTTCTTCTCTCAATACACAGTAATTCATGTATTGTATCATATTTGGAAAGCTCAATGGGATAAAGTTTAATGCATCATTTTTTCCTTTCTTTTCTGTAGACTCCTTTATTTTTCTCATGAGTTCGGCAAACACTATTTATTTAAGATGTAAAGTTTACTTTACAGTGCTTCTTAGTTTTGCAAGGCTTATTTGAAGTCAGTCCAATTGAGTTTGTCTGAGATAAATGATGTGTTTACCATCTTCATCTTAATCGATTCTTTTAAAGAATTCTTTCAGTTTAGTCTTGGTTATGTTAATGCCATATCGTTTGAACATATCATAGAGTTCTTACCTATCTAAGAATTCTAAAAATAAGGTGAAAGAATAAAATGAAACTTGATTTATCTCTATCAATAGATTTGAAAACAGCTTTCATCATAATTTGTTCCTTGAGTTCTTTGTCATTTAAAATATATTTATCTCTAACCTAATTCTTAAATCTGTTTTTCAACCAATTCACTGTTTCAAAATTTTTGAGTTTTGTAGAGACATTCTTATCCATTCTCAATTAAATATAAATTTGAGTTAAAAATTACACAAAAAAATTCAATAATCAAGCCTAGAAACCTTAAACATTTGATTCCTCATTCATTTAGAAGGAAATGAGTTTCTACTATATCAAATACCTTCTCAGAAGGAATAAGATAGCTGTCAACATGAAGAACATTAAAGCAAACACCAAGTACATATAAATTGGATCCTCGCTATCGCTATTAGACTTAGGGAAAGGAAGTTCATCTTCTTTTTCAGTAGGTTTTTCTCCTTTTGAACTAATATTGCTTGATGTATTAGTATTTGAGGATGTATTTTGATTTTTACTAGTATTAACAAAGAATTTTTCAAAAGCACTTATTAATGCAGCAGCATCTTAGGCAGTCAAATTATTGAATTCTTCTTAGACTGTTAGATTTTTGATTTTGGTATCATAAAAAAAATATGCTATTACCATTTCTTCCTAACTTACATTTGCATGTTACCAAGTCAAAGGAGAAATGTATGTAGTTGTATTTATGTTTTTCTGATTTTCATCAAGGATGTTAGTTTAATTAGAGATTTGTTCAATCAAACTAGTTTGGTTATAGTTTTCAGGATCTTCTGATTAAATCATTTGATTAATGTTTTGAATGACATACTATAAGATTATACTTTTATCATCCTATAAATTGATAGAATAAATTATACATCAGTTTAGTTTTGCCACTATTCAATATATTGCTCTGTTGCTTGTAATCCTTCTTGATCTTATGGAATAATGCTTTGAAATTATTTATTGTCTATGATGTTTAAAATTGAATGGTTGCTTATTTTATTTGTAGTCTAATTTAGGACATTCTCACTGTTGATCCACAATTCTAAAGCAAAATTGGCATTTTCTTGAGCTTATTGCGTTGTCAAATTTAGTGACTTTTCTAAATCTATGAAGCGTGTTAAATAATAGATTTATTTAATTTTGAGTGGTTCATCAAACTAGGAAAAATTAAGTTTGGTTGTTTCTTGTCGAGTCAACGTAATAAATGTTAGAATTAGAATTGGAAGCATATACTTATTATATAAAATATAGTTTATATATTGGATTGTATAAAAATGAATAATAATTCAAATTTAATGTACCCCGGTGCAAGGATATTTTGGATATTCAAATGTGGGGATAACTGCTGAAATTCAAATAATTTTTTTAGAGAGTTTTCATCACATAGCACTTTAAAAATGAGAGAAGTCATTTCTATTCACGTCGGATAAGGAGGTATTTAAGTCGGTAATGCCTGTTGGGAATTGTTCTGTCTTGAACACGGAATCCAGCCAGATGGTCAAATGCCATCAGACAAGACTATCGGAGGAGGAGATGATGCCTTCAACACCTTTTTCTCAGAAACTGGTGCAGGAAAGCACGTCCCAAGAGCCGTCTTTTTGGATTTGGAACCAACAGTTATTGATGAAGTCAGAACAGGAACATACAGATAATTATTCCACCCAGAATAATTGATTTCAGGAAAGGAAGATGCTGCCAACAACTTCGCCAGAGGTCACTACACCATCGGAAAGGAAATCGTCGATTTGTGCTTAGACAGAATCAGAAAGTTAGCTGATAACTGCACAGGTCTCTAAGGTTTCTTGGTCTTCCACTCAGTCGGAGGAGGTACCGGATCAGGATTGGGATCACTCTTATTGGAAAGATTGTCAGTCGATTATGGTAAGAAATCTAAATTGGGTTTCACCATCTATCCATCACCATAAGTTTCAACCGCAGTCGTTGAACCATACAACTCCATCTTGTCAACCCACTCATTGTTGGAGCACACTGATGTCTGTGTCATGTTGGATAACGAAGCCATCTATGATATTTGCAGAAGAAATTTGGATATTGAAAGACCAACATACACCAACTTGAACAGATTGATTGCCTAAGTCATCTCTTCATTGACAGCCTCATTGAGATTCGATGGTGCCTTGAACGTCGATATCACTGAGTTCTAAACCAACTTGGTCCCATATCCAAGAATCCACTTTATGCTTTGCTCATATGCCCCAATCATCTCAGCTGAAAAAGCTTATCACGAATAATTGTCAGTTGCTGAAATCACAAACTCAGCCTTCGAACCAGCAAACATGATGGCTAAGTGTGATCCAAGACATGGTAAATACATGGCTTGCTCCATGCTTTACAGAGGTGATGTCGTCCCCAAGGATGTCAACGCTGCCATTGCCACCATCAAGACAAAGAGAACCATCTAATTCGTCGACTGGTGCCCAACAGGATTCAAGGTCGGAATCAACTATCAACCACCAACAGTCGTCCCAGGAGGTGATTTGGCTAAGGTCATGAGAGCTGTTTGTATGATCTCCAACTCAACTGCCATCGCTGAAGTCTTCTCCAGACTTGATCACAAATTCGATCTTATGTATGCCAAGAGAGCCTTCGTCCACTGGTACGTCGGTGAAGGTATGGAAGAAGGAGAATTCTCTGAAGCCAGAGAAGATCTTGCTGCCTTAGAAAAGGATTATGAAGAAGTCGGTATTGAAACCGCTGAAGGAGAAGGTGAAGAAGGAGAAGCATGATAAATCAATATATATACAAATCAAAATNATTTCTATTCACGTCGGATAAGGAGGTATTTAAGTTGGTAATGCCTGTTGGGAATTGTTCTGTCTTGAACACGGAATCCAGCCAGATGGTCAAATGCCATCAGACAAGACTATCGGAGGAGGAGATGATGCCTTCAACACCTTTTTCTCAGAAACTGGTGCAGGAAAGCACGTCCCAAGAGCTGTCTTTTTGGATTTGGAACCAACAGTTATTGATGAAGTCAGAACAGGAACATACAGATAATTATTCCACCCAGAATAATTGATTTCAGGAAAGGAAGATGCTGCCAACAACTTCGCCAGAGGTCACTACACCATCGGAAAGGAAATCGTCGATTTGTGCTTAGACAGAATCAGAAAGTTAGCTGATAACTGCACAGGTCTCTAAGGTTTCTTGGTCTTCCACTCAGTCGGAGGAGGTACCGGATCAGGATTGGGATCACTCTTATTGGAAAGATTGTCAGTCGATTATGGTAAGAAATCTAAATTGGGTTTCACCATCTATCCATCACCATAAGTTTCAACCGCAGTCGTTGAACCATACAACTCCATCTTGTCAACCCACTCATTGTTGGAGCACACTGATGTCTGTGTCATGTTGGATAACGAAGCCATCTATGATATTTGCAGAAGAAATTTGGATATTGAAAGACCAACATACACCAACTTGAACAGATTGATTGCCTAAGTCATCTCTTCATTGACAGCTTCATTGAGATTCGATGGTGCCTTGAACGTCGATATCACTGAGTTCTAAACCAACTTGGTCCCATATCCAAGAATCCACTTTATGCTTTGCTCATATGCCCCAATCATCTCAGCTGAAAAAGCTTATCACGAATAATTGTCAGTTGCTGAAATCACAAACTCAGCCTTCGAACCAGCAAACATGATGGCTAAGTGTGATCCAAGACATGGTAAATACATGGCTTGCTCCATGCTTTACAGAGGTGATGTCGTCCCCAAGGATGTCAACGCTGCCATTGCCACCATCAAAACAAAGAGAACCATCTAATTCGTCGACTGGTGCCCAACAGGATTCAAGGTCGGAATCAACTATCAACCACCAACAGTCGTCCCAGGAGGTGATTTGGCCAAGGTTATGAGAGCTGTTTGTATGATCTCCAACTCAACTGCCATCGCTGAAGTCTTCTCCAGACTTGATCACAAATTCGATCTTATGTATGCCAAGAGAGCCTTCGTCCACTGGTACGTCGGTGAAGGTATGGAAGAAGGAGAATTCTCTGAAGCCAGAGAAGATCTTGCTGCCTTAGAAAAGGATTATGAAGAAGTCGGTATTGAAACCGCTGAAGGAGAAGGTGAAGAAGGAGAAGCATGATAAATCAATATATATACAAATCAAAATATAAATACACATCACAATATAATAATTTATTACAAAATGAGAGAGATTCTTTAATTTCATGTTGGATAAGCTGGAATCCAAATAGGAAATACTGCCTGGGAATTGCTTTGTTTAGAACACGGAATTCAACCTGATGGTTCTGCTCCAAGCTCTTAGAATCTCTAGGTTTTATTTTCAGAGTCATCAACTAAAGCAAATGTGCCCAGGGCTGCATTCTTTGATGATGACCCACTTACTATCAATTCACTTAATAGAGGACCATTAAAGAAGGTCTTGAATTAAAACCTCATTAAATTATTTAAAGATGATGCATCATCAATATGGGCATCCAAGAAGATTAAATAATACGATGAAAAAGATCGGTCTACTCGTACTGCTGAAGAAATCGTTCGCAAAATGTTGGAATCTGCAGATGCAGCCTCAGCGATTATAATATATCATTCATTAGCAGGAGGATTTGGAAGCGGTTTCACATGCTAATTATTATAATTGTTGAATGATGAAACTGCTAAAACAACAAAGTTGACAGTATCAGTATTTCCATCAACTAAACAAGACTAATTATTTACTTAACCTATTGTTGAACCCTATAATACAATACTCACTTTGCCAACACTTTCAGAAATGTCTGATTTCAATATTCTTTATGATAATGCTGCTATGTATAAAGTATGCCAGAATCAATTAGATTTTGAAACACCCAATTATAGTCATCTCAATTATATGATTGCTTAAACTATTTCATCAATTTCTCAATCAATTAGATTTCGAGGTACTAAATTGGTTGATTTTAATGATATGAGAAATAACTTAGTAACAACACCCAAATAAAAATATCTATGGGCTTCCTATTCTCCATTCATCTACTCAGATTAATAGCATTTAAAAAAACCTAACCTTTAAAATATAACTGAATCTTTATTTGATGATAGTGGGCATCTTCTTAGTTTTAATAGACTTACACATAGATACCTTGGCTCATCATTATTTTTCAAAGGAGATTGCCCTCTCCCCGAATTAAATTATGTGATTAAACAAATCAAACAATCGGAAGAAATACGCTTTGCAGAAGGAACCTAAGTTGCTTATTAAACCTGTGTTTCAAATGCTCAACCTTGTACACTACCAAATTACCCATTCGCCAAATATAACAAAGCTGCTTGTATGTTGGCCCATTCTACTGGTGTCTTGTACAATTTTGAATCCCTTAAAAAACGATTTAGCACTCTTTATTAAAAAAGAGCATTTGTTTCGTGGTATGTAGGGCAAGGATTAGAAGAAGGACAATTTAATGAATCAAATGAATCTTTACAATAAATAATTGAATTATACAAAGGCCAGCATGGAGACGGAAAACCCATTGAGGTTTAACCAAAAACAGATAGAAAATAAGAATATGGGTACAAAAAGGAGAAATAAGCATAATAATAACCATAAGTTAAAAAAACTCAAGAAGTTAAAAAAACATAAGAAGTTAAAAAAACTCAAGCTCCAAAAGCAAACAATTAACTTACAACAGCAAAAGTAGAAAATAACAATTATTCTGAAGATGCATATGACCAAAGAGCACCTGCAAAAGTCTAATAGAAACCCTAAAATCTTTAAACAAATAATTAAAAATTATCTAACTCTGCAAAACCAAATAGAATTTAACAAGAAGATGATAGTTATGTAAATCAACCATAATAACAAGAAGATGCTAATTAAATAAATCAACCTTAATAATAAGAAATTATCAATTAATAAGCCCCATAATAAGATGATGGAGCGCCTCTTTAATTGTAAGAGGCTCAATAATAAAATGAAAATGATTTATATGACGAAAGTAATGATCAATAACTTAAATAAAACGATCAGCAAGGACCTAAAGCAAATCAATTAAATGCAGTTGAAAATCTAGATATAAAATGAAAAGTATATAATATATCACCAATATATATAAATAAAATCAAAGCTTTATTTTTTGATTGTCCATCCCTAAATGAAATTCCTAAGGCAATTTTAAAAGGAATTTTTAAAAATGATTCTTTTTAATTGGATGATTAGGTTATGAATGCAATTTTTTTCTTAGACTGCTTTGTCCATTGTAATTTGATGTCATTTCAAACTATTCTTTTGTTATTTTTTCTTCATTTTAATTTATTTATTTTCCAAAACTCATGTTATATAAATTAAGCGATTCAATTCTTTCATTATAGAACTACCTTCTTTAAATATCCTGTTTCTATTCTAATTATGGTTCTGGCGTTTTAATTAAAGGCAGTCTAAAGTAGGTTTCCATCTACTTTTCAGCATCAGCTGATTTTGGAATTTATTTCAATGTCATTAAAGATTTAGGTGATTGAACTTTCTTTATCCTTTAAGATCCATTACATCCCCCCAATAATCTATTAATTAGTTATTATTTTTATTTATTTTCTTAAGCTAATTCTTCATTTTTTCTTTGCAAATATTCAATCACTTCGTTTTATTCAACTGGAGAAAGTACTCTCTTCTTTCCCTTATTCCCTTAGTCCAGACACTTCTCATCTTTTTTTAGCCAGTTTTTAGGACTTCTATAAGATTGTACACTTTCTTTAGCATTTTGAAACAATTTCTTGAGAATAGTGAATTATTTTACTTAATCATCAGTTATAATAAGCAGATTTTTAACATTTATTGATTTTCTTTATAATGCATCTACATGGTTTATAAATTATCGGCTTTCTTTTTTAGCCACTGAAGATTTAATTTCTACATTGTTTATCCTTGTACTTGCCACTGGCATATTGCTTTAGTGATCAGCAAAGTATGCAAGGTTTGAAGTGGTTTGAGAATTTCTCATTAAATCTTTATTAAATTAATTATTAATTGAACCAAAACATCCTCTATATTAATTCTTAATTAAATTATTTTTACTGTTAATTCCTTATCATAATTACTTGGCGAGCTAAAATTATCACATCCTAAGCCTAAACTGATATTACAATAGAATTAATGAGGTAAATTTAAAAGAATATTGAAATGAAAATGATAAGATTATGTGTTCTTTAACCAACCATTGATTTAAATAAGCATAAATCCAATTTATAAAGTATTTAGATTCGTATTTCATTTTAAAACATTTATTCTAAATGAAATTATTTTTTATTGAAATTATGTTTTGTTTTTAATTTTTTTTTGATATACTTAAAAGATTTTAAAGACATAACGATATAACCTAAAAGATTTTTGCATTATTTCTTACGAATTAGAATCGAGATTATGGATAATTTTATTGTTTACATGCTAATAATACAGAATACTAAGACAGATCGGGTCTATAATGTATTGTTTAACTTCTTAATTAATTATTATTTAAACATTAACCATAATCTAATCCATATAAGATTAAGAGATAAATATCAGAGATAATTTGATATTTTATTTTTGATGGATATTAATTGGATTACTAATTTAGTTGTATTGTTTTATTAAGAGTAAATTCAATTTTGTAATAAGCTTTAGTGTAGTTTGAATTAGCAATTGTAAAGTTTGGGATGAAGTAATTATTTTTGGATTATCTTGATTAGTGTCAATAATTTGAATATGGATTTTAACCATACTGTTTGATTGCAATAGATGCAGCTAACGTTATTTGATTAAATTATTATTATCTGTTATTCAATAGTATTAAGTCTAAGCATCCTCTTAAAATCATTTCGGCTTATTATTTAAATTTATAAAAATTTAATGATTTATATTTGCCTAATACTAATTGTGATATTACTTTTTGATGATATAATTTGGGTTATTCAAGACAAGAATATTTAAAACATAAAATATCTAAAGCTATTCTTAACCATCATCAAAACAGAATTTAACATAGTTTTAATACCATATTTTAGTGATGCCAATACATATTTGGTTACGTTCATTCAAAGATTAGATAGTATGGAAGCGATATAAAATATTAGAACAAAATACTTCATATTAATTTTATGTTATAGTTAATTAACTTGATAAAATTGAGACAATAACAGCTATTTGAAAATTAGCCATATGACCCAAAAATTGATAAGGAACGCATAAATTAGGAGAATTAATTACTCCAAGTTTTATATCGTTTCTAAAGAGTACATATTGATGAAAAGTAAGAGAAATTATGATTTAATTTAATCAGATTGAATTTCTATGAACAATCAGCTCAACTAATGAATAAACCTATTCAACCTTTGCTTCCAATGCAAGTGTATGATTTTATTGCTAAACTATATATGGAATTTTTTCAAGAAAATCAATTTTAAGACAAAGCATAAAAAATCTAATTAATCTTGGAAAATGAGATGCATAAAAACCAATCATTCATTATTCTAATGATTAAATGGCTTTTAGAGTATTATAGATATTAAGTAAAAACTAAGGAGCCTCAATTTAAGCCTGTATAAGTAATGAGAAGAAAACTACTAATGACAATTGATTAAAATAAATTAGAAGTGAAAAAATCTTCAGAATCACAGACAAAAAGGATAAGAATGCTGAATTTATCTAAAACTTCAGAAAGTGATTAGAATACTCTGTCCTCCTCTTATCAATAATCAACTCTAAGGAGAACTAAAATAAATTAAAGACAGTTATATAATGTGATACCTGACTTAGATTGGGATATACCATGGGATAGATCATATAAGGTTTTGTTCAATCGAAACTAAAGAATATCGAGATCTATTTAAAAGAATTGCAACTGATATCAACTATTTATACTCAATTGTTATTAATATTTTCTACTAGATTTTATATTAAAAAATAAAAATAGTGGAATTGTTGTTTATATGAATTTCTAATCATTATTATAAATAATGTTAATATCTCTCCATATTTCTCTGTAGAACTTGTTCAAGTGGACCCATTAACCTTTTGAAAGAATTGAAATCGCAATAAAGTAAGGTAACATCTGTCTAAAAGTATTAGTCAATATTACTTTAGCAATAACGGTTGCTTATCTTGGACTATTTTTTAATAAGGCTAATTCTCCAAAATAATCACCGGATTTGTAGTCATATACCTTTTCATTTAATTTATTTGAATAAGCTTCAAGTTCTCCTTCAATTATTAAATAAATGCGATCGCCTATTTCTCCCTAATATATTATAAATGATTGAACCTCTGTAATAATTGTATTGCCTGCCTAATGCTTTTCCTCTCTCAATACATCACATAACTAAACTCTTTCATAATTATCCATAGATTGGAGTAACTCAATTTTACCTAAGATTTCCTCCATTTATTCTCTTTTTTTTATAGCTGAAAATTTGACAATATTATTAAAAGTTTCTCTATCCAAAGCAAATGTTGTGACATTTTCGATTGCCTTAATTGTAGCAGCTCTTGGAGCATTATACAATAAAGCTAGTTCACCAAATGATTCACCAGGAATGTATGTCTTCAGTAACTTTTCTTCTTACAAACCTGCGAATCTTTTATAACATTCAAGACGGCCTTCATCAATCACATATAATTCATTTCCATCCTCTCCTTGTTTAATTACAAAATCTCCAACCCTTTTTATATAATATATAAAATTACTAAAACTTCTTTTCTTCCATTGCTCCTAAAACGATATTAAGATCCTTCTCATCTAGTGCTTAAAACATAAAAGAATTAAGGATTCTTTTCTTAATTCTATCAATTTGTCCCTAAGACTTTTATATAAATCTTGGTTTGAAATCCTCTTTTTTGTTATATTCTCCATAAACTTCAGCAGATACTGCCGATCTTGTCTATTGCTTTTGATTCTATTTAATTTCCAAAACCAGCTCCTCTTCCTCCTCCTCTTCATCACTAAGATCATTATTTACTACTTGCAACTAGAATGAACCTCTTTCTAAATATGAACAATCGATAAATATTTACACTATTTTTATAACCAATTTATTGACCATGTATAAACATCATCTGGTTTTTCAATAACAATACGAGCAATCAATTAATCAAATACTGGTTTTACTTTTGCACTTATATAATCCTTGGCGGCAGTTTTCTTTGAGCTCATAAAATTTTATAAATTAATTACGATTTTTTTGTATAAATCTTCTTGCAGATTCTTTGATATCTCTGCACTACATCATTGTTGTATAAATATGTACTAAATAAAAGTTAATCGAATTTTTAAATATATAATCACAAAAACAATTAGTACTGCTATCAGGAACTTAAAAATTAATCTTCCTCCTCTGGAAAATGATCTTATTCTAATTTATGTATTAGAAATCCTTCAATCTGTCTTTTTATTGATTTAAGATCTATTGTTGTATGCATTTCAAAAGTAAAAAGATCATCGTAATCTTATTCTAAATATGCTTTTGTTTCTTAACTAACATGTACAAACCCCTTAACTCCATTTGATTCCATTTTATTTGCAATTAGCACATCTGGACCATAGATATCATATCTTACAATATCTGTTCCCATGATTCCTCCAAACACTGAGCCAGTATGTATTCCTATTCTCATATTCAACCCATCAAAGTTTATTTACTTTCTCACCTAACTTATTATTTTGATCATCTCAAAGGCCAAATCTACTATGTTCTTTGCTTCTTAATGTGGATTTCTATTATTATAATCAATCATCCCGATTGCAACATAACAATCTCCAATTGTGTACAATTTATAGACATTCAATTCACAACATTTTCTATCGAATTCTACAAACAGATTTTTCAACATTACCAATACTTCTTCTGGTTTCACTTTACTTGAATATTCTGTAAAACCAGCAATGTCAGCAAATAGAATTGTCAATTTATCTAATTTATCACAAATTCCAATGTTATTGATTCTATCATCCAAAAACTTATTTAGTATGTGTTTCGGCAATAAATACTGAAGCAATTATGATTCTTTTTGCTATTAAGTTTTAAATATGTTTTTTTGATTAAAACAACCTACTTATTGTTGTTCAATGAATAATATCAAAGTTAAATTGTACATTGAGCTTACGAAAATGAAAAATATACTTATTAATTATGTTCCATCAATGCAAATTATTATTATTAGGTAAAAAAAGTTGAAAAAACAAAATAACACTTTTACCCAAAAACTTAGAATTTAAACACTACAAAAAATACATTAGATGAAAACGATCTCGTACACATGAACATTTTTCAATTCATCGCTATCATCTAAAACTATAGCTATCCCTGCTAATATAACTTAGACGAGCAATAAAATTTTTATTAGGATCTTCCATTTTTCAAAGTAGGGCTTTCTGTTTATCAAAAACTGAATGAGGTTCAGAATGCAGCAAAACCATTGTAATACAATTATAACTATATTGTAATCATTGTAGAATTATATCTAACAAAATTACTTTATCATATAATATAAGGTATACAACCTTAAATTATAAATTGTCTGATTCCTAGACTAAAATTTCACAAATTCCATATACTAGTCATAGCTTATAAACTAATTCATTTGTTTCTTATAATATGAAATCTCTAACAATTATAGAAACGAGATATCTTTTATTAAGTTATGTTCTAGAGTGTATTCGTTCTTTAATAAAATTACGTTCTCTAATTAATTACATAAACGATACCAATAATTATTCATAGTCTATCATTTCATCTATTTCTGGTTCATAATTTTCTAATTAAAATCTGTTCTAAAGCATTGTGACTAATCTCTTAAATGTACTGGGTTATTCTAAAGTTTATTATTTTCCTTATTTATCCTCAGAAACTTGCTTAGATAATAATTGAATTGATTATTCCGATTTTTCATCATAAGATTAATAAATGGCAGGATCAGTAGGTTTAATACCAAATACATTCTGAGTACCTTTATCTTATATTGACTCCCTTCTTTGATTCATAGTATCTATATAAGTCAGAATGGTCTTTCTTTTCTTTAAGTTTTTTTTCAATATTTCAGGATTCTTTCTTACAACGTAGTTGCTTCTTGCATCTCTACTTTATAAATCCTATTCGTATTGCATAGAATAAGTATTGTCTTTATTTTAAATCTTACATTTAAATATATATGTTGGTCTAATACCCAAACCTTTCATTTCTACATTTCTAATCTCGAATTCAATATTTTCATTTTTTATTTAATCAAAAGCTTATTCTGACAAAGTTATTGTGTCCTCTAATCCAGTCGAACATACTCTACTCGTCGTATTTACTGTGTCACCAATTAATGAAAATTAAGGTTTATGAAATCCTATGACTCCACTAATGGCCCCTCCATAATGAATTCCAATCTTTCCAACTAATTATTAACCCTAAGTACCCCACCTTAGATAAAATAATGTATTACTATTTTGACCTAATATAATTCATCATTTATTCAGCCAAATTTAATGCTCTCTAAACAGGATCAACCTAGGACAAATATGTTAATTCTTATTCACATGCCTTTAATCCAGCCGAAGCCAAATAAGTTTTTCCAACTGTTTCTATCTTTTAAACTCCGTAAACTTAACAGAATTTATCAAAGGTTCTAAATATATCATCCAAAAATGGAATAATTTTATCTTTTTCTTCTATGACCATTTAATCAAAATTACAAATGTCACAAAACACTATTGCCACTAAACCTTAGTTTTAATGGATATTATATTAATCAGCTAAAATATTAATTGAACATCAATTACTTTCATTTAATCTATCTCTAATGAATTTAGGTAACAGAATTCCAAGGATGTCATTAATTTTATTATTTTACTCAATAAAGTTTAATTTATTTTAAGCCTAATCTTCTTCTAATTATATATACTAGATTTATAATCATAATAATCTTACATAGCTCTTTACAAAATACTGGGATCCTGAAAACAGAACGATAAACTATAAGATTTAAATTATGAAAGAAACATTAGATTCATTCTCAATAATATACCAAATTATATAACCAATAATAGTTGTTAATGTTGAACCCAAATACAACCTGTAGTCATAAATTGGATGAAATTTTATGGATAATTAATAAGTAATAAAATATTACATAACTAATGTAGATCCAATATGTTCAGAGTTATTTGATGTAAAAAGAATTGAAACTGTTGCTGCAGTTGCAATAATAAATTTGGCATACTCAAGATATTGTTATCTATTTGTAGGTAATTGAATAAATGTAAATAATATAAACACAATTACCTGAAGTCCAAAAATGATCAGATAATCTACTAAAAAGTAATTGTTGTAATCTTGATATAAATACATTATGAGTAAGAATGTGCAATGATAAAATAGTAGTTAAAGACATTAAATAGTTTATTTTTGTTTCCATTTTAATATGGTTTATGCCTTATGGAAAATCTATTATGTCCATTAGCCGAATCTGCTCTGATAGTTTTGCTCATTTAATAATACTAAAAAGTAATAATTTTGATTTACATTTTTGAATGCTCAAATCAACTTGTTCTATGTTATCAAAGAGATCATTAACTTTATTCTATAAAATAGTTACAGTTTTCTTTTTTTAAGCAGGTGCACTAATTAGATGGATATAACTTAAATAAGATAAAAATTCTTCTTCTCTTTTAGGAAGATCATTTACACTACAATTTTATAGATAATCTCCTAATATATTAGTGATTAACATAAAAGAAACTCCTAATATAATTGAAAATACTTCCTATGTATTTATTTTTGTTTTCCATTCCTCATCTTCTTGGGCATCTAACAAAGTGTAAATGTAAAAAAGAAGTGCAAAAATGCTAGAAGCTATAATTTTTAGCTTCAATCCAAAATTTATTATCATACTAAGCCAGTCACTGATGCTAATCGACATAAAAATGTAAAGATAAAATTCTTTCTGATAAATATCATATAAGAATATGCATGAAACTAATATTCCTTACAAAATATTCTTAATTACTATTAATATCTATATTTCAGTTTCAGATTTATGTTTAGAGTACATTTAAAGTAAAAGAGATTAATCCCGAGTGTATTTGAGTTTCTTTGAATCATCAAGAAATTAATAATGTTAGATACCAAATAAAAAGAATTGGTATATGTAAAAATAGAATGCTATTTCTAACAAGTAATTCAATTAATCTAATGTATTCCATGTGTAAAGGATTGAAGTAAAAGTAAAATAAGATATAAATGTTACTGTTTTGTAGATAGTTTATTATTATATGGATCTAAACAATATTTTTAATAAAGGACTTTAAAAGAATAATAATCTATCCAATTCTTTAAAACCTTAAATAATTACCTCTGTATTTGAATTAATTTACAATTCATTAAAATAGCATTTTTCATAAATAAGTCGTTATCTCAAAGATTATTTTAATTTCCTAAAGAAATTGTTCTTGTCCACTCTTCCGAATTTCTAATTTCTAAATTAGCTAAATTGTTATAATTGTAATATTTAAATTTAACATCCACTAATACATCTTAACAAGCTTTAATTTTCAGATAATAGATTAATAGTTTTCTGTGATGTACACCATAATTCTTAGACAATATTTAATTGGTCTTGAGTTGCTTAGTACAAAAATAATGCTTTGGTAAAATTAAGTAATAATTTTAAATGGTTCTTAAAGTAAACATTCTCCATTATCTATTAACAAGTTGAATTGTTCAAAATGACAACTACTTTTTTAGTCTTTGACTTTTCTGCAGCATGATCCAATTCAGTAGACTTTTAAGCACTATAATTTGATATTTTGATATATCTAGAACTATTGATACTAGCATGAGAAAACTAATTAGAAAATTCTTCAAGACATTACTTAAAGTAGGCTCTTAAATCTTCTTCATTTTATTAATTGAAATGGAAGATTAAATCATTTTATTATAACAATTCAGTTTAGTATAGTATAGAGGTGGCTGAAATCTCCTAATTTTGAGTATAAATGAATAATTAATAATCTGATTTCCTGACATTTCTCATAAAATCTTGACAATCCTGTTTCAATTCATAGCTCAAACCAAATATAATATTCAATTTAAATAGCTGTTCCATGAGTGTGTACAATTAATTTTCTGATATATTACTTTCCGCAGAAGATAAATATAAGTTAGCTTCTTCTTAACTTAAAAAACAATAGTAATAGTATATGTAATGTAAAGACTCTGATTGAAGTTTCAACACCTTATCTTCAATACTCTCATTTTTCCTTACGTTAGCTTCTCTCAAGAATAAAATGAATTGTTGATCAATTTCTTAAGATTAGTCATCCATCTCAAATAACATGTACAGTCTTTGGTTTTGGATATGTAATTTAGTGTTAACTAATTTGAATTAATAAAGCTCTTTGTTGATTTAAATGATATAATGTTATTACTACCTATTCAATATGATAAATATATTACTAAACATTATTTACACAAATGAATTCATAACCCATCATCTTAGCCATATTGACTTACTTTTGATCGAGCAAACTGAGAAATTTATTTTTGACTTTTTATTCTTTTTTTTCAGTAATCAATAATTTCGAAAATGCAAGATGATTCATTGCCAATTACAAAAGTAAAGGATTGAGTTCATTTTTTGTATTATTCTATATCATAGATTTATAGAGAGCATTTTCATCGATTAAATACTTATCTTATTTTACCTAATCCTTTGATGATTGATATATTTTTGAGCTTTTTTATTGGTTAGATTATCTTTAAGCAGTAAGATGATCCCCTATCTCCTGATTTTCGAATAAATTGTTATCATTCTGAATTTATTCTTAGAAAATTAATTGAGCTTGATTTAGATTCAATTCATCTTTGTAATCTTATTAATAACAGTGGATGAATCTACCATCAACTGATTTTGGAACTTTATTAACAATGCATTCTCTTTGACTAAATAAAATCTCTGAACTTGAACTCTACATTTCATAATTAACGACTTAAGAATTTAATTAGTTATTCATTTGTTCTAAATTATTATCATTAGTATTCTTACCTTAATCTTATTTATTTAATCCATTTTCTGCTGTTGTCAAGAATTGCAAAAATTGTTATTCTTCAAAATCACAATATTAATTATTGTAAATAATGCGTTTCAATTTAAATGACTATTCTATTAATGCCTCTACACTAACAGTAAGAAACTGTTTCTCCAAATATCTATCTATATGACATGACATAATTTATTTTTAATCCATGGTACCGATTATTGTTAATTAAAATAGACTGCAGATATTATAATAAATCTTAAAGAAATGAGGAATCATCAAAATTAAGTAGATGCAATTATCAAGTACAATTTATGTTATCTATCTTAATTCATACATATATTCATTCTGATTAAAAGCTATGATTTAAATCTAAAAGATATAAAAATATTTACAATCATGATTACACAAATAACAAAGTAAAATCCAAAATACTAATTATTATCAAATCTTAATTTTCCTTGTAGTTTTTAATAGCAAAAGCAACCATTGCCTACTTTCACAACCACTCCCAAAATCCAAGGGGTTGCCAATAATTTCTCTTAGCAGAATATGAAATTTTCAAAGTCAAGCATTTTAGATTAAGGATCTTTCTTTAATTGAAAAAAACCTCTGATTTAAGTGTTTTGTTCATGAAATACTATATTTCCAGTCAAAGACTTTTTAAATTAAACCAAAGTTTGTGATTCAGCTAATACCAAAGATTTAATTTTTACATCTATTTTATACTACTGGTTTTCTCACAGTTGATTATGAGTAATCACATAACTATTATTAAACACAAAAATTCTCATCATTGCAATGCAACACAATTATGTCACATGGGGCAATTTCATTTCTTTGCAATAATATAACTTCACCTATTTTAATATCTTTAACATTTTGAGATTTAATTAAATTCATTTTATCCTTCTCCATTTTTTTCAACTTTTCATTTAATGGTATTTTTGCTGTTGTTTAAACCAAGTCTTTAGGAAATATGCTTGGAACCAGTTTTTTAAATTGAATAATCAAAGGATCAGTTTCCATTATTTAAATTTATTGTAATTTCAAAGCCAAATCCTTATAAATTAATGGACTCATTTGATTTTATTTCTTAATATTTTCAGATGCTTTGATATTTTTGTTACTTTGTTGCTATTTGTATTGGATTTATTAAAATGGTATGGAATCGTTTGCTAAAATGAGTTAGTCAATTTTATTACATATAATTGTTCTGGAGATTCCTTTCTTTTGACTCTGACCATACTCAACTTTCTTATTGTTTTACGAATTCCTTTCAACCTATGACTTACTTTTTAATCTCAAATTACTCTCACTTTAATCTTTCTAATCCTATCTTTCCTTTATTTTTGATATAATTTCCTTATTAACTATGCAATCATCCCATTACTTTATAATTTTTGCCTCTTATTCTTTTAACATTTTATCCATGTTTCGTATTTTTAAACAATTATGTAAATCAACTATCCATTATTGTAACACTAAGGGGATTGCCACAAAATATAAAGGCAGGGAAGAAAATGCTTATAATATAAGAAGTAAAAAGTAGAAGATGTTTTCCTTTATGGCTCTTAAAGGAAAAAGAAATATAAAATTCGCCCTCTAAATTTTATTTTCACTTTCTAAAAATCCTTCAGATGAAACAGTTTCTCCATTTCTAAATTGAATCTTATTAACTATGTAGATAGTACTTGATATGTATTTTTTCTCATTTCATTATTATGCCTGTAATTCAGGAATAATTATTTCATTTTTATTTATAACCGAATGGCAATCAATTAAGAACTTAGTTTTGAACTCAAAATTTATGTCTATATTAATTTTGATGCCCAGTGATAGGGTTACTCCAATTTAGTTGAACAAATGCAAAAGAAATAATTAATCTCTTAAAATATCATAATGAAAGTTTGAAAACAGATTCATCAATTCATTATCATCATCGTAATGATGAATCTTGAATAAAAAATTGAATATGTGAGAATTAACAATGCAATAAAATAGACACTAAATTCATAGACATAATTATTCTATTCAAGCGCATCAATCAATCCTTTAATAATCCATACTCCATAAATTTTGAATTTCAAACAACTCTTCAATAATATCTAAAGGTGCCAATTTACTTACTTATCGATATAAGATTAAATGTTATGCCATTTATAGTTATATTTTTCATTTTGTCGATTATCATCAAATTTAATCTATTTATTATAAATTACTAACTATTTGAGTCATAATAATATTTCATTCCTTTTATCTGCATTAGTCTATAAAAAACTTATAGATATAGGCATTTATGGTTATCAAAGTCTTTAAAATAATTGCCAACTAATATTAAAGGTAAATTCCTATTAAATAACTGTTGCACTATTAATTGAGGATGTAAAGAGGAATTATAGCTAAATTAGTTAAAGGTAGTTTTTAATTCAACTAAATTTATAAATGGGTAGATTTTAAAAAAGGGTTACTGTTAAGCATTTAAATATTAAATTTAATATATACAAGATATAGTAATTTAAAATATTTGATTTATTAGGATTAAAGTCAATATATTGTATCAATTAAATTTTACGTACAGCTTACAATTAAATATGTATAACTACTTATTATTTTTATATGAATTATAAAATCATATATTTATAATTTTGTTAATAAATGTTGAATTTAATCCATGGTGTGTTTAGGGAATAACTAAAGATGTAATAACTAATAGATTGTATTTTAACATAATATGGTTGCCTTGTAATTCATTATAAATATATTGAAATTAAAAACCAAACATTTTCTTATGTAAAGTATAAATTAAATTTTTATTCTTCAATTAATATCCTGAGATGATAGTATTTTCAAATACTTATCAAGCAACTGATGGCTTTTTTGTACCTATATAATTTCGATTTTTAATTTGTTATTTTTAATTTAGTTACAAGATTTCTTTATGTTTTTACATTTAATAAGATATCAAATTTAATTATACTTTAAATATATATTCTTACTGAGTTTCAATGGTAAAATCTTTCTTAAATTCATAGATTTATTTGAATTATTGTAGTTTCCTGATTGTAAATAATCTTGGAATGACTTGTTAAACATACTGCATCAACATTTTTAAATTAAACTTAAAATTATTCATTCTTTAGTTATTACTCATAATTTTAGTATTTGAAAAACGTTGATAAATAATTGGAATATTTGTAGAAAGCTCTTGAGTCATTAAAATAATTTTCTATTATGAATCTAAATTAAAGAAATAAATTCTTATTATTAGTTATCTTTTTGCTTAATAAAATAATTCACTAATTATTGATATTAATATAATAAATCTAGGTATAATAATAAAATAATAAGAATGGGTGCAACTTGTTCAAATATTAAAAACCAAAATGTATTTAACATCATGGAACTACCATATAAGTATAGATATTAAGAGTCTTAGTATTCATGTGATGGCATACATCTGGTCTGATAATGGACATAATTTATTTGATTATGAAAGTGATTCGCTAGTAAAAAAATCAATTGATTTCGATTTCTAGGGTATTTCCCTTATATATATTAGGAAGGGTGGTTTAATTGGATAGAGATATTTTAGCTTTAACAAAAAATGTAAGATTATTTAGATTATTATAAAGGAGGTAGTAAGAAATTAAAGAGAAATATTTGAGTTTCGCAGTAATCAAAAATATATTGAGTTATATAATCCTAAGATCGAAAATGCATTCTGGAAAGTTATTCGTCCTATCCAGGCATCAGATTTACCTACTTTGGACCGTCAAAAATTAATCATTAATACAACAATAAAATTAGGAAGAGTCAAGTTGACAGTTCTTGATTATAGCTTTGCATATGAGTTTGATGATGGAGGAGGAGTACCTGATGAATTAGATGAAAAAAATAACTTAAATGATAGTGAGTGCGTAGAAGGATAGGTGTNATAAAATCATATATTTATAATTTTGTTAATAAATGTTGAATTTAATCCATGGTGTGTTTAGGGAATAACTAAAGATGTAATAACTAATAGATTGTATTTTAACATAATATGGTTGCCTTGTAATTCATTATAAATATATTGAAATTAAAAACCAAACATTTTCTTATGTAAAGTATAAATTAAATTTTTATTCTTCAATTAATATCCTGAGATGATAGTATTTTCAAATACTTATCAAGCAACTGATGGCTTTTTTGTACCTATATAATTTCGATTTTTAATTTGTTATTTTTAATTTAGTTACAAGATTTCTTTATGTTTTTACATTTAATAAGATATCAAATTTAATTATACTTTAAATATATATTCTTACTGAGTTTCAATGGTAAAATCTTTCTTAAATTCATAGATTTATTTGAATTATTGTAGTTTCCTGATTGTAAATAATCTTGGAATGACTTGTTAAACATACTGCATCAACATTTTTAAATTAAACTTAAAATTATTCATTCTTTAGTTATTACTCATAATTTTAGTATTTGAAAAACGTTGATAAATAATTGGAATATTTGTAGAAAGCTCTTGAGTCATTAAAATAATTTTCTATTATGAATCTAAATTAAAGAAATAAATTCTTATTATTAGTTATCTTTTTGCTTAATAAAATAATTCACTAATTATTGATATTAATATAATAAATCTAGGTATAATAATAAAATAATAAGAATGGGTGCAACTTGTTCAAATATTAAAAACCAAAATGTATTTAACATCATGGAACTACCATATAAGTATAGATATTAAGAGTCTTAGTATTCATGTGATGGCATACATCTGGTCTGATAATGGACATAATTTATTTGATTATGAAAGTGATTCGCTAGTAAAAAAATCAATTGATTTCGATTTCTAGGGTATTTCCCTTATATATATTAGGAAGGGTGGTTTAATTGGATAGAGATATTTTAGCTTTAACAAAAAATGTAAGATTATTTAGATTATTATAAAGGAGGTAGTAAGAAATTAAAGAGAAATATTTGAGTTTCGCAGTAATCAAAAATATATTGAGTTATATAATCCTAAGATCGAAAATGCATTCTGGAAAGTTATTCGTCCTATCCAGGCATCAGATTTACCTACTTTGGACCGTCAAAAATTAATCATTAATACAACAATAAAATTAGGAAGAGTCAAGTTGACAGTTCTTGATTATAGCTTTGCATATGAGTTTGATGATGGAGGAGGAGTACCTGATGAATTAGATGAAAAAAATAACTTAAATGATAGTGAGTGCGTAGAAGGATAGGTGTAATGCAGATTTTGTCTAAGTAAATTGGCAAAATTTGAAAATCCCTTCATAAGTCCATGCAAATGCACTGGTTCCATCAAATATATACATTTAAAGTGCTTATAAAGTTGGATAAATAGTCAATTAAAAACAAAAACATAAAATGGAGTAACTTTGTATTATTGGAAAAGTATGAAATGTGAGTTATGTAAGACTATGTACAAAAGTAAGTATTCAAAATATCAAATATTATAGCATCATTTAAATTTAAGTCAATTTAATACAATATATGCGATATAAATAAACCCAAGGAACCTTATTTATTATTATAAATAAACCATAGCGATAAAAATAAAGAATAGGGACTATATGTAATTGATATAAAAACAAGGGATACAATTAAAATAGGCAGAACATAAGATTGTGATATAAAATTGCATGATATTTCAGTCTCTCGACATCATGCTAGTATATTGGTTAACCATTAGGAGTAATCCTTTTATTTGGAAGACAATTGTTCAAAATTTGGAACACTAGTACTAGCGTAGGATGAAGATTTATAGATTTAATTGAATTCTCCAAAAAGATTAGCTTTACAAGTAGGTAGGATTGTAATAGTAGTAACAATAGAAAAAAAAATAAACAAAAAGAAGTATGTAATTATGATATGAATATCTAGAATAAATAAATATCGAGTTCCTGCTTAGTTTGAAGTATTTAGATAAATTAAATAACATGAAGATGAAGTAGAATAATAATCTGCTGAACAATAATAATAATCAGATGTTGAGGACATTTTAATAAATGATCCAACTTTTGATAGAGATTAAGACATGACGAAATTTAAAAATATGAATTTTTTAACTGGAAGTATTATTTAGAGAGAGTAATAGTGATTTGATATCTTATATTGATAATTTTTCAAATCTTCTATTATTATTTTTTCAAAGCAATTGCTTTTTTGGCTTTTTTTGATAAATACAATAGTTTAACAACAATTTTTAGAGCCATCTATATATTTAGACTAGTTAAAGCGAATTTAATATCCATTTCAGTAACATCAACATATTGAATATATTGATTTTGTAATGGTTATTTACCAAAATCAGTTAACCAATCGTCTAAAATTATCTAATCTATTTTATATCTCTTTTCAACATTTTTTTCTAGCATTCCTTTCAGTAATTTAAGGATTGATGAATGAAACCCAATTGGTTAAGGGAAGGGAGGACTTGATTTTATAACATTGTAGTTTACTTGTCTTCTAATATTTATTATCTGAGTTCCATAGACTTTTAACTTGGAAAGGGTAATCTACCATAAACCATCTAATATAAAGTAACTCCTCCTGCCCAAATATCAACAGGTTTTCCATCGAAATTCTATCCTTGAATTAAGATTTTATTATAAAAATACCTTTAAATACTTCTGGTGCCAAATAGGCTTGAGTTCCAGTTTAATTGGAGATTCTTCCATCTTATCCGTCTTCCATGATATGTGAAACTCCAAAATCAGCTATTTTCAATTAATCTTAAATATTGACTAATAAATTATCAGGTTTGATGTCTCTATGTATAACATTAACACATTCATGTACTTAAGTAAATTTAATTTTAAATACAATAATCTAATCCTTTAATGAAATCACTAAAATAATGTCTACATTGTTCTTCAGTCAATCTTTAATTTATATTTTTATCTTCAATTTCATCCAAAATATTAGATGTCTCTTTATTCTTTTTAAAAAACCCCTTGCTGAGTATGCTACCCTTTCCCATGTATTCCATAACTAAGTACAACTTATCTTATTTAGGATCATCAATGACCTCATGTAATTGGACTACATTAGTATGTGAGATCTTTGATGAATATTAAAATAATTTCTACTTTTTTCATAATAGCAATTTCTCTTTCCAACATTGTATAAGCATTTGATTTAGATAAAAGTTTCTTTTTTAGTTTTTTTTTGTTTGCAATCTTAATTGCCTAATGATATAGCAGATATCAATACAAATTATTCTCCTTTAAAATTCTAAGCCTTTTTAACTTTTCCAAATGCTCCCTGTCCCAAGGATTCAATTACTGTATATTAATTAATTTATGCCATTCCTTCAACATTTATACTTTTTTCTAAACGAGATGTCTAAACAACATCGAGTGTGTGTTAAACAGCTAAGGATTTTCGAGGCTTAAGTCTTTGGGAACCCAATATTTAAGATTCCTTAATATTGAGATATTTTTCCATTGAAAGTTCAGCTTTCTATATATAATTTATATATTGACTTCCATCTTTTAAGATGATCTAATAAAATGTATGAGATTTGTATGAGCATATTCAATAAATGGTTTATTTATACTAGGGGATTTCGAAATAACTCCACTATCACGCATTGGAGTTGCATCAACTTTTCTTGGTTTATTACGAATCAATTCAATAAGATTGGTTTAAAATTTGAGTTTATTCTTAGGTGAAACCATTGTCGTATCCTCTAATTTATTGTTACATTCACTTTGGTCAGGTTTTACTTTATCATTTTCCAAAGACTTCTCTTAAAATAGAGAAAGCATTCTAATTCTAAAATAACACCATACCTAAAGTTATTCATTTGATTGTTAGACAGTCCACTACCCATTTTATTTAACAATTAATTAAACTTATTAAACATCCACTTTCTTTGTTGAAAACGAGATATTAAACTTAGTATTTTGAACTACCAAGCTATTCATGTAACAAATCCCTTTCATTTCAGAATTATTAAAACCATACAAACTAAGATTACACTTAGGAATGACATTTAGAGATGGTAAATCAAAAGAGTGGAATAGTTATAAAAAGGGATGATACAATAATAATTAATTGGTGTTAATTATTGTCTGATAGTCAATATATAACAATTAAACAATGATATTTAAATTTACAACCATATATGAAGAATAATCATATAGTGCTGAGTTAAGAAATGGTAAATCTTTGACATAAATTTTCATTTTATTAATATCGTTCATTGTGGACCAACATTAGATCTTGGAGCCTATTGTTATTGTTATTATTAGGGTTTTGGTTATTAAGGTATTTGTTATGGTTAGAATTACTAAACATAAGATGGAGCATATGTGGGTGCGAATCCTTATGGAACAACTCTAGAGGCGACCAATGGTTATGCATAAGTAACAGGTTATTAAACATATTAGACTGGTTATTGATAAACAGGTTATTAATAAACTGGTTATTATACAACCTAGACTGGTTGTTAGACTACTTAAACTGGTTATTAAACGACCTATTAGACAGGTTAAACTTATTGATGAACAACTTGTCTTTCAACTGGATAATACTCTACTCTCTCTTAATATCTGTCAACAGGGACATATTCTATTATATTCAATATATAAGAATACCTGTGTATTTCTCTTGAAATACTTAAGGAACATATTCGGTTTAGTACTCAACAGCATAATAATCTGTCACTTTTCTCTCTCTTGGGACATATTGAACCACTTCTTATTCCTCATATTCTACTACAGCCTTTTAATAAGGAACATATTCAATTCTTGATTCTCCTTTGATTGATTGATGCTAATTTGAACATTATTAAATTATTGTACTTAAACTTATGGGACTGGTTATTAAACGTATTAGACTGGTTACTAAACATATTAGACTGGTTATTGAACATATTAGACTGGTTAAGGAGCAGGGGCATATTGAACTGGTTGGATATATGATTATCGGATTGGGGATTATTGCAATGGGACAGCATACTACTATGAAAATACATTCTTACCTAGGGAACTGGTTGTTATAGGGTTGGTTAGCCAAATTTAGGAGCCTAAGTGGTGGCCAAAGGTTAAGCAGGTGGGGCATTGCTATATGGATGATTAGACATCTAATTATTTAAATAATAAAGATATATATATTTATATATATTTATCAAGCGAAATAAAATGAAATAAAAATAATCACATTTGTTAATAACAGAAAATATTGGCAGGATGATACTTGATATCCTTTCTTATTCTTTCAGACGGCTTAATAATAAGATGACATCCATGTAAACGATATGTCTTATTTCCTACAGGCAATAAAAATATAGTATTTTCTTTCTCTATAACTATTTGGATATATTATCATTAATTTACCACTTAATTAATCATTTTCTTTTATGATAATGAATGATTTCTTCTTTTCCCTCACTACTATTCCCTCTTACCCTTCGTAGGATTTACATTTGGAATACACTATCTAAATCAATGCTCCGTGAAAATCAGCCCTAAGTAATCTTTAGAACTTTGAATCTGTTTATTATTCTTTACTCAATAAATCTTCAATATATAATTTCCATAAGCTATTCAATTTTGACACAGCAGCATAAGTTAGATTCCCTAAATCTCTCTTAAATATCTTTAGTTGTCTATTTAAACCATTTTTAAGAGGTTCTAATTACTTTATATATTAATTCTTACATTATTATTCTCCATCAGCATTATTTCTCAATTAAAATGGTTTTTCAAATTTTCCTATCAAAAAACCTTTATGCTTGATTTTATCTCCATATAAATCAGCATCACCTATCATTTATGCCATCTCCAAATCTACCATTTCATTTTGCTACAAAATAGAAAAATCATTTACAAATTAATTTGCTGTCTCTATATTTATTGATTATTGATAAATATTCTCCGCTGTCAATTTCACCAATTCTAATCTATTTATCTCGTGATTCAATTTCAATTTCAATTAATGTTATTCCCTATTCTGAATTGACTTTTGTTATTTATCAACCTTTTATGGTGGTTTATCAGCCTTTTATGGTTATTTCTCTTTTTATTTTTTATCTTATTTCTCTATTTTCCCAAATATTTCATCTAAATCCATTTATATCAATAATTAATGTTAAAATTATTCACGCTGTTAATTAAAGACGTCCTTAAATTTCTGTAAAATACACACTCAAGATACTCGCCACCTCCCTATTACTTTGATAGGGTCAATATTCTGTAAAATCAAATTAATTGTTAAAATCTTAGATAACACCTTCCATTATGTAAAATTTAAGTGCTGATAATAATTCCTAAATTAAATGATTCCAAAGATCTCTTATGGTCTATTATGTAATAATCATAATGAAAAAAAATAAAGAAGAATTATTCTACACGCGAATAACTAAGAAGTATAAAAGAGAAGAACAAGGAATAATTAAGTATATAATAGTTTATGAAAAAGTTAATTGATGTTTTTTGGTTGAATTATAGTTTATTTGCAAAGCTATAACTTTATTGCCATAAATTTGCTTTAGAATGTAGATAAAACTAAATTGAAAAACTTTTGCAATAAATACAAAGTTGAAGAGAATAATCTGCTGATTAATTCTTATATTTATTTTAGAATAATATAAAATTTGATGTTGACTCTAATATTTGATTTCCAATAACCATTCTTATAAATCCAGAAAATCAACATAGATGAAGTTAATAAATTATTAATTTCTTTTCCTCCTGATTCATTAGACATAGGTATGAATGATTCCGTGGTTATGTTCTTTATTTAATTTGAATAGAAATTATTATTATTCATTTATTTTTGTATAAATATGACAGCCAAAGATGTGATTATGAAAATGAATAAAGAAGCTGAGTATAATGCACTCACTGCTGACTTTTAAGGAAATGACACTAAATTTGTTGGAGAATATGAAAATGTTAGAATTCCATTTGAAAAGAAGGAAACAATCAAAGATGCTTTTAGAAAGGCATCTAAAGCATGTTAGCCAACATTAAAGAAGTAAATGTCCAGTCTAACAATAGTCTCTCTTTGAGGTAAAATTGGTTGGATTTATAGGATAGAATATATAATAGAGCATAATACTACACAAGTATTGAATTGTGATCTATAATTCCTAGCTGATGCAAATTCTTGCATTAGTGATGCAAGAAATGTTGCTGAGGTTAATCTCTGTTGCGATAATTACATTGAAAGATTAAACAATGACTTTTATAACGATGTCCTAAAAATATTAAAGGATTATTGAGATATTTCATTTATTAAGAATATGCATAAAAAAAACCAAAAATAATAATATATAACATTTTCTGTTAATTAATCTGAATGTTTTTCGACAAAGACAGAATCGTAAAATTGATGCAATCCAACCAAATAGCTTCTCCTTTATCCTTTAAAATGGATTCTCCTAGAATATATTCAAAAACACCGAATTCCTAATCAACATTAAATTGTGATCTGACATCAAGAGGCAAACTTAAATTGAATTTTTTAGCAGAATTGTCTGACAATCGATCCTTGACAAATCGTTATATGTTAAATACCAAAAATAAGCCAAAATAACAAAAATAATTATTTAGTAAGGAGAATAAGTTTGTTGAGTCATCACTAAAAAAAAGTTAATTGTATCCATCAACTGATTCATTGCTTCAAAATATTAACATACAGTCTCCTGCCTCTACTTTTAGTGAAGAGTTCATGAAAATCAATTCAAAATTCAATTCAGTTAAAAATATAGATAATGTTGATCAACGTCTATAGAGAAAGTAGAGCAATTCTGTAATTTAAATAGTGAATAAGAATGGATCTTAAATTGAAGGATACTAAAATAAGTATATAAAATAATTGAAATCTATTATAGTTCTGTGATGAGATCAACTGAAAAAATAAGATAATAATTTGATGAAATCGCCCTTTTGGATTTGAAAAGTTAGAATATTTATTTGTAAGTAAGAAATTTTAATTTATTTTTCAAAGTAAGAAAATGCCTCTCTTAAATCTCAATTATAATCAGTGCAGGACAATATGAAACATCAAAATAAAGTAATTGAAAAGTTGAAATATAATATCTAATAACTTGAATAGTAATTTGTATTCTAAGATTAAAGATAGATTTAACATATAATTAAAGGAGAAGAACGATAAATCAGCATCCACCATTGAAAAGCTAAATTCATAATTAGATTTTGAAGGATCTATTTAAGATGATCTCAAAAAAAAGATGAATGAAAAACAGCAAGAACTTAGTAAATATAACTTAGTAATTTGATTAATTTGATATATTTTGTAGATCGAATAGGAAATAAAGAAAATTGAAGACTCACATTTAGAAACTTTAAGTAAAATCAGCAAAGAACTCAAAGAATAGCAAGGCTCACTTAAAATTCTTAATCATCACATTAGTTGTTTATCCTAGATATCTATACTATTATCAGAGAAGGAGGAAATTCCAATTGAGATTTTATTTAAGTATAAGTAAATGCCTTAGATTCCCCAGATGATGTTGAATTCAGAAATAATTGAAAATATCTTAAAGTCGAATTCAAAAATAATAAAAGATTTATATGATTTAATAGGAAAATCCTTTGAAAAAATATCTTACAACTTTGTTTAAGAATTTTCATAAATCTTGTATAAGTAATGAGCATTAAAAAATGAACTATTATATATATATATCTAATTTAGACTGAATAAATTGTTTGTACATAATAATGAATAATCATTAAATGTTCAACAACATCCTCCTCCTACTTGTTTCTTCTCCTCATTATCATTATTATTAGGATAGTTTTTTATCTGAATTTAAGGGGCCTGTTAAGGTTTCTAAAAATGAAATGTATTAATACTTGCTATTGCTAATTTTGAACTTGCTCAGCAGGATTGCCTAACAAATCATATGAAAGCTTCTTAAAGAATTCAGCTACATTAATTGCACTCTTAGCAGACACTTCTTAAAATTAAGCACCTAATTCCTAAAATTTTGAGATAACAAACTGAAAATACTTTTGCCTTATCTTCAGCTTGTTTCGTAGAGACTTGTCTTTCATTTTCCAAGTCAATTTTGTTCCCCAGTATGTATATTAAGACTTCATCTCCTCTTTCTTCCTTAACATCTTCAATCCATCTTGGCAGATTTTGGAATGATTTATCATCTTTGTTATCTAAAATGATCATTACTTGTAATATCAAAACAAATGATGGCTGCTTGTGAATCTCTAATATAACTAGGTATGAGTGATCTAAATCTTTCTTATCCAGCTGTATCCCATAGCTAAAGTCTAACAGATTTGTTATCAACTTAGAGAGTCTTTGAAATGAAATCAATTCCAACAGTGGGCTGAATTAGTTTGAATATATTGATATACTTATTCATTACCAGTGAAGTTGTCAAAAATAAATCTATTAATAATTGATGTTTTTCCAACAGCTTAGTCACCAAGAAAAACTATTTTGTACTTTTACATAGGTCCACTTGTTGTATTTTGTGCCATTTTAATAAATAATTTAAAAATTTATTTTTATAATATAAAAGGTCTTAAGTGATGATATTTTAAATTTGAAGCTTGAGGTGTTTGTCGGGAGAATTTGAATGCAATAAAGGGGTAATAAATAATATGAAAATATAAACAAAATTAGTATAATTTATAGAAGGTTTAACAATAAATTAAATAAATCTGTTAAATATGTTTCATAGTTATTAAACACCTAAGCAAACTTATAAGCAACAACCACAAAAATTGTACTAGCAGTTTCACTAAAAGCCTCTTCCTTGCAAATCTGTGTCACCTACTTAATATGGACAATAACAAATAGGAATTGTTGAATAAGATGATTAAATTCCATCAACTCCCCAGAAGATCAATTTATCCAAAGGTGTTAAGTTACTCAATGTACCTTCCCAAGGAAATGAAAACAGTTTTAGAGGAAGCAGTTAAAAGACTCTATTGGTCTCTGATAGTCCATTAATGGCAAATAATAAAGAGAATGGAGCATCGAGTAGAAGATTGTATACAGATTGCACATCTATGGATTTGAATTCTTAAGTGGTCATATAAGAGAATCGAAAGTTGAACGAGATGATTCAGAGATTATTCAAGGAGAAATAAGATTTAGTTACAATAATAGACAAATAGAAGAATTCATAATGTATATTGATTAGTTAAGGAGGAGACAATTTGAATTTAAATAATTTAAAGGAGAGAATTGAGAGATTGGAGGGAGTCATTGATTTGCAGAGCGAAGAAATTCTATAATGGAAACAAAAATATAAATAGGCTTGTGAATCAGATGAGAGAGCATATGCAATTGAATAAATGGTAGAATGTATCATTTTATTAGTTAGGAATCATAGATAATGAAAGTAGTGGAGGAGAATGAGAGATTAAATAATTTGGGAAATGATAAGGATAAACAAATAGAAGATTTAAGCAATGAATTAGTAGCTTTGCAGAAAAGATAGTTTGAATAAGAATAAAAAATGAAAGATCAATCAAATTTAATTATCGCTTATGAAGAAGATACTAAAGAGTTGAAGAGACAATACAAATAGAAATTAAATTTGATTGAGAAACTGGAGTAACAGTAGTAGTAATAATTACAATAAATACATTAATTACAGTAAATATAGAATTATAGTGAAATATCTTCACATTCTTCATTTCATGAGAATAAGGATCACTCTTAAATAATTTTGGAATAGATTCAGTTTTTAGAACAAACGTTATCTGAGTTATCCACACAATACACCTCATCAAATTTAGAAAACTCAAGATTGTTGAAACAAAACAATAATTTAAAGGAGGAATTGATATTGCAGTAAAAAGCTTTGGATGAGATTCGGAATTGCAGTAGAGGAGCAGTGAATCCTAAATTTTAAGATGCTAATCGAAGTTTAAAGTTAATAAGGGAAAAAATTGCTAAGCCATAATAAAAATGAATATATATATATTTATAAAATGTGATCTAGTCATTTTTATGTAATTTGAGGGAATCTAGTATAACATGTATATCCTTGATTGAAATAGATGATCTTTTGTTTGCCTTTTTTATTTTTAAATAAAATGATTTAAAAGAAAGTTCTAAGCAGCAGCGACGAGAGCAGTGAAGATGAACATGTTGAAGATTTAATGGACAAATAAAAGTTGGTGTAGGCTAAAGCTAATAAACCAACAAGAACTTCTGTGAGCGCTGAAGTTTATGGACAATTCAATAAGAAAGTATTTAATCATCTCGATTAAAGGGTCAATTCTAAGCCAAGAAGGTTATTAAAAGTGAAGATGCCGTTAAAAGAATTAAACAAAGAATGAGCTAAGCATTTATGTTTAGTGCCTTAGATGAGCATGAATTAGCTATTGTTATTGATGCAATGGAAGAGAAGAAATTTAAGTATCCATTTCTTAATAATTTTGTTAGATCTGGTGATTTTGTGATTAAACAAGGTGATGATGGTGATGTACTTTACGTTGTTGATCAAGGATAACTTGACTGTTTCAAAGTATTCAAAAAGGGAGAACCTGAAAAGCATTTGGTATATATTTCTTTATTACCTTTCCATAGAAAGTTTATCAACCTGGAGAATCATTTGGTGAATTAGCTTTATTATACAATGTACCAAGAGCAGCAACAATTAAAGCCAAAACTGATGCAATCTGCTTCTCATTGGATAGAGAAACATTCAATCATATTGTCAAAGATGCTGCTGCTAAAAAGAGAGAAAAATATGAAGAATTTCTTAGCAAAGTTGAATTATTGAAAGGTATCTATTTCCTTTGACACTCCTTTAGATATGGATCCATATGAAAGATTGTAAATTGCTGATGCTTTGAAGGTCTAAAAATTCAACAAGAATGACTATATCATTAGATAAGGAGAATAAGGAAATACCTTTTATTTCATTCAAAAAGGTGATTGCATAGCTACTAAAACTGAAAATGGTAAATCTCTAATTCTATTCCATTCTAGGAACTGAGAAGGAAGTCTACAGTTATAAGGTAGGAGATTATTTTGGAGAATTGGCTTTGATTAAACATGAGCCAAGAGCAGCAAATATCGTTGCAAAAGTAAATATCATATAAAATTCAAGAGCGAAGTTATAGTAGTATATTTGGACAGTGACAGTTTCAGAAGATTGATTGGACCTGTTGACGAAATTTTAAAGAGAAATATGAGTAGGTATGAAAAGTATGTAAAAAAATGAGAAGATATTACATATATATTTATTTGCAAAATAATTTATCTTATTAATGTTATTTATAATATACTACAAATTATAATAATTGTGTTAATTTTTATTATTAAATTTATCTAGAATTTCATTATATGTCTAATAAAACATCAAACTTCTTTTAAATTTAATATCTAATATCCCATGCTCTCTTATAATTCCTTTATTACAAAATTATCTTTCTAAATATCATCTATGTAAAATTATTGATATAACAATTAACTAAATATAAATGTTAAATGATATCAAAATATCAATAAATCCATAGTATTTTGATGATATTCATCATTTTTGCATACACACTTATATTTCATTTGTGATTCCAAATCTAAATTAAATAATTTACATTTGTTCAAAATAATAGCTTATACTGAAGGTTCCAATCTTAGTATTGAGGAAGCAAAGACCATGATTTAATTAGCTGCAGATTTTATTTTTATTATATTTATAATGAAAATTATATTCGTTTTGCTCATTCTTGTAACAATTCAGTCTGAAAGTTTATTGGTTTCTTAGGATAATGATTTTGTTGATGATGATAATGACTTTGCTGGTGGAGTATTTCCAACAACAGATTCTAATTCTGATGTACTTGTAAAAAGCTAATTAAGATTTATAATAAAGCTCTGTAGTATGCATAACAACATTACGCTGAAAGTTGCAAATTGAGTGATTTATAATGGGAGAGTTTAGATGGGTCCAAGAATCAGATGGTCCAAGGAATGTTATATTATGTAAGAGTGCAAAAGATAATAGTTCAATGTAACAATGAAGGGAAATGAGAGATTAGAGAAATATGAGATTTAAGTTTGGGTTTAGACAGATAAAGATCAAACTGCAGAAATTACTTAGTGTAAAAAATTATGAATAGTAGTAATATTAGAATTGAAAATAATACTTATTTATATTCAACAGATGTTTTATGATCTTTTCTTTCTTTGAAAAAGATCCATGCTAATTTGGATGATGCTATTTTGACCATTTTATTTATGAATAGAGTTTTTATTTAAAGTTAACGCTGAAGATTAACGAATTGGTTTGATTTTTTATTAATGTGAGTATGTATTTTCCAAGAACTTGCCTTGCTAAGAGAATAAAGATTGTGATTGTTTAAGGGGTGACTGTTATGACGGGATATTTAAATAAACATTTTAAGAACTGATTGGTCTGACTATTTCTTGTAATGGGTATCTAACAGATGATTTTTTGACAAGTTTTTCAATTTAACCACAATTATTTCCACAATGAGGAGACTCATAAAGTCTATCAACGACACTTTGGTTGATTCTTTTTTAGGAGTTGATGTTTTAAATGAAGGGGCGATCTTGCATCATTTCTTTATAGATAGATTCTTTGAGTTTCATTCTTTTCTCCTCATACCTTTTGCCATACTTTAGAAGTCTATTCTCAACTTTCGGCTTAGAAGGCTCAAGGATCTCTTCTGGCTCCTAATGAATATAATTACTTAATTTACCCTTTGGTATAACATGAATGTTATTAATAAAATTCAATGAAAATGTTTAAGTTTATGATAATTTAAAATTTCTTTAGGGATGAGTGTTTGGGCCTAAATACATTTATATTCGTATCCACAAGCATCACATCAATTTATCTATCTATTCGCATTGAAGTTGATGGAATCTCTTTCCAATTCCTAATACAACATAGGCAACCTTTTTTTTAGACTACCCATGTAACTTTAACTTGAATTACTACTCCGTTATTCATTATTATAGAATCAAAAACATAGAGAACTAAAATCTTTCCTAAATATCCAACTAAGTAACATTTCCTCGAGAACACTTTATGAAAGAGAACAATTATGTAAGTAGTTGTGCAGTTATTCTATTAGTGGATTATAGAAATCACTAATTAAATCAAATATTATTATTGTTTTAAATATTAATAACTAAATAAATCTTCTTGATTAAGTCTATCATCTCTTCTGTTAAATAATTCTTTGTAATTACTTATTAGATATTCATCTAAGATTGAAGTATTGTTATATACAATCTGTAGATAAGCCTAAAGTTTAGAATTACTAACTGTTTTGAATTTTTTTTCATAATTCATAAAACTTAATAACAAAATTATAAAAATAAAATTTAAATGGAAAATTAAATTTAATAATAAATTTCACAATAAAGCGTCTACAAATTATTGAGTTCTAAATAAATAATAACAATGATTTCCTATATGAATAGTCATCCTAACAATGAGTATTTGGAATATACCAATTACTCATCTGAAGAATTCTATCTCAATTGGTAAAGCCTAGACCAACTCTATCAAATCAATAGCTAGGAACATTAAACTTTCTTAGCTTTCGATTAAGAAAAATCCTAACATGTAGCTGGACAATTAGATCTGAATCTTTACGACTATAATCAATAAGACAATGAGAACTAAGACAATAATCACTAAGACAATGAGATCTAAGACGATAATCCCTAAGATAATTTGGAATTAGCCGATAATCCCTAAGACAATTTGGAGTAAGGCTAGAGATACAAATGTGATTTTTGTGATGTTTATTTTTCTCAACCTTGTAAGAAAGGAGGACATACTTCCAAATGGCATAAAGGTTAATCAATTAAATATAGAGAAAAAATGGTCAAAAAAGAGGCACGATAGCAAATCACCAATTTAAATGAGAAGTTAAAATTAATAGCATTCTATGCTTTATTCCTATGAGAATCGGAACATATATTAGATATTTCTGTTAAACTTATTTTAAAATATAAGTAATTGTTAAAGTTTATCTGCTGAATTTTTTTTGGCTGAAAAAATTGATTTAACAAATTAAATACCCTCAAATTCTATTATTTCTTCTGTTTTAGATTATCCTTTCTACTCTGAAATATTTACTCTAAGTAGCATCATCCATCATTCTATTTAAAATTCATTTTATAATATTTTAATTCTATAATAAAATATGAATACTTTTCATTAAGTTCAAATTTTTATTTTTTTGAATTAATTCTAAATTTATATTATACAATAATACATCTAAACTTATTATTTTAGAAATATTTTGCTTAAATATACTACATTAAAGTCAAATAAGTTAAAAGCATTATTGTATATTAATAAAAACCTTTACAACTTTTCCTTTAAGAAAACCATCAATTCAAAAGTAACTCATATTTTCAATAACCTTTGAAAATTTGAAGTATATGCTGCCTTTCCAATTAGAATTAAACTTAATTCTTTTGAATATTGCAATTTCTAATTGTTGCTCTTAAGACTCCTGTATAATATAGAAAAACTTTAATTAATAGTAAACAAAAAAATAGTGTTGGATGGAATACATTATCAGAAAATAGAACCATAAAGTTAAACTTGGGTTGAATTACGAGGTGGCTAAAAATTTAAGCTATAGTATATATTCTAAATTCAATTGGGCTATTTTATTCATTTTCATTTCATGTAGATATAGTATGTTATGGCTAATCCCATGTTGACTAATAATCAATATAAATGCTTTGTTTCATTTGATTTATTTTATTGATCAATCCTCTCTTAGTCCACGTAATATTAATCGATATATCAAAATTTATAAATTAAGTCTAGAAACAGGGCTTTAATATGTTTATCCTTTTTTTAAATTACATAATTTAGCTTCATAGAGTGGAATTTCAATGAATTTGCTTTGGGTTAGATTTGAAATTGAATCTAAATACGGAATATTATTATTAAGGTTTTGACTTTAATATGATAACTCCCTACGAAGATAAACTTTTTCAAGCAGATCTTAAAAACATATTTCGAACAAAATGATCTCAAAACTTGTGTATGAAGTTATAAATTATATTTCAAAGATGCTTAATAATATATTTATTAAGCTACAGGTGGTTAAAAATAACAATCTTCGTAATTTTACTAATTATCTATTTTTAAAAACATCAAGTTTAATTACTCTGCTTCCATAATGTTTATAGGGCGATGTTAACCATAATAAAAATAGAATCCTTGGGCTTACCACCATATAATTATTTTGGATGCTGAAATTATTGTAAACTTTAATTACTATTTGTTATAATATAGATCATTTAATTGATAAAGTTTTTTCATGTTATTGTTGCATTTCAAAATGACATTTACTAAATATAATTAATTATTAAATAACAATTTGTGAGTAATGAGTGGTTAGAGGAGTGGAGAGCTCGTATAGAACCAAACTTTTGAATTACTTATTTATTTATAAATATATATATATATTAAAAACTTCCCTAAAACCTTCTTTTGTTTTCTGTAATATATCATTTATATTTGTAACTTTTAGAATATAATATAGATTCTTAATAATCACATATCAGCTTTGACTAATTTACCAATATCTGACTCCATTCTCAAATCGTATTTCTTTTCTCTTTCAAGATCAAAGAGGGATAGCTTCCCTGAATTATTGATTGTTATTTCTGCTTTTTCCTCCTTTTACCTTTAATGTGTGGGATCTGTGTATAGAATAATTTGATTACTTAATTATTTTGTATCTACTTATTTAATTTGTTCATCATTTTTCATTCTACTAATTTTTAACTTCTATTTTTAAACTGTGTGTTGTAAAAAGAAACTCTCAGATTATAAGCATTTTGAACATGCTTAATGATCCTTCTGTTTACATTCAACATGAATAAAATGGCCACATAAATACTTATATCCCTTAGTTTCTATTTGTTTATTACAAATGTCACAATAGTTTACTGTAAAATGTCCTTCAAGGTGAGATCTCAAAAAGTTCTGTGATTCCATATTGAAAAAACGTTAAATTATAAATTTTGCATTTTAAATGAAATAATGTTGATAGGAGAATGTGTTGACTAACTTAATAAAATTTCCTTTATACTCCTTAATATTAATATTACTATATCTAGTACCTAATCGTTATGCAAATAAATCTAAAGATGTGTGGGTAGAAATATCCTATATATTTTTTATTAATTAGTTACTTCAAATAATTGTCCAATTTTTTTAATTACTATTTTATTTAGCTAAACTTCTGATATCTCATTATTTAATTCAATAAGACTATCTAAATAGAAATACCAACTCCTATCTGGATTGTCTGAATGATATTGACATATATCTGAAATCTCATTCATTTTGTTTTCCAACTCTTCATATTCTCTTTTTTCAATAGTATCAACATTTTTTTATTTAACGATTACTTTAGTTATCATATTTCTTAAGAGAACAATCTATAATTGAACTGCATCTCCAATAAAACCCAATCTGCAATAAACGTAGGCAGTTGATTCGATATTTTGATATTTTTTGCAAATCTCCAATACCTCTTCCAAAGGATAATTAATTTTCTACAATTAGAGTAATACACTTTCAGGTTCCAATTCACACAAGAGCTATTTAAGATAATTGATGAATTTACTTCTATATGTTTTGTCAACAGAATATTACTTAAACCGAATTCAGAATTGAGATCCTTTTTTATTACTGTCTCAATGTATTTTAATTGTAATTTCTTGTTCTAACTTAATTTTTCGATGATTTAGAGTTCATTGTCTTTTTAAAATTAACAAATTAATTCTCTAGTTTTTTGGATATCTAAATTTAGTAAATCTTATAATTTTGATACGATCATTCCATTAAGTTTAGCATATGTTTCCTTGCCATACTATAATAGTTTATATGATATACCATCGAGATTAGAGTATCATGTAAATATTTGAAGACTTACTTTTAAACTAAAATATTATTAGACTTCAAGTAAATAGAAACTGGGGTTTGATATTCTCCAACATATTAATATAGGTACGCCTATATTAATGGTATTTATTTTAGATCTTGGAATCCATTTAACATTTCTATTTGTTCCTTATGCTTTGTAGTTTTGATTTTATTAACCAAAATATGCACAAATTTAAGCATTAATCGTTATTAAAAATATTCAATAATTTCGGAATGACTTTAATGTTATTCTAATTAAGCTAACTCGCTTTTTTCAATCACTTCTGCATAAGATCGATAATCTATATAGAAAAGGAAAGATTTATTGAATGTACAAAATAGTAAAATGTCCATCATTATATCGAATTCTACTTCCAATTTCAAAATAAAGATAACCTTAATTACAAAGAATGAATAGCCGGTTTGAACATCATAGTTTTCATATCCTCTTATGTCGTTAAATTACTATTAAATTTCAAATTCTTATTATTGAAATTTCCAACGATAAGTTGGATTCATAAACATTTTCAATACACTTTAGATCACGTTCCTTAAATATATCAAACATTTACAATTATTTAGAATGATCCAATTCAATTTAATGTAATTTTGTTATTGACATTATTTGATACAATATATAAAATGCCCCATAAGGGTCAACCCATATCATTCTCCTTAGATTATTCTCCTCAAAAATCCATACAACCATCATTTCAATAGTACTCTAGATTTATCTTTAATTATTTTACTTTCAAAGTAGAAATTGGGATTGTTGTACCATCATAGAGTTTGCCCATCAAAATATACTCAATGAAAGAAATCACTTTTCTAACACTTATGATTTCTTCTTCAAAGTTCTCCAATTACGATTATTTCATGCTATAGTTCCATATTTAAAATAATGGAGTTAAAAACTCATTTTTGGCTGAACTAGTACACAAATAAATCATAGGGGAAAACAATTAGCTTTCTAAACAAGCTTATAAATAAATTGAGTAATTCACTCGATTAAGATCTAATTAATTAAGCAATAAGAAAATCTTCGCTTTCTGACCTTTCAACAGAGATATTAGTTTTAACAGAATTTCATCAGGGATGAATTTGAATTATTTATTAATAATGAAGGGTTCCACAATACTCAAAAAGAAAGTAGATTCATCATTCAAAGTTTTCGATAGTAAATCGCATACAGAGCTTAAATATTGTTCTGTACCAATATCAATAATGAATTTTACTAAGGAAATTCCTCTTTTCTTTGCTTCTTCTGATTTACCACCAATTTGTAATCTAGCTATCTATTTACTATACAAATCAATTATTTATTGTGCAAATAATAGTAACTTTTATCTATCAAATTCCATAAACACTTTTTTATGTATACATAAAATCAATTAAAAACACAATAAGAATTATTGATTTTCCATAAAATGTCGAATTTTATCCTCGAATTTATAGTATTTCAACACTGTAACATTTTGACTTGTTAAAATGTATATTTCTTAGAGAATTTCATTATTTGAAATGCATACATTAAATTAACTCTCGTATTTATTATCTTTCCAATACATAAGAGGCAAAGGTTCAAATTATTCCATTTGCATAATCTTTTAAGTCTTATAATTTGAAAAATTGCTAGTGTACACTGTTCCTTTTTCAGTTAATAACAAAACCAAATCATTATAAATTGAATTCATATATATAAACTAATAATTTTATTTAATTTTACGTTTGCAGACAGCTTGATTTCTTTCAGTAATTTAAAATTTGCTCTTATTTTACCCTCCACATATTCAGTTCCTTAGAATAAAAAGGATTTAGTCTAATTTGTCCAGGAGATTCCTAAAACTAATTTATCTTTATCATCAATTTTAAGAATATCCCATTCCAGAACACACTAATTATTTTCTGGAGCATCATTTTAAAAGTCTGCTAAGATTGTAAATTAAGTGACATTTGAATCTTGAATCCTAAGAACCCAACACTTGTATCCATTACCCAAAGCAACAATAGTATATTCAGGAAAATTGAATAAAGGCTTACATTTGATAGGAATAGACCTGATGATAGACATTGGTTATGATTTAATAATGAATTGAGAATCCAAATCATAGAATATTCTACCTTTGGCACACCTGGTCATAAAACAATTGCCTTATTCATCTCCTGACACAAATGTATTTTCATTAACATATCCCAAGGAAACTATTCTTATCTAATGTACCTTAACCCATTTCAAATGTTTCATATTTACAACATCATATATTCCTATAACCCCATTATCAAATCCAACAGAAAGTTGCTATTGAGATAAATTAAAACTTAATTAGTTTACACTACCATGTTCTGTTTAGCAAATTTCTGCTGCATAAAGCAATTGACTTTTCAATTCAATGTATGACTTGTTTGGAGGATCAGCACCAATATAAAAATTAAGTACCGCTCCTAAATTACTCCCGACTGCTAAATACTAACCTCTAGATATCAACGATCTGATTCTACCAAATTTTCTAAGGATTGTGGCGTTTTAAAATAGAGCTTCATTAAGGGCCTCAGGATTAAAGCATTTAAAGATTTCTGCTTATTCTATCTATAGATTTGTATCAATTGTGTATTCATTTTCTATTTACTCTTGATCAAATTATTCTTCTATTTTGTCCTGTAAGTCTGCCTTTATTAAGGGTAAATGATAGGTGTTTCTAATAAAACAAGCAATCAAGTTTGGATATTCTTGTTTGTACTAATTCTCTGAGCCTTTCATCTTAATATGTATCTCTTATATTATTAAATAATTTAATCATTGTATATTACAATTTTCATTGGAAATACATTAAATATGGAGTTGAAACCACAAAATGGGTTATAATAATCATGCGAATGAATCGTTTCTAAAGTCTCAACTCTACTATAGTGTGAGCATAATAATTATTCAAAATTCTATACAATTACGTCAACGATTCCGTAGAATTCATTAATTAAATAATTTTTATACAGATATTCTATATTGAAAAATTAAATTCAATTTATGACATTTTCAAAGCCAAGTAAACCAAATGTTGTAATGAGTTCTAAATCTAAAATTTATGATTAATTAGTAAATTTAGAATTTTTGATTGTTTGATACTTAAACTAATTGTTGGGATTGTTTAAAAATTTTCTCGATTTTTGGAGAGGACAATAAAAGGGTTTGTAATCTAATGTATTTGAGATATTGAATAATTTCTTATGTATTTAACTTCAATTTTCAAACAAATGTTGATTATTCAGAATAATGTCATTATTAATATTAATAGAAAGAAAATTAGATGATTAATATGGTTTGAATATAATATTAAATGATTATTCTAAATTTAATAAAATATATAGAAAATGGGTAATTAATGTAAATGTGATACTTCTTTTGAAGAAGATTACGAATCATTTGCAAAAAAGCACGTACAACCAAGCAATTCTTATAAGATATTTTCTTAAACTTATAAGTTAGAAAGAGAAGAAAATTTATCCTTTAGAATGATCGACAAGATTGAACCAGTTTATAATATAACAAATGATGTTTATAGAAAAAAGAGAACAATGAGTTGCATTCATCAATAAACCGAGTTAAAGAGTAGGAAAGTCAATTTAAAAAAAAAATTAAAACCTGCATTAAAAGAATGCTCCAATAACTCCTCATCTAATAATGAACATAGTAATAAAACTGTAAGATGGGATGCCTCTTGCTAAAAGTAATATGGAGAATGATTGTTATTTTCTAACTTTTTAATCCTAAAAAATTTAATTAGTTATGTTAGTATTAATTATTTATAATAATGATGTTACATGATTAAATTTCTAATGTAGGCATTTGGTTAGAATAATTAAAGAATGGAGGAGAGTTCTATAGCAGAAATAAAATAAATAACAAAGAATTACGTCTATAATATATTGTGATTGATAAATTGGAAAACCTATCATTTCCTCCTGAAATCGATGCCTATGAAACGTAGCTTAAGTTAAGAATGTCAGCTACAATATATGATACAAAAACAGAATAATTTATATCCAATACATATAAGAGTCCTTATCTAACAATATTTCTGACTGATCTTGTTAATATGGCAGATAATCCAGATGATGGAGAGTTAAATGAAAATGAAATTCCCCAAAAAAAGTAAACAAGAAATTAACCAAAATTGAGAAGTGGATAAGCAATCACAAGATATCAACATGCTGCTGTTTGGGTAGCTTTCATCATGAACAAAGCTTAATATCTAAAGGAGTACAAATTAGCTGTTGAGTTTACACTTTCATAATATAGCAATAAAACAAAATTGACAACTACTTTCAAGACGCTTGGTTATGCTATAATAGATTTATCTGCAAAGATAACATTTGCAGATTTATACGCTGGGAGTGTAAGAGATCTAACAAATAGTTTCTATATCAGAGAATAAAAGCAAATCAAACCTATTCAAGTTAGTTATAAATGGAAGAACTTTAAACATGTCCCAACACCATTAATGAAATTGATAGGTCCATTTTTATTGTTTGGTTATGATGATACAGTTGTTGGTTTGAGAGGAACTAAATTACCACCAATAGTTAATGATTTAAAATATTTGGAATTAGATGAAGCCTTAAATTTATCATTTCCAAAGTGTAAAATTTATATCCATTAGATTGTTGATTTAGAAATATTAAATTACATTAAACAAAAGTAATAAGAAATACAATAGGTTAATGAAAAAGACTCTGATACTATTAAGATCACTAAAGCCAAAACTAAATTAATACCATTTTGTCATAATGGTTGGAGAGATGTTAATGAATTCGGATTTGAAAACATTTACATCTTAAGTGAAGTTGAAAGGAATGAGAAATTTATAGTATACACCATCGAAAAGCCAATTAGAGCTGATAGAATATATAAAGATTCGGCTGTAATCTTTCAATTAGTTTATCAATATGATGTTGAAGTTGTGGAAATTTAACAAGATCCAATTGAGGTTAATGTTGGGTGGTTTGCTTTGACACCTAATGATTGCACTAAGGCTAATGAAAAATTAAAATTGCAAATACATGGAGATAGAAAATCATTCAATTCAAAGAAGTGGTATGCAAAATTGACTCCGAAATCACCAGGAGAAGCAATTATTACATATGACTTTGTCTATTTTGAATAAAAGTAAGAAAAGAAAGGTAATTAATAAAATAAATAAAAAAAACAACTTTAAAAGTTAATTGATCCAAGTACTTTAAAAGGGCGTTTAATTGAATTATCAATAAAGAAGAAAAATGAAAGTATATACAATTTTTACTAACATAGTTAAAACTGGACTTGCTCGAGAAGAAAACATCATGAGACAAAATAAATTAATCGCTGATCTTTTTACAATTAAATAAAATACAACAAATCTTATTACAGGTATGATCAATTAAAATTCCTATGTCTAATCGAACACATAAGTTTTACTACATGAATTCCAAGGATTATTGGAAGTTGGTATCAAGAATTTTGAATTGGCAAAAGAAAAATATTAACTGGAAGAATAAAGACTGTTAAATTTTAGAAAAAGAAAAGAAAAATTAGATTTGTTGTAAAATTTTTTAACCGAAGACCTAAAACATAAATTTGATAAGTGGTAGTATGAATAACCTCATCATCCAAATCTAGAAATATGCTATAGAAGTATTATTTCACTTTTAATATTAGGCACTCTATTGGATTTTTATTTATAGGTTGGATTTGGTCATAGGGATCTGCCTGCTAGTAGATAGGTTTAAATAACTTTGGAAGAATCAAAAACATAGCTAAATTTGAAGATTACCCTTCTTTTAACTTCTTATAAATTTGTCTTAAAAATCAATTCTCCTATTAAAGAAGATTTTGTTCTACAACCTATCTATTTATTTGATAATTACTGTCCAACATCGCTATTATTTAGAATTCATATACTAGGATAGGAAGATGAGATTAAAAGTCACAAAGCAAAAAACTAAAAAGAATTTGAAAGATGGATGTCAGATAGAATGTACATGCATTTAGAATTTAAGAAAGTTATAAAAGATTAAAATCTTGCTAATAAAATTGCCATCATTGAGATTTGGAATGAAAGTTCAATTACAATTTTAGGAAGATGTTTTGTACCATTATTCTAAGATTCTATCATGTTTCAAGAATCCTCCATTGTTTGTTCTCATTATAAGGAGTGCGATGTTATTTCTTACGACGGGAATTACATCATCGGACAACTTGATATTGGTGTTTTAGTTTAATATACAGATGATGAAATTAAAACAGATATCAACTTTTAAGAAAAACCCAAAGAAATCTTAGTCGTTGACAAGCCTTAACACGATACTTAAAGAACTGAGAATGAAACCAAATCTAAACCAATTCCTCAGCCTTAGGAATATCATGATATCATTAGGATTTATTATTCTGGTGAAGAGGAAACTAAAGTTGTAGTAAATAATCCAATAATGCTTAATCCACATTTTTTAAAGTATATTCTTAATTGTATAGTTAGATATATTAAAACATTAAAAATAGTTGGGGATCCTGCAGTTAAATTAGATTACTACAATGATTATGAAATCCATTTTAAATGCAGTATTTATGATGTAGCAGAGACTTTTTTAGTATTATTCGACCATGATAGGGAAAGTATACTTCAAGTCTATAGATTTGTAATTTATAAATGCTAATCAATCACGTATAACGATTTTGTTGGAAGACTATGCAATTTAAATATACCTTATGAAACAAATTTAGCAGAGAAAATCGAAGTAGTACCTGCCAATCCTTTTCTAATTAGACCAAAATTAGACGATATGCCAGTTATTAAAGATTCTTTATTTTATATTCCTGTTCAATGTTTAGCAATAGAATCATATTTTTTAACAACCAGATTTACCATATAATAAGGTGATAGTATGGAAACTCGATTAATACATTTTAAACCTAAAGATAACAAAGTTTCTCAACTCTTTAATCTTGATTGCCCGAGAAATTAAGAAAAATAAGAGTAAGTTCTTTATTAAAATCGATCAGATAAGGCCATCTTCTTATAAATTACTTCATCCAATTCTGCTCTTTAACTTATAACTCACACTTTGAAATTAGAACCATATTAGTCGGCCCCAATTTAGTTTATATTAAAAAGGTATGGCTACACAAAAAAATAATAAATAAAACTTTATCTAACAAATTTAGAATGCGATTATAAGGATTGTTTGATGTTCAAAATCAATTATTATTGATTTCGTTCTTTGCCTTCAAGTAATTTCTTGAAAATATTAGTATATATTAAACATTATTCTTGATTAATAAGAGTTAAAAAAATGGAGTATTAAATTAACATATTCATACTATAGTGACATAATATTTAATTTCGATTTGCATCCAAATCTTAAAATAAATTATCTTAAATTAATATTTATATATTCTAATCATTACTCACAAACACATGTCACAAACAGATAGCACTAAAACATCAGGATAAAAAGTAAAAAAAGCACTCATAAGTCCATTAAAAGAAGCATTTTCTTCATTAACGAAATCATATAAATTCTTCATCCCAAATGAAGAAGAAGTGCTTCTCGTTCTTGTAGATCTCCCATGTCACCTCGAGTTGCAAGAAGCTATATCGAGAGCACTGAAACTTGTACCAAAACAAAATCCAGTAGATTAGAATCCAAATAATTATGACATTTATGTGGCCAAGAAAAATGGCTAACCTAAAATGGATTATCCATCATATCAAACAAATCTCCGACTAGAAGAAACAGGAAATTTCGTGTTTTCCTTGGTTCATGTAACTTATTCAGAAAAAAAAGTAAGAAAATCAATCAGAAAATCCACTTATGATCTATCCCACTACTAAAGCCCAACAATTCCTTCAAGATCTAAAGAAATCAACTAATATCAACCTAAACCAGAAAAAAACTGGTTACTTCGATTTTTAGGATGCGCTTGATTCTATAAATGTTTATTGCTATTTTGTAACAAATATATTAACACATTCATATTTTTGATTATTGTTCTTACTTTATTGTTATTTATTAAGCGAGAATATGAATATATATCTTTTCTAAACTGATGTAAAAGTTCAATAGAACAATTATAATTATAATAAACTGTAAAATAACATATATAATCAAGATCAAGAACTTTAAAATCATAATATATGAAATATAGAAATATTTAAGAAGTATAATTATATAATCAAAACTTGAAATATGTGAATAGTTTAATTTGAAACAATTATCTCATTGATGGAGAAAAGGAATAACATCAAATTTAGTTTGATTCTAACTATCATTCATTTTAGGTCTTGAAATCAGATATGGTAAAGAAATTTTGTTATTCAATAAATGATAAAAAATGGCCCTTTAGTTTTGTCAATTAGAATTATTGTTTCACTCTGATCTTACAACTGCATAATTTGAGACCGAAAATGCTAATAATTAATAAATTTAAATTAAAAAAATTTATGATTGGTTAAAACTACCTAGGTAAACAATCTAAGATTTCTANATTCTGCTCTTTAACTTATAACTCACACTTTGAAATTAGAACCATATTAGTCGGCCCCAATTTAGTTTATATTAAAAAGGTATGGCTACACAAAAAAATAATAAATAAAACTTTATCTAACAAATTTAGAATGCGATTATAAGGATTGTTTGATGTTCAAAATCAATTATTATTGATTTCGTTCTTTGCCTTCAAGTAATTTCTTGAAAATATTAGTATATATTAAACATTATTCTTGATTAATAAGAGTTAAAAAAATGGAGTATTAAATTAACATATTCATACTATAGTGACATAATATTTAATTTCGATTTGCATCCAAATCTTAAAATAAATTATCTTAAATTAATATTTATATATTCTAATCATTACTCACAAACACATGTCACAAACAGATAGCACTAAAACATCAGGATAAAAAGTAAAAAAAGCACTCATAAGTCCATTAAAAGAAGCATTTTCTTCATTAACGAAATCATATAAATTCTTCATCCCAAATGAAGAAGAAGTGCTTCTCGTTCTTGTAGATCTCCCATGTCACCTCGAGTTGCAAGAAGCTATATCGAGAGCACTGAAACTTGTACCAAAACAAAATCCAGTAGATTAGAATCCAAATAATTATGACATTTATGTGGCCAAGAAAAATGGCTAACCTAAAATGGATTATCCATCATATCAAACAAATCTCCGACTAGAAGAAACAGGAAATTTCGTGTTTTCCTTGGTTCATGTAACTTATTCAGAAAAAAAAGTAAGAAAATCAATCAGAAAATCCACTTATGATCTATCCCACTACTAAAGCCCAACAATTCCTTCAAGATCTAAAGAAATCAACTAATATCAACCTAAACCAGAAAAAAACTGGTTACTTCGATTTTTAGGATGCGCTTGATTCTATAAATGTTTATTGCTATTTTGTAACAAATATATTAACACATTCATATTTTTGATTATTGTTCTTACTTTATTGTTATTTATTAAGCGAGAATATGAATATATATCTTTTCTAAACTGATGTAAAAGTTCAATAGAACAATTATAATTATAATAAACTGTAAAATAACATATATAATCAAGATCAAGAACTTTAAAATCATAATATATGAAATATAGAAATATTTAAGAAGTATAATTATATAATCAAAACTTGAAATATGTGAATAGTTTAATTTGAAACAATTATCTCATTGATGGAGAAAAGGAATAACATCAAATTTAGTTTGATTCTAACTATCATTCATTTTAGGTCTTGAAATCAGATATGGTAAAGAAATTTTGTTATTCAATAAATGATAAAAAATGGCCCTTTAGTTTTGTCAATTAGAATTATTGTTTCACTCTGATCTTACAACTGCATAATTTGAGACCGAAAATGCTAATAATTAATAAATTTAAATTAAAAAAATTTATGATTGGTTAAAACTACCTAGGTAAACAATCTAAGATTTCTATTAACATATTAACAATTTAATCTATAAAACAGTTTTTTTCATCTTAGTATGATAGTATATTTTGAATTAGATAAATACAAAAGTTTTAAATCATAATATGATAATCTATTTAGAATTAAATCAATCAACAGTTTATAAATCTCAGTATGATAATTAATTTAGAATTAAATCCTTAAAATCAATATATAATTCATTATATGATAGTTATATTACAATGACATCATTAAACATATTATATAAATTAAAATTTATCATCAATTATCAGATATTAAGCTTAAAATGAAATAATTAACAAACAATTATTAATTCATTATATTTTCATGAGTTAAATTTGAATCATTTTTAAAGTTTATTGAAAATGTAAAAACTTATGTATATCATTTTAAGATAATTAGTTTCAAATGAAATAATTTATAAACAGTTTATTAGTATTCTTGGAAACTCTTTTTGTTTACATTTGTTTTATCAATTCAAATTCTTTTACTCTTTTTCAATATATATACCTCTAATTGATTTTTTTATTCTTATTTTATTGATTTATAAGGTTTTATTAGAAAGTACTAGTTATTAAATTATAAGTAAATTATGAAATTTAAGTCAAAATAATAATAGCCAAGAACGAGATCAATTCATTTGGTTATTGTTTAGAGTTTAATTAATGCTTTACACACCAAAGATTTCTTGATATTTATATAAATTTAATGATGCTTATTTGATTTTGAGGTTAAATCATCAACATACCCCATTATTTTTATTTCATAACACAATTATTTATGAGAGTTAAAATTCACACTTTTATAGATGACTTATGTAAGGCGATATTGGGGATTCTTAAGGAAATCCATTTTAAGAATATATCTTATCCTAAGAATTAATTATAATAAGTACATTCTTTTTACTACTTTTAAACATTTGCATTTAACTTGAAATACTTCAAATAAGAATTCAGAATTTAGAAATATATTATTTGTATTATAAACAAAGTAATAATACTATCCTTATTCTATAAAACCAATCTCCAAGTTTCGACACCTCAATCTAATCAAATAAATGATATAAAATGTAAACCTTTTAGGCCATTTAAATCAAAAATTCAGATTTAATCTATTTTATCAAATTGAAAGATTTATTTTTTTTAATTATTCTAAGTAACAAATCTTTTATCTGTAAATAGAAAAAAAGATCAATCAAACAGTTATTTATGAATCAATCATTTGAAGATCACTTGAGAAGCCTCTATTTTACACAACAAGTAAGTCTGAAGATATTTTATTTTCTCAACCTAAGTAAATTAATAGAAATTTTCATTTATTCTCACGANATTAATAAATTTAAATTAAAAAAATTTATGATTGGTTAAAACTACCTAGGTAAACAATCTAAGATTTCTATTAACATATTAACAATTTAATCTATAAAACAGTTTTTTTCATCTTAGTATGATAGTATATTTTGAATTAGATAAATACAAAAGTTTTAAATCATAATATGATAATCTATTTAGAATTAAATCAATCAACAGTTTATAAATCTCAGTATGATAATTAATTTAGAATTAAATCCTTAAAATCAATATATAATTCATTATATGATAGTTATATTACAATGACATCATTAAACATATTATATAAATTAAAATTTATCATCAATTATCAGATATTAAGCTTAAAATGAAATAATTAACAAACAATTATTAATTCATTATATTTTCATGAGTTAAATTTGAATCATTTTTAAAGTTTATTGAAAATGTAAAAACTTATGTATATCATTTTAAGATAATTAGTTTCAAATGAAATAATTTATAAACAGTTTATTAGTATTCTTGGAAACTCTTTTTGTTTACATTTGTTTTATCAATTCAAATTCTTTTACTCTTTTTCAATATATATACCTCTAATTGATTTTTTTATTCTTATTTTATTGATTTATAAGGTTTTATTAGAAAGTACTAGTTATTAAATTATAAGTAAATTATGAAATTTAAGTCAAAATAATAATAGCCAAGAACGAGATCAATTCATTTGGTTATTGTTTAGAGTTTAATTAATGCTTTACACACCAAAGATTTCTTGATATTTATATAAATTTAATGATGCTTATTTGATTTTGAGGTTAAATCATCAACATACCCCATTATTTTTATTTCATAACACAATTATTTATGAGAGTTAAAATTCACACTTTTATAGATGACTTATGTAAGGCGATATTGGGGATTCTTAAGGAAATCCATTTTAAGAATATATCTTATCCTAAGAATTAATTATAATAAGTACATTCTTTTTACTACTTTTAAACATTTGCATTTAACTTGAAATACTTCAAATAAGAATTCAGAATTTAGAAATATATTATTTGTATTATAAACAAAGTAATAATACTATCCTTATTCTATAAAACCAATCTCCAAGTTTCGACACCTCAATCTAATCAAATAAATGATATAAAATGTAAACCTTTTAGGCCATTTAAATCAAAAATTCAGATTTAATCTATTTTATCAAATTGAAAGATTTATTTTTTTTAATTATTCTAAGTAACAAATCTTTTATCTGTAAATAGAAAAAAAGATCAATCAAACAGTTATTTATGAATCAATCATTTGAAGATCACTTGAGAAGCCTCTATTTTACACAACAAGTAAGTCTGAAGATATTTTATTTTCTCAACCTAAGTAAATTAATAGAAATTTTCATTTATTCTCACGATAAATAATGGGTTAATTTTTGTTTAATAATTTGCTTTATACACAGTTTGCAAATTTTAGAATTTTCTTTTAATCAATAAACCGAAAAATTAAAAGGATTGATTTTCATGTTCTATATCTATTTGGAATTAGTAAATAGGTTTTCAGGTTTTTCAAAACTAAGTAAATGATTTAAACTGTATTAAGATTTTATTCTTGTCAATAGCATGTAAAATTAGCAAACACTTGAAAATATAGACGTTGAATAATCTAAATTTTATGTATTATTGATATTAATAGTTCGGTGCTATTTAAAAAAGTAAGAATAAAAGAAGATGAGTTGATGATAAGAAAAAAATTCTTTTTTTTCATCAGAGAAATAAATATTTAATGAAGGCCTTATATGAGAACTATTTATTCCTTTGAAATTTCTTAGGAAATATATATTTTATGTTTAATATTTTAGATATCAATACGAACTATGGTAATACAGAAATTATAAAAATATATCAATTAAGTTTTAATCTAATACACTCATAGTTCATTAACTAAACATATCGTCAAGTTTTTCCAAATTTATTCATCATTTTTATAGGATTTGATATTTTATCTAATTTCTCCATTTTTTTCCATAATTCGCTTTCATTCTATTCTATAGAAGTAAAACTGATATTATTTTCTATAAGTTATTAGTCTTCCATTGAATTTTATAAATTTTATAATTATTAAAAGTAATACAATCCGTCCTTTTGTTTTTATATCGACTGAGCTAATTCAAATTCTTTATCAACCTCGTATATTGGACTTAATATATCAATCATTTTTTGATTAGGAGTTTTTGTTACAGAAGTTCCTCGACTTCTGCTTTTTATAGAAACAATAGATTTAGAGCTATTTTTCATAATATCAGACTTATATAAAATTTATTCATTAGGTTTCCATCCATTTTCATAAATTTTAGAAATTAAAATATTTCTTAAATAAATATAATTTGGAAGTTAGCTTTATTTTAAAGAGTTTAAATATTTAAACCATTCACCAAAAATTGATGGCTATGAATTTAAAAAAGTTTGATCATTTATTACTTTTATTTTTTGGTTTTACAATTCCTCAAATTATGTTTTATTTAATATATTATCAAATTACTGCCAAGGGAGAGTTCCTAATTATGATAAAATAATATTCTTACCATTTAATAGGTATAGTAATAAGTATGCCAAGCTATATAAATCATCAATATATCTTGGGCTTCTAGCAATAATAAAATATGGACTAAGAAAATTAATTTCTCTAATTGGAAATTTTTAAATTTCACACTCTTCTTCATTGGTTTAAAAAAATGATAGGTCTTTCAAATATATTAGTTTATCTTCAGTATCGGATCCAAAACATAAGTTGCTTGGTGTAAGACTACACAAAATAAAATTCTTATTGTGAATTTTCTAAATTAGTTTAATCAATTAGACACCAATCAACAAAATGTTTTTTAATGACATCTATCCGTTTGTCTTGATAATCGAACTTAAAGTTGGGCCAAGACTTTAAGTAGCCAAAAAATATCTAAGTTAATTAGAAAAAATACCTTTAACCATTATTATTACCATAATCTATAACTTCAGGTATGCCTTCAATATCTTAGACCTGTATCAATTTAGCAGTTTCCTATTGCAAAACATTTGAATTGATAGAATTCTGTATTTTTAATATTACTTCTCTCTTGCTAGATTTTTATACAGCGAAATATTCAAAAAATGGCAAAGTACTTTTTACTAATCTTACATTTTGATATCTAATTTAAGAAGGTTAAGAATTCAAATTCATGTTGCTATTTAAAAATAAAAAAATTATTGCAAATGAAGAAATTACTGACTTTTTAATTAATTAAAATACTCTTCTTAAAATAATTTAATTGACTAATTATTAATATTAATAAAATTATTAGATTATTTCTACTATTCTATAGAAATCTCATTAATTGTTGATAATAAATATATTAATTATATATAAAATTAATATTAAATTAGTATTGTTTGATATAATATACAACTTAAATGATCTGATCAGATTATTATAAAATAGTGTCGACCTCTCCTATATCTTAGTCAAAAATAATCATTAAATTTCTCGTACTCCACAAACAAAATTCAAAATTGATTGATCTACTTTTTTATTATTTCAATATTAAAATCAGTATGAATTAATGAATTAAATAAATGAATTATTGTTATTTTTAATTATTCTTGAACAACATTAGATTAAACAATGATATAAACCTTTACTATTAAAGCGATTGTTGTAAAGATCGATTGTTGGATTTTTTCATTTTAATCTGATTAAATAATACTAATAAAACATTAGTTTGGTCATAAAAATAACAAAAAATATTTTTAATGATATATTTTTTATAGAATTTACAAAAGAATTTTCCTATAAGTTAAATTATAAAATTATTAAATTCCTTTATTGCGAAGAGTAACTAAAATAAATATAAAAAATAGTATGATTTATCTAATTAAATCATTTTTACATTTAAGTTTAACTAGATTGAAGTTTTAACTTTGATGGTCGGGGCATTATACTTGTTAACTGAATCATAAATAAATTCTTAATCTAAAATATTCAGGTCGGAAGATTTGGATGTTGAGATTTAACTTTTCTTTTTGGCTCCTCTTGGAGTGGGAGCAATAGACATATTAGAATTCTCTACCATATCAGATTTTTCTAATATTGTGGATAAATTCAGTCCAGACCCCATTTTAATTTGGTTCATCATAACGCTTGGTTTTCTCAATAAGTCTCTGATTTTTAAATTTATAAACCAATGATGATTTAGAGCTTAAAACGAGGTAAATCTTTTTTACGCATCTTTTTGTAGCATTAGTTTCATCAACTGAAGTCCACTGACTGATATTTTACAGTAATCTGGATACTCTATATCTCCTTATTCATTTCTTGAGAGCAACTCTCTGTTTAAATAATAAAACGTACTTCATTGAAATCGGTGCCAAACGGCATTCTACCAAATACAATATAATAAAAAATCACTCCTAAAGAAAAACGCCAATTTATTAATCATATTATTTGGTTTTGAAAATTTCTGGAGCCATAATACCTGGAGTTCCTATTCTCTTATGCATCTTATTATTATCGTGAAAATCTGCACTTTAAAAATTAACAAAATAGCAATCAGTGATACAGTCAGGAAACCTGTTAAAAATATTATCAAATTTGATATCTCTATGAAACAATCCTTTGCTATGTATGTGATGTAATCCCAATAATAATTTATAAAGTAATTCAGCTATTACTTTTTCAGTGGTCTATAACAACTAAGGAAATAGAAACTTTTATTCTGTTCCTGCATATTGATCATAAACAACATATAAATATACTTAATCTTCATAAACTTCCTAAAATCTTTATATATATATGTGATCTAATCTCCTTAAGATAGCAATTTCATTTATTGCCATGAATGGATCTTCAAGTTAACTCTTTTCAACAATTCGAATTTAAAAGAATAACCCATCAGAATTTCGTTATGCCTTATATGTATAAAGATGACGAAGGTAAACAATCTATAAAAGCTGGATAAGGCTCATTTAGTTTATGTTTGCAAATAAGTTTGTATTTTTTGTTAAATTTGGTTAGAATACAATATCTTTTCAAAACAGATTGCCATTTTTCATAATAATCTTAACTTTCTGTAAAGAATTCGGCTCTATGTTTGCCATAATTTAATCTAAACCCATGCTTATAAGGTTGAATTGAGGATTCAAATATTTAATCTTTTTTAAATAGCAAGCATTAATGTTACAATATTCTGCTTAATTATTCACAATTTTAACCAATCTATATATATATTAAGTAATTACTTGTCAACATATAATTCTAAATGTACAATTTCCCACTTTCTAGATTTAACTTGTTTTTGAAAAGCCTTTCTTTAGAAAATTAGATTTAACTGGCTTTCTTGAACTTTAGTTGGCAACCAAAAGTCACCTCCATTATTAAAAATACTTTCATGCTCATCTTTTTATTATTACTACCAATTCATAATACAAATAATATTAACTATGATATTATTTATAACTAATTCAAAGCAAAACTATTAAAATATCAATTCCATGGATTTGTTTGACAAGAATCAATCAAATAAAAAGAAATTATAAATATTTACAGATACTTTTGTTCTTCTATAGAATAAAGAACGAAGATAGTAATAAAGAAAGAAAAATTAAAAATAAGTTCAAAATATTGCGAATTTGTATAGTTTACATATTAATTGAAAGATAATAAGAAAATTAACTTACGGATTTAAAGAATTTGCTTAATTTTTTTTACAAATCAAGCATAAATTGAAAAAATTAAAGTAATTAATCTTCTCCTTTTTTTTTTCAAATCTGAACATATATTAGAATATAAATAGGATCAAACTATTAGGAACCAAATATTTAATATCAACTCTATGTTTATGGAGACTTAAGAAGCAATTACTAGGTTGCCTTTTCGAAGCATCACAATTTAAGACTTTTATAAAATTACAATTTAATATTTAAAGATAATAAGGGTGTTATAAAATTTGGCTACTTTCATCAGAATGTTATTTATTAATTTAAATTTTCAATAATATTCGACAAACAAAAATGGATCAAGAAGAAAGTTAAAGATATCAAAAATAATTTGAACTTAAGAGAAGAATTTGCTTTTGTCCAAATATTCTTATGGAATTGGTGCTTCTTTAATGAAATACACTTATGGATACTGTTGATTTCCTAATAAGAGTAGATTTATAAAAACCAAATTATTTATAAATATATTAAGAATCTAATGGATAAGTATAAAAGAATAAAAATGATTGGAAAAGGCAATTTTGGTGATGTATGGCTAGTTGAAGACAACAAAGGATAGGTATAGGATTGAGAAAACAAAAGAAATTTGCCCTCAAGTTAATCGATTTGTAATTTTAGAGTGTTGACCCAACAAATGAAGTTACTTTGTTGAAGGTTTTAAAACATCCAAATATTATAAAATACTATGGCTCATTTATATAGAATGATTAATTATGCATTTTAATGGAGTTTGCGGAAAATTGTATTTCAAAATTATATCTAAATGTAGATGATCTGTAAATATACACAAAAAATAATCCAGCAAACATATTAAATTGGTTCACATAATTGTGTTAAGCAGTATAATATTTGCATTCTATGAATATTGTTCATAAGGATATTAAAATGAAAAATGTGTTTTTGACCAAAGATGGCATAGTATAAATATTAATAGATATCTAGATCAAATTGGGAGACTTTAGCATTTCTAAAAATTTAGATGCCTCATTAAATCTGACGTAATTAGGTATATTATTTTCAATTGATACTGTGAGGTACTCCTTACTATTTGTCGCCTGAGATTTGCGAATCTAAACCATCCAATATTAAGAGTGATATTTGGGGTTTGGGATGTTTGCTCTACGAATTGTGCACGAAATAAAAGCCATTTCAAGGTGAATCTTTGCATGAAGTTTTCAAAAATATCATAAAATGTGAGACTCCCAAACTCCCTGAAGGATTTCCTTTAGTTTATCAGGATATAATAAATTAATGCTTAAAAAAAAATCCATAAGAGAGACCGGAAATCTCATAAATCTTAGACATTCCAGAAATAAAGAGGGAAAGAATAAAATTCTCATAGTTATATAAATAGAGACTGATAGGAATGCTCAAATAAATTGATAATACCTAATCTGAATAAGTTTAGACTAATATAAAACAAATGTAAAAACCTATCTTTACTCCATAAAATAAATCATAATCTTTACTATTTTAACAGCTTTTTTCAGAACAAATACAATTAAACATTAAGAAGCCAATGACAAAGAAAATAATTTCTATTGATACTGATTTAATAGAAAAAGTAGGATAACAATAATAATAAAATGAAACACCAACATAATTTTATAAATAATTATTCAACCCAAAAACCCCTACCTCTCCAAATAGAAATTTATTATTGGCAGATTTTTTGAAAAAAAAATTAGGCGAATAAAAATTTTAAGATGTTCGCTAGATTCTTGAAGAATCATAGCACCCAATATAAATGTTAGATCAAAAAGAAATAATGATAAATTTGATGGGAGAAGAGAATCTTGAATGTGTTAAAGTACTTATCATTAAATTATTTGATAGATATTTAAAATATTAATTAGTAATTGCACTACCTTACCTGGTAATCATTTTCGATAGATGAATAATTACTAATTTCTAAGAGATAAGGTTGGTTCATAGCCGGATTTAGATTAAAATATAAAGACAAATAACTTTTGATTGAATCTTAGATCATTTTTTTATGAATACATCATTATTTTTTAAATCAATTTTTCCTTTACTAGAATTATGGAGATTTCTTAATTAAATTTTATTATTTTATCTCATTCAAATTGGTAGTGAATTATCTCTCATCTTGGAAATATTTTCACTTAAATAATATATTGAATGATCATCTTGTCTTTGTTGTATTTCTCTTTAATTTTTAAACACGATTCCAACATGTTCTGCATGAAATCTGTGTTTGAAATGATAGCACTTTCTTTTTAAAGATCAACTTTCCAATTGCATGTGTTGAAGAGATTTTAAATATCCATTTAGAATTTAAAAATTTACAAGTTATATATTATAGTGTTTAATTGATTTAATTAATTATCAAATTAATTAATAAATAATTCATAAAATACAAAATTCTATTCATAAATGAAAAGAACTCAAAAGAAGTTTTCAAAATGTGTTGAAGATGAATTGCTTTCTGATTCATCTAAATAAGAATCTGACTCGGAATATAAAATTTCTGAGACTTCAGAATCAGAAAAGTAAAAAAGCAAATCCTTTTGGAGTCTCAAAGGATTAAGCTTCCAAATTAAGACACTCGTAAAGGAACTAAAAAGCACTACCTACAAAGAATTAGCAAAAATACTTATTGAAAAATTGTAAAATGAACTTCAAAAAATTCATAGTACAGAAAGAAGAAAGGAGATACAAAATCTGAAAAGAAGGGTTTATGATGCAATAAATGTTATGGTAGCTTTGGGAGTTCTTGAGAAAGACAAGAAATAAATCTCATTCCATGAATAAAAGGATAAGGAAGTAGTGAATTTTTAAAAAGAGTAAGTTCGAACTAAATTAGAAATATTAAAAGAAAAAAGAAGAAAACTTACAAAGGCTACTCTCACTTATATGATGTATAAATAACTTATTCAAAGAAATCAATAAATAAAAATGGAATCTGAATCGATCTTATATACTCCTGTTTTTGCCTTTTCAGTGTAATTATTTGAGAATGATTTATGTATGCAACAAAAAAATGGAAAAAAATTGATTATCAAATCTAAACAACCTATATAAATATACTCAGAATTAGAAGTGTTATAAAAGATACTAAATTGATGATTATATCATTCAAATTCATAAAATTGAAATTTATTAATTTAATAATAGTTCATTGTAAAATATTATTATATATTTTTTCAATATATTATAAAGATTTTAGAAAACTATCTTCTCCATAAATTGATTAAGGAGGCAATAGGTATGGTAATTATCTACAAACAAAAAACTTTTAACTTAGCAATCTAAATATGAATATTATTTAAAAAAAGTAAATGAAGACAGTTACTATCTCGAAAAGCATGAAATAGCTGAATTTGTCATTTAATTATGATTGGATTTCATTTTCTAATGTGTTTCTCATTTCTATGAATAAATTCTCCAAACTCTATGAAATGAAATTTATTCCAATTAAATCATCTCTTGTGAACTTTTTACTTAATTTAAATTATGAATTAAGGTCATCTCTTACCATATCTGAATAATATTAAATGGAATACATTAGTCCTTCAGTCAATTTCCCATTTAAAATAGTTATACATAATGGATTAACAATAACTGAACAAGTATTTGATATCAGATTATTTAAAACATCTAATGTCTAATCTGAATATCCATATTTAAACTACTCATCATAATACAAGAATTCCCCATAAGCCATTTGAACTTGATCTTTGTATGAATTTATAAGTTCATCTGTTATATTTATTTCTTTTAATTTGTCTTGAATTTAAACTACATAATCACAATAACAAATTTGAGTTACTTCTTGACAGTAATTAATGTAGACAGAAAACTAATTTAGTCGTTATGATAGCCTTTCAATGTATGTCTAATTGGTAATAAGAGTATATTCTAAGTAAAAACAACATAAAAATATTCCAATCAATGGATAAAATACAAACGGATGTTAAAGACAAGAATATTATTATTCTTGTATTTTAAATTATTTTTTAGAATCTGTTTTTGTATAATTTGTAAACTTCAAACTTTGAAACTGTGATAAATTCTAATTTTCTTGATTTAATTTGCTTTTAAAATTGAAATGATATTTATATAGATTCAATTCACTGGCATTTTTGTAAACATATAGTATATTTGATAACCTAATTTTCTCTGCTTCTAGAGATTGAATTTGGATTTATTCAGAACTTCTAAGAATTCTCCTTTTAAGACGGAAAAAGTGCATATAAGCAATTGAATAACAGACAATGACAACAACTTCTACTGCCAAAGCAACAGAAGAAATTACACTCTAATAATATGAAACAATATCATTTAGATTGTTCTATATCTTTAAACTAAATTCTTCTGTTATTATTCTGTATTAGTCTATGTAATCAAAGAATGAATTTAGTAAAATATGAATAGTTTTATGGAATTTTTGCATATATAGTTGGTCTTAAGGATTGAAATCTTTAAAGTTACTCATCTGATACCAAATCTAAAAAATTTCAGTCCATGCACTCACTTCTTGTGATTCTTTTTAAAAATAGTCAAATAACTTCATCTTTGCGTCAGATATTGTAGAAGTAACCACCTTTTTTTAAGAGACTTATTAAAATAATGCAAATCTTAGGTTTATATTTTCTGTGATCAATTAAGATGTTTCATTTTAAAGGGTAGAGTTTTTTGAGTTTTAAAAATGTCCAAGACCCAACAAGGTATTTCGAATTAAATCTGCCGTTGTAAAAGGTCCAAATACTTCTAATATATCTTTATTTTCAGCCATATTTGATTTATAAAGTAAGTAAAACAATTGAGACAGTAGCAAAATTATGAGTAAATTACAAACATCAACAGCCAATACAACCTTGACCAATTTAGGGATGTTGCCTTTCTTTGAAAATTTATTATATAATTATGATTTTTATATAATAGCTGAATTGTCTTTATTGCCATGTTATTATTAATGGGTGTCAGTTTAATGAACTTTTTAGACTCCATTTCCAGAAACTTAATCCACAATTTCAATTTCAGACATCTTTTAGCGTCCAACGTTAACCTCAAAAAATTCTTGCTAATCTTTTTATTATTATTTAGGTTTCTTGTTATTTGTATTTGTATTAGTTTTCAAACTAGTCTAACCTTTTTGTAAACTTTTAATATCATTATCATTAATTTGACTATTGTGAGATTCAATTACATTAATTTATAATTATTCATTGTGGCCTCTTTAAGAAGTAAGTATTAATCTACTGGAATCTAAAGGAGTTTAAAAATTCGAATATATTTATGGCAACTAATAATCTTATATATTATTCATTTCATTTTATGTGTACTCTATCTATAATAAATCTGAAATGTCTCCACTGTCACTTTTTAAATCTATTAATCCTTAAATGGAATCCAATCTGAGAGGATTCAGAGATGCTTAAGAGGATCCTTTTTTAAAAACATCAAACATTTAAGAATTTGATTAATTTTCTGCCATAGTAATCTTCTTCATAGATATTAAATAGGCTTGGTAAACTTTAGTATGTATAAATCCTATTGACATTATAATTGAACAATTTGCATAGTAAATCTCTGATTGGGAATCAAATTTAGGTATAATAAATGTCAATTATTCAACTTCAATTGTAAAATGGATAAGCAATCGCTCTTATTATTGATAATCAAATTTATTACTGATTGAACCATTCTCCTCTCTAATAATTTCCTCATCTTGGTACTTTTAATATTAGTGTTACAATTATTCAACATAATGTGAAAAGTTGGGAATAATCTCTTCAATTCCTTTATTATAATAGTCATGAATTTTAATCTTTAATTGTTCTAATGCTAAATTCGATATTCCTTAGATTTTAAATGTATCAGAAATCACAATGTGTCCTTTGATGTTTTCATACTTTCCATAGGGCACAATCTATTTAAGAAAGCAATAAATAGGAAAGGCATCTTCACAAATGTTGAATGAAAGATCAAGATACATTTCACAAAATACCAATTCTTTAAATTTCTTTTACATAATGAGAGGCCTTCTTTTGCGAATAATTGGAGGTTTATTTGTGAGAAAGAAAATTTCAAGTAATTAATCGTGGTATGTAGCCAAATTGGGAGTAACTATTTGATGTACTGTTTGAATAGTTTGTTTGAATTCTTTTGGTTCGTATCCCAAAAGTGAAGGTGCATTATTAGAAAAATCCATAATTTAGCCTCTAAAAAATTTTCCATTTATTGAATGTCTTGCCAAATTAGTCTTCAGATAGAGCACTTGGAATCCCTAAACTGAAGATGTATTTGCACTTATTGATGGATATTCAAAGAATTTGTAATTCTTGGTTTTTAAGGAATTTCTCAATCTAACAAATTTATCAAAATCACATGTAACTTCTAGTGTATAAAACATATGTAATAAAACGGATGTCCTACAATTTGAATATTTTTAGAAGATTTCTATTTCTTTTTGGGTTTTTGTCATATTTCGAACATGTTAAACAAGTGATTGAAACAATTATTGAAAGTTCATTTTCTATTCTAGAAGACTCTTAATAAATTTGATTTTTTAATCTATGTTATTGAAGATACGATTTAAAATTTGATCTCTTCTGATTTCAGTAATTCTATAGTTTTTATATCTTATTCCTATTTCTACTTCATCTTAAGTTAAATTATGTTTCATCTTTTATAATACTTTATGTTTGACCAAACAAATAATAAGTGTAAGAGTGACTTCATTCAACATTGACGTGTTTTTGATATTTCTTTATTTGTAATCCATTATAAATGTCATAACTTAATAACATTCCTCGGAGTCACATATGTATAGTAGTAATTATGATAATCTAAAGATATTTGGATTCTTTTCATTATTTTCTATTTCAAAAACATATTTAGTGAAATGTCTAATGTATCTTTCTATCAATTCTATTTGAAGATAGATATTGTTAACTTAGATAGAGTTATAAATCTTCATTTCAACCTTGTTCTTTCTACTATCCATCACTTATCTCCTTTCTCCTCTAAATCCCTTACAATAGCAATACACACTAGTACAATTTTGAACATGAGATTTAATAAGAACAATAATCTTAATCAAAAAATTAGATTTCTTGATGTTATCAATTTTAGAATACTTATCCAATGATTGTTGATCTGACAATCTAAAAAAGGAGATATATCTTAAATAATGAACAAAGTATCGAAAATGTTGGTTTTTTAAGGCTTCTATTTACTATTTTTTGATTTCCTACATTTCCTTTTCTATTACAAATGGTTGCAAGTCATCTTCCACAAATTGCGATCTTCTAGAACTTGAACGTTTTTGCTGTTTAGTTTTTTTCTTTTCCATATACAATTATTAATCAAATATTTATTGAATGACATAATTGAAAATTACTTTAATCATCTTTGTTAAAATTGGAATACAAATAAGACACATCGAGAATAATTACATTTAAGTCAACTAAAATTAATGAGAAAGTGATATCGTCAAGGAAGCACTCAAGCATAAAAAGGATATATTTTATTTATATTCTAGCATATAGGGAATTGAAATAAAAAAATCCAATAAATCTCCTATCAAATTTACTTAGATAATCGATGTTATTAAGATCTATATATTCTAATCATATTAAGTTTCTGAATAGAGAAAGTAAATGAATTAAACTATAATAGGCATGAACTTCACTACTTAGGATATATTGAACCAGGTCGACTATTATATTCTTAGATGATTATTATCAAACATTGTATAACTTCTTTGAGCAATCATTGAAAATGTCCACAAGACTATCATTTCAATGGTTGTTAAAGAATCTAAAACAACCATGAACAATTTCTAATTAGTTGATATCTCAACATCAAAAATCACCAACAACACCACTAAGAGATTCCAATACATCAAAGGTATTGTGAATATATGAGGGTATGTATTCAATAATTTAGCTAAAAAGTTTCTAACTACATTTAACCATGATCGTTAATCATTTCCCATCAGCTATTAATACAAAAAGTTTTCAATAAAATTCGACATATTATAAGATCTGTTTAAAAGATTAATTGAAACTAATAAAATTAACCCAATAATTACGATTCGAATTATCCGGTCCTCCTACTTGTGATTTGAATTAGATGGTGGCGAACTTTGATTTCTCATATTCGATGAATATTGCAATTGCTATTAAAGGTGAACATAAAAGAATAAGCAAAATTATTTAAATTGCAATTATTGAATTATTAGAAAACATATCTGCCATCAAAATAGTAGGCACAAAAGTCTTTGACATAAATTTGCATACCCATTGATCTGAGACGTAATTTATTTTTATATTTCTTCTATCTTAAAGAATATGTAACACCTCTTCAAACAAAAAAACCATCGCTATTCTTTGTATTTATGCAATTATCTCAATTATTATCCAAAATGTTTAATAATCCTATGATAGGGCAATCTAAGTATATCCAATTGAATATTTCAAATATTCTTCTGTGTATTGTCTAATTTTCTTCATTAAAAATATAAAATTATTTATATTAATAGTAACCCAAACAAGAATTACACTTAAATATAGAAATATTAATCTGTTTTGAAATGGCTTACTTATGTCCTCATCTAGAAATTTATATAAAATAGCTAATATATTTTATATTAAATAAATAAATGAGTGAATCATCCAACTTTTTCGTAGGAAAGTACAATTTCTCAAGAAGAGTTATAAATCACAGAGTACCTATAGATTTTAATCATGGAATCACTCAAAACCCTTTTGATTTTGTATGGAGATCTTCATTCAGAAATCTACTTGTTTCTAAGTATTAATCCAAAAAATTTTCCTCTTAGTTTGATTCGAAATATGTCAATGTGGTATTGTGGTGCAGCATTTGTTATTGGAATTGCAATCAATGAATTCTAAAATTACAGAAGATAAGGACATGCATTTACAACTCCTAAGTATTAACATTACTAATTAGAACCCAACCCTATTTAAATTATGTCACTAACAGCAGAAATAAAGATGCTAATTTAGGTAGATGGAATGGTAATTTTGCTTGTTGGGAAAACGAGCCATTATGCGGTAGAGATTTCGAATGACATATCTAAAATATATACATTCATCAGATATAAAAATGATTCTAGTAATTGCAACTCTATATTATTTCTATCATTCAAGTGTTAATTTTCTTGTTCCATAGGATCATTAATTTTTCTCATTATTAAATATGAGCAATATTTACTAATTTTATTTTGTCTTTCATATTATATTTCACCTGTGCTTTTAATTCCTCTCTAACATTATTATATGCATACATAAATTGTTAATATCCTTAGGTCTGGCATTGTGTTATAATTCTAATCTTTCCAATTTATTGTATGTATTCTAATAAAAACTGTTAAAAGAATTTGTGTATGAATACTTAAGTTATTTTTCTTTTCGAAAAGCTTCTACTAATTTACATTTAGGACATGTTAAATTTCAAATTATTGAATTTTATTCAAAAATTCGATTCTAAAAATAAATATTTATTTGAATTTAGCCTTTAATATGTATTTATAAGGATATTAATTACTCAGATAACAGTTTTCACTTTTTATGCTATAATATTCAAATATTCTGTTCAATAATTTAAAATTATCACAAAACATGTAGTTTTGTGTAGTTGTTGAGAATTTGATGAATTTAATTTTCATAATAAGTATAATTAACATTAATTTATCAGATTTTAAATAAAATTGATATTCAAAAAAAATTGTAATTAATTTCCTCAATTTACTAAAAATAGTGAAAATAAGATATTATTATATTTTATTGGAATCATTAATCTATAGGGGCAATTACATATCCTACTGTCACTGTCTATTGAAGGATGTCCCCCTAATCATACCCGTAGCCTTCATTTAGAACAACACTTTTTACTGATACGATTTTCATGTTTATTTCTTTCAAAACTACATCAGCCTTTAAATTTATAGAATCTATATATTTACAGTATGACTAGCATCTTCAATGGCATGCTCAACCAAATTATCTTTAATTTTTCGTTTTTGTTCTTTGCTTATATCGAAACTTACACCAGCGACAGTCTCCACTCCATTTTTTACAGCTATATCAATGATTCTAGGATACTTATAATTCTTACTTTCCAACTTCACTGATATTTAACGTTTCAATAGTGAGTTAACTGTTGGCTTTGAACCCTTTAAAGATCAAACTTGCTGGATTTACTGTAAAATCGTACTCTGTATATGGTTGTATCTAATAATCATTGGTCTAAATCTTTAGATCACTACTTGATTGTTCTTTGATAGCCCTTAAAATAGTTGATACAATAGTTACTTGATAGCTCTGTCTGAAATGTCAGCCAATTGTTAAAGTGCCTCTTAAGCTTAGACATTTTTAACTTGAATATTCAAAGTAATGGTGGCTTGAGTTGGTTCCATAATAGTTGATGCACTTCCTTATACGTAGTAGATATAAGGGAGTAGATATTCTTGAATTCCACAAGAGTTGATTACTACTTTAGCGTCCTCAGTTGGTCTAAGGAATTATGAATATGTTATTGAGATTAGGAATGAAAGGGATAGGATTGTTATCATAATTTTAATATTGAAATTTAAATAGAAATATAGAGTTAAATTGTTGATATAATATAGAATTAGTTGAATAATTTAATTTATTCAAAATATAAAATTTGGAATTTGTTACTTATGGTTATAATGACATTATAATTATATTCTCATTCAAAGGACTCAGAAGCAAAAGAACTATCGTGATTTAAGGATCTCTATGAACTCTAATTAATAGAGGCGTCAATCTTCACTTTCTTTGTTTTCCTGTTAATATCAAAATAGATAGATTACAATTTATTTTTGACATATTCTTATAGTTTTCTAATAATCTTGAGAGGTAATACATCGATATCAAATTCAAGTTCTTCATCCTCCCTAGTTTGAACATTTTATTGAACAATTTCCCAAACTCCTTTTAAATCCTCTGAAGGCAAATCTCTTATTTGTTAACCCAATTATTTTTTCACTTCAAATGTAATAATGATCTAGTCTTGTTTCTTTGAATTTTAAACTACTTTAGGTTTCTGAGGAATAGTTTTATTTAGAGAGTTTCTAGAGGTGTGTTAGATAATTTGTACTTGTTCTAGACAGGTGCTGGTTTTGATTGATTTGAAATTGATTTAAATACATTATAAAAGTGAGTTTCTAATTAGGCTACTAAGTCCTAAATTTGATTGGAGGCATTTTAATGTAATTTTTGGAATGTTAGTTTGATTTAATTCTTCAAGTCAATCAAGTTACCTTTTAATTACTAGTAAGCAATACCTTCCTATAAGAAAAAAGCTTCAATTTTATCGAAATTAATTTACCCTTAAGCATCAATTTATGTAAAAGCAGGATGAGATTTAAACATCTATAGCAAGCGCAATCCTTTTTTAATGTTATTATCATCTGTCTATGGTTTGTATGATTCTTTTTGGGAAGTGGATGTTTGTCTTTGGATTCTTTTACTTTTGTCTTCCACTGCTTCTTATTTATTAGATTGGAAAGAGGCATCATATTTATTAACTTTCTTGGACTAGAGACTTATAAGGAACTGATTTCTTACCACTCTCTATTCTCGAGCTGTTAATAGACTAGCTTACAATAAAGAGAATCCCTTTGGCATTTTATCTAAGATGAAGTCTACTTGCATTTGGTTTAGATTGAAATCTATAGGACTTGCCATAAATAAGTCTTAATATAATTTATTTATTGAGGAAGAATTTAAAATTAATTCGATTGTTTATTCAACCTATAATTAATTGCTGAAGATATTAAAATATGGATAATTTATGCAAATATGAGAATATTTAAGAATCAAGTGACAGATGCTTATATGTTTAAACTAATTGCAACAATCAATCCAAAATAGCTTTCACTCAACTTTTCTATTGCCAATTTGATGAAAACTACATTCTAGTGTTAATCTTCATTGTAAATCTCTTAATCATTATATAGCCATTCTTTTTCTTTTTGATGTTCAACTTGTTATCAAAAACTGCTGAAAATTATTTGTCTCCTGCAGTTGCCCACATAGCCAAATATTTTAAATTATCGCAAACACTCTCAGGGTATTATCAATACATTAAGCAGAATTACACTCATAGCCTTAGCCAATGGAGCACCAGATGTAATAACTGCGATTATTGCAACAGGAGAGGATGACCAGGGTGTTTTGATTGCAGTTGGTAGCATTTTTGGTAGTGGGTTGTTCATGACTACATTCGTTTTAGGATCAGTCTTATATTATTCAAAACATATATTAGTGAACAAAGTATCTTTAACAAGAGATCTAATATTTAATATAATTGGAATAGGATCTATTATCACTTTTGGCTATATTGGATACATCTCCAATCAATTTTCAATTCTTTTTGTTTCGCTATATATTATATACATATTTGTTGTTATGTTAAATGAAAAATCAGAAATCAAGCATTGTCAAGAGAATTTATAATTAATCAAGAAGTAAGAACACCAAGAGGAAAAGTAAGGTTTGCTCTCTGAAGAAGAGTATCAATAACCATAACAAATTGATGAGGTTAAACCTTTCAAATATTTTGGAAATGAATAACAATCATTAGAATTTGAAGAACAACAAGTCAATCTATATCTAGCAGAAAGTTGTGATAACGAGGATGAAGAACAAGAAGTCATTATCTTTTCAAAACAAACACTATTTCAAAAATTATAGACTATTTTAACTATGGGTTTTGATTTAATTAGTAAGTACACAGAAGGTAAGAAATAATAAAACAAATTTAAAACTTCGATTTAATTGTTATTCACTCCATTATTATTGTTACTTGTCTTAGATGTTTATGATTCATTATTATTTGATCGACCACTTTGGATCTTTGTACTGTGTATGGCACTCATTTTGGCAGTATATCATTATTGTCATTAAATACCTTTAATAGTATAATACTCTTTAATCAATTAGGCATTAACAATTTGGAGTGCCATTTGCTCTATTGTGTGGTGTAAATTAATAGTGGAAGTCCTCGTTGATTTCATTGTGGTAATTCCTTTGCATAGATCTAGGTTAATAGTTAATCCAAACTCTAACTGGAATCAGTCCTTCATATTTAGGTATGACCTTTCTAGCTTTTGGCAATTCTGCATGTGATTTCTTAGTAAATACCCAATTAGCTAAAATGGGATTAGGTATTATGGCCATAACAGGTTGTTTCGCAGGAGCATTCTTTAATTTGAATGTGGGATTCGGGATTGCTTTGTTGAAATAAACTTGGAATGGTACAAACATCTAGTTTCCTTTGTTCATTTCAGATGAAACCAATTAACATCTAATTAATCCATAGACCACGTTAATTATTTAATTGCTTTTAATTTTCTCGCTTTTAAATATGACATCCACTTTGTTATTGTCTGTAACAGTAAAGTAAATTAATAGTATTAATATTCATAGATTCTAGTTGAAGAAGCAATTGTCTTATTATTATTTCACTTATTATTTCATTGTTTTAACCACTCTAACAATGATAACATTTTTTGTTAATTGATTTTATGATATTTTAAATTGATGTAATAGTTATTATAATTGAGAATGAATAGATTGGGCATTGGCATTTGAGAATGTCATGGTCTGGACTGATAGGTTGTCTAATAATGTAGTTTAAATATGTATAATTGGATTTAGAAGCACCATCGTATTTTATTCAGAAATAATCATATTAAAGTTAAGAATCTGTGTTCATATAAATATATATATTCAAATAAATGCAAGAAGATGCTCAATAATCAGACGTGAAAAATAAAAGCTAGAATGTGGTATAAGAAGTGACCATAAGTTAAGAATTTGAAATGCCAATCAATAAAACAAAGAGATTTGTATTGATCCCACCACTTTCCTAAATTAAATTTGAAGATGAGAAAAATAGACTACAATATAGTTGTCATGCTAAGGATGGGAGTGAATTTGATGTCTAGATAGAATTTGAAAATAAGGCTGATAATGCATGTATTTTTGTTAGCTGTAAACCTGTTAGCCATTAATTGGATCGTTCGTATAATTTAATAATAGTTTCCCTAGAAAAATTTATAAATTATCAAGTTCAATTTAGAGCAAAAAAACAAAAAAATAAAAGGACATTAAAATAGACCAAAAGGACAATCTTCTGAAACTCTAACTAACTCAAAAAGTCAAGGAATAACAATTGTGTTTGCAGAATGAAATTCTTATAGAACTAGCATCAAAATACAATAGTAGGGATGAAGTAGGATTTACAGGAATAATCAATAACTCAGCTACCTGTTATATGAATAGTGTGTTTTAGATTCTATTTCATCTGGGTATATTTGAGAAACTGGTCTATTCAATAAAGTCTGATTAATTTAATTAGTTTCCATGCACAGTAACTTATTTTCGCATTATTCATAGTTACAAGCCCTTTTCTACAATCTAAGACACAGTTAAATTGCCATTTCTACATAAGAAATCATTAAGTCGTTCAAGTGGGACAAAGATCAATAAGCTCTTTAACAGGATGTTTAAGAATTTATCATGGAACTTCTCAAAGCTATGTGCATAAAAGTGCCAGAAATAGAGAAAGATATTAATTAGCTATTTTAAGGAGAGTTGGAGAATCACATAAAGAATGAGAAATTTGACAATTCAAATTCTGAATAGTTTATGGATATATCTTTGAATATTACCAATTCTCTCAATGAATCTCTTGAGTTGTTCGTCTAATCTGAATAATTGGATGCTTATACTCATGATGTGTATGGAAAACAGGAAGCAATCAAATTCCATAGATTTAAGAAATTGCCTCCGATTTTACTCATAAATTTAAAGAGGTATCAATTTGATGGACAAGGATTTACAAAGATTCATGATTATTTCTAATATGATGATGAAATCAATTTCAAATAATACTTAATCAATTAAGTAGATGAGATCTATCAATTGTATGCTGTTTTAGTACACAGAGGTGAAGCAATTAACCATGGTCATTATTATTGTTATATAAGACCAACTCAAAGTACTCAAGAATGGTTCAAATTTGATGATAAAATTGTTACCAGAGCTACTAAATAAGAAGTATTCCAGAATAACTTCGGTGGATAATATACCCAAGCTGATTATGATGGAGATTTGGATGAAATCATCACTAAAAAAAAGAATAATCCTGAAACTGCTTACATGTTGGTCTACATCAAAGCAAATCAACCAGATATTCTAGTGAGTCCAAAGGTTTTCCCAGAGTGGATTTTGAAATAACAACAACTATATAATGACACTCAATATGAATAAAGACACTTCATTTAAACAAATATATTCACTATCAATCATTTGAATTAGAATCAATGTTAGCAAATGAAAACAGGAATCATTTTTCATAAATCTGCCTTAAATTAATCTATTGATTAAAATGTCATAGAAGAATTCTTTGATTAATATACAACACCTTTACTTATTCCTAAAATTATAACTATTCAATAGATCATTGATCAATTAAGTGAAAAGATTAATGTAGATAAAAAACATCTGCATTTATTAATGTATAAAATATCACATTTGAAACCAAATTTGGAATCAGTCATTTAAATGTAACCACAAAAGAGTCTTTCATTCTATTTGGCTAATAAAATCTACTTATTTGGATTAATGTTACTTTCTACCAATTTCGAAGATCAAATCCTCATCAACAATTATTTTGGAGTCGATAAAATTAAATTAGATTTAATACCTCAAATTGGAGGCAAGAATTCTAAAGAAAATAAAAGTGTAGTAGACAGCAAAGTTCTAGTAATTATTAAGACTTACTCTAATAAACTAATTGAATTTGATTAAATATTACTACTTGATAAGGGATAACAAATTTTAGATACCATTAATAGAGAATATACAAATAATAATCAAATTAAAATCTATTACTAAAATGACAATTTGGAATTTAGATAACAAAATCCAACGTTTAAAAATACAGAATATGTTTAAGTTTATTTGGATTTCCAGAATGAATTAGAAACAGATATAGAATAAATCAACAATTTAAGAGAAGTCATTATTAAAGTTTTCAATGAATCCTAATGCACCTCTTAGTTATTTAACAAAAATGATTCTACTTGTGCTTTACTAGATTTCCTTGCTTAATTGGAAGACTGTAAACAAGAAAACATATAGATTAAATATAAAGACAAAAAGGGGAACATCTAAACTTTGTAACAATAAATGAAAATAGAAGAATTGATCTAATTTGATAATAACATTAGTTATAAATAAACTATAGTACCAATAGGAGCATTGAAAGAACAAATGAGTTTTTAAGTTGACAATCAAACTTATATCATCTTAAAGAGTATGAGTTTCGCAGAATTCATGGAATAGGAATAACTCTCTCCCACTACTCATGTTCCATTATTGATTTCCAAAAAGGATAAAAAACAAGCTCAGGTCTAATTAGATCTTACATAAAAAATCTCAAGATATACATATAAACATGAAATTAAATTTATAAAACCAATAATCCTTGGAACTGATATTTATTTGATTTGCTTTTTGTAAAGTGTTGACATTGTGTTATTGTGCAATCCAATTGTTTGTTAAGTCTCGTAGAATAACACAATAGCAGAAATGGTAAATAGGATTATAGAGGTTGTCAGTTAAGCTCCTATTTAATACAAATCTTAATTGATTTAAATTACTGAGGATTGTATTTATAGTTCAGAAGATAACAAGACTAGAAGATTAGAATAATAAATTAGAGTTCGAATAAATAATTAAGAAATTTAATAGGATACTTAGATGGGAATTGGATCTTTGATGCCTGAACTTAAATAATTAACACTCGTAATGACATTCCTGACTATTAGAGATACAAAGGTTGATAAATTGAGATAAAAGGGAGTCTAAATTTTTTGATGATATAATTATTCTTATATTAGTTTCTATATACATTTTTAATTCGAATTGTCTATTTAATTCATTAATTTTATTAATAAATAACTTCATAAAGTTCATCCAAATAACCTGTAAATGTTGGGTTTTAAATTAGTTCTTTGATGAATCGTTTAGAATCTTTGGGACATTTTGATAACATGACTTCCGAAAGCAATTGCAAATTCAATGCAGCCATACTACCAGTCTTGATGAATTTTCTATCAACTGGAATGTGTTATGTCACTGTTGAATGCCAAAAGGTCTAGAATGACTTAGCGATATCCTTAAGCAATTGCATATATTATTTTTCATTTTCTTTAAAAATTTAATTAGAACTGCCAGATTTCTCTAACTTTTGTGGTTTGTGTTTTCCAACTTATTTAAAAGCATTGTCTCTGGAATTATTGATCACACTGTATAATTATTTAAGATGAGAATTTCTTTTGATTGGAGCAATGCATTTCTTCAAATCTCTACTTTAAGTTTTTGAATAGAATACTCTCTTTGTGTTTAGATCTAAGATATAGTTAACAATTACCAAACATTGTAATATCTTCTTATTGGGCTTCTTCAATTCTTGAGGAATAGTTTTCATATTCTCCAACGACTCCAAAAAAATATGGACAAGGAGCTGCTAATCTATCAATCAATTCATCTGGTATGAATATGCAGAATGGCAATTTATAGTTGAAAGGGTGCATAAGGGATATGATTGTTAACATAACATGAGATAACACTGATTTCTTTTTAGAAAATAGGATAACTCTTTGAGAAAGTATAACATTAGAGATTAAGTACACCAACTCTTTGAATGACAAGGTTTGGAATGTCTAATCACAACCCCATAGAAATTATAAGTATTATACACTATCCTTTTTGGGCGTTTGAATTTATATTTCATTCAATTGATATTTCTAGTCGTAAGTTACTTAAATGCTTCTTAAGGCAAATAATCTATCTATTATAGTATTCAATTTGCTCTTCATAAACACGAAGTCTCTCTTTAACACTTCATGACTCGATGCCTCACATAGACAGGGTTCAATTCTTTCTAGTTTCAATTGGTTCCATATGTTGGCATTTTCTTTCAAAAAGAATTTAATGAATGGGTAATAGCTCACAAAACAATGGACTATTGGACATAACCAACAACCATATGTTTTGGGATCCAAACAAATGAATTCATTGATTTCGAAACATATGATGTTCCTGAATACATTTGGATTGGATTCCTAAACAAATTAACTTACAGTCATTCTACTATTTTCTTAGATGTCTTCTCTGGGAATGGTTATTGAATATTCGTTGTCTCCCTTTGTTAATTGGAGAGTCTGCATAATGATTTGCTTTAATTCTGGTAATACTTTGTCATTGAAATTTTGAGATGATGCCTCTAATCTTTTTGCTAAGATACCATTAGGGAATGTGTAGATTGGAACAACATCACTAAAATACTGGAAATTGATTATACTAAAGATGTTAATTGACATTTGGAAATTGATATAGAATTTTAGGTTTCACCAGGACTTCATTTGTGTGTTCGCTGACTTATTTTAATTCTTCAATGTCAGGTCCGAGAATTAGAAAGTGTTCAAAAAATCTTTATCCAAGATAAGTGTGTTATTCATCGATGTTAATTTATCTTGAAAATTCAGTCAAATTGCTTGTTTAAGTTCTTTAATAAGGAGCATTAAATTGATTTGGTCTAAGAGTATGCATTTCTAGTTTACTTTTGCTTGGGATCCTAATTAATCAAATCTCCTATGGCTTTCTGTATGTTTTCCTTCAAAAGCTTTTGCGAATTTTCGTCAAGTCCTTTGACTTGGGAAAACTCAGGTCCAAAGGTTTCAATCTATTCCTCTAACTCTGCAATCTTCTATTTCAACTCTTTGATTTTTTGATCTTTCTTTTGGCATTCTACACAATCCTAATTCATAATATTAATTTAGTAATTTAATACAATAAAATAAAATCATTCCTTTGGTCTCTCTCTCAAGTAAATTGGAAATCTGGGCACATTATTTTTGGACACTCCATAATACTTATAGGTGATCCTGGAACCAATCTTCGGTGGTTTTTATCTGATATCATCAGTGAGACCTGATCCTATATTGAACACTATTCCACTCGTATTTTTAACCTTCAAAGATCCAAGCATTCCTTAACATCTGCCTGTTCCTTCTTCATGAGCCAATACAGTAGCCTCATCATCCATAAATGTTTTCACCTTCAACAATTTATCTGATCTTCTCTATTCATAAGTACTGTCAGGATCTCTTAACATCAACCCTTCTCCTTCCAAATCCTAAACAGCTTCCAATTCATCTATCAAATGATCATACCCTTTGCAAACTATATGAGGCACATATACTATGTATTAATTTCCTTATTCACATGCCTACTTAAATCTCAAGTATCTATCTTTGAAAGGTAATTTCAACCCTGGAGCGTCAAAAACCATGTATTTCACCTTTCTCCAATCATCCTCGACTGGAACTTATCTTTTGGTAATTGAAACCAATTTCGAAAATTGATCCCTCTCTAACCACAATTCTCCATCCAAATAAGATTTGGGCCATCCTTATACAAAAAAGTCAGGAAATTGTATGGGATTACCATTTCTTGAATACATTTTCGAACCAGTCCAAATCATTCTCATACCATCCAATTTCTCACTTAAATAGTATCCTTTTGGATCAATATCTTCATTCCATGTTTATGCTAACATCACTTTCCCCAATGGTATTGTACCTTTTCCCAAATCAACAGCTGGACCTTTGATTGCTTATTATCTTCCATTCAAAGCGTCATCAGTTATTGCAGCTATAGTATCTGGCTTTAATGATCCATTCCTTTTAAGGGCATTGCTTTGTTTTTATTGCTACTTTATTTATGCAGGACGATTTTAAATGGGTGAATCATTTTTTTGTATTTATTATTAGATTTATTGACCTGGCACCACTTCTTAATATCCCTTATCTTGTTTCATCTTGGATGATTCATCATAATATTTCTAACATTCTTCTTTTGATGGGAATTGCTTTTCCACTTTCTTAACATTCAATTCTTCATAATCACACAAATTGCCATATCTGATGGATAACTTAGTTTCATCATTTTCTTCAATGGTTATTGACCAAAATTTACTATCACATTACAAATACTTTTTCATTTTAATATTTTGTTAAATACATTATGAATTGATTTTATACTCAAAAGAATTGAATTTCTGATGGAGATCTGGCCATAATTTATTATATATGTTATATTAAATTAAAATAAATAATAATAATATTAATCATTATTCTTCCTAAGTGTGTTATGATGATGCTGATTATGATTAATTATTAGGCAGTTACAATTCATAGACTTCGACCTCATTTTAATCAGAATTATTTGTCTCCTAAGAGGATATCAAGGGAATGCATTACCAACTATTGTTATTCGCTCTTTTTTGATTTGTACCAAAAGATCTTGATAGTTAAAAAGTACGGTAAAAAGAAATCAAATAACTTTATTGTTGTTCCTATTAGTGCATTTATACCATTAGTCCAAATTGTGCTATTTAACTTTTCAATAAATAATATTTTACATTAACATACCAACAAGAGAAGTAACCTTCTCTGCTTTTATATTTAGCAAGCATCGAGACAAAATATACATTCTACATGAAATTAGCAAACGAACCAAAAAAACAGAAGATCACTAGAATCCACAAAGATGATTAATTCTTTTGAATCTACTCCTTCAATTTCATCATTGGATTATCCAATTTCTAAGCACTCAAATTCTTAGAGACTTACCTTGACAATTACTTTACTTACAAAATGAAAAGACCTTACATGAAGAATCCCACTGTTGTCACTATATTGAAAAAGCTGGCTATTATAAATATAACTCATCTACCAGAACATAAGTCATATGAATGATTAGTACTCACCACAAAGAAGTATTAGATGTAATTCATTATGAAGATTATTGTAAAAAACGAACATAATCCTATGCAAAACAATTTGGACAATTTCAGCTAAATAATTGGATCAATATCTTGATATGAAACATCCATTCTCATATTCAGCATTCCTAGAATTATTGATTTTCTCCCAAAGTAATAGATGGTGTAACAGAAAAATATGTATTAGAAGTAATACTCTGGAAAATATAATAAGGCACTTTCATATGACCATTGATATGTTAAATATGCTGCATATCACTAAAATTCCATACCACAAATATTGATAACCATTATTGAAACTATAATCTATTTACGATTGTATCGAGTGATATCCTTATGTTTTTAATATCGTCTAAATAATACGATTGATCCTGAAATCAATATAATCCACGCCCACACTATTTCCAAAATGTTCCTATTCCTAACAATCATTTCATACGTGTAACAGTATAGGTTGGAAGCCCCACCTTATGACTCGTCCTGAAAACAAGTAACCAGATAGTATATTCCAGGTTATTCATTATTATGTGACATTTTATATAGAAATTAATAATAAATCAAAGTGTTTCTGCTTCATCAATCAACTTATCTATTTTACTGATGCTCCTCTCATTGTAAATATCATCTAATGCATTTTAAATATCTATAAACCACCCTTACTTTCTCAATAATTAAACTAATGAACTCTCATGTTCTAATTCGAATTCCTAAAAATTTGATTCGATTATTTTTTTTTATATATCAAAATTTAATTTTTTCTGTTTTTCGAATTCTAATAGCATTTTTCGGATTTCTAAAATGAATATCTCACTTCGATTTATCAACTTATTTATCAAATCCATATTCTGTCCATGTGAATTATCCATATTCTGAACTAGCATAATATCTGCATGTGTTTCTACCAATAATTTGAGAAATGGTAACATTTACTTTGATATTTTTTACAAACTAAATAAAGTGTACCATTTACTTTTAACTGGCTTATTTGAGTAGAGTATTGATCATAAATAATTTAAAATAATTTTATAATCAATAAACTAAAAATCTATAAAATGATTCCTATATCCTTATAATTATGAATAATACAGGTAAGAAATATAGATTAAAATACATTTGACTTTGTTTGATTTGTATGCCCAGATTAAAATTTATGTTCATTTGAATTACAATAATAATGTAGGCATAGTTTGGAGATATTAAAGAAATTAAAAATAAAAAAGAAGTATTCTCATTTGCATCGGAACTACTAAGAAATAGATATGTTCCATCTTAATTTGAAGAAGGCATTGAGAATGATAATTTTGCATATACGATTAAAATTGATTACATCAATTTAAGATTCTCTGAATTTTTTGGACACTGGTATCATGTTTGAATATCTAAATAGGGATGTGAATTGTATTAAATCTCATAATTTAGTCTTAATGACAAGAAGTCAAGTTCTGAACAATCTTGCAATATGCAAAACTGCTAAAAAAGTGAATTGGAAAAACAATGAGGTCAGGGCTTTTACCTTTTATTGAATCTATTTCTCTGATCCATATCCTTGTGTAAGAAAAGCGTTGAGAAATCTTACACTTTTAAATTGATTAAATATTATATATTGTTTAATGAAAAGTCTCACATCCAAAGATTATATCGCAAAGTACACACAAATCTTCTAAGAATCATTGCCACTCTGTTTACAATATAGAAAAGATAAAGAATGGCAATCTATTATAGACTTAATCTAGGATCAAATACAACAATTTGAAAAGTTGCCTCATATTATAAAATAGAAGATTGATCAATTCACTAGAAGTTCATTGTTTTTTTTTTTGGCAGAAGCCCAATATCATTTGAAATAATCTCTTAATGCAGAAGATTTATTATTAATAGACTCGAAAGATCAAAAAATCAATCAAATAAAAGCTAAAACCTATTATATGCTTTATAAATAATCAAACAAGATTGAACATATTGAATAGGCATTCAATTTAGCGAATGAATATTTTGGGCCTGATCACAAAATTACTTAATTATATCAATCAGAGCATCACGAAAGGCAAAGAAAAATTAAATTCTAACAGTTATAATCAATTCCGAATTTCGATATTTTTAAATAAGGTCTCGAATTTCAATATTACAACCATTAAAATAAAAAAGTAACCAATAAAACTAAAGGAAAAACAGTTCATTTGAGTGAAATAGAAAAATTAACAACACAGGAGTCAACCTTCGACCCTTCTAAGAAAATTAGGTAAAAATTCAATGAAACCTCGTTCAGAGTGTCAGACAAAAAAATCAATTTATTCGTTCCATTGTAAAATTCCAATTTCAACACTAAATCAAATATTTAATTTCGTTTAAACACAACCAATAGCGAATTAAAAGGATCTCTAAAAATTGATTCATTAATTGACAATTAGATCTCAGGAACAATGACAGAATTATTATTACCACGCCCTTTAACTGGTAGATAGAAACATTCGAAAAAAATTGTTAAGACATAGCCTACTCCATAAAAACATCATCATCAATAATAATCTAATTCATCTCAATAATAACTAAGCAGAGGCAACATTCTTAAGAAAAGTTAAATAAAAATGCATTAAGTCAATTTAGTGAAAAGCAATTCAAAATAGAAAATAGAAATAAAAGAATCTCTAAATCTTAAAATTTTTGATTCAAAATCTATATAATGTGAAATTAGTGAAGATGCATCAGAATCAATTAATGAATAAAACAAAGGTTAAAAAGAATTTGAATTCAATTTCTCGCCTAGAATTGGTCAATCTTATTACAGTCTTAATACTAGCAATGAAAGGAGTCGACATTAAATTGACTTTGAATATTTACGAAATAGAATTGATTGTTTGTATGATATCTAATAAGAAGATGCATTAAGAATGATTATAAAGAATTTTAGAAATTTCGTCCAAAAACAAAAAGCTTAAAAGAAAGAAGAAATGATGAAAAAGAGTGTTGCTAAATAAAACTTTTCCAACCTAATCTTTGAATTAGGAGCAACTAAAAATATTTAGATAGAAGAAAAGATAGCTAAAATAAAATCAATACTCCACATTTGTCAAGTAATTGACTAAGGATCACTTAAAACTTGGATGATATTTTCACCAATCAGATAAATCAATGCGATAAATTGGAAGATCAGAAATATTTAATGGGTAGTATTTAAAAGATTGAAGGCAAAAAAATCCTAAATTCATCCTGACATCCTTAAACTTTATAAGGAATATCCAAAATATCATCAAATCATAGAAATTTGGAGTAATAGTATAGATGGCACCAATGCTATATTTGTGTTGACAATTTAAATAGAAGTGTTCAGTAGACTCTATGATATTCGATTACATCTTAAAAATATCCATAACATAGCAAAAGATTTTGAGAACATCTTCTCAAGTATTGAAATGGTTTCATAATTAATTCACGTGTACTTTTCATCTCATGGGATTAATTATAACCAATCATTGAGAGCAACCACGTAGTGTATATTAACAAAATAAACAATTTTAAGATAGGATATGCTAAAAAAGGGATGTCAGAGCATCTCTAATCATGTCAATTAGTTATTTATCAGTAACTTTCTACATATGAAAACAGAAAATGGATCCAAATTCAGACGAGTAACATTGTCTGACTAAATCCTTGAGAATTAGGTAGCTCTATATCAATAAATAGAAGAAAGAAGGAAAATGATAAAGAGAGCATTTACACCATCTCAAATTGGAAATGGTTACATAAGTATTAAAAATTCTAATGTCAGAAACTAAAAGCTAATGAAATCATTATCCATAGCTATTGAATTACATTCACCTGTTTTAAAATAAAAAGGATCTTCACCAAAGAATTACTGGGCAGATCTTAGATCTCAATCATTTAAGATTGCATTTTAAGATAAAGTTATTGAAGAAGAAGACTTAAGTCCTTATTCAGGTGAATCAGTTATAATATCTCCTAAAACTCCAATGACACCTCCAACTAGAAAAAAAAATAATACCTTGTCTTCAACCATGAGTTATAAAGTACTCAAAAATTCAAAATCAAAGAAAAAATTAATCGATGACTATTTCAAGAATTATCCAAAGTAAAGGGATGTATTACAGAAAAAGGATATACCCATGAATCCTTATCAAAGTTAGTATGATAATTATTTATTATTATTAGGTAAAATTTATTAAGTTATCTTTCTAAAAATGAAGATGGATGGGCAATCAATAATTTATCTTTTACATTTAATTTTGAAAACCCTAAATTATTTGGCCACTTTATTATCAATTCACATAAAGTTGGCCAAACTGAAAATGGATCAACAAGTTTATCTCTTAGTTAATTTTGCCAATTAATTAACATGAATGAAATAATTATAAAAAATCATCTCGGGTATTTTAGATCATTGCCTTATATAGCTAAACTTACATTTCTTCATTAATTGCATCATCAAGAAATTTATAATAAGAATTATTACAAATACTCAAGTAAAGATTTCAATTTTCCAGAATATCGATTCACAAAGAAATTGTAAAGAAAATCTTTGGTTACAGATTCTAACTAAATTAATAAAGATCATTTCTACATCTTTTTTTATAAACCTCCAAACTAATTCAGAGTATTATTTAGAATTAAACAATCAACTTATTAAAGAAATGATATTTTTGAACTTTTTGTTTACAAAATTTCATAACCTAGATTCATTAGGATATTAACTTAATCTAGTTTAACCAAATTGCAAGATCTATTCCGTAAGATAATCCATTAACAAAGTAGACCAACGATTGGAAATTTTCAATAAATATAGAGAGTTCTTAATTATTATCTTTTAAAAGATTACAAGGCAAATGGTAGATGTTGGTAAATTGGATTTTAGAATTCTTAATAATAAATATTCAATTATGAATTAAAGTCCTGTGTAATTACAGATGTTTATATTGTTATATTAAAGCACCTTGTAGCAAATGAATAAAGTTATATTAAGAATTTATTAAGAACTTATTGTAAAGTGACCAAGTTCCAGTTGGTTTCAAAATTGGACAATTTCACAGGAATTAATCTCATTTATTTCACTGAATATGCAATGGCTTAAAATTTAATCATTTTGGAGATTTAAATATATCCTTTTGAAAAACGACTATCCTCATATAAAACTTACCTTAATCACAATGATTTGAAGAACTTTGGTATTCAAAACCAAAATTTGGAGGAAAAGGCATTGATATTGAAAAATAAATTGAGTCTTTCCCATAATAGGAATCAACAACAAGTTCATTTATCAGTAAATTCAGAATTTAATTATGTAAGTTAATTAAATGAAAAATTGAAATCAGATTATACTGCTAATTTATTTATTAAATAGAAATAAGTAATTAGACTAATATTTCAAAAAGTTAAAAAGTTTAATTCACATTTTCTAATTTTTTCTTTATTTTACAACACCTTTAACAATGAAATAATCATCTAAATATACATTCCTAAATTATGTAAACTATTTAGAAGTGTCTTATCACAATATGATTTCAATAATTTACATTAATCAAAATTAGAGAAAATCATTCCTGGTAATATCTTAGATAATTTTGATTAATGTTTTAATACGATTCCATAACGATACAATACATTTGTTACTTATTTGAAAGACAAAGAATGTATTAATGTAGATGATCAATTTTCAATTAAATCTAGACTCAGTGAAAGATCTGCCATTTCCTCTATCAGTTTGTAAAAATATAAAGATTAATATGAAAAACTGTAATAAAATCAACCTCAAATAAAACAAGATTAGACTTCATTTAAAATTTAAAACAAAAATTTAATGCAATCAGAGAGCAAAAAAATTACATCTAAATGTCATTTTAGTAAATAAAAGAATCCTCAAAGAGTTTCTCATGAAATTTAATGTAAGACTATTAATGTTACTAAATAAATTAGACTTTAAAGAAAGAGTCAGCATAAAGCCATCAGTAACAAAATTTGATAATTTCTACGATAGTGTGAAACTTTAAAAGATTTTGGAAGATGCAGTTCTATCTACTAATCTCACTTATAAATACTTTTTATGCTATGTAGTTTCATAATATTAACTTAGTTTTGGGAATAAATGATTGAAGAATGTAATATTATCATGACCAATTATAATAAATATATCTTGTAAATGGATTCCTACAGAGGCATATTAAGATAATTAGGGTTAGACTATTATAGTATATTCTAGAGTAACAAAGCGAGTGTTTATTGATGATGATTATCAAGCTGAAATATTTTTCGAACAGTAACAAGTTGAGTATGGTTCCATGTTTGAAAAGTATAGTTCTGTAACATTGAAGGAGTCACAAAGTACATGTATTTACTTTTCATACAAACAATTAAATGCATTCGCAAGCAAAACAATCAATTTGAAATGTTAATTTCGCCAATGTATTTATAACTATTCAACTGTAATTTACATTAAATAAATTCATATAGTTTAATCAAGTTTCGTACAATACTGCATTAAAAATATTGAAGTAGAGTAGTGATTATATTACAAATTAAATACAATAGAAGAAAAGTTTGATAGAATTTTAAAAGTTGGAGTTGAAAAGCATTACAGCTCTAAGAACGAATAAAAAGACTATCAATTTAGAAACCTATATTAATAAGTATAATTTTATGTGTAATATAGTCATTCAAAATATAAATTCATATATCAGTGTAGATTGATGATGAATGCAATAGTGACTATTTTGTATAAAAATAATAGATTTTATTTTTATTTGGAGGATTGCAAAAAGCAGGTAGATTTCCTAATAAAAATGTCTATTAAATCAGTGTAAGAGAATATTCCCCATATAATATAATTGTTAAGATGTCAAAAGGAATTTACTATAGGATAACGATTATTTTCAGCTTATAAAAATTACTTAATTATTAAGGCTTACGAAAACTTATTTAGAGTCAACAATTGAAAATCAATATATATTTAGTTCGTTATTTGAGTTTATAATATAGAAAATATTATTGTATTAGGAAGGATTAAATTTATTAATCTATCAATTATTAGATAATATATTCGAGCCTTTCTTTGATTCTGGAATTTTCTTTCTTTGTTTGATGAAATCAAGAGACACCATGTTTGTAGACAATTACTTCTTAACTTTCTTTAAATCTTCTTACTTGTCATATGCTAGAAATTCTAATGAAGTTTTATTCTTTTCTTTTCTTTTGGTATCTTTGACTGTGGTGTTGGTATTATTCAAATTAATTCCTTATTTTTTGTTTTCAGATTCCTTTTACTTGGGTGTTGCCAACAAGCTTATACTATAAGGATGTTTTTTTTCATTGATTTCATGTTGGCTTTATCTAGCAAGATTTTCGATTTAATTCTCGCTTCCTTTTTTACGGGGTGATTTTTCGAATGAAATTTCATCAATGGCATTAATAGTATTTTCATTAAATTTGGGAGAATTTAGATTATCTTATTATATAGAGGATATTATAGACGATTGTTGACGAAGTCCTTGATGAAATTGGATAGCTTATTAAGATTCTGAATTGCAAGGTTGTGTTTGACAAGATCTATGATTAATTTTTAATTGTTGATCATAGAATAGGGTTTAAGATTCGATTTTACTTTTGATTGGTGAAACAACTTCTCTTATGATCTTGTTAATTTTTTCTGCATTTCTTTCAGATGATTGATAGTCCTTTTGATATTTCTTATAAATTTCTTAATCCTAAAAATGTTTAACGATAAACTTCAATGTAATTTTAAGTATTTTCTCATAATCACATTTTTCCAATAAGTCTAATAAAAAGTGTTCAGAGATAAAATATTTTAAAAATTGTGGAGGTTTAATCTGTATTAATTGATGACAATATTTCCTAATCTTGAAATTTGAGTTTTGATTAAAAATGAAGTCATGATTCTTTGCAGAACTAGTTGTTTTTATTCTATTCTTGATTATCAATAAGCAAATACATTGATGTGTTTCATTTCATCTCTTATATTGATCAACTCGTTCACCAAATGTTTTTATCTCATATTTATTTAATTAAATTTCTTAAATGATCTAATAGTTGAGAACATCCGGCACAGTCCAATCTTCAAGAGACTTAAATTCAGTAAGAATCCTTCATAAATTCAAGCCCAAATAATCCTATTCTCATTTCAGAAAAGTCTTAAAAACCAGGTAAAAGTTTCCCACCAGCAGATCTCAACATCTCAGATCTGAACCTGCTAAGACTCCCAAATCTTCACATAAAAAAATAACTCAATTATTTTAGATGACTTCAAGACCTGAAAGAGATAGACCTATTGATGAAGTTAAATAAGGTCATTCTCCCAACTTTTACAATTTGGGTAGTCTCCCCTATAAAAATTATAAATATGAAAAACCACCTGGCAATGCAACTGTTTCATAGTTTTTAGAATAGGCATGTCGACTTGGATAAAAAACTGGCAGATGGGACAAATAATGTTTAATAGATAAATTTAATCCCGATAAGTAACTCATTGTTCAGATATATTATTTAGCATTTAAATTAAAAGATCTACTTATACAAGTGACCATCTAATTAAATCAAGAAAAGTCTAAGGACCTGCCAGTTGTTTAGAAACTATCTATGTGGCAAAATTATAATTGGATTTGGAGGATAATCAAAATGAAGAATTATAACATAAAGTAAATGAAATCGAAGAAACCTTAAAAGAAGGTGTGAAATATGATAAGACTAAATGTGCATCTTAATAATACATTCTAAATCGATGGACTAGGTAATAGGTTTCTCAAGACAGATTATGCTAGAAGAACGATAAACTACCTCAATTTGCATATTAAAAGTATGTTATTGATTAATCGATTAATAAAGTAGTAAAATCATCTTCCTAATATACAACTTAAGAACAGAATTCTATTACACAATTGCCTGAAAAGATATCCTTTTTTAAGTTTGATTTCAAACAAAAAAACTTCTAAAAACAATTGTATTACAATAAAGGACAAACAGTTACTTTACTCAAACAAAACTACCCTTTCCTTCAAAAACCTATTATAGGTGATAGAATATTATTGAGTTTTGATATTTTCACATCTTAAGAGAATATTCCCTATAGGACATTTTGTACATTTTTACAAGTCTATGAAAACAAAAAGATAAGGCTAATAGAAGGAGCAATAGATACAGTTACAAAGAATATTATTGTGAGTTAAATTTTAAAAGTAATTAGAATCTTACAATTAGTTTTTTGTTATAGATTTATCAGAAATTATTACTTCCTTGGAATTCTGTAATCTGATACGCATTCTATGTGAACAACTGAATGAAAAACACCCAACGATTCAACCAATTTATTAATAATTAATTTAAAATTATCAATATTACCAAATTATCAGTGAAGACTTATCATAACCTTTCAATTCCTCACAATTTAAGTTTATCTATTTAACCAATGAAATGAATATAGATGACATTATAGATTTAATAACATTAATCTGATCAAAATTTATACTTTAATCATACTTCAAAATTCTCACTCATATGGAGATCGAATATAAGATCTATCATATCCTCTAGGTGATATTATTCTCTTTCTTGTCTCATCTAAATGTGGTACTTCAACAAACCTCTCAGGAATTCTTTATACCTCCTTTTACACAGGAATCTCTCTATAAACATCAACAGGCTCTGCATACAATGGCACTTCCTTGTAAATTGGAACCTTTTAGTAAATAGGCACGTCTCGAAAGACAGGAACATCATGATATACAGGAACGTCCTTATACACTGGAATATCCTTGTAAACATTTATGGACTTCTCTACTGGAATTTCCTTGTAGACTGGAACCTCTTTATTTACACTCACTTCCTTGTATTGCGGAATGTATATGGGAATTTCCTTAAAATTGATTTCAGCAGGTTTTTAGATTTCTTTTATCACTTCCTTAACTACTTCAATTGGTTTGATAACTTCTTTAATCACATCTCTTGGTACTTCAACGATTTAAGGAATTTCTTTGTATTCAATTTCTTTAACTACCTTCTCCTTCCTCTTTCTTTTAAGTAGTTCATCATATTTAACTTAAAGTTCATGAAATTATATTTTCGTTTATTTAGCCTCCTCATGTAAACGAGCATTTTCCATTTTTACATATTCATCTTTAGGTAGTTAAATTGGTTGAGGTTTAAGAGCTTAGATCAGAGTAATCATTTCTGAATTGTCCTTAGGTTTTTCTGTTTCAGGAATACTTATATTATATTCTAAGACTTGCGAAGGTTGTCCTTAAACCTTCACCAACCTAATTAATGATTCCAGATGATTCAACTCTTTCTCAAAATTAACATGAGGTTACTCAACTCTCTTATGATTCTTCCTAACGATTTCTTCTACTTGAAATTATTCCTAAACTGCACTGATTGATTTTTTCTTCTTCTTCTTTGATTTCCTTTCAGCAATTGGTTATTCTTAGACGATTACATATGGTTAATATGTTATTGGAAATTGTTAAGGCTACTAAATACATATTGGATGACAATGACTATGATGAACTGGCTATGAAGTTTCAATGACTCTTTCCACTTCAATTTCTCCTTAGTTGTACTTATGTTGACTTGATTATCTAGTTTAAGGTTGAACTGCTTTAAATGCTTATCTCAACTCGTCGATCCCTTTAATACATAAATCGTTATGAATTTAAGACATTTTATATTATTAAATAAGTAAAATAAATTTTAATAAAATTTAATAACTGCTCAATCTATACTACCCATTCAAAATTTTATCAAAAATTATTAGCTTCTTCAGTAAATCTAGAGTTTTTAGTTATTCATTCATTAACTAAAGTTAATATTTATTTCAGTGATTAAATTACAGAAAAAAAAATAATTATCATTTCTTGACACGAATGACTCTGTGTTTGACTTTCATAATGTCTATCAATTTCAATATATCCTTGTTGTTATTCTAATAAAAATTAGTTGCTTGTGTTTTATTCAATTCACCAAAGGGCTTAATTTAGGATTAACAATTAAATTGAGTTAAAGACAATTGAGATTGGCACTTTATGTGTCTCTTCTTTTTGTTTTTACTAAGTGCGTCGTTTAATATACTTAAAGGTTTTAATCCAACCTCCTTTTTTGGTAATACATCTTTTAACATTTTTTCCATATATATAGATATCTTACTTTTTCTTGGTCCTTTTTAGATAGGTTAAAATGGATGAATAGACACTGTCTCTTCGATTTCTTCATCACGACTAATTAATACAATGTATAATAACCTTTGCGGTTGCTTTATTGGTTATTAAACTGGTAATAAATGTACTGATTATACTACAGCAGGTCTTCTTACAGTTAAATTTCGAACTGCTCTAAGTAGATGCATTTTCTTTTTTAGTCTTTTAATTGCTTCCATTTTGTAAGTCAGAATAAAAATAATGGCATTTCCCACAGCTTTAAATCTTCTCAATGTTTTTTTTTTCTTTTGATTTCTAAATGAATATATCATGGAATACCTTGTTTCTTTTAGAGGTAATTCTCTATACAATTTTAAAGAAAACCCTACTAATTATCCACATTCTGAGCAATCGCAACTTAAATTACATTTATTTAAATCGCTCTCTAATTTGTCAGTACTTTGATAAAGGATGGTTCTTCCTTTCTTTACGTTTGATGCGTGCTTATAGTTTATGGATTTAACATGTTTTAATTCATAATAGTCAGAAGGTGATAATGATCTCTCAGACATATAATTAATCAAAATATAAATTCATGGAAGTTTATATTATTAATCTATGCATCATTTCATTAATTGATTCGTTAAGTTAAATCTCGTTTTTGTTTCCGCATTTAATATTCCTATTTTATATCAAGTGTAAAGAAGAAAGGAAAGGTTTATAGTGAGATTCAGGTGAAAATATAATGTTGAATGAATGCTCTATAGTCTTTTATTCAAAGGATGTGGCTGTAAGTTTTATAGGAGTGGGAAGTGAGATGAATTAATTTGTTTTGATACTAATTTGTATATATTTGTATGAAAAAAAGAAATTAATTAAATCATTTAATTAAAAATTAGATAAACCCATATTATGGATTCAACTAAGGATAGAGTAGAAGGTACAAGAGCCACAGTTATCGAAATCATTGGAAGAACAGGTAGAATTTATCAATATTAAATGCAGGTTCTAGAGGTGGAATTACATAAGTTAAGGTTCAATTGGTTGGCTAATAAAGAACATTGATTAGAAATGTAATGGGACCAGTCAGAAAAGGTGACACATTAGAACTTATGGAATGTGAAAGAGAAGCCAGAAGATTAAGATGATCTAAAGTACATTAAATATACAATTTGCCACATATTTAATTATTTTCTTTATGAAATTTACATTGATTATACTCTGGTTTGTAGTTGCATCATTCGCACAGCATCTCTAATTTATGAATGATTCTGGAGCATTATGTTTGGACGAGTCAAAAGGAGTACAACAAATAATAATTAATTCTAATTATTTTGCTGATGGATTAGGATGAAGATCATTAAATTTCATATCTAATTTTAATGAAGAATCATACGAATTTATAAATATCTAATATGCAGTATTCAAAAGGAACGAAAGAACAGTATTATGAAATTAAGCACTAAAAGGTAATATTATGAACTGAGATCTGATTTTGAAGTTCAAATTCAATTTACAAATAAATCACTCATTTATAACTAAGCCCAAATTTTCAAATCAAAATTCTCATGATTGTTTTGATCAAATAGTAAAGTTAAGTGTTTGAGATGGTTCAAAATAAATGAGTAAATCAAACGAGATTTCATTATGAAATCGATTATTAATGAGTTTTAGATAAAAATGAATAGAATCATGTCAGATTTTTTTATTTAGTAGGAACGACTAATATTATTAAAGAATAATTGAGTTATGTTTAAACTTAGAATATTGGATTTTTAAACTAATTGTTTCCAAAATATTTATTGATATAACAATCATTCTAAAAGTAAAACAATCACCATTTATTGAAATGTCTATATTAATTAATCAAGAAGCAATCATTTATAATGAATAGTATAGAATAATTCTCAGAAACTTTTAAGTACTTTGATGTTCTTATTAACAATAACCATAGTATTTTCAATATATATTTTCAATATATATTTTCATGTACCTTAATGTCTCCTTTTCTGCTTGAATTCTTAAGAAAGATTCCCTTCAATTTGAATCCTTTTATGATTGTTCACAAAAAGGAGAAATGTTGATGGATATTACCTACTAATATTCTAAGTTTATGAAGAAAATGATCATCATTCATTATGGTTCTTTTGCTATAAAATGCATAGAATTATTAATAATTGTTTTTCAGATTAAGTTTAATATATTATACTTTCTTATTTTAATCTACTTTAGTTTATGAAATAAAAGAGTTTGAAATATTGATTGGTATAATCCAAGATTTGATATATGATTAATAATATAGATTCAGTAAATTAGTTTGATAATGAAGGTTGTTCAAATATATGAGTAAAATATTTATTTATATTTATTAATATAAAGGCAAGATATTCTTAATTGGATTTTCAAATACTTTTTGTTTAATTAATTTATGTCTCTTTCAGCTTTAAGGGCAACAGTTTCATTCTTGACATTAAACTCCCTACTACAGATATATGAGAATCAACCTGTAGAATTTTGGGATTCAAACTAAATGATGTCTCATCCAAGATTAACTCCCATATTCTAATCAAATTAGGTAATTATTTCAATTATCCTCAGTATCTGAATTTGTTAGCTGGGTTTTTCACTCTTACATTAATTGACACTTCTAATAAACTTCAATTTGCTAATTCAATTGCAGTTGCCACATCCGTTATCATCTAAAATTTGAAGTATTTTCTATTTTCTATAATAGTTTGTTTTTACCCAAGACATTCAATATGATATCAATCTACTTCTAATTGATCATTCTCATTTCCCAACTCTTCATGCTGTTATCCACATATTATGAAAAATTGTAATTCGATAAGATTCCCCAACCTCATGCCTCATTTCATATTCAAGAAAGTGTTAAATAATTAAAAACAATCAAAAAGTAAACCTAAAAGAAAGAGATCTCTCATAAAAAGAAAGAAAAAGTATAACAAAAATAATTACAGTCAAAATAAGAACCCTTAATTCAAAAAGTTGAATAACCAGATAACACAGAAGTAGAATCAATAGAAAATGATTTTACAGAATTTATGAAGCAACCATCTAATGATTAAACTATCACAGAAATTGAAACAGAAAATTTGTATGAAATTAATCATGCTGATTTATCTTAAATTTCATAAGTTAAAGAAGATTCAAGTATTATAATAGTATAACTATCTTAGAATTGACCTTTCAACTCAAAATCAATAGCGAATCTACTAATTTAAATTGTACTTTTGAAACATTTGATTCAACTCTGAACATTTTAAATTCATCATACACCTCAGAACAAATTAAACAAATCAAAATTCATTTGTTGTTAAACCTATATGATGAAAATGAAGACTGTTCTTGTAGACTCTGGTGTCTAAAGAAACTCTTATCATATAACTGATGTTAAAACTTCCTTCAAATTTGCTTTGTGTGTGATTTATTATGTCATTTCATTAAATTATTTATTTTTTAACATATGTAAGCCATGGGATTATTTGATTTCCTGGATGGAATTCCAGATGATTATGTTCCAAAGCAAAGAATGACAGCAGAAGAAACTGAAGAAGCCTTCACCTATCTCAAAAATCACCCTCTCTTTATAGATCATATCCCAGAAGACATCGAAAATTACCCTGAATTGTTGGCATTGTAAAATCTCCAATATGATGATACTCCTGTTAACATCGCAGCAGCCTTACTTAAGAATGCAAATGAAATCATGAAAAAGGACGGAGATAAGAAGTACTTCCAAAAGAAGGCTTACGAAGTCTACTCTGATGCAATAGAATAAGATTGTGGAGACAAGGAACTTATGGCCAAACTCTTTAGTAACAGAGCCTTGATTTCCTACAAATAAAGTACTCTATCAATTAATATCACTAGAAAACTATAAATGTGCAATTCAAGATTGCAAATGGGCTATTGAAAATGATCCCAAGTTTATCAAACCTTATTTCAGATGTGCCCAATGTCTGTATCAAATACTCCATTTCACTGAGGCCTTGAAGTTCTGCAATCTTGCACTCGAAATATCCAAAGAGAAAGATATCGAAGAACTCAAGAAATTAATTCTTTAATAAATTGAAAAGCAAGAAAAGAAAACCGAAGAAGAAAAGAAATTACAATAAATTTATGCTATTTGTAATCAGAAGGGTATCAGAATGGGTCCATCCAAAATCTCTCTGCCTCCAGAATATCAAGTAAATGAATTCAAATAACCTTAGCCATAAAAAATATCATTAGAATAAGCCAACCCTCCCATCTTGACTGTTCCTATGTTAGTCACATACCCTGAATTTAAATAAAGAGACTTCATTTAATACTGCTCAGAATAAACAAAGCTATACTAAATCCTGGCTCCCTTATTTCAAACTCCTTTGCCTTGGGATCAAGATCAACAATACAATTTGAATAATATAGAGTGCTATATTGAATTAGACGATGGAAATTATGCCAAATTGAACATTAAAGCCAAAATGCTCTCCATCATGTAGGGTTACAAAGTAACTGTGAGAGAATTCATAGAAATTCTGTTGGTCTGTCCAGGTACAAATTATTACAAGAAATAATTCAGATCAGAATATCATATATTAAATGATTAATGATAAAAATGTATATATAAATAAAAGTATTATATATCAAATCCTTCCTTCTCTTCTCTAAATATCATAACCTCCTATCCGAGTATCTATCTATCCCTTAGGACTTTGCACTAAAAATGATATAAATATAAGTACATTTTTGGAATCCCTGATCTTGGGATTTCATTCTCTATAAGTCATTAATATCATTATCTAATGCTGGCTTAAGCAAAAGTTTGGATCTAACATAAGCTTAATACTCTTCTCTATCTTGAACTGCTGTTCTTTAATAACCCATTTTATTATTATTATTAAAACTACCCACTCTTTCTCCCATTCCTAATCTATTGAATCCTCTCTCTCTATCATATTATCTGTTCATTTGTTGTCCTCCTCTTAACATATTTTCTGCAGCTTAGTTACCTATGATTTTTCTATTAGTTCCTTTCTCCAATCCCAATCTATCAATTACTGAAGTGTCATCATGATAACTTAATCTCTATCCTTAATCCTGATATTCTCTTCTTAAATACCTCTCTTCTGGTTTCTAACCTACATCATTAGTCCTTCCAAAATTGGTTCCTGGTCTTGTCATACCATCAAACTCTCTTCTTTTTCCTAATTCTGACATATTAGTCTCCATTACCGGTCTACCAAAATTATTCCTTCTATCTAATTCTTCTCTCAAATTTCCATAATCAGACCTATCAAAGTCTTTTCTTCCCATGATGTCTTAATATTGTGTATGTTTTTATAAAAAATATCTATCACCAAACTTATCATCAAATTCTCTTTAATATTAATTTTTAGTCTCAATATGAACCCTTTATTCAATATTTCCTCTTTCCTCATAGGGTCTGTTTTAAATGGGAGGCCTCATACCAAACTATTCTCTGGGTACATCGAATCCATTTCTTCCTTCAATTGATGCACCTTAATAGAGTTCTTCTCCATATGTCCTATTTAATCCCCCTCTACCCTCTATTTACTATTATCTTCCCTCCATGTATCTTTCTTCCATCAATCCTGGTCTTCCTTATGGTAATTCAGGTCTTCTTTATGGTAATTCAGGCCTTCCTTATTGTAATTCAGGTCTTCCTTCCATTACTCCAAAACTTCCTTCTAACAAAACTCTCCTTTCTATTTATCCATCCTAAATAAATCGGCCATCTGGATATTTTCTATAATTCATCCCATATCTTGCTTCTTAAAATCTATCTGGACCATTGCAAGCTGGTATTTCTTGAAACTAAGTTTTTTATGGTTATCTAACTTCATTTTGATATTTTTCTTCCATACCTTACCTAAATCCATGTTATTAAAATCTTTCATAATTGTACCCTTACTAATTTCGATACTCTGGGGGCACTCTTTAATCAACTTCAGGTCTACCTTCTGGGCCAAATCTTGCTTAAAAAGGAGATCTGTTTTCAAATTCAGGTCGATCTGGTCTTCTTTCATATTCAGGTCGATCTGGTTTTCTTTCAAAATGGGGTCTCTAATCTTAAATTTAGGGTCTATTTTCATATGGATTTGCATATCTTTTCTCATCATAAGGGTTGAGCATTCTTCTTTGATCCTCTAAGGGAGGTTGCATATCATAGAACTATTATTATTAATTCCTGCTTTCAGGGTATGGGTATTATGATTAATTAAATTTTCCATCGTATTTTATTTGATCATCAAAGCCTCTTTTTTAACTAACCCTTCCTTCAATTGGAGTTTTCGACACTTCCTAAGGTCTTTTATTTTAAATTTATTGTCTCTAAGAGTACTCCTAAGATTTCGCAGAATTTCTTTAATCATAAAGACCCTATTCTCTTTAAAATTATTCTCTTCTCTCCAAAACTCTTTTATCTTATTCATAAAAATCATTATTGTTTGATTTCCTCACATAATCAGCTGGTCTTATTAATCTGTCCATTCCTTCAGGCTACTCTTATTATCCTCCTACTGTCTTTATTCTTTCTTATTCATATCTAGTTCTATCTCCTTGATCAATTGGCATCTACTTCATGTCAAAGGAACTCATCTGTCTCTAATGAATCCGATGATCCTCTGGATACATTCTTTTGTATTCAGGTAATTGGAACTCTCGTTTCTATTCTGATTATTAGGCATCTCTTCTGCAATTATCTTATCTTGATTGTGGAGTTTAGGAACTCAAATTTACGTTTGGATCAAAAGGAGTCCTAGTTCCCATTGTATCTCTTTTTTAATTATCTAGATTCCCCTAAGGACTAATTATCCCCCTTTCATTCAATTATCGCTATTGTTATTAGTAATTAACTTAATCTAATGGTTTTCTTTGATCTCCTTCTTGATATGCTCGAATAAATGGTTTCACTTGTTCTTACTCATTGTTATTGGATACAGATTGCTAAAGGTATGGGTTATTTGTAGATCCTATTTTTAATGGTTCTCCAGTTTGACGATTCTAATCATATTAATTTGATTTATAGGGAGCTTATCTTTCATAACCCTTTAATGAATAAAAGCTGCTATTTTAATCCAAAGGATTTGAATTTTCTTTTTTGAAATTCACATCAGTTTATGGTGATATCATTTTCCTAGTTTAATAATCTAATTATCCATTGACTTTCTCATTCGATCTTTGACGACGTTCTTCCATCTTGCTTTTTGAATAAAAGTTTGATTAATCTGTTAAATTAAAAATTGCTGTTAATATAGTATATATTTTCAATGTTATTATGGTATTGTTATGATAACAGTTTAAACATGTTAATTATAGAAAGATCTTTTTGATTGATTGACTTAATTTAATTATTCAATAAAATGAATTATTAGAATCCTCTTTAAAGAACACCAAAAGCACTTTAGATTAAAATTGTATCCCATTCATCCTTTACCTACTTAGCCTTCCCCAGCTTTAAGAACTTAATTAAGTCCAACCCAATTTTCTTCACCAAAACGCATTATTCCTGTCACCGAGATTATTCGCTTCATTCCCAATGATCAACCTGGGACTCCTTAAAAAGAACCTGTTAATAAGGCTGAATTGAGTGTCCCTTAACTTTAGAGTTTCTTGGACGAGTTATTGAAAAGATATGATAAGTTAGCTTAAGATCTCCAGAAGTCAACTCAATAGGAAATTCAATTATAAAATGATATGAATACTCTATAATAGGATACAAATAACAAATTAAATGAAGCTTATACAGAAAATTAAATATTATAAGAAACAGTGAAGAATAAGGATTAGGAAATCGCACTTCTAAATGAATTAAATGATAGATTGAAAGAGTAACATAATAAAGAAATCTAAGACTTGAAATAAGAAAATGAACATGTTCTTGGGGTATTGACAGATAAATTACAATAAATGAATATATTTGCCAAAGAGAAAATTTCAGAACTTGAATAAACTAAGAGTTTGCTTTAATTAAGAGATCAAGAAGTTTTAGAATGGAGAAGCAGAAAAAACATAGCAGATTCCAACACTTAAGAAATTAGGTAAGAAATTATCTATCAAGTAATTTGAAATCTAAGTTATCCAAATTAGAGTCATAAAATAATCAATTAATTAAAGAAGCCTCAAATTTGAAATCATAATTAGAATAAAAGGAGACTGAAATCAATGCTTTGAAAAATAAGGTAAGAATAATTGTATCCTTAGTTGCAATAAGTATAATCTATGAACGATCAATAACAACTAGAGGAAGAATTGGAGTAGGCCAAATAGGAAATTAAGTACTACTAAGAATAATTGATGTAAAATGAGAAAAATGAAAACTTGGGAGGTCTGGATGAGCAAGAAGAAAAAATATAAGTGTTGGAAAGTGAAATAAAACGATTAAATAAATAGGTTTGCATTTAGTTTCATTAAATAACTAGTTAATTGATATGAGACATGAATTAGAGAAATATAGAGTTCACAAATCAGACAATGAATTCTTAAAGAGTAAATTGTCAACCCAGTAAAGTTAAATCAGAGATTCAAAATTACGAGAAGCTTAATATTGAATTATAAATTATTTATTATCAGTTCTTTTTATGTAATTGGGTTTACTCTTTTAGGATAAATTTAGAAATACTTTATTTTTCCATTCATTTTATAGTGATTGATAGAAAATTTATAAATAAATTTAATTTCAAAATAATGTTTGGATTTCCATTTTCTGGCCCTTTTGGAGCTTTTCCTCAATTCATGGACGAAGAAATGGATTAAGATTTTTACGAGCAATTTCCTTAGTAAGAAGATGTAGATAATAAAGAACTCTATGAAATATTGGAAATTCCCCCTTAATCAGATATAGCTACTGTTAAATAGGCTTACAAGACTTTAGCCAAAAAATATCATCCAGATAGACCTGGAGGTAGCTAGCAAAAATTCTAATTAATCCAAAAGGCAAATGAGGTCCTTTCTGACCCTGAAAAAAAAAAGATTTATGATAAATAGGGAAAACAGGGATTGTTAAGAAAATTGAATGTCAAGAATTAATAATTTAAAAAATGCGATCCTTTTAAATTAGAGCATAAGATTACATTGAAGGATGTTTATCAAGGGGCATACCATAAAAAAACTTTAAATAATGTCTAGAGAACATGTGAAAGTTGTCAAGGTTAAGGTGGATAATCGCCTAGTGATTGTAAATCATGCAAAGGATAAAAAATTGTATAAATGCTTGTCTAAGTTTAACCTGGATTAAATGTAGTATAATAAGCTCCTTGTCCAGATTGCAAAGGGTAAATTATTTATTCTATTTATTTAGAAAAGGTAAGATTTTTTTAAAAGAAAATGAATGTAAATAATGTAAAGGGATAGGAAGAATAGATGGAGAAGTAGAAATAGAAATTCCTATAGAGAAAGGAGTACCAGATGGATATTGTGTAAAACTATATGGCAAAGGAAACTAGAAAGTAAGGAAATCCTTAGTTATTTGATTAGCCTGGGTTTGAGAATGGAGATGTTTATGTTTATTTGCAAATTGAGCAACATCCATAGTATATAAGAAAGGGAACTGATCTATTCTATTAGAAAATAATCTCACTCAAAGAAGCTCTGACAGGGTTCAATTTAGAATTAGAAACCTTGGATGATAAAATAATTAATGTGACAACACATTAGATCATCAAGCCAAACTCAATAATGACAGTAAAGGAGAAAGGATTGCCCACTTTTAAAGACGAACTTCATTTTGGAGATTTACATATTTAGTTTAATATAGAATTCCCTACATAGTTAAATTAAAACATAAAAAATCAAATAGTCGAGGTAATAATGCTATTTATTTTAAGATTTTACCTGGACCCAATAGTACAATGAAAAATGCAAATGCTTATAAATTAGAGGAATTTCAATTGGGAGAATTTGAAAAACATTTAGCGAAATAGGAAGAAAATGAAGAGGACGATCCAAATCAAATAGGAGTTGAATGCTCAATATTTTGAATTTATTATAATATAAAATATGGATCAAAATTTACGAAAATTAGTGAGATATTTTCAATTGTAAAATTAATCTTGCTATTATTGTAATCAAAATTAACCTACAAATATCATTAGAAATAAGTAGTCTAAGAAAGGAAATTCTAATTTGAATGAGTTGTAGTAATTATTGTTATTGATACATGAGGATTTCAGTTTAAGATAACAAATAATTAGAAAAGAATAAATATATTTATAAATTAGCTATTAAAACAGCACTATGAAATCAAAATTATGATGGATTATAAGAATTCTACAATAATTTTATTATTTATCAAATCTGGTGATGTTTAATCAAAAATCAGTTTTGGTATTATTACAACTTGGAGGAGGATTCATTAAGTACTTATAACCATGTCTATCTGAAGTCTCTATTCCCCATGCAAGGTTGCCTGCAATGTTTAATAGAACCAATGCAAAGTCTATATAGAATAAAGCATGTCCGATATTGTACTTCTTCAAATAATAATACCCTATATTTGTGAATATTAGAACACTTATTATCTAGAAATAATTATAAAATATAGATACTCCTAATCCATAGAAAAAAAATTAATCTCCAACACCGAAATTATTTTCTTCAATTTAATTCGATAAAACAGTGGCGAAGAGTTGACAACAAATTATGAAATAACAATAATTGGCTGTTCCACCAGCTACAGCTGAGATCAATCCGAATTCAGACATTGTTGTAACCATGATTAACCCTGCAGCCATTCCAAAGAATCCAGCCACTATTCCTGTGACCCAACCAGCAGCATAGATCTTCCAGAATCGTGTTCCAGGAGTGTAAAATCTTTCACAATTAAAAAATTTGACTGCATCTTTTGTGTATTCTTCTTTTCTTTTAATATAATATACGACCAGAGTTATTATGGTATTCACTGCAAATAATAGTAGTAACATATAGAAATTCCAAGCGGAACATATGGTTCGTTCCTTTGTTGTTTCATTAGTGTAATAAGGGGATGTTAATCCTGGTGTCGTTCTACTTAAAATTATGGCCTAATTTTGATTAACACAAAGTATACCTCATTAATAGCGAAGTTGCCCACTGTAATTACGATTGGAAACAAAGGGAATTTGTTACATTAGTCATTATAAAATTGCTTATACAGAACGGCCTCTTGTTATTATAATTATTGTTGATCTTTCAATCCTTCTAAAGGAACAAGGGCCGATTTAAGTAATATATCGTTGTCTTACTCCTTCTGGGTCTATAAAGTTAGCTCTTTAGTTGCAAACAAGAATAAAATGGGACATATGGCTACAAAAAATATGTTTTGAATCCAAAGTAATGAACCTAATGGTAAATAATTTGCAAATTCTGTTCCCAAAGATTAACTGAGAGGAATTGCTAAACAATAAATTAATGCAATCTCAAAATTTATTATAGGTCTTTCAGGATCCTCAGGATGGCTACTCTAATTGCTTATTGTTACCGTTGAAAAAATATGATGATAATGTTGGCCAATTGACTTCCAAACTGCAAACACATGGTCATATTTCCTGCAGATTCTGAATCAAAATTTAGTGTAGCTTCTAGAAAAGGTCTTTTCACTACACCACCTAACAATATTGATATTATAACCTCCAAGAGCTCCCAATATTCCTACACCAATAATTGGAAGGATGATTATATATACAATTATTTGAACAGCATTTACCGAAAGATATCCATATCTGCAACATCCATATTCAGCAGTCAATGCACCGCTTTAGTAAAGTTATTTACATTATGAAAATGGTCCACAATTAGTAGGTATATGATATTAATTACTTGTTAGTGAACAAGCATAGCTGAAAAGCTCCTTGCCTGAACAGTAATAATTTTTAGACATAATAATTTAAAATATAAAGTAAACTATGAGAGAATTTCAACTAATTCCATTCATGTTGTGAGGATATCAAAAATATGTTGTCACTTATCTTAAACCTTGAATGGAAAGAATAAATATCAATTCTTAATGTTTAACATTCAATAATGCATATTCATTCTATAATAAAATTAATACAGCTTTGCTCGTATCTTCAAATGCAAATACTCTGATTGAAAAATTCTACATTCTTTTAAAATTCATTTTTATAAATATTTGATATTTCTCAACGATATATTTCTAGTAGAATCAAAATTTTTAGAGAAGAAAACAAGAAAATAAGATATATTCGATTAATAAAAATGCTCCATCTTTTTGAATGATATTTTATAAATGGTATTATAATTTATTAATACTTTTTATTGAATACGATATATATAATGCTTTGAAACTCTAACTATAAATTATTATTTATAAATCTTTTATCAATTTTCAAACTAAGGAGATTTGGTCACATTCTCCCTGAAAGGTAAATAAATTAAGAGAGAATTATTATTCTTTGGTATTGTTTGATATCAAAGAAATTCGAGAATATCTAAATCAATTGATATTCTAAAATTCTTAAAATATTTTAACATTGATAAACACAAAGAATAGGAAGAAGAATAGAAATAAAATGTAATTAAAGTTAATTTTATTGAATTTAAACGTATATCATTAAAATAAATTGAATATAATGAAATGGCAACCTCTAGCAATTTAAGTTTGACTAATATCTATAATACTTTGAAATTAAAAAAATAACCGATATGTTATCTGCGCAATATAATATTGCAATTTTACTATATTAAATAAATAAATATTTATTGGTATTACATTTTTTATGAGGCTTTATTATAGTTATTTAATTATTTAAAAGAATAGAAATAAAATCTCATTTTACTACAAATAATCTCTTTAATTGGAATATCAGCCTTCATTCGAACAAAAATGAATTAAGTTAAAATACTAATTGTTTGCCTTCATTTTTATATGCTTATGTAATGTATTTCATCTTTATCAAAAAAAAGAGAGAGATCTAACCTAAGTCTTCAAATAACTCTTTCTATTGAGTAATATTATTACAAAATAATTGATATTTCTAATATCACATTGTTTTAACGTCAAAGCAAATAAATCCAATTATTATATTAGCTTAGGTAAGATTAAATAGGATTTCTCAAGATAATAAGAAATATAGCAAAAATATAGATTTAGTAAGAAAGCTTTAGAAACTTAAACTCATTTAATGAAGCAATCCTAATAAATGATGAATATTTGGATGAAATTCAATAAATTTAACGAGATACTTTATTTTAGCTGTTATATTCTTATCATCATGGAGCTAATTATACTCCATTCTTAAATTCACAATCTAATACTTGCCCATCTCTTTTTATTAATTTACCTTTGCCATGTCTCAGGTTCTAGTGGAATTATCCTTCATATTGAGATTTATCCTGGAATTTCATTATACCTTTTCCTTCCTTTTGGCCATTTTCAAATTCTCCTTTGAAGATATAATTTCAATTTACCCTCGTATATAGTTCCATCAGTCTCAATAAGAATTCCTTTACCATGCATTACCCCATTTATCATCTATCCTGAATAGTAAGAACCATCAGAATATCTGAATATACCTTTTCCTCTAATTAATCCATTCTAATGTTCTCCTTCATATGTTGATCCATCTTGATGAAGTAACAACCCCTATCCATGCCTCTCACCATTCAAATAATTGCCATCATAAATAATTTTATCTGAGAGTTTCTCCTTTCCCAATCCATGAGGTATTCCAAATTAAACATCACCTGTATAGACAATTCCATTTTTATACACTCTTTCTCCTTTCGTTTTTGTACCAATCTAAGAATTAAGTTAAAATTACATACAAAATAACCCCCATTTGGAAATAGAATACCACCAATTTAAAATTAACCAGAATTCCAAAAACCCTCAAGGTAAGTTCCATCTGGTTTTATCATTTATCCATAACCATTTTATTGACCCTTACTCCATTAACCCCAATAAATGCTATCATCAGATCCTACCATTGGATTCAATAGTCTGTCTTGCTTTGTTAAAGATTTCTTGACTTGTTCCTTGAATTATTAGGGCAATTCAGGAATTATAAATTTTTATTTATATTAAACCCAATCTTTCGGTTAGTCAGATAATAATTCATTTCTCCTCTCTTCAGCCTCTAGTTTAGCTTATTTAACTCTAAAACTGTTTTAAATTTTAAGAGCAGCTTAACTTTCATCCTAAATTTTCTCTTTTTGAATTAGAGGTACCTTAGCATTTGATGATTATTGTTAATTGATATCTTGACTAGATATTTCTTAGTTCTCATCTGCTTTGGGATCAAAAGAACAAGTCCCCATTATTGAGATAATAAACTGTAGATTATATATATATTTATATATATCTAATATATATTTATTAATAATGTCTGAAAGAACATTAGATTTTGTGGATCAAAGAAATTAAGTTAGAAAATTGGTCACATGGCCATGGAATTTTGTATTTGGATTACAGAGCTTCTAAACAGTGTAACATATTTACAACTTTACTGCCAGAACAATATTTGCAGCATCAAGTCTTATTCCATTTTTAAGTAAATTCAATTCAATATTATTATTAGCAACATACAACACACATCAATTTGCTTATGCAGAAAACTCAGTCAGATTAACCAGATATAGAAATTATCATGATGATATTATCTGATATTATTTGCATATACATCCAAAAAGAATCATTATTTACAATAAAGTTATCATAATCATTTAAAATAAAATCTATATTTTAATTCATCAATCAACAAGAGTGTTTGCAAAGAACTAGATTATAGTACCTTCTTAGTTTCTTATGCTCTTCTCATTAAGTAAGGAATCATTATCTCAGTTTTTCCAAAAGGTACATATTTATATATTTTATATCCCTAAATTATTTATATAAATTCATACTTCACTAGCCAATTAATAAGTGACATGATCAGACAATCCATATAATTAAGCAAATAGCACATCTATTATAAAGGTTAATAAAAAATATACCTCCTTAATTAGGAATGGAATATCTATGCATAATGTCCTTTACAAAATCTATTGTTTATTCATTATGACTAGCCACAAAGACTTTAGTAGGAGATTTATGAATATTTTTGATTAATATTTCTAAGTTTCTTTCTATCATAGTAGTAGTGTCTTAATATCCATTATTAATTGGATTTTCTTTATTGTATTGCTTTGCCAATTTAGATTCCTCCACCATATATGCACCTCTTACCATTTTGATCCCAATATTTAATCTAAATTTCTCAGCTTTTTCAATTTCATAATCCATTCTCTGTTTAGTTGACTTTAAGTAATTTTAGAATGTGTTGTAAACTAAGGTATAATTTTAATTATAATGTGCTTCCATCTATTCACTAAAACTATCTATCGCCCATTATAAATAAGTTTATTCAGCATCAACCATTACACAAACTTTATTGTTCAAAGCTGGATCCATGAAGTATTTGACTCTCTCAATGAATTATTCAAATAAAAAGATGTCTTTTTAGTTTAGATTATTAAAATATTTAATGGCTGGATTATTATTTAAATCTGCTTCAAACATGAATAAGGGTTGCACTCTATATCTCCATGTAATTTCATCAATTTCCATTTCATTGTAAGTTTATTTTAATACTCCAATAATAAATTATTTTTATTCATTTTCATTCAAATTTATTCCTTCCTTTTTCAGATACTAAAAGACCTAAAATACTCAATATATTGGGAACCTATTAAATTGTGATCGTTTATTTTCCTTAACTAATTTTATAGAACATTTCAAAAATGTTTAATCTTGCTTGATTGATTTTCTTCAGTAAATTCAGGTCAATTAAGCTCGAAACTTTGATTGCAATCATGTTTTTCTTCTCTGAATTCTTGGCACACTCCAAAATAGTTTATCTAAATATAGAACTATTCTCATCATAAAATTTCTCGTAATCCTCTATTCCCTCAAGTGCTTCAGAACAGTAATCCATAATATAGGAAATTTCTGAAAATTGTAAATACACTTATATTACTTGAATTTGATTAAGATAGGTATCTTTCAACACTTTCAAGGTTCTCTCCTGCTGTAAACACCTTTCCAATAGTATTATTTATTAGAAAATTGGTTATTCTTGTACCACATATAGAATAAAGTAAATCAATAAGTTTAGGACCTTAATCTACAACCCAATCATATTACAACATCTGATTAATCAATAAATTATTTAAAATTGAAGGTATAGATTTGTCTTTGTGAATTCTTAGACTTTAAAAATATTGGAGTTAAGGAGAACTCTAAATATAAATTTGAGTTATTACATATCTTGTTTGATTGGCTACAGCAAAACTATAGATTTCTTTGTTAGATCTGAAGAACCTATGACATGATGATATCATTATTTTAAAAATCAATAATTTAAATATAAGCAAAAATAGATGTCATCAATGATATTTATATATCAGATTGAATGATATTGTATAAATGTGATCTTCCATATCTTTATTCCTTAGCTTACTTACATTTTAAAAAATAAACTCTTAACAACTGACACTCTATTAATTATATTTAAATTTACTCCTAAATAATAAATGCTCTCTAAAAATAACAACTCAAAACATGAGAATCAATCTAGCAACCATAGATTAGTAATCTAACATTATCAAATTCAATCTTTAAACATAAATTATAGGTATTCTTGCTTCAATAGGGGATACCTTAGTAATTAAAATAAGTAATTAATTGTTTAAGAATAAACTCGATTTCAAATAAAATTATTCTAACTAATTAAATAGACTATAAGGAATTTTAAATAAGTCTATTTTTTTGAATAAAGTTGATTGAATATACTATAATCCAACATTATTAACATCTTATTCTTAAATTATTAAATAAAAATCCAGAAAAGTTTAATATTCTTTCAAAGTCCACCGTGAAATTAATCCTTAAGTATATGATCGATAAATAATTTATTATTAATAATAATCAAAAAATGAGAATGGAAATACTATTTATTCTAATATAATAATCTGAACTTTTTGTTAAATACATATTTCAATCAAATTACATTTAGATATGTTGAATGATATGGAGTTTTATAAAGATAATTGGAATTGAAATTAACAAGTAATAGGGAACATAAGATATCTGAATTTATATATGAAATTTAAATAATTATAAAATGTGCATATTATAAATATATTTCAATATTTATATAGAATCAATTATTAATTAATTACGAATACATAGTTAATATAAATCAAAAGTTATTGCTTGATCTTATTTTATTAAACATTGCATCATAATTTTCTTTTTAAGAAAAATGCTTTCTTTCAGCCTAATTAAAGAACTTTGTAATGGGACTTTGCTTTTTCTAATTAAGTTCTGGTTAATTCTCGTCATTAATTTTATTCTTTAAAAATGCCTATAACAATTCAATTTAATTAGAGATTGAATTGATCTTTGATTAGGATGTTTATTAACTCTTAACTAATTCATTGAAAGCAACAATAAGTAATGTAATATTATCACTACTTTTTCGAAGCACAACTTCTTTAAGAACTGAATCTACAGCTGCTGAAATTTGTCCATGCAAATTGTTAGTGTTCCTTTGTTATTCTAGTTCTGCCCAAATCTTCTTGATTACTTCTTCAGATTTCATCTTATCAAAAATTCCATCACCTAAAATAAATTATTATTATTATACATCCTATTACAATAAAATCACTATCTTAAGTAATACGAAATATTTGAATGTCTGGTTGAGCAATGACTACTTTTTGGTTACCTCCAAATTATTCTAATTTAGCCTCTATATCTCCAAATGCTCTGGAAACTGACAATCTCCCAGGGAACACTCTATAAGGTCCTATGATTTGAGTTCCATTTTCATTTATGAGATGTGTTTAATATATTTTACCTCCATTTCTCTTAATTCGCTCATATTCTATTTCAGGTTTATGATCAACAGATAACTCCATGATCTTTTTTCCTTTTTCTAAACTTAATATTGCTCTGCAATCCCCAACATTTGCCACATAACAATAATCTCCAACAACCAGACTAATTAAAGCACAAGAACCACTCCTTTCTTGCGTTCCTTTACTATATGATTCTATGGCTTAGGAAAGGAAATCCTTTTCAGCCATTTCAAAGCCTTTTTTAATGGCTGCAACAGGATTCCAAGGGAATTCACTTTGTCTAGTTACATATTAATGTAAATTGTCTCTGAGAAAGTCAGCACAGGCAGAACCACCATGACCATCATAAACACCAAAAAAAGCACATTTGGGCCAAGTTTCTGAAGCTCTATGTTATGGTTTGATGATGTTAAGTATTATGGATACTCTATCTTCATTATAGGTTCTTATGATTCCCTAATTAGTATTTGCAGCATATGCTTTGATTAGACCATTATTATTTTAAGAACACTTAGTTGGTTCATAATTGGGCAAGACTACTTCAATACCTTTGTTAATTTAATTAAGATCAACCAAACTATGGTAATTGATTTCTTATTTTTTAAGACGAGCCATTTTCTTTGGGATTGGGGAAGAATCAATTTCCTGTTATTTTTGTTAAGGGGTATTTTCATTGAGCTTTTTGTTGGAATTGAATTCAGAGAAAAGGTCATTCAGAGAGGAAAAGTGATTCTTTGATCTGTAGTTCATAAAAATTTTAATTTGAATTTATAATTAGCGTGCAACGTACATTATAAAATAGCAGAATGATAATTCAAGAAAATAATAAATTTATAATAATGATGAATGTCAATCAATATATTCAGAGGCAACAAATGCCACAATCGGTTTCTCATATCTCAAGCTTATGTCTTCTTAGATGATCCCTGCTAAGATAGGCATTTGCATTCGTATAGTTCGATTACCTAAATCTTTAATGATGTTTTGAGTGATTGTATGATTGTAGATCAAAGAGAAATTAATAAATGACCAATTGGGGTTGGGTTCACTTATTGTTAGACATGTTTAAAATTAAGGTATGTAGAGATCGGATGAGGTTTATGGCTATTTATTATAGAATTCCTATATATATAAACAGGATGGATTACTTAATTGATTCTATCCGTAAATCTGACATAGTCATTTCGAATGGCATCTATTTAGTTATAAGCTACTTCCATTGCAAAAAAGTAATATCCAGGATTGAACAATTTAACGTAGTAAATTCTACGATTCATCTTAGGAAAAGTGGAAACATAGATAAAATTCTACTCATTGGGTACTTCAATGTATTTTGATCCTTCTATGACAATTTCTCTTGATCTTAACCACTTCAATTGAACATTTGTGTATTGGGCCATCACTTGAGTGTGTCGAGGATCAATGGAGGGAAATGATGTTAATTTTTCAAAATATTTATGCACTTCTTCTTCATTTTTGAATTCAGCAAACTAAGTCATGGGCAACGATGCTAAATTATTCTTTACCTTATCAATAATAAATTGATTTTGCTCATAGGGTTTATGGAGATTGTAATGAAAACAATCTTCAGCAAACTAAAATACAGGTTTAGTCTTGAGATAACATAGAGTGTTGGTTTCTTCATTTCTAGCTTCAGATTATTAGAGTGAGTAATATGAATTAAATTTAATAGAAATATTGTGCTCTGCTTTAGGTTAACTATTTTGGTGATTTAAATAATAGTTTACTAACAATTCGATCTTTTTATTGTGAATATAGTCCTCCTTAATTGAGTTTTATAATCATTCTCTACTATTCTCCACTTGAATCCAACTTTCTTTATAGCTTCCGAGATGTATTTATTCGCCATAATCTGTCCATTGTTCTATGGATAATGATTCTATCATAATTATGTTTAAATATCTAACTTATGCAATTAATATTTCTGAAGCAGACGTATCCTGTCCAAAAACCAAATCAACTATTTGAGTTAAGAATATATCAAAGAAACATTCAGATTTACATGAAACCATTTCAATGATCCATACTCTTTCGTGAATCTTATTTTAATCTACATACATTATAGAATAGCCTTATACTAAGTTTTCTACAAAAAATTGTAATACACAAGCCTCTTGTTAATAATACATAATATCAATTAGTTTTTGTGGATCCTTCTCAAAAGAATCCTGAGTGATTGGACATGAAAATCTCACCATCTCCTTAACTCTTAGTTCAATATCTTTGGGATTAATTTGCATCACCAATATTTCATAGTCTCTCTCCATTTTTTTGGCTATTTGAATTGGTTCACATTTTTTAATAATATCCTCTTGTTGAACTAACATTGAAAATATCGGTTTGTTTATCTAATCCAAATCTGATTATACGATTCCTACGATAAACGGAAAATTGATCAATTTCTCTCCTTCAAAACTATAATTAACACTATTCATTCCAATTCGAGGAAAATTTATTTCAAAAAATGCTTCGCTTGTAAAATAAGATAATAATTTGCAATTCGTTAAATTCTATCTATTACCAATACTCCTAAAAAAAGGTAGCCATATGTTGTATTATGATAAACTCTTTTAATCATATTTCTCAAAAATATCATTCACAACTGTTGGAATATCCAAAGTAACCTCATCGTTTTTCAATTCAAAAACATATCTAATAATAATTATAACTAGTATTTTACATTTTTACAAAAGGGTCTGTAGTCGATATTAGATATACCTTACGTAAGCTATTACCTTCATTGCTTGACAATTACAATAAGGATGCCTCATCTAAACTAGCTTTGGATCTCTTTTTAATAAGATATATATACTGATGGGAAACGTATGTAAGGTTGATGAGTTTGTTTGTGAATCTCTGATGAAAATACCATAAATTGCAAGTTCATATTGAAATACTATAAATACACAGGAGTTTTAATTGGAGATTTAAATCTAGCACAAACTTTAGTAACATCCTTAATATTTTATATATGTTAAAATGAGGAGCCATATATCTTCTGTTTCTAAAATTATAGTTTATTTAAGTTATACAATTAAATTTTTTGCTATTTCTTAGGTTTTCTCATCAAAAACTATCAAATTAGACTTTCCCAGATTAGCACAGAACTAAGCCTCCATCGTTTCCTCATCACTGTTTAATACTAGTTTTTTGATCCTTGATATTATTCGAGCATAAATAAAACAAATAGGATCATAAATAATTGACATACTTTATTATTCTTATTCTGTCCTTTTAATATCAAGAACATACTAAGTGTAATTAACCTTAAGATTTTCAATTGTTATGATTTTACAAAAATAAAAATTGAGTATTTTCAGATTATACTCAAAACATTCCAACAAAGTCAAATTGATACCCAATTGCTCAAAAGAATCCCCATTGCTTATCAACATTCTAATAAAATGATGTATAATTTTGTCAAATATTTATTCTTTGCAAACTATCAAATGAATCACCCATTTTCTAATATTGCAATCCTATTCAACACTTGCCAACATAATTCCTAAATCAGATATTTATAGCATTATTGCCTCTTAACCATAACTTAAGGTTTCTTGTATATAAGTAGAAGGTTATAAGAAACTTTTATGAAAATCTTCAAAATTAGTAGAAAGCCAAAAACTCAAAATTTATGGAATGTCTTTTATCGGCCAATCCTTAATTATAAATTAAATATCATCTGATTTATAAATTAGTTGACTTCTATATTCTGGTAGTGGAGGCAATTCAATTTATAACTTCGTTGTACTACCTTTTCTAGATGTTTGTTAAGCACTTTACAATTCTTTCGTACTTAGGAAATTAGTTTTCGTTTACAATAAAGTTTTAATTTTATTTTCCGATTATTTGCATGTATATTAAACTGTCGCGTAAGTCTGCAGTTCTTTGATTCTTTTCAAGTATTTTTGATCAAGTTTATGCTTTGTTAAATAATCAAAATATTCTAAATCCCTCTCATACGCTTAGTTAATGATTCCCAAGTAAAATATGTCATCCACACTTTCGCTGATATGGAAAAATTTCATCAATACAGGATGTTTCTAAAATAGCAACTTATGATCATCTTTGATTTTCATCACGTAGTTCTCTCCCTAATAAATCCATTAGTAATTGTAGGCATACTAAATATACAATTTATTCACCCACTTTCTCTGATACTCTATAAGATTTAAAGTAATTTTTCTAAGATCATAAATGTAATTTGAAATAAGGCAGACAAACTCTATAATGTTCTCACTCTATTCAATTGCTAATGCCTCTTTTAAACAGATCTCTCTACTGATAGTTAATTGATGTAAAGTCTTGATAATACTGCCATTTAGTTTATAACTTTCTATTTCTGATCTCATCAAATATTCTTAAGATGCAATATTCGAAGTAAGAATAAAGTAGTAATATTTCTAATGAATCTCAGGTATTTAGTTTTCATCCCATAGTCTCTAAAGCTCGAAAAACAACTCTCTCTATGGAAAATTATTCTTTACTAAAAATTTTACATGTGTTTACTTTCTATAAGTTCAATGTTTTCTTTAGGCCTGAAACTTTGAGTGAATTTTGGACTTAGTATTTTAGTATTGAAATTTGATCTACTTGTAGTAGAAGCTAGTGGTAAACGAAATTACCCTGTACTTTGGGATTTATTAAACAACATTAATAAAATAATTTTTATATCATTGCTATAACAAAGCATGAAAAATTCTAAAGCTAGAATTTATGCATATTAAAGGTTCCTCTTTTCAAATGAAATTTTCAAAAATGCAAACAAAAATTATTCCAACTTGGACTACAGCCTTGAGTACTCTTTCCATCATAAAGTTCTTCTAAATTACTTTAATTACATAGTTCTCATGTAGTAGAATGCAACTAAGTAGAAATTGATCAATTTTATTTGGTGGATAAAAATGTAATAAACTTGTGTTAAGATTTTAATTAAAATCACATTATCATGCTTCGAATAATGTATATAAAGTAATAAAATAAATTTCAAATAATATACTTAGGTAAATATTGGTTTCTTAAAATTTAATACTAAAAATCAGTTTATTCAATTTTAATTATTAAACATTTATCATTCATTAAAGACTAAAGTATTTTATTATTCATTGTCTTATGTTAAATTTCTTATCTTCTTGATAAATGAGTTATCTAGATTAAAAATCAATCTATTTATTATAGTCTCTATCCTACATAAATGACTCTATTGAATCTTATTGAAAAATATAATAACAAATAAATTAAGCATAGTGATTTCAAATCAACCTAAATCTGTATGTTTGTTAGATAATTAATGGTTTTCTTGATACTCAGTAAATTTGGTATAAAATTTAGTATTAGAAAGTATTTAATTTATTTAACATTTTAATGTATATTCATAGTTTATACCTATTAGGTTTTTGTAGTAAAATATTATTGAAAATACAAATATCTAGATTTAATTTTACTTAAAGGTTAATAAATGAATATACATATGGGTAGATGAGTTTTATTCAATTCGTTTTTGATGATTTGATTAATATATTGTTATAATTGTAATGAAAATTTTTAGTTTAAATTTTCAGGATTAAGAAATGGAACACGAATATTAGAAGGAAATTACAAGCATATATAAAAATTATTAAAAAACTCAGAAATGGATCGTTTTGCCTTTGGTAGTATTTCAAATTTCAATAAAAATCATGAGAGAGGATTGGCTTTTATTAACAGTGCTATTATTATGTAGTTTACTTTATGCGTTAAACCTCAAATGTGCTTCCTCATCCAACAGATACTTTAAAGACTTATTACTATTTATGTCGTTAGTCTTGTATAACTTTTTCTTCCCCTATAATTCAGTATTTTAAAAGAAGGAGTTGTAACTCTAAACATATTCTTTGGATGGATATTTTCAAGCTTTAACAATATTGGCGTATGAATTAGTTTAAAATAAATAGTTTAATGAACACACTAAGCTATTCCAAGAAGCAATTGATCCTGGTAGTAATTTTCACATTTCAAATTACGATATTTAGCAATCCAAATATTTAATTGTGGGAATAAGTAGTTTTGCATATTTTTGAATTAAGTATTTACATACACTATTGTTATTGTTTTGAAAATTTTAGGAGGAAAGTATTTATTTAAGCAAATACTTAAAAAATTTTAGAAGATAACATACAAACTTATAATGATATTGAAAGTTTTATCATTAGTTATAATCCTCCCAAGAACAAGCTAATTTTAATGTAAAAGAATAGGTAGTAGCAAATTACCGAGTAGATTCAGGATGAGTTCATTGATAAAATAAGAAACACAAAAGTCTCATCATATGATTCAAAGAGAAGATTTACTCAATTTACTTCATAAGAGGTGTTGGAAAATTAAGCTAACATGACACTAGAGAATTTTTTGTTTTATGAATTTACCAATAAAAAGAAATACATCATGCATTTAGTTCATTAATCAGAATAAAATAATTCATATTTATTGAAGGGATTTCTATATCAAGAAAGCTACACAATTAAGGTAGTGAAAATATTTTAAGAAAAGCCATGTGCTTTAGTATTATTGATGGAAAATAAGAAAGATAATGTGATTGATTAACTAAATTTAAGAAATAAAATAGCAATGAAAGCATTAGATTAGATTGGGGATGTGTTTAGGGAATATGTAAAACCAAGTTTAATTTCTTTCTAATGGATTTATAATAACAAATAGAAAATTAAAAATATTGTATTCATTAATAAATTATTAAGAAAAGTGAATAGCAATTTATTGAAATGTTATAATGATTTTTCAAATATTCAGGATTACTTTAGCATAAACAAAGAATTTTAACGTTGTTTAATTCAGAAATTTGACATTAAAGAATTTATTGAGTAGATTTAGTAACATGTAGTCAGATTTTTTGGAGATGATAAAGGAATATTTTTCACAATAGATTGTAAAATTCCAGATACTTATGTAAGACAGGATTAGAGATAGCTGAAGCAATTATTTTTAAACTTATTTTTTTTTATTTTGGAGAAACAGTCAGGAACAAAAAATAATCATCCTAATTATGTGCATATCACTTTGGTTTAAGAAAAAGATGAATCCAATCAATAGATGTCAATAAAAATAAGGATTGATTATGAAGGTCATCATTTGAGTAAAGCTGCAATAAATAGTTTGCCTATTATCAATCCTTAAACCATCGGAGAGTTGAAGCATAATAGTTAAAAGGCTTTTGATTTGTTATTACCGATATCATTGTTGATTATCAGGAAGATTGGACCACATGATAAGTTGACTCTTAAACAAAACAGAATGAATAGAAACTTTATGGAGTTTTAGATATTTAATGCTCTTGAAGAGAATTATCATCTCTTGCCTATAATTTCATTTTATCCTAAGGACAATATACTAACAACATCAAGTCTGGCTAAGCACTACTCTGAATACTTTGATCAGGTTCCAATCGTGTAATTAAATTCGATTCAGGAATTCTGATTGTATATATTCTAATCAATATATAAAAAACGGATTATAAATATATTTATGTTAAAGCAATTGCTAGTGGCATGGCTGCTAGTCAGCGTGTCTTTACAGTTCAAGACGTCTGCAAGGACGTAGATAACACCTTTGGAGTCAATTTTATCTATTGATCCCTCTGGATGGACTTGTGAAAGTCCAAGCTATAAAGAGTAGTTGGGAGCATAGCATGACATCGATTAATGGATAGACATCGTGAAACACAAAGAAGGATTTGATGGAGATTTGTAGGTTTTGGCAATGGTCAAAGCATTGGTGGATAGGGTTTTGCTAACTGTCTAACATATTCAAGGAGGATCGTTTATTCAAGTCAAATAGTTGCATCATTAGATCTCAAAGCATTTCAAATCACTATCTCAAATTGAATCTACTTCATCCTGGTATGATATTAACGATATTTTGGGATATTTGGAAGTCCTCAATAAAGCAAAGAGTATGAATCATGAATCTATTTGTTAGGTGATGAAGACAAGTTGTAATTGGCTCAAACTATTGCTACCAAGATCTCTGAGTTGATTCAACAAATAACAGAAATCTAATTATAACTAAATACTATTCCTATTGAAATTGATTAACTCTATGATCTGGCCACTAGAGTCAATGAAAAAACTTCTCAATGCAAAGATAATTGGGCACCATTTTTAGAGGCTGATGCAAAAGCTGAAGAAGAAGAAAAAAGAAAAGAATAAGAACAAGAGGATGCCAGATTATAAGCAGAAGAAGAAGCAAAAGCAGCAGCTGAAGCAGCAGCAGAAGAAGAAAGAAGAAAGGAAGAAGAAGCAAGAGAATTAGAAGAATTGAAGAACAGAGTTGATATCACTCCAGAGGAAGCTGAATTACTCGAATAATAGGCTGAAAAGGAATTGGAATTGGCTGAAGAACTGGAACATGAAGCAGAATAAGAGTTAGATGCTGCTAAATCAGCTGAATAAGAAGCTGAAACAGAAGCTGAAAGAGATGCAAGAGAAGCCAGAGAAGCAGCTGAAAAAGCAGCAGCATCATAATAGGCCTTGGAAGATGCTCAAAATAAAGAGGAAGAGGCTTGCTTAGATGCTGAGGAGGCATAAAGAAGATTGAAGGAAGCTTAAGAGGCAGCTGAAGAGGCAAGAAAAAGGGCAGAGGAAGCTGAAAGATTAGCTGAAGAGGCCAAAAAGGCTAAAGAATGTGAACCAGTGCCTGAACCAGAAAAGGAAGCAGAAGAAGAAGTAGAAGAAGAAGAGGAATTCGAATGGGAATCTGAAGAGGAAGATGGTTGTGGAGATGATGTTTTGGAAGATTTGATTGATACATTGATTGATGCAGCTACAGGTCCAAGTGCTTATTAACCAAGTTGTGGATATCCAGGATGTTAAGAACAACCAATCATTATTATTGTTGAAGATGATGAGGATGAACCTAAACCATAACCAGAACCAGAACCCAAACCAGAGCCAGAACCTTAACCTGAGCCAGAAGAGGAGGTTGTTGTTGAAGAATAACCAGAAGAGGAAGTTGTTGTAGAGCCAACACCAGATGATGAAAAAGTTGAAGAATAAGAAGAAGTTGTTGAAGAGATTGTTGAAGAGATTGTTGAGGAAATTGTTGAAGAGATTGTTGAAGAAATAGTTGAGGAGATAGTTGAGGAATTAGTTGAAGAGGAAGACGACGATTTTGGTAGATTAGAATTCCCAGATGAACCAGAACCAGTACCAGAATTAGAATAACTTGTTTATACTTTAGATGAGAGAACTGATAGTGTTGTTACATAAGAAACATCCCCTTGGGAAAAAGATGTTGAAGATGGACCTGATAGCAGAATCAAGACATCAGTTGAATACAGTTATGGGTTATGGACATATTTCAGATACAATGGCAAGGTTAAGATTGCAGAAAAGAAGGAGGTCTTGGCTGTTGGAGGTTTGAGTGGAGATGACACAAATAGATTAGTGACAACTATTGGAGAAGGATTCTATAATTTCTAAGTATTTGAAGGAGAAGTTGTGACTGAATTATAATTGGATTATGGCAAGTATTTAGATGCTGAATGGATTTATGTCTATTTCGGATATAAAGAAGGAAAAGCCAATGGTTATATTTACTGGGGTAGAACTTAAGTCATCAAGAGTGTCACATTCACAGTTACTCAACCAGCTATTGTTAAAACTATTAAATTCCAATCTGGACTTTGGAAGGGATTCAAAGGATTCAACGGAGTCATCACCAATGTTAGAGTTGTCTTGAATAAGAATTCATTTGTTGAGACAGAGGAAGAGATGAAAAATTTGATTGAAACCAAATACACTGTCCCAACAGACCCCGAGTTAGAGTATTAGGAAAAGTAATACTATGATAAGGTTGAATATGATGGTTTGGTCGATGATCCTAAATTCAAATGGGATTTAGATGGATACAGAGAATATTCAGTATCCACTTGGTTTAGATATGTAAGAAGATCCGAAAAAGCTCATTAAATTATATTTAGATTTACATCCAATGAACCAGAAGTTGGAATAATTCCACATGGATTAAAAGCACTTTCATTATGGTAAACTGAATAAAATGAATACCAATTTTCTACATATACAGTTGAGGAGAAGGATAAGTTCAGCGACATTGACGAGACAGTCATTATTCCTTAAGAATCACAATAACTATGGACATATGCATACTTTGGATATAACCATGGAGATTTTTCATATTATATGGAATGGCCAGATAGCAAAGTTGAGAAACAATTCAAAGGTTGGCATGTTGTAGCCAAATATTGGGCACTATATTTGGGACAAGGACATTAGTTTTTCTTCCATGGAAAGACAGCCTATACAACAATTAGATTTGGAAAGGGTGCATGGGGATATGCTACAGATTTCGATGATTATAAGACTGGCAAGATTAAATTATGGCCTGGAGTATAATTGAAAACATATGATCCTAAATGGTTGAATCACAAAACAGAATCTGAATATGACACTTTACTTCATTAAGAGCAAGATTGGGTAACAGATGGTGTTTATGAATATGGATTCGGTATGTGGACTAAATTCTTCATCACAAATCCATCAAGAATTTATGAGAAACCTGAGCGTATTTTGGTTGGTAGATTAGGATTTACAGATTAAGATGAAGCCGAATTTGCAGTATATATCGGAAGAGGAAATTATGAATTCTGGGCTGGTTCAGGAAGACCAGTTAATTATGGAAAGAATTTGGATGGATATTGGAATTACATCTATTTCAGTTATTCTAAATTGAAGTAAATTGCAGTAGGATATGTTAATTTCAATAAATTGAAGTAAGTTTAAAGAACAGTTTTCGATCCATTTGATGCTGATCCTGCTAACAATTATGTTAGATTCTATGTTGGATCATGGAAATCTACTGTTTATGGATTCAATGGAAGAATAGCTCATGCAGTTGTCAGATTTGGTAGAGGATCATTTATTAATGAAATTGCTGAATATGAAACATGGATTGAATAATACAAGGTCCCAGTTGATGAAGAATTAGGAACAAAGGATTATGAAATCTAAGGTGCCGATAACAAAGATACTGAAACATATGATACTTTTGTGTATGAAGATGGAGCAATTGAAACAGAATAATATTCAGTATATGGATGGTTCAAATATTATGGAAGTTTAGATAATACTGATCCTTAAACAGTGATTAGATTAACTAATAATGAGCCAGGATTCTTGAAAGATGCTAGTTTATTAGGAGATAGAACATTATCAGTTATTTAAAAAGGTGGAGATATGGAAATTGGAACCTACGACATTGGATTCATTGATACTGATTTCAATCTTGATAGAAATACCAACATAGCTTTGGGTGAATATAGAGGAATTTGGATGTACATTTGGGTTGGATATTCCAGATAAGATGAATACGCTGGTTGGTTCTTTGGTTTCCCAGATGTGAGCAAAGGTGGTTTATTAAAGAAAGTGTTACACTTCTCTCCAAAATACCTTGCTGTATATTTCGGAAAGGATGGAATTAATAAGAATTTCGTTGGTAAATCAAGACATGTTCATGCTTGTTATGGCAGCACATAATGCTGGCACTATGTTGACAAGGTTGAAGTCGAGGTTGATCTTCCAGCTTGGATCCCATACAAACTTAATAATTACTTTGAATTCTATGTTCAAAATGATGCTGATGCTTTGATATATGCTAAAGATGACCAACCAGCATTGGATGTTGAATTCACATAAGCTAATTTCCCAGGATCTGACATTGAAGCCATTTATGAATATGGTATTGGTTTATGGACTAGATGGTTGATGAACTACCCATTCATTTTATTAGAAAAAGCTGAATCTCACTCCATATTTAGATTCACAACAAATGCTTAATATGAAGATGCTAATAAGAATGGAGACAGAACAGTATCAGCATTTGTAGGAAGAGGAGAATATAAGTTCAGTACTTATGATGCAGTTCTTGATAAGAATGACATCACAACAGGAACCAAGTTTGATAAGGAATTAGAAGGATATTGGAATTTCGTCTATTTCTGCTACAAGAGAATTCCAACTGGACCAAAGGGTATTGGATATGTGTATCTTACTCATTAAAATGTTGTTAAGAGAGTCGAAATTGATAGTGCCAAACATTGGTTGTTGAGAGATTATGCCAGACTCGTTATTGGAAAGAAAGAATTTGGACATTCAGCCTTCTAAGGTAAATTGTTTGATCCAAGAGCATTTTTGGGCAAGAACAGTTACATTGATTCAAGCGAAGATTTACTCAATGTTATTGTACCTAAATTCAGACCTTATCCACCATACAAAGATAAATAAGATAACGAACCAGTCTAAGTAGAGAAAGCTAAGATGACTTAAAGAGTGTTCAAATCATATGAAGAGAAGTACAGTGGTGTCTTTGAATACAGTGTTTATGGATTTGCTAAGGGTAATAAATTAAAGAATGTCACTGATTGGACTTCACTTGTCAGAGTCACATAAAATACTCCAGATATCTAAGCTGATAATGACAATGCTGGAGATAGAACTCTTTCCATCTTCATTGATAAAGGTGTCTGGTATTTCAGTACTTATGATTATGGAGATATTGAAACTGCAGATGATGATGTTGGTTCAAGTATTTATTTATATTTATATCTTTAGTCGACAAGAAATTTGAAATTGGTAAATATTGGGGTAAATGGACATACTTCTACTTTGGATATTCCTTCCATCTTAAATAAGCCTATGCTTACATTCGTTAAATCGATCAAACAGCCAACTCCTATTTGTTTGAGGAGATCTATCACTTTGTTCCTAATTATTTGAGTGTGTTCTTCTCTGAGGATGGCTATGGCAAACAATTTGATGTATTCATCTTTCTCATTTCTTTAGGGTGAAGCCTTTGATTGGTACTTGGGTATCGGCGATGGTGCATTTACTACAACTCCAGAACCAAGAGAGTGGCCAGTTGATCCTGCACCTCCTCCTGATAGAATCTTGTCAGCTCTACTNGGATGTTGAATTCACATAAGCTAATTTCCCAGGATCTGACATTGAAGCCATTTATGAATATGGTATTGGTTTATGGACTAGATGGTTGATGAACTATCCATTCATTTTGTTAGAAAAAGCTGAATCTCACTCCATATTTAGATTCACAACAAATGCTTAATATGAAGATGCTAATAAGAATGGAGACAGAACAGTATCAGCATTTGTAGGAAGAGGAGAATATAAGTTCAGTACTTATGATGCAGTTCTTGATAAGAATGATATCACAACAGGAACTAAGTTTGATAAGGAATTAGAAGGATATTGGAATTTCGTCTATTTCTGCTACAAGAGAATTCCAACTGGACCAAAGGGTATTGGATATGTGTATCTTACTCATTAAAATGTTGTTAAGAGAGTCGAAATTGATAGTGCCAAACATTGGTTGTTGAGAGATTATGCCAGACTCGTTATTGGAAAGAAAGAATTTGGACATTCAGCCTTCTAAGGTAAATTGTTTGATCCAAGAGCATTTTTGGGCAAGAACAGTTACATTGATTCAAGCGAAGATTTACTCAATGTTATTGTACCTAAATTCAGACCTTATCCACCATACAAAGATAAATAAGATAACGAACCAGTCTAAGTAGAGAAAGCTAAGATGACTTAAAGAGTGTTCAAATCATATGAAGAGAAGTACAGTGGTGTCTTTGAATACAGTGTTTATGGATTTGCTAAGGGTAATAAATTAAAGAATGTCACTGATTGGACTTCACTTGTCAGAGTCACATAAAATACTCCAGATATCTAAGCTGATAATGACAATGCTGGAGATAGAACTCTTTCCATCTTCATTGATAAAGGTGTCTGGTATTTCAGTACTTATGATTATGGAGATATTGAAACTGCAGATGATGATGTTGGTTCAAGTATTTATTTATATTTATATCTTTAGTCGACAAGAAATTTGAAATTGGTAAATATTGGGGTAAATGGACATACTTCTACTTTGGATATTCCTTCCATCTTAAATAAGCCTATGCTTACATTCGTTAAATCGATCAAACAGCCAACTCCTATTTGTTTGAGGAGATCTATCACTTTGTTCCTAATTATTTGAGTGTGTTCTTCTCTGAGGATGGCTATGGCAAACAATTTGATGTATTCATCTTTCTCATTTCTTTAGGGTGAAGCCTTTGATTGGTACTTGGGTATCGGCGATGGTGCATTTACTACAACTCCAGAACCAAGAGAGTGGCCAGTTGATCCTGCACCTCCTCCTGATAGAATCTTGTCAGCTCTACTTGCCAACCAAGGATTTAACTCAGGCAGAATCATCAAGGGTGGTGGAACATTCTTATAAGTCGAAGGATCTGTCAATTTAATCTAAGAAAATGAAGAATGATATAAACAATCATAAATTATTATTATTATTATTTTTAATAAATAATTAGTAGTCATCATTTTCTAATCATTATTGTATTACTTGAATCCTAAATGCATACATAATTCAAGAGAAATAAATTAAAAATGCAAACAGATATCTCTTCTGTAAACAATTAATATCCTTTAAATAAATAATAATCATTTATTTTTTTAGTGCACTCCTTAATACTCAGTGCTTTCCCATCACTTAATATACTCTTCACTAAGTTAATCATGTTAAAAAACTCTTATTTACACACAACATTTCCATTAAAAATACCAACACTTTGCAAAATTTGAATTGACATCTTCAGTTCCTCTTTTGAATATATCATGTCCTCAAATTCCTCCCCTTTAAAATTAACTATATAATCATCTTTCATTTCATAATTCTTTAAATATTTGCCTCCAATTAATTTTAAGTAGTAAACTGCTATTTCAGTTGTGAGCTCTTATGAGTGGTTCACAACCAAAATTTGATTCTGAAATTATAACTGTTTCTCCTATTTCTGTTCTTTCTTTTACTCGAAAATGGTTTCCAAAAAACATAACATATAGCTATTGGATGAGTCAAATATTTCTAAATATTATAATTGAATACTGATTCTTTTGGCATATATCTTATTAAATTTAATATCATTAAAAATCTTCTGCTAATATGTACCCAAAACTTCAACATAAATACCAATTGAAATGTCATGATGCCACCAAAACTCTAAATTACCAAAGTTATCCGTGATAGTAATGCAATATTGCTGAGAAGTCATTTTCAAGCAATTTATGACTTATCCAAAAACAATAACCAATTGATTTTATTCGCTTAATTGATTAGAAAACACCCGCTTAATATTAAAATTCATTAATAATAAAAATAAAGAATGTCATCAATCAAACATTTATTCATTCTTAACTTTTCTATAAGCAATTCATGCTTAAAAACCCTAACAATTATGATAATTGACAACCACAAACATAAGTTTTCACTCCTATGATTACATTATTTTTTCAATAAATTACAATTTAAATTTATAATTTGGATACTTGCTAAACATTATGCCTATTTGGTTTTAAATGTGTTTATAATTTATCCAAAAAAAAGATAAAATATATCTAATAAAAATCTCACATTATTTCTATCATTGCAATAATGTTATAAGTTAGTGAAGCCAATTTTTGGGCTCGATTTTATTCTTTTCTTTAATCATGATAATAAGACATTAAGACAATTGAAATAGTATTTGTATTATAACAATAATTAGAGACTAATTCACAAAAAGTCGTTTAAATTAATTAAATAATTATAATAATTTATTGTTGATAAATAAATAATAATCAATCAGAACAGGTGTTAGATATATTTACAATGGAATAAAAACCCCATCTATCATTTTATTCTATTCCCCATGCAATGTTACCAGCAATATTTAAGACTACAATGGCAAAATCAATATAAAATAAAATATGACCAATTTTGTATTTGTTTATGTAATAATAACCTAAGTTTGTGAAGACCAGGACACCTACAATCTAATGAATTAGTATTATGATATTATACCCCTATTCCGTAGAAAAAGAATTGATCACCAATTGGCATTCCAGAATCGCTGACAATGAATGATACAAATACTTGTAAGCATACAATAAAATATCCATAGTTTGCTGTTGCTCCTGCAGAGGCTGCAACCAAACCAAATTAAACCATAGTTACAAACATGGTTAAACCTGCTGCCATTCCCAAAAAGCCAGCAATAAAACCGGTTGCACATCCAGCTCCGTATATTTTAAAAAATCTTCGGGTTGGTGTAAAATATCTTTCTTTCATTTTATATCTGACAGTGTCCTTTATTTCTTCTTTTTTTCTGTATACCAATAATGTAGTTCCAGTAATCAAAATATTCACAGCAAACAATAGAATCATCATATAGAAATTCCAAACATTGCATGGACTCAATTTAGGATTAGACTCTTGGTCTTATTCATTGGATTGAAAATAAGGCGAGTTTTAACTAAGAGTTGATCTTGATAGAATCACTGCTTCGTTAGCTGCAAAACTACCAAAAGCAATTAGTACAGGAATGAGAGGAAGGATTTAATGAGATTCATTCAAAAATTATTTATACACTAATGCTGCTTATGCTTCATCTTAGATTGAGCCTTTAAAAGCTGATGCCATAGAGATATGAGAATCAGTGTAATCTTCATCCAATTCTTATTCAACAACTTCTTGTCTTTTCGCATATAATAAACAAATTGGAAGAATGACAATAAAAAACATCATCTATAAGGTTAAAACTGGCAATAATGGCATATAACTTGCTAATTCTTCTCCAAATTGCATAGAAAGTGGAATAGCCAACGCATAAATCATTCCGACTTCGTAATTTACAGCCGGACACTGAGGATGGTATGGATGTCTAAAATTCCATAATGTAATTACTTCTAGAATGTGATAATTATCTAATTAACCAGTTGCGCTCCAAACATCAAGCATGCAGTTATATTTCCTGAAGGACCTGAATTGAAATTTAAAACAGCCTCCAGAAATGGCCTTTTAACCACACCACCTAATATTCAATTCTCCAATCATACCTCCTAAAGCTCCCAAACTGCCAATCCCAATTAGTGGTATAATCAGAATATACACTATGATATTGGATGCACTACGATATAGATAATCTTCTCTGCAACATCCAGACATTATTAACCCATTTGCATCACTAACCTAGGCGCATGAAGAAAATTTCCCGCAAAAATTTGTTGAATTGTTGCAACCTATTGTACTTTTACCTTGGAAAAGACTGTATTTATTTGATAAACACGAAAACGAACTCATAGATTCTGATAATAATTTATATAATAAGTCATAATAAACTTAATTATATTGTAAATGAAGATATAAAACCCTTTATCGTTGTTATTATTTTATAAATTTTAATCTAAATAAATATAACTTAGAATAGCATGTGATTGAAATAGTTTATGCTTACTATTCCTAATACAGAAATTTAGAATTTCATTAATCATCCTACATCTTCTGAAATTAAATTATGATCTCCATTTTAAACTCTTCCTAACCGACATATTGTATTATATTATATGCTTTGCATTTTATGTCATTCTTATTGAATAGGACTAGAATAACTAAAATATTGATTCAAAAAATTTCTTAATTTTATGAATTTATAAAAGTGTTGTTCTCTCCATTTGTGTATGAATATTAGATCCAATGTATATTGAAAATTCTTGATTTCTCATTGTTAATTTTTATTTAATTTTTATTTAAACACTCCTTTGTTTTTATAATTCTAAATTTCAAGCTTATCTTCAATTTTCCTATTAAATTTGGGATCAACTTGTATCTTTTAAATGATAATGTGTATGATCCCTTATATGCTTAAGAATTTACAAAGTTGACATCTTTAACATATAATCTTTCCTTTTTCTCCTTGTTATTTATGAGTAAGGTGAAATAAATTTTTCCTTATGGAATTAATATAAAATAATTAATGTATTAAGGAAAACAGAAACATTATTATAATATGATTTTAGTCTATTTTATCATTCCAAAGGTATTATTAAAAAACTGATATAGACATGATGACTTTTAATGTACAATCTGTAATAACAATTCAATTAGTTAAGTGTTTTAAGTTAAACTCTAAAATTATTTAAAGTGTAACCTAGGTATATTCGTAATTGTTAATCATAATAATATTAAATAATATTTCTAGTTTATAGCATACTCCTTGATACTTTACTTTATTTAGATAACACATATATTGATAGAGTATTCATTATTAAAAACCAAGTCTTGTTTATTATTGATAATTTTTTTAAATCCAAATTTTTATTAACAGATCCTATTATATCGATCTTTATTTGTTAGAAAAGGAGTTTAAACAATAGAGAACTATACTAATATTGTTTTAGACATAAACATTTTCTAATCTTTAATAAAATTTTCTTGTTAAATAGTAAACTCTTTAGGGATATCAATTGATGTGATATTTTCTAAGAAATCGCTATAAAAAGTTAATTAGATTAATTATTTGATGTGACAATTCAATAAATTCTTTAAATTTCTTAAAAATAATGGATAGTTAAGTTTAGAGGAGTGGATTTTTTGATAGATTAGTGTATGTGAGGTGGGAGTGATGTAGGATTGATGTGATTTTGGGAAGTATAAATGTTGCTTGGAATGATAATTAAATATTTAAATATTTAAAATATAGAAAAAAATCATAAATGATCAAAGAATACGATTATTTGTTCAAGCTAGTCATCATTGGTAATTCTGGAGTTGGAAAGAGTTCGTTATTATTGAGATTTGCTGATGATTAATTTAGTGAGTCTTATTTAACAACAATCGGAGTGGATTTCAGATTTAGAACTTTGCCTATTGATGGCAAGAATGTGAAATTACAGATTTGGGATACAGCTGGACAAGAAAGATTTAGAACGATTACAAGTGCATATTATAAGGTTCTGGATCAAACATTATGGTTATTAGGGAGCAGATGGGATTGTTATGGTTTATGATGTCACCTAAGGACAATCTTTCGATGACATTGATAAGTTTTGGTTACATGAAGTTGAATCATATGGAGAGAAGAATGTTCAATTGTTGGTGATTGGAAATAAGAATGACTTGGATGAACAGAAATAGTAAGTTTGTTTAATATCATTATAAAAGAGTTGAAAGTTCTAAAGCATAAGAGTACTGTAAATCACATAACATGTTATTTATGGAATGTAGTGCAAAAACAGCAGATCACGTAAATAATGCATTTCTTGAACTCTCGAGAAAGTTGATGGCTAAGAAGGATGCTTCACAACCACCAAAATCTTCCAATCCTACACCAACTGGTTCTCAATCCTCTTAATCTAAAGCAGGAGGGTATAGTATATCCCTTAAATTTTGTTTAGATCAAATAGCACAAGCACATCACAAGCAAAACTTAGTGCCAATACATCCAACCAGAAAAAGTAGAAAGATGGAGGATGCTGTTGATTATTCTAATCAAAATATAACATTTATTCATTTTATATGTTTTTCTTTTATTTTCTGATTTCATAATTTTAAATTTATTATATGTATTAATTAAAGATAATTATAGATATTCATTTCCAAAATTGATTTTAATGTTTCATGAATTTGAGCTTAAAATTAATGGACACAAAGTTATTCACTATATAGATTCAACTTTTGATTTTGAAGTAACAATTTATAAATTAAATAGGATAATGAATCAAACTATTATTTTGTCTCATAAATAATGATTACTTACTTACTAATATTGTTAAATATTAATGACAATTAGCCTTAATATACTATGGTTATTCTAATAGATTTAACTTAAATTTTAATTTAAATTTATAAACAATATAATTTCAATATATAATTCAAATTAACTTCAATTTTGATCATGCTTTGATTTCTTCTTCATTGACTTCCTCAATTGGCTGATTAGACATCTACCTTTACAAAATAATCTGTTTGCTGGGTCGAGCTCTGGGAGTTTGAGCTTTGGCTGAACTTTATGTTGAGTTTTTAAGCACAATAGTTGGTCTCATTCTAGCAGAATCAGGCGATGAAGCATCAGATGATAAATCATACTCTTGAGTTGAATATTTTTTAATCTATTTTGTTCTGGGAGTTGAGGGTTGACTGTCAATGAGATTGATATTTTTCTATTTAATTTATTACTAAAATCTTGGACTTTTCATGGCAGGAACATTTATAGTGATTTTTTCATCCTCAATCACCTCATCCTCTTTGGCTTATTGTCTAAGCTTAAGTGGGATCTCAGGCAGTTGAATTTTATCAGATTTGATATTTTTGAAAAGTTGAGTCTACCATAATTTATTCTAAGGGTCTAGTCGCTTTTTAGTTTAAAAGCTAATTCTAATATCAGCTTGGGGACTTTGAACAAAAAATAAATGTTCTAAGGCTCTTGAAGCTGAGATTCTTAGACTGGGATTGGGATTGAGCATTGAAGAAATGAGTTCAACAGCTGAAGAGGGGGCTTTGAACATTTGAAGATTATCAAGATTGACATAGCATTTTTTGTTTAGTTTGAGTATTTCATGGTAGTCTATTCCTGGGAATAAATCTTTCTAAGTAATTCTATTTATCAGACTAATGCTTACAATTTATAGAAGATGCAACCAACACTAAACATATCACAGATCTTATCGTATTTTACAGTGAGATCTTTGAGATTAGCAATTTCTGGAGCAACATATCCAGGAGTGCCACATTTAGGAAATGGGTACTTTTCCACATTTGTATTTGTGGCCAAGCCAAAATCGACTATTCTAAGACCTTAAACTGAGCCATGTTCTTTAAACATGATATTCTCTGGTTTTAGATCACGATGCATAATATTTAAACTATGCATATGAGCCACTCCTTTGAGTAATTACTAAAAATTTAAACATAAGATTATACCCACATAATCTATTTAATTTGTTCCCAACTCAAAGGTTGTGTGGTACTTCTACTATTACATAGATCATGTAGACTTGGTCCTTTCAGATATTCAAGTATGAGGTAAAATGTATTGTCTCCTTCGTACACTTCCTCTAGTTTAACGATCTATTCGTTGTCGAGGTTGGCCATGATACTAATCTCATTGAATAAGGCAGTCTAATAGTTTTATGAAGTATTCTTACATAGCCACCGTCTTCTCGGAGATATCTTTTCTCTATACATTTAGATGCAAATTCGGCTGAATTGTCCTTGTCATGGACCAAATAAACCTAAGTTTATGTCTTATTAAGTACCTTAGAGGATCCTCCCTTGCCTAGGAGTTTTAATGGTTGGTAGAAGTCACTAACTTCTCGATACATTATTTTGTTTTTGACTATTCTCTTGAAGATTTTTAGCTCTTGTTCTGGGGCTGTGAAATATTTGACTGTTCCTTTGTACTCAATGCCAAATTGAGTCAACACTCTCTAGTTGTTTTTTACCCAATGTATATTATTTTCTAGATTTATCGGAACCATATATTTGGGAGTTGGTGACTCTATCTCCTATATTTAGATCATAAACCAATAGAATTACAGTTGAGAGAGTTATAGCATTGGTAAAGATGTACAATTGGTAGTAGATATCTCGAACAAGATGCTCCCTCTGGCAAATTATATGGTAAACTACCTCACCATAGTTAATTTCTATGTTTTGCATGTTCTTTATTTCAAAATTATTTAATTATATGCTTTCAAGATTTAAAGTAAACGTATTTGAAGATGTCCTGAATGGTACAATCATGTCAAATACTGACGGACTATTTTATTATTTAATAAGAATCCCTTTATAATAAAAAGATGATGAAATTATCCAAATTTTTGATTGACATTCCACATGAACCAAATAAATCTGTAATTCTAATTAATTTGTCAAATTTAATTCAATAAATCAATTAAAATCATTATAAAATTTCCACCCTTCCAAAATTTTGAAATTCTTACTATTCCCCTAAATTTACAAAATAATCCTAAATTCATATTCCAATTGTTGACTAAATATAATTAATTGTAATTTATATATAAGATTTATATATATATGTTTCATAATATTAAAAATGAATTATGCTTCATAATCCCTGAGTGGCAGGAGCATCATTTGGTTCTAAATCGTATCCCTTCTGGTTATCAAAACCTTACACTTGACTGGTTAGCCCCTCTTCCTTAACTTTGAATTTTCTATACAAATAAGCCAACAAGAATGCTAATAGAATTAAGAGAATTATGAGTCCAATAATCACTCCAATCAACTCTTGGGTGTTGTATATCTTGGCCTAAGCCAACACAACTTTGACCTAAAATGCATTCTTATATGAGCACTGAATGGTTTGATATGGGACTTTGGGATTCTCTTCCAAATATTTATCTTTGTCAGGACATGAAGTCGCATTCATTAGTATTTCATATTTGTAAATTTTGCCAACATCCTGCTCAGACTTAGGTTCACAAAATATCTGAGGATTTCTGACAATATATGGTAATTCCACAATGGTATGTTGAGTTAAACCCAAAAGGAATGGATATTCTTTTTAGAATGACCATTGATTGTCATCTCCTTCGGTTTAAAAATCTGATCCGTAAAACTTCACACTCTACAATTTAGGAATAAACACGTAATCTTCATAGAAAGAATTGGCCTTTTCAGTGAAATAATCATCTTGAGTATAGAATTTAAATTCTGGTTCAAACTCCTCATAAACACCAGTTCTCACAATTCTGTGTTCGTCTTTACCTCTCAGAAGTACAAAATCTTTGGAAAGAATAATATCAAAATATTATCCAGTCAAATAATGAGTCTTGACTTCGAACCATCCTTCATCCTTGAACCCTATTTCAACCAATTATTGATTGATTCCACTAAAACGATAATCAAATAAACTTACACTTCCTTGAGAATCAACAGGAAATCGTCAGGCTATACTGCAATAGTTAAACCTGATTTGATATCGACGAGGCCAAATTTATCATCTCTATTCAATACTATTTGTTATTCACTAGTTCTAACAAGATACTTGGTAACACCATGAATGCTGTCTAGAATGAAGGCATAAGTATCATTCGAGTTTGTGGATTTGCTGAACGCTATATCCACTAAACTTATGGTTAAGTCCTTGTTATATAAATCAAATGAATTCAAAGACATCTTAAGACTTATATCACCGTCTTTATTAATCTAATAGATATCTAGGCCATCCCTACCCAATGGAACAAACATATAGTTATTCAAAACCTTGATTTACCCAATAAAATTATTGTCATTTTCTAATCCACTACCAATTGAACAGTTTTACAAAGTCATGTTGGATGAAACCTTTCCTTTTAAAATTTAATCTCTATATATCAAATATACATAATTATATGTAGGGACATATACAATTTATGGCACTTCAGCTTCAGTTGCTTCACTTCTCAAGGAATCGTAGTCATATTCCTATAAGAGTTGTGTTTTAAATCCAACTTAGCTTTATGGATCCTAGGTAACGTTGTAATTCAATAAAGTATGATCACTTGTTGCAATCAATAATCCTTATTTTGTTATGACCATATTGACCAATATTGGTGTACTTAAATAATATGATGGATCATTTGCATGTTCTTGATCAGGATTGTGAGTAGCATTATAAATTACAGTATGATGATTTTCATATTCCCCGAATTCAACTGACCCTTATTTTGAAAAACATATATCCCAAGGATAACTATTATTTCCATGCAATTCTATATTGATTGCAAATTCAGCATTGTCGAAGTCTGTAATAAATTAGCGTGATCCTTGAATAACCTCCTTGACTCCACTCAACTCATCTTCGATTGAGAATGTTTTGGTTGTCAAATTTAATAATTCTTCTCCTATCACTTAGAACACAATCACCAAAATAATTAAAATCATAATTAATATATTTAATTCATTTCTCATTTTCACTATTCCAATATTATTGAATCATTTTGAAATCTAAATCCAAAGATATAACACCAATCATCAAATAATTCAGGTATTACATACTCGTCCTTTTCACTCGTGACTAAATTTTCCAAAATCAATATATTCTAACCAGTCTATAACTTCATACTAACCTTCTGTCCTTTCTTAGAACAGAACCCAGGCCCACTAAAATCTTGTTAGACTTCAGTTAAACCAAACCCAAAATGAACTAAAATCTTACACTTATCAATTACCTCCATCCTATCTAACAAAATATGCACTGGGAATGGGATATTGCATTTCAAAATTGTGTTTTTCGACTTGAGAATATGAAGCAACACCAAAGACTATGTCAGATCCGTTGATTGTAAACACGAGATTCTGGGATTTAAAACAATAGTCCTTTTCTTTCTGGATCCTTACAGTCTAAATTAACCATCTACCATCTTGATACTTAATTATATATATATACTAGACAGCTTGGATCTTCTAATTTCATTTTAATTAATTATTTCAATCTCCTAATGATGAGACTAATCATCTAAATTAATCATTCTGGAAGGTAACAATTGCTGGTTCAACAATTACTATTGAAATATCATTTAAATTTAAGTGTATATCTTCTATAATTCTATCTTCAATTGGTTCGTATCATTTTTGATACCCTTATATTAAATGTGATTGTTTGAAATTGTGTATTTATTTTAAATTGAATTCACAAAATCTTTAATTGAAAATTCTTTCTCAATGAAATTATAAACCTCAGGAAATACGGAAGTAAAGTTGATATGAGATTTGATAACATCTAATATGATATCTTCAAAATTGGTTAAGTAGTTTAGAATGACCTATTTAAATCTCCAAAATTCCTCCAATATCTCATTATATTAAGAATTTCCGTACTGCCAAATTTTATATATTTCCATATATATTTTTAATAATTATTAATGTAGAAACCCTTTGTTTTGGGCAACAAAATAGTATGTTCCAATGAGATCCATAAAAAATAAAATATGTAAATAATTGCTTTGTGTTTAACTAATGATTGCAAATCTAAGAAAACCCTCTGTCCTCAATGTTTTAATGAACATGACAAAAGTCATATAATAATTGAATTGTCTAATTTGACTTCCCAATTAGAGGAATAATAAGAATTCTAGACCAGACAAAGAAATGAGAAATACTAGCTTTTAAGTTCGAAACAAGATCTTTGCTATGAGTAAATTTATGGGAAATTGGCTTAATTGCTAAAAGAAGCTAATTAGGCTAAGCAATTAAGTAAACAAAAGATAGAAGCCGAATCTAAATCGCATTTTGCAAACAACCTAAGAAACGAAGAAGAATTAGAACAATTAGCAAAAGAGTTGTAGAATAAGGTGAATGGAGATCATTTCAATCCTAGACTCATTAAGTATACTATGATAATTATTATAAGACTCTTAAATCAAAAGAACATTCTGTTAGGATATGAGAAATTTGTAACCAAATTTTTATTTGATGCATGCTTGTTCCTAAATAACACGGATTGCGTTGAACAATGCGAATATTTTATGGACAATCAGCTAATGAGTTTAACAAATCTTATGAATAACATAAATAATGTAAGACAAGAAATAATAGTTGGATTCTAAGATGAAGAGTAAAATCTACTATATATGCAATCTATATATGAAAAATTGGATCAGAGTTTCTAACTCTACCTCGCAACAAAACCTCAATAGATTAGTGACGAATAGATTTAATATATGAACAATCTAATAAAATTGCCAGTTGGGTAAATATTACAATCCTATCCAACAGAAACACTTATAGCAAATCAATTCCAGCTCATTTTTGATAATCCTTTCGCAAAAGTAATTACAAAATCGAATTTAAATTATTTGAAAACCTTATGCAATGAGAAATCTCTTATATGCATGGGTGCCATCAAGTCATCAGATCCTAGTCTCCTGATTATCTGCTCGATTGATTATGCAAATGAATTATTGCAATCTACTTCGGATTTCAAAGTGGCAAGAAAGAGTAAAAGCGGATCAGTTTATTGGTACAATAAGTATGGAGTCTTTTGTGGAGTCATAGGATTTTCACCCTTATAATAAATAGACATCGGAAATGCTCTTAACATCCATTGTGACTCTTAAATATTGGATGGAGATCTACGTTTCAGTATGTAGATTGATTATAAAACAAGTTTTAGGATTGGCAAAGAGATTATTGATAATCCTAATTATAGATGGTAATTATATTTAAAATAATGAATATACAACAATTCAATGCTAATGATATATTAATTAATACCAAATCAATGATTTCTCATTTTAGGCTAATAAATTGGTAAAATTATTTGTTATAATAACATTTTATTCATCAATTTCTTATTCAAAAACTACTTGCATCCTTCCACCTTCTAAAATTGACCAAATTTTTAATTTATTATTTTAACATTAACCCAACAATGACCCTTCATCATATATCTATAAAGGGTTAACTTCATAATTATTTGAATTGTATTCTGGATCCCATTCAGTTGAAATCAATTAAAATAATCCTTTCTTATTTCTCTACCATATTTATATCTGTTTCTTCAAATTTGTAGTTATGATCATCTAATTTATTTTACTCCATAATGTAGTAATGAAACTTTAATGGATTTACTAATACATTATCCAAGTATTGTTTTCCTTTATCAAAAATGTTAATTTTGAATTTGACTAGCAAATGAGTATTTTTCCATCCTCTATAAAAATGAGATCGTGCACTCTTTCAGGTAATATATTGAAGGAACTATTTAATTCCCAATTTCTATTATTCAACCCCCAAAAATTGATTTTCTAATCTGAAGTACTAATCGCAAAATCATTAACAATATTGAATGCTATTGAATCTATGTTTGAGTTTATAATTAATATGTTTAAATCCTTGTATTACTTCCCCAAGCATAAAATTGACAATTGGGACTTATACAAAATACTTCTGCTGATATTGTATTTTTTAATGAATCAAATTGTCCAAACAAACTATATTAAGTTGGCTTAATTATTCTAATTTAATTATTAAATTCCTGTCCAGTAGACACTACAATAATTTAGTGATTCTTAATGTCTTAATAGATCCTCTTACTACTTTACCTAGAATATTTGATACTAATTTCATGTTGTCTTTAGAATTGCATACATTTCATTTTTCCGACTTCAATCTAGTTTTTTAGAACATTATATTCATTGTTGCCAACAAAATAATCATCTTAAATTATGGAATTAATGCAATTTAATGTATTTTCATATTTGGTTAGGATTCTATAAAATTCTTGAGTTAGTGAAGCAATGACTCCTATTTTAACATTAACACAATCCAATTCTTAGAATTTCAAAATCTCATATGCTTATAAAAGGATATTTTCATTTTAGAGATTGTCTAAAATATAGGTAATTTTTTCATTTAATAGATCTTACTTTTCACAATTTTTATCAATAATTTGAATGGCTCTATCACAATACAGCTGAATTGCTTTATTTGCATGTTCCTTTAGAGTAGTTATCCTCTACTTTTATTCCTACTTAAATTCGTATGAAATTGATTGCACCAAAATTTAATTTAAGAGCATTACAATTTCAGTATTATTTAAAGGATCATTATTTTAATTGCATTCTTTTTGATCACAACAAATGTAGCACTTTCCATTTCTATACTCAAATAGTTCGTATTTCAAACAGTGAGTCTTACAATAAGAAGTTCTTCCATTGTCATCCAATTGGATATAGGATAGAGGCTTTGAAGATAAACTCAATTTTTTTTTCATAAATTTTTCATTTTTCAATATTCTTTCTTTTTATTCTCTATATATCAAATTAATGGTTATATTAATTGGAATTAGTCTTCTAAATATTTAGGTATGTTTCTAAGTTCCTTTTTTATTAATTTATTAACCATATGAATTTAATTACTTTAAATTTTGAAGTTTCGTATATAGAAAAGGAGTTTAGAGAATCAAAACAAAAATTATTTTCAACAATCCTGGTCTATTAAAAATGGATCTTTGGTCTAATCAATTTTCTTTCATTTGTCAATTGCTTGATTTCCAAAAATTGGATAATTGCGTCAATCAGCATAGGAACCCTAATCCTCATCTTAATATCAATTAAGGTCAATAAGAAGTATCCATATGTGTATGAAATTGCAATAATTATATACATGGTCTCAATCAATGCCTATATTGCTTTTGAATAGTAATTTGCCAGCAACGATTGGTAATACACTGAAACATTTTTTATTTCATTCACTTTTGCGAGGTACTGAATTTCCTGACTTTATTAAGTTTGTTAAACCTGATGAATTTTATGAAACGCGCCCTTTTGCTAATAATTACGGTGACTTTACATCTTATTTTCGGAGTTCGACATTCGGATATCAATGTTGATACTTACTTTCGATATTTGTTGTATGTCGTCTTATACGTTTAATTTATGTATTAATTTGAAAGGTTATTGAGAACTACTTTCTTGGATTATCAGAAATGCCAATAATATTTAAGCAAAATCTCAAAATTCAAAGATGTATAAAGCTACTCAATTAAATATGATGAAAGAAAATCACTGATTTTGATTGAGAAAAATAACAACAAAAGAATACTTAAGGAGGATCAGGAGGAGTTCCTCAAGATGGTTACAAATATGCAAATGTCTATGCAAATTTAAAAATCAAGGGTTGCTGAAATAATTTCGGTTGATAATATATTTTCCCCAAAAAAACAAACCCTCAAGTAATTTCTCGTTTATTATACCCAAGAATCAAATTCAGACATCAATGATACTCCATCTAAAATCAAATAAGATATTCAGATTTATGGATTTTATTAAGAATAAGTGTTCGCTTTAAGTATTTTCAGGAGTTTTGACGTTTAGCCTGTAACTGTCCTATTGATGAAGGAGAGTAAATCTGAAACGCAAGAAGAGGAGATGAGATTGAGAATGAGGAACAATTCAAAACAACTTAATTACATACAATAAATTTTTGATAAATAAATTAAAAAATCTCTTATCTATTTTAAATGGATTAAAAACTTTGCCAATAAGCAAACAGATGCATAGCTAATAAACAAGACATTACAAATGATTAATTATAGTTTAATTAAAGGATATACAGATTTTCTTAATTTGGAGACATTTACCCTATAAAAGATGCTCTCTCTTGGGATCAAATAATTTGATCTCATCCTATTAATCAAAGATGTATTTGCCTTCTTTGATGGCTACAATAAACAGAAGCCTCTGTCCTTGGGCTATATTCAACAATTCGAAGTCATCAATAATTTAAGCAGCAATTGCATTCTGTCTGATTATAAATACACGAAATTACTACTCCATAATGTAATTAATTTCACAAGTTAAAAATCATAAACCATATAAGTAATATTAGATGAAGTCACCACAGACTTTTAATTAACACCCATAATTAGAATCAAAATACTCTACCAAGGTCCCAATATAACTAAGACTCAACTTCTTGGCTTACCAATTCTGAATCCGCAATCCTTATAAGAATTAAAGCACAATAGTACAGTGCCTTTAGATTTGGATCTTGCAGTTTCATTGATTTTAGTTAGAAGATTAGGTCCTTTTGATAGGTTGAAGTTAATTTAATAAAAACGAAAATCTAATTATTTAGAATTTTACATTTTCCAACACCTTATGGAAGACTATTTGTTGATTCCCATAACATCAATGAAACCATCCGACAAAATAAAAGTATAAGAATATTCAAGAATTGCAAACTCATTTTCAACTTCAATCTAAATTGAATCTCCTGGAGATAGCATTTAATTTTTATGATTATAGTATTTATGAGGCTTATTAAAATATCAATTATATATTCAAATTAAGTCAAAACAAGAAAGTTTTCCATAACTTATTATTTATGATGTTTAAATTTGATTAAAGAAAATCAGCTATCAGTGGAAATATCAATCTAAAAAAAATTGAATTAATTTTTATAATTGGCCAGGAATTAATTTCTTATTTTAGATACATTAAACATGACTAATCTCAATAATTCTTGGATCGATTATTTATTAGTAAAGTAAATTACTATATTTTATAAAAATTAAAGGATTATCACAGGATATTATCTAATAGCAAAAATAATATTATAGTAATTCAGATTGTAAACAATTAGTAGTGTCTTTAGAATTAATAAACTGATGAAAAAATTGATCAAACAATTAGGACAATATAAGTCCATTATTTCAAAAACTATAGTATTTTTGCATCCATTCTTAAACTTTGAAAACCTTTCTGTAATATTGTATAATTATCCATATTATAACTAAATCCTTATGAATGTTTCAAATCAGTTGATTCCTATTTCAATCTTTCTTATAAGGAAATAGATAATGCATCAGAAGAAGAATTAAAAACAAAACAAAAACCTGAGTTCCTTTTATAATATTTGATTCATTATTATTCTTTATTAGCTAGTATAAATGTATATTTATTTAATTATTCCTTATGGGATCAACCTCTAGCTGCTTTAAACATTAACAAGTCAATTAAAACGAATTTTAGATTCCTACGATTGTAAAGTAATAACTCATTCAATATTGTCCAACCAAATAAAATTTTCTGATTTAGCCATTATATGGTTTAGGTGAAAAGTCAGAATCCCTAGAAGAGCTGGAAGCAATTCTTTAATAATCTTATGCCAACTATAGTTTCGATTAAACTGCAACATTCCATAGCAATAGTAATTTTAGAGGTTCTTAAAAAGGAAAACAACCCCATTCAATAGCTTTACTTCCTAATTAATAAGAACCTCAATGTAAATAAAGTGGTAACAATATAAACAATTAAAATCAAATCCAATGTCTACACTCAACAGCAGAAGACCACCACCCATAAGATAAGAATGAAGGGAAAATAAACTCTTCAGCTTAAAAAAGAAAATCATTCAGCAGAAGCTTGAGTAACTTCAAGCAATAAAAAATTGAATGGAAGGATGATTGTTCTTCAAACTAGAAAGATTCAGATTAGAATACTATTAAAAGCATTTTAAAGAAGAAATCAGCAAACAGAAATTTAAAATAATCACTATACAAAAGAGGATAGAGTTTAAAGTAAAAATCAAATTTTGTTGAAGTGGATGACACCGAATCTCAAAATACAAGTAAGATGTAAAAGAAAAAAGTAAAATTTGATCCAAAAATCTTTAGATAAAAAAATACTCATTTTTTTTAATGATGTCATTACTGTTGATACTATATCATCTTAAAATGAAAATCTTATTATTTAATAATTCTTCCTTCATTTAAGTATTAATACTACCTCCAAATCGTTATCTACTCTCTAATTTCATTTATTCCTCTCCAATTGATTTCATAAAGGTTAAGCATATAATGTAATCGATAATATGACTTTTATTTAATAATTTATTAATATTATGAATAACACTTTATACTATATTTCAAGAAGATTTTGAATATCTGAAAAAATCAATATATCTTGACTTTGGTTTAATTTAAGCAAAATCTTTATTCATGATTGTTAGGATTAGATACTTACATGTATTTAAATACTCCTATAATATAATATAATAAACAAACAAATAAATAATTTCTATAGAAAAAAAATTACTTTTTAATTTTGCATAATTATAAGAAATATAAAATAAATGAAGTAATTTCATATGTTGGGTATTTTCCACTCAATAAACGATTAAAATGAAAATCGACTCACTTTTTAGAGGAGGATAAAATCATATAATTTGAAATCATTGTATATTTAAGATTACATCAATCATAAATGGAAAGCAAAAAAATTAAAAATATATATTAATTATTGAGTCTGTGGATTCTTGGGGATCTGTAAATATTTTAGAAACTGATGCAAAGAAGTAACAAAAATAATGATATTGATTTGAAAAATTATACATTAATATAAAATTAAGAAAAATAATATGAATTTCTTATCACTCTCCTTTGCAGATAAGGTTATTGAAGCTAAATATTAAAATAGGAAAAAGGAACTATCTTAATAATTATTAAAATTTCAGTAGGCGTTGGTAATATTAATGCTGCTGTACGTGTTAATTTCAAGTGCATTTAAATAAATTTGGATTTCACTTTGTATCAGTGGAATAGGTTTGATGTTGCTAATAATCAGTGTGAAATTAAACATTGATCGCTAAGAACAATGTTATCTCAACAACACGATTATTATCTTCATGACGGTCTTTAATTATTATAAATCATTACAAAAAATACTTAGTGAAACCCTTCATCAAATTAGTTACATTGAAGGGTATATGTTGGCCTTGGCAACCACATCATGTATTTTGCATAATATAATAGAGTATTGAATTAGGCAAGTTTTATGTAAAAATGCTTTATCCATGTTTCAATCTACATTTTGCTACAAATCTTTCAGCCTATGTTGATGGAGGAAATATGGGAACAGATGATTATATTCTTGGTTTATTTAACACTACACCTGGTCTATCTATACAAAACAGAGTAAATTTAAAGATAAGAATATATAGAGTTGACCAAGCATCAAAAGGCTGAACAATAATTAGTTAATTTGTGTGGGATCACACTCTATATTGTTAGTTACAAAAGAGATACTAACTAAATGCTATTGACTACATATAACAATGAAGACAATATCACAATTCAATAATAGTAGCAATTTGTTTCTCAGATAAGAAATATGAGAGTTCTCATAAAGGATTAGGAATCTCGAACTCACTACAAATCAGAGGAAGAAATAAAATAGGACGCGAAAATGAATCTGGAGAAATTTCTATTCTATTTTGTAAGCTGTCCAGAAAAGTTGAAGGACTACATGAATAAATTCCAAGCTGATTCCTTGATCAAGTTGCAAGGAGTACAAAATTAAGAGAACTACAATATTTCCATAATTAAGTATTTTGACTAATTGCCAAGTGCAATAATTTTGATCTCTTAAAATAAGAAGGACGTATTTATTGAGGAACTAAAATTGAGATATAAGATATTTCAGTAAGTCATGGAAACCATTGATGAAATATTCCAATCCCAAGTGAAGATGAGTCTGATCTACTTTAGAGGTATACACAAGTACCAAAAGGTAAAGTCCAATATCAATATGGATTTGTGCATATACCAAAAAATATAGAGCAAAATTGCGAAGGCATACAATGATTTTCAGAACATCAAAGACTTTTTCAATCTTAATACTTCATTCTAAAGATCAATTATTTAAAAATTTAATTTTATTACTTTCTTAGAAGATATTTTGATCGAAATATAACATTATTTTTATTAGAGCAAGAAATTTACGTATTCCATAACGAATCAACTAAAAAAAGACATTGTTTTCTAGGATTAAAAACAGCTTAAGCAATTATTTCTGAATCTCCTATATTATTTGACTGAGCATTGCCAGGAAATTGGGATTGTATTGGATTAAGGAGAAGAATATTCTTTGAAGAAGTCCTACTTTCGTGTGAGGATAGAATTCAAAGGGACAAGCTTCAGTAAAGATGCAATAAAAGGACTTCCCTTCATTAATCCAATTACACTGTCGGAATTGAGACATAATGCAGAGTAGGTGTATTAGTTGAATTTGCCAATGGCCATAGTTATTGTGAGAAAATTGGGGCCGGCGAATAAAATACACATTAAACAAAATAAGAATGGTGTCAACAGCATTGAGTTTTTGATCTTCAGGGAACTTTCTGAAGATTTTCATCTTATGCCTATGAAGTCCCAGCATCCTAGTAATTATCTGATATTGAATGCGAGATCATCAATTCATGGGAAACATGCAGCATATTTCGATCTATTATCTTTGAGTCCAAGAATTTAATTAGATAATTTTAGTGAATTATGATATTCTTTAATTTTGAATAATTAATAAAATTTTAAATCTGATATCTCATATTAATATTTAGATCATTATTCGTCTAATTATAAAACATTAAGCATTGTCAAATTTATCTTATATATATATATTATAAAATGCAATTATTATCATAGAAGTTTATCTCTGATAAATTCGAAGATTAGTATGAAAGGTACATACAGAGGTTCAGATTAAGATTTTAGTTAATATAGAAAGTCATTCTAATACCTCTAATTATTTACTACTCAATAGAAAAGGTGTTTGAGTCATCTTGGTTTACAATGTGTCTGAATATTATATTGGGAGTTATCGTATTGACAAGTTTGAGATATCAGAAGAGATGCATTAGAGTCTATGAAATATTGTTACTTATTGGAATTTTGTTATTCAACATGTTTTATGCAGCATCTCAATATTTGTAAATACATCCAGAGAGATACTAATTTATTGATGGATATTTTCTGGCAATTCTTAGTTTAACGTAACATAATTTCATATGCATTTATAGGATTATAAACATGATGGATTCTATCTAGAAGGCATTCACTTTGTTATTCATTTACATATTCTTTATGATTATGATCCCCAATCCCAAAGAGCCCTTATGGTCTCAAGTTGTAAAGTTCATTATTTACATCATTCTCTATTACCAATAATCAAGATATCAATAATAATTGATGAGGATGACATATATGCAATACTGCAAGCACTTAACGATAGAAAATAATATTAGAGAAAATTTAGAAATGAAATATTATATTGTAAATTTCATTGAAAATTCAAGATAAATTATATTATAATAGGAGAATGTGGATAAATTTAATGAACAGGAAGAGTAGTACAATTTCTAGGCATTTATAAGGAAAACGATGGTTGCCAGTCAGGGTAGAAAGATAAAAAAACAAATGGATATTAGGACAAATTCAATCGATATGAATTTGGAATAATTCTTGTTCTATTTGTTTACTGATAAAAAAAGATTACTAAAATTGGAAAACTACGAGAACAAGTACTTAGATCATTAGCATGTGTTATTTGGATTTAATTCAGAAGAATCCTTCATAATTAAAGTTGTGTTATGTTTTGATACTCAACCATGCGCAATATTATTAATTACTGAACAATAAAAAAAATAATGTGTAGATAAGTTAAAACTATAGAATAAAGCAACCTTGAAGTTATTGAACTATTTTTCTGATATTTTCAACACTCACATTAGATTGTCTTTAATACTTCTAAATGGAATTCTCAAAAAATACAATTAATCTTAATAAATCAATAAGTGTCTTAACTACATCATTGCTCAATTGTACATTTCCTAAAACAAATATTACAACATTTCAGATTATTTCTCAGCCAATGCTGATCTCAAATAGCTATCCCTCTTAAAATTTAATTTAATCTCCCTGCTCCAATGCTTGATTGATAAAATGAAATATTATAGAAGCAACACAAAACTAAAAACAAGAGGAATCAAAATACAATCTTAGATCAATGATCTATTCATGAGGTCTGATATCAAATAGGTCTAACAACTATTCCTAAATCTTTTGATATTTTCGTCCTAGTACTCAGATGAAATATCAATTATAATAGAAGAAGACCTGGATTAGTCTTTCTTGCCTTAACAAATTGTGAATGTGTGCTTTTACTTTAAGATTCCTAAAGGCACCAGGATTGAAGTTGACAAGTTTCCAATCATCAATCCCATGACTTTGGAAGAAATCAAAAAGAATGATAAAAGGTAATTGGACCTTTACATATCAATATCTTTGTTGATCATCAGAAATCTAGGACCTTTTGATAAAATGACTATGCGAAACATAGGAAAGTAACAATACAAGATTCAATTTTTTCTCTACAGACAAATACCTCTTGGATTAAGTTTAGTGCCCATTCATTCATTCGATCCGCAAATGTACATTAAGAGAGATGAAGATTGGTAATTAGTCTAATCTCAAAAGAAAGATTCTTTAATCAACAGTTTCAATTAAGAAATAAGATTAAACACTCAAAGATGTCTCTCGTCTCCCCTTCCTTTATTACAGAAATGATATTGAGAATAGTAAGAACTATTGAATACTGATATGAATTTATTATAAATAGTCAATAAAAATGTGATAATTTAAATATGAATCCCTTCTTGCCCAATACGATAATCAAAGGAAGTCGAATCTAAACAATGCTAGAGTGTTTACTCTTATCAATAAGATTGCCAATCTTTTTGGGATTGACTCTACAAATTATAATCTTTAATGATTTACTCTTTAGAAAATTACAAAACTTAGAGCTTCGTCAAGGTGTTCATAAATTTATTAGAATTATAATATTGCTACACAACTTCTTTATCGGAAGAGCATTATTGTTGTCGATGGGATACTATAACATAAAGTCAATGTTCTCAAATGCTGCTTAAAATCAAAAGCCCAAAAATTTACAATCGTTTAGCTTATTATGCTCAAGAACATCCCCCATAGATGTTTTTACTCTTATCACCTAGTATAATTTATTGTTATTATCAAGCTTTTCTCCTTCCTTTACTCATGTTTCCTTATACAAGAGAAAGGTGCGATACCAATTAATAAGTTACTATTAGGCAATCGTAGATTCATTCTAGATTGAATAGTGTGGTTTTAAGATGTTTAAAACAGGAAAAGACATAAGAGAATTAATGGAATTGATAGAAAAATAAAGATGTGGACCCTTGATAGTGTTTTGGGAAGGAGGAGTATCGAATGGTTAGCATTTCTTAAAAATCGACGAATTAATGATACAAGAAGCAGGGAAGATAAATTCTTATTCAAAATAAAAATAACATGTAGCAAAGTATAATAATTCAAATCCAACTGGATTTGTGAGCATTTTAACTAATAGTAGAATGTTACTGGTTGGGAATTCGTGGATGAGGATGTTGTATAATCTATTGGTTAACTGGAGTTGTGGTTTACAGATACATTTCATGAAATTGCCATCTTATGCTATTTCTGATTGTCGACTTAGTGAGATATACAATCAATTTGTTCATCAAATGTTGAAGAGAAAATTAGTATTAATTTTATAATATAATAGAGTAAAAAAAATTGGATGGATTATAGAACCAAATTTATTAGGGATATAGTTTGATTAGTATATTGTTTATAAACATCATTAAAATTCATAAGAAGTCGTCATCTATAATAATTTTGTTTTCGTTTTGATAATCTTCATTGTTGAATAACTCTCGTTTAATACTTTAACATAAACTCATAAACATATTTTTGGTGGCCATGAAAATTTATTCATCATCAGTGTCAACATCATGATCTAATTTTATATCTCTTAATTTGCATTGTTTCATGGTATCCTTTATGCATCGAAAAGCATAGATCTAATCACCTTTTTTGTATTTGATCAATTATCCACTGACTATTCTTTTTCCATCCTTAAAAGTAGCATTTTTCATTTTCATTGATATTGACTTTTTGTGCCAAATATCTTTGGATATAGTCTTTTGAGTAATTTATACTTGTGGTTTTGGCAAGGGTTTAGGTATTTTAGAGGCTTCATTCAATTTATTAATCAAATTGACTTTTGGAAGATCCTTCTGCATAGGTACATTTTCCTTTTGCTATGAATAGAACTTAGGTTTAAGTCTAATAGGTTACTAAGAACTTTGCGATAGAGTCATTAATCTTTTTTGGAACAGGAACATTATTTATTCGTTAAATATTATTGTTTAACATCATTAATTAATAAAATAATCAAGTATTAATTTAACATTTGATTTTGTACATCATTGAGCTCTCGAAGCATGAATTTACAATTGCTATTCTAGTTTCTATCTTTGTTCCTGTTCTTATTATTACTTCAATATGTGTTGTCCAACAATAATAATAAATTAGCCTGGCATTAGAAATACATAACCAAAACAAGCAATAGCAGATGGGTAATATTGAACATGAGCAATTTCACACAAGATAGCTGTAATGACAGGTTCAAATAAGGCAGCAGTGGCAGGTACAATAGGTTCAAATAATTTACTGATTAAAATAGAAGAGATGAATACTCCGATGCTTAACATAGTAGACATGTAACTAATGGGATTTGATATAATAGTAGTACAAAAAATCCATGAATTTTCCATTCTTAAACAATCCAAACCATCCCCATCTGGAATCAAAATTAATTGATGTGCCATCCATAAAAAAAGAGACCATACACATATTCAGACAAACAAAAAAAGCAACGCTGAAATTAGCTAAGAAAGGTGGGAATACACTTCTGAGATCCTGATTAGCTTTTGACAATTCAGCTAAAATTATAGATGCCAAAAACTAAAGTGAATACATTAATATGTTACAGGTATGGTGTTTCCAATAATAATCCTCATCCATATAGGTCTGTTGTACAACAAAGGATTGATGTATTGCTTGGCTGATTCAGGAATAGTGTCAGTATTCAATACATATGAGTCTAAACAAATTAGTAGATATCTATTAACAACATAATATTCTACCCTACAACACACATGATCTTGCCTCCTCCTTCGATATTGTGGTTATATTCTTTTTTTCTGAAGACTGACAACCAGAAATTAGTCTGAGATCCCAGGACAATAACACTTGAGATATTCGTATAATCAAAACAAAACAGAATTACGGCAAAGGTTACAGTTGTAGTCAAACTTGCCATATATACTTTTCTCATATGAGTCCATTTCAACAGAAATTCGGAGGTGTATGCTGACTTAACTTTCTCGTTCCCAGTCCTGTACTCATACATGATAAAGGGGATGAGGAAGATTCCTTATAATAAAAATCTCCAGGCTATACGCAAATACTTGGTTTATTATTAATACATACTTTTTCAGCTGGTATTGTCATAATCCAAGGAGGGATCATGGCATTAATGACAGATGCAAAAAAAATAATACCCCATGCTAAATACTAAGGAATTTTCTCATAAAGTTATTGATCATCTTCTTCATCATCTGCCAATTTATTTAGACCCACTATCTATGTAATTCGGGTATTCAATGTCAGTCTCTTAATTTGTTTATTATTCTTCTATTTCTTATCTTCAAATCCAAATGTTTCTTCAAATAGAAATCCACCCATTCCAGTGCCAACAACAAAACTCTTCACAATTTCATGTTTCTATTACTAATCCTATACATCCTCATCATTCATTTCCTTTTATTCTTCTGGCAGAAATTATTCGTTCTCATCAGGCTCATACTCCCTCTACTTACTCGCAATTGATATACATTTTTAAACTGATCCAAAAGATTCTGGTTTAAATCTGTAATTTTTTATGAATGCCTTTCTTCTTTTATTGTTTATAAATGTTAAAGTGACATTAAATTATTAAATACATTTTGAATAACAATATGTGAATCACAACGTCTTCTTACTTGAAGAATGCTTACATTAAGTGTTCAGCTTAGCACTAATATCCAATTACTTTTTATGCAAATCCTACCCTATTATAATCAACAATTGTCCAAATTGTAACCAAAAGTACCCAAAATAAGTCAACCCATCCGGATAATATTGAACTCCTGTAAATTTACACAGAACTGATGTTATCAAAGGTTCAACAAGATTACAAATAGCCAAAGTCAAAGGATCAAATAACTAAACTGTTATTACAGAACAAATGGATATCCCTATTATTATAATCACTGAATTATATCTATCTTATATTTATAAAATATTACAAAAATTCTATAAACTTCTAATTTGTGAACAATCCAAAAACTCCAAACTTTGGATCATCATCTAAAGAAATCCCATCAACAAAATAAGCAACCATAAAAATATTCAAACTAACAAATATCGCTATGAAGTAATTGCACAAGTAAATCGGAAATGTGTTTCTTACTCTCAAATTAAATACGGAACATCTTGCCAATAGCAATGAAGAAGCAAACTAAATATCATCAATTTATATTACTGGTACTATAGTCCCAATCAGTAATTTCAATTGTGGAACTTAGGTGAATACCGACGTATTAATATAATTAGATGCCATTATTGGTATTCCAGAACCACTACTCATTGTTATAGACTGAACACCAATCAACAAAAATCTTATTATTTCAAATTATACCCAAAAATACTGAATATCTACCCTCGCTTCTCTAATATATGATTCTAAATTTTGTCTCGAATTAAGGAAAGCCAGAAATTAGTTTAGGATCCCAAAATGAAAATAGTGGCAATGTAGTTATAATCAAAACAAAACAGAAATATTGTGCANGGTATTGTCATAATCCAAGGAGGGATCATGGCATTAATGACAGATGCAAAAAAAATAATACCCCATGCTAAATACTAAGGAATTTTCTCATAAAGTTATTGATCATCTTCTTCATCATCTGCCAATTTATTTAGACCCACTATCTATGTAATTCGGGTATTCAATGTCAGTCTCTTAATTTGTTTATTATTCTTCTATTTCTTATCTTCAAATCCAAATGTTTCTTCAAATAGAAATCCACCCATTCCAGTGCCAACAACAAAACTCTTCACAATTTCATGTTTCTATTACTAATCCTATACATCCTCATCATTCATTTCCTTTTATTCTTCTGGCAGAAATTATTCGTTCTCATCAGGCTCATACTCCCTCTACTTACTCGCAATTGATATACATTTTTAAACTGATCCAAAAGATTCTGGTTTAAATCTGTAATTTTTTATGAATGCCTTTCTTCTTTTATTGTTTATAAATGTTAAAGTGACATTAAATTATTAAATACATTTTGAATAACAATATGTGAATCACAACGTCTTCTTACTTGAAGAATGCTTACATTAAGTGTTCAGCTTAGCACTAATATCCAATTACTTTTTATGCAAATCCTACCCTATTATAATCAACAATTGTCCAAATTGTAACCAAAAGTACCCAAAATAAGTCAACCCATCCGGATAATATTGAACTCCTGTAAATTTACACAGAACTGATGTTATCAAAGGTTCAACAAGATTACAAATAGCCAAAGTCAAAGGATCAAATAACTAAACTGTTATTACAGAACAAATGGATATCCCTATTATTATAATCACTGAATTATATCTATCTTATATTTATAAAATATTACAAAAATTCTATAAACTTCTAATTTGTGAACAATCCAAAAACTCCAAACTTTGGATCATCATCTAAAGAAATCCCATCAACAAAATAAGCAACCATAAAAATATTCAAACTAACAAATATCGCTATGAAGTAATTGCACAAGTAAATCGGAAATGTGTTTCTTACTCTCAAATTAAATACGGAACATCTTGCCAATAGCAATGAAGAAGCAAACTAAATATCATCAATTTATATTACTGGTACTATAGTCCCAATCAGTAATTTCAATTGTGGAACTTAGGTGAATACCGACGTATTAATATAATTAGATGCCATTATTGGTATTCCAGAACCACTACTCATTGTTATAGACTGAACACCAATCAACAAAAATCTTATTATTTCAAATTATACCCAAAAATACTGAATATCTACCCTCGCTTCTCTAATATATGATTCTAAATTTTGTCTCGAATTAAGGAAAGCCAGAAATTAGTTTAGGATCCCAAAATGAAAATAGTGGCAATGTAGTTATAATCAAAACAAAACAGAAATATTGTGCATGCAATTGTTGGACATATACTTGCAAAATAAAGTTATCTCATATTTTCCCATTTAAAAATATATCGAATTTCATATTGCTATTTCACCTACTAACTTCCAGTTCTTTGTTCATACATCATTACAGGAATTAAAAATATACTCTATATCAAAAATCTCCAAGTTATTCTCAAGTACTATTTTATTTTGTATATAATCAATACCTTATCTAATGGTATTGTCATGATCCAAGCAGGTATGATAGCATTATTAAATGTTTGGTATATAAGTATAGACCATGCTGCCAAAGTTGAAAAGTTTTGAAATAAATTTCTGTTCTAACTTTCTAAATTGTCAATCTCGACTTCACTTGGTCGATAAAACTAAGTAAAATTAGAATAAATTGTAAGCCTTCGATATTAGTAATTCTAAGGCTTTGTTTCTTAAAAATCAATTGCTTAATCGGTGTAAAATCCTCCCAAGCCAGTAAATACCATTCCCGCCATCTATTAACTATTCTCTCCAATCTATTCTCTATTTTTATCGTCATCTACTAGTTCATCTGGAATAAATTAATCATCATTAAGCTGGTTATCATGTTGTACTAAAGGATATTAAATTTTCTTATATGTCTCCTACTCGACTTACTCTTCGAACTCTTCCTTTATTATATCTAAATTTAGAATCATAATAATTCAATTAAAATCTCAATTTTACATTTAATTTTAACAATCCAATTCTAATATTTCGGTTGCATAATTATCAAATACTTTTACATTTGATAATAAGACTCTATATTTTAAGATATAACACAAAATCAAATCCAATTATGTATGACTCATAAAAATCAATTCATATAAACTTCATTTAACTACATTTCCTTGTATGTAAAAGTAATTAAGATGACCTAATAATAAATTGTTTCTTGATTGCCCTCTTTAATTAATAAAAATGAGATGTAAATTATCAATTATTTTATATCTATAATTAATACAAATGCATAGTACATAATTTAAAAGTAACTCATATAAGTAAAGAAACTGATTTAGAATATCTATTATGTTCATGAATTTCTTATTGAGGTGTCAGAAATATGTAATATTGAAAAATATTTTTATAAATTCTGTATTTAAAGGATCAATTCAGTGCTTAAAAAATTGTTCAGAAAAGAATAATCAGTCTGAAAATCTCTCTCAAAGTAATTGAATTTCAAGAGTGACTAATCTTATTATCCTCAACGTTTAATGTATTGTTTAAAGAAGCGGGTTTCCTCAAGGAAATTTAGAAATTTGATATAATTATTATAAATATATAAGGCCTAGCTTCTGGTAGGAATTTAGGAATTTCTATATATCTTGATGAGAACTGTATCTGATTTGTGAATATAAATGATATGCTTAATCTATAATAATTACACACATTAAGATAAAGAATTTTTAAATGAATTTGTCGTATCCACATTAATAGCCTAGTTATAATCAAAAAAAATAAAATAAATTATTTTTGAAATTCCAAAATTTCATACAGATGAATCCAAATTTAATGTGCAATTTATACTCTTAGGCCTAATATTATTAGTAATATTACTACTTCCCCCAATAATAATTCCTTTAATATAGTAATTTTCATCCATTATAAGTCTTAAAGTGGTGCTTTAGAATTAGACCCCTACTATGCCTATACCCTCATACAAATACGATACTCCGACCCTTTTGAATAGTGGAATTACTCAGCAGTCAATTGAGTCAGTTAATACCACTAAAACTGTCTAAAACAATCATTCAACTGAAGTTAACTCTGGACAATAAGAAAAGTGTCCATCGGTCAAAGACGAGTCTCAATCAAGAGTAAATGGTACATATAATTATTATGCTTAGGACATTGGACAAAATAGGAACATTTATTATATCTAGAATTCGTTAAGAGCCACGAGTCTATCCTTAAATCCAAATATGATAAGAAGTCAAAAAAAATATTTAAATTAATGAGTCAATTCATCCCAACAAGAACAGCTACTCAATGCAGATCTCATCATTAGAAATTCAATCCTTTTTCAAAAAGTAAAAAGAAAAGTAGATTTACGAATAAAATCCCAACGGTTATCCAATCCTGAAATTGTCTTCTTTGATTCTATCAATGTCATTTTTCAAATTTGTATTTGGAATAAATTTCTCAAGCTGTTGTATCCTGTATTAATATTTAAATATAAGTGCAAATACATAAATCAAAAATAATTTGTGATATATTTTTAATTTGATTTTAGGTTTATAATGACTTATTATTTGTGCACATTTAAGGCAATTAAAGTCTAATATATTTTTTTGTATATTCCAAATCCCACGTGAACTTACTATTTTAATCATAAGACTAACCAATTCCTCATAATGATCAGTTTTTCTGCCCCATCCGTATTTAAAATCTACAATTTGATAGCTCTAGTGACCAACACAGATTTTTAATAGGAAAGGTCAATGAATTAACACAAAATAGACTTATATGCGACATATGATGATCATCTGTCTCTCCAGTACTTAAACGATTTTCTTTTATGATATTTAAATACATTATACATTTCCCCTGAAATTTATTCGAACATTAATATGAATGATCTAAAGGCTAATCATTTATTCATTTAAAAATGAGTTATTGCATTGTTTGAATCAGTTTGAATCTAATCCATTCTTTATTTTTTGACAAAATAATATATTACCTGTGATTACAAATTAATTTCTAGAAATTAATCTAAAAATGATAATCAGTTACAAAGTCTATTTGAGATATCATAAAGATCCATTCTCTGAATCTAGAAAATATAACTATGATCTAAATTAGTAGACGTAAAAACATTTCTGTATTAATTATTCTATGTAGAATGGAAAATGAATATATTTTTTAATTTCTGAATTTTATTATATATTTTTGTATTATCAACATTTTTTCAATAGAATATTTAATGGATGTATTATTCAAGACTAAAATTTTTTAATCTCCAATTTTGTGAATTGAATTACTAAGATTAATATTCTTAAAAAATATTATTAGTTTTCTTTATGAATAACAGGTTTAAGGAAGGTTATAAATAATATTATTTACTATTCATAGTGATTAATAATAGATTGTATACTACTTATAAGCCTTTACAAATTCTGATAAGAAATTGAAAAGTGTAGCGAAGTTTGTATTACGTAACCAAAAAATCAAAAGAAAATTGAAATTGGATTAATTACATTTAATTAACACTATTGCTAATGAGACTATAAAACTTATTTTACTACTAAATTTAATTAGAAAATAATTATACATATAATTAACTTATTTAAAATGTAAGAAAAAATAAGTGAATTATTATTGCTTCAAATCCCAGGAATATGTCGATTAACAAAACAATGTGTTGATCATATGTCAGGAATGCTAGTTGAAGATACACCCTAGAATGCTGCTGATGTTTAAGAGTTATTGGGGGAGTATTTTAGAAACGGAGGAAAATTGACCACATAAGAAATTAATAAAATTTGCATAAAAATATTTGATGCTCTTGAAAATGCAAAACTAATAAAAAAGGAATAGAAGCATACTTTAGCAGCTGAACGATTGCCAGAGGAAGTTATACTTTCAGAGCTGGATTTTTTTTTGGAAAAAGACACTGTATGATTGAGATGTTATAATTTTAGGAAATAATTAAATTTGAGGATTTATTTAAAGAATAAGTGGCAACAAACACAAATGAATAAATCTAGAAGAAGGACCGAAAAGAAAAGCTAAGACAGAAGGAGGATATCAAAGCTTAGGAAGCTTATGAGAAACATATTAAAACAATTAAGGATTAAAAAACACACATTCCTCCAGCAAGAGTGAGACACAGCAAAGCAGATTAAGATGGAAAGAAATTGGATATAGTCATAGATAAATTGTCAATAATTGTGGGAGGTAGAGCATTATTGGAAGACACTTCTTTACAATTGATATATGGTTAAAAGTATGGTCTAGTTGGTAGAAACGGTATTGGTAAAACATGGTAATTTATGATCATATCTATTTTATAGTTTGATGAATGCCCTTGCAAGATATGAATACGAAAATGCTGAAAAATTCAAACACGTTTAGGTGTTGTTAGTGGAATAAGAAATCTCAGAGACTGATAAGAATCCTGTTTAATTAGTTTTGGAGACAGATATGGAGAGATCAGAGTTATTGGAGCAAAAGGATAAATTGGAGAATTCAGAGGATTTAAATGCAGGAATAAAATTGTAAGAAATATATGAAAGACTTGAAGTGATTGAGGCACATTTGGCTGAATCAAAAGCAATTAAAATATTACAAGGATTGGGATTCACTGAGGATTTGATGTATAGAAAAACAAAGCATTTATCAGGAGGTTGGAGAATGAGAGTGTCATTGGCAAGAGCTTTGTTTGTATAGCCAGATGTATTGCTGTTGGATGAACCCACAAATCATCTTGATTTAGATGCAGTTATGTGGTTAGAAGATTACGTTATTAATTGTAAACACACTGTCATTGTGGTATCACATGCAAGAGAGTTTTTGAATGTGGTTTGTAATTAAGTTATCCATTTCTATGACTAAAAGTTAACACCATACACAGGAAATTATGATTAATTCGAAAAAGGAAGAGCTGAAAAGAATACTAATCAAAAGAAATAATTTGAATCCTAATAGAAGAAATTGTCACATATGCAATCCTTCATTGATAAATTTAGATATAATGCTAAGAGAGCTTCTCTAGTCTAATCACGTATCAAAGCTATCTAGAAAATGGATTTGATTGATGAAGTTCTAGAAGATCCAAGTTGTGTGTTCATATTCCCAAATCCTGAAAAATTGAGACCACCTATGTTGAGAATTGAAGAAGGATATTTCGAGTATCAATTAGGTAAACCAATCCTAAAGGGACTTAATTTTGCTGTTGAAATGGAATCTCGTGTTGCTATTGTTGGTGCAAATGGTGTTGGTAAATCAACATTATTGAATTTGTTAACTGAATAAAGAAGATTGACTGAAGGTAATTACTTCAGAAATCCAAGATTGAGAATTAGCATGTTTACTCAGCATCACATTGAATAATTGGATCTCATGAAGAGTCCTTTGGAATAATTGATGACTACTTTCCCTGGAGCATCTGGAGAAACTTATAGATCTCATTTATCATCTTTTGGTTTGAATGGTAACTTACAATTAAGACCTTAATATTTATTGTCAGGAGGACAAAAGAGCAGAATATCATTTGCAATGGCTGTTTGGAACAATCCTTAAATTTTAATTATGGATGAACCTACCAACCATCTTGATATCGATGCTGTTAATGCTTTAATTATTGCTTTGAACAACTTCACAGTATTGAATTCTTTTTTATTATTAGGGTGGTTTAGTGATTGTTTCACATGATCAATACTTTGTTTCCACTGTCTGCGATTAGATTTGGTATATAAAGGAAGAGAGACTTAAGAAATTCAATGGAGATTTTGATGATTACAAAAGAGCTCTATCAGAAGGAAAATTAGCTTGAATATCTTATTATCAATATAATACAATTGTGTACAATAAATTAATTAATTTATTAAAATGCAAACAGTGTTCAAGAATGCTTTAGCCAAATATAGAGTAGTTTTTCTAAGACATGGTGAATCCTAATGGAATAAGGAAAACAGATTCACAGGATGGCACGATGTTACACTCTCATAAAAAGGAGTTGAAGAAGCTAAAGCTGCTGGATAATTATTGAAGAAAGAAGGATTTTAATTCCATCAGGTTTACACATCAGTGTTGACAAGAGCTATTTAAACATATAATTATGCAGCTGAAGAAATGGGATGCCACTATTTGCCAGTCACTAAAACCTGGAGACTTAATGAAAGACATTACGGTGCTTTATAAGGCTTAAATAAGAGCGAGACAGCATAAAAGCATGGAGAGGATTAGGTCAAAATCTGGAGAAGATCATATGATATCCCACCTCCTCCTTTGGATCCAACAGATGCCAGAAATCCAGCCAATGATAGAAGATACGCTGATGTCCCTAAAGATGCCTTACCACTCACTGAATGTCTTAAAGATACCGTTGTTAGAGTTATTCCATACTGGCATGACCACATTGCTAAAGATATCCTTGCTGGTAAGAATGTTTTAGTGGTTGCTCATGGTAATTCCTTAAGAAGCATTGTTAAGTACTTAGATAATGTCTCTGAGAAAGGTATAGTCAAGTAATATTAAAATAGATATTCTTGAGTTGAATATTCCTACAAGTGTTCCTTTGGTTTATGAATTCGATAGCAATTTAAAGTCCTTGGGATCTTATTATTTGGGAGATCAAGAAGAAATTAGAAAGAAAATGGAAGCTGTTGCCAAATAGGGTGCAAAGAAATGATAACATAAATTAGTACCAATAAACAAAATAAAAATTATGCTCATTAATCATCATTTGAGAAATGAAAACTTTTTGAATTAATTTTTGGTAATCTCTTCTTACCTGATCCAGGTCTTTGACTTTGACTATTTTCAAATAACTATTGTCTTAAATCAGAATCACAAAACAGATTTGAAATTTGCTTCACTTTCGCAGATAACTATTGCATCTCTATTTAGGGTCGAATATCCATGGCATGTTCTATTATAATACAAGTCTCTTACATTTCCCTTGAATATAGAGAGGTTTCAAAGCTTGATTAAAGTATAATCTTGTGTCTCCAAAGTAATCTTCATTGTTCTGATAAACAGGTTGAATGTTAATCTTTAATTAATTTTGAGGACTTATCATCTATTATTGAGGTACATCAGTTTTTTGAATCTCCGATTTAAATTATTCCTATTTTTATAATTATTAATAATGTTAAAACACATATTAGGGGTGATCCATGCTATCTGATTAGATTTATTCATTTGAATTATTTCTTGTTAGATCTGATTTCTATTTTGATTTTTGAGATTCCAATTTTTATTCATATCTATAGGTTTTGCAAATGTGAGTGAATAGTAATTGAACATGTCGGAACAGAATTTCGATTTATCCGATTTGATCTTTTAAGCAAAATTACTTTTATATCTTTTGACTTATTAGTAATGGTTTAAATTTCTCTTATGGCTTTTCTGGCTGTTTTTCTGGTACTACTTAAGGATTTAAAGTGATAGTATTCATTTTTTCATATATCCCATTTATTGCAGAATTAATATTTTTCATTTCACTGTCCATTGTAACTATTTAATTTAATGCTCTCTGGTTTTGCTGGCTATAATCTTATTGTATCTATTCCAATTTAAACTTAATCTCATTCTCATTCTTGAAAATCAAATCCTATTTCCTTTCCAGTTCCCTTATTTTTTATTAATCTTAGGTTAACAGATGCATAATTTATTCATTATTCTCTAATTTACCAACTGAAGCATCTTCGAATTGCTTAATCATTTATTCTCTTAGATCTTTCATATTCATTTTGCTTAGCTCTGACTATTCTATTATACTAATTTAAATTAACAATCCTTACTTATGAACTTGTTGTTGCACTACTTCTTTGAATAATGAGTTCTGATGTTGCAATACTTAAAGTTTTTTTTATTGTTATTTTTGAAAGTCCATCTGAAACTCTTTAGAGATATTGAGTTGGTTTTGCAATTCATCTTACTTGGTTTCGCATTTTCTGATCTAAATTTAATAATTAGACAACTAATGAAATTAATTTGTCATTCTTTCATCAATCAACTTTTGATAATCATTTAGTTTATTTTAAACAGTCTCTTCGGTTAATTTCAATACTTTGTCGACAATAAACTGCCCTATATTTTGGTTGGTTAACAAGTTCTTTTAAATGATGCTTGCAATATAACGATCATTAGATTTAGATTCCCATTTTTTATCTAATTCCTTAATTATATCATCATATTGGTTGAATCTTTGCTCTAATTCTTTTATTCTATTTTATTCTAAAATTTCTTTTTATTTTTATTAGCCTTCGAATTCCTTTATTTTATCATTAACTTATTCCTCATATTTCCTATACAGATTTCCAACCGCTTAATCCAAATGGCATCTCAATTCAGTAACACTCTATTTAAAATGAAATGATACTTAAGAGTTAAGATCACAGATTTATCGACTAGTTTAATTTTCTTATTGTTGTTATAACAATTCCTCCTAAATATTTCTCATAAACAAATTTGTATTTGTAGCTAACACATGAAATTCCTAATTGAGAGTACTCATTCTTAACAACAAATCTGTATTGATAGCTTATGTCATCTCTTTGTTATAATTTTTTAAGATTATTATATAATAATTATCTAAATGAAATTGTAATAATATAAGAATAATAACATGTAAAAGGTCTAGTAGCTCTAACAGATCATTGAGATATAATAACTTAAGAATTTGATTATTTAAAAAATAATTTATTAAATATATGATAAAAGAAAAAGTTATTTTAAGAAGTGAAGTTTATCATGTTTATTCATCTGAACAACAGGAAAGAATGAAAGTGTATTTCGATTTATCAGAAAGTAATGATCATATCGCTTTTAATTTGTAGAGTATCAAAAATGCTTGGAACCTTGTTAAAAGTTAGTGGATGGTGAGGTTTGCAAATAAAATTGTGAGAAGGTGTTTGAGGATTACACGAAATTGCTTTAGCATCGTTATGAGGGAGATAAGAAACAATTAATTGATGCAAAGGTATATTTTATTCTTATGCAATACTCAGGTTTCTGGATTACCCACTTTTGATAGTTTCAAAAGAAAGGACAGGGGCTTCTTTTATAAAGTGTTTGGGTTTAACTTCAGCGAATTTTGGGAACCTGATCAAAGACAAATCAAGTAGATCTGAATATGCAAAGAAAAAATTTGTATTAAATAAATACACTGTTAATATCAAGAATCAATTTCAAACCAAGAATGCTGCATCAATTCTTGGCACGATGGTCTTTTATTTGGATCCATATCAAGCATCAAAGTTATTATGTTTTATAATTCTTTTGACCTCTTTTTCCAATCAAACTTTCTAAAGGGTATGGGACCTTATGAATACTTGTATCTAGAAAAATAATAATAGATTGAACGACCCTTGAATTTGAGTAGGTTTATAACCACAACTCATTGTATACAATATAATTCCAAGAGACCATATATCTATTTTTGGAGTCACCATAGCATTGTTTGTAATTTCTGGGGCAATGTAATTGGCTGTTCCACACTTTACCGGCATCAAACCTAGTCCTGTGTTTAGATCATAATCATGCACCAATCCTAAGTCTCCTAATTTCACCTAATTAAAAAAGTCGAATACATTTCTAAACACTTGATCCTCCAATTTTTCACAAAACAGATTCTCTAATTTAATGTCGCAGTGAATATATCCTAGCCAAGAATTGGTAGAATACCTTGCGTATGCAGGTAGTCTAGTCCCAACAACACATCCGACATGTAGGACTTCATTTTTGCCTCTGTTGATATTATCTTAAGTTCCTTTAAAAATTATTATGTAAATTGTATTACAGTTTCAATTTTGTCCCTAAAATAGTTAGCATTATTCATGTATTCCAAAATTAGTGTATATTCTTCTTCACTTTGAAAACAATCAAATAATTCCACTAATTGATCATTTTTAATTTAAGAATGTACTTTACATTCCATCAAAGCTTATTTTCTTTATATGTCATTGAACAATTGTTCTTTAAAAATGTGTTTAACGACGACTGTCTACTTATTATCTATTCTGATACTTGTTGCAATTCATTATCATAGCCTAATTCGATTTAAGTTGGAGACATTTCTTCATTATATATTTCTTCCAAATCCTTATATCTGACTTTGAATTAATCCTTCGAAAATATTTTTGGTTAGTATTCTAATATCATACCTACTTTTCTGTAATATTATATATTAATTACTTATTATTCAAAATAATACTCATTATTCATTACATAATAATATCAGAGTTTCGAATTAAATAATTACAATCTCACTTTATCAATTAATTATTCTCTCCATTTTTATTCATGAAAATTTGAGTTTCTATCTTTTGATATTACTATAATCATTTATTATTTTACATTTATAAAAAAACTAGACTAATTAAAGAGAACAATAAAGAAAATTTTTTAAAATAAAATGATTAATTTTTTATTAAACTTATTCAAATAGAAAGATTATAAATTTGAATTCTTGATTTTTCAATCATTCTTGTAACCATTCTGGTTTAAAGGAAATTACATTTTTATTAATATTTACTTATTAAGTGAGATATCTTCTCCAAACAGTGCACTAATTGGATTAACTCTTGATTTTGCACTACATTACTTTATAATGTTCTTTAAAAACCAACAAATTAAATTATTTAAGATATTGTCAAAAGTATTTATTTGTCTTCTTCTGTTCACTCTAACAAAATAATACAAACTTAAAAATATATTTAAATTGACTTTTTTAACCTCAAACATATTAGCTATTTATATGAAATAAGAAATTTAAACAGATACATCAATATATTATTTACAGGAAACAAAAATTTATTAAATAAAATCTTTATTTAATATTATTATTATGAACAATATGATATTAGTATTAATAATTATGAAAATCATTTTAATTATCATAAGAGAATCAACAAAAAATAGCTTATATAGAATTTAATATATATTTTTTACAATCCATATTGAATAAAGATTATGTTAATAAATTAAGAGTTCATTTTTCCTTCATAATCTGGAGATGATTTTTATACAAATTTGAAAAGTTTTCTAGTTGTTAATAATTATTATAAAGGTAATTTGTGCTATCATCTGAAAGAGTTCCTTCAGAATTGATCTCAACTATAACTGCACTTTATGAAATCTACATAGGATTTTATATGATGTTTGAAACAGATGATACTTTTTTTTCTAGGCATTCCATTGTAGAAGGTATTTACAAGGATTAACTAATAGATGTTATTTGTTATATTTACCATTTGAGTGAAAACTGCTATATTTTCTCACTCTATTGTGTCATTTTAGCCTGAGCAATAATCTCTTCTTCTTTACACCAGTCAAATAAATTGTCATACTCAAATCCATGTCTTTATCCTAATTTCCTAAACAAATTTATTAAATAATCATAATCAGGTTCTACAGAGAAACCGAGACTCTTAATATGACTTAAATAGACACATTTTATTTACTCTAAAGCTTTTTGAAACTCTATTGGCAAGTCCTAACATATTTCAGTAGAGCTCAACTTAATCTTCTTCTCCCCAATCAATTTCTATTTCTCTTTGTTATTTTAAAGTATCTAGTTTTGCCATGGTAGAACTCTTTTATCTAAATTAACAAATTCTTTATACCCTTTCAGAAATAGAACTAGAATGTAGATTAATGTTTCGAGATCATCTTTTCTACTCAATTCATGACCTTTATGAGCAGCAATAGGAGCATATCGAGTAGTTCCTACAAATGGTCGACCATCTCTAAAAGGACTACAAGTTACATACAGTAAATATTTACATGTGCTTTTGATTACTATCCCTGTACATCTTGCTTATGCCGAAATCCACAATGTAAACTTATCTCTAATGATACATAAGATTTTCAGGTTTCAAGTCCCTGTGCAAAATGGATTTCGAATGAATATTCTTTAGAGTTAAGAGTAATTAATCTGCAATCATTAAGACTGTTTTAAGACTGAATTTTCGATATTCTTTTAAATAGTATCCCAAATCCTTAGATAACAGCTGCATAACTAGAATATTTTGCCCATTGTGAGCTCCATTCCAATAAATTTAAGGGATTCCTGTTATTTTTTACAATCGAGATAAGGCCTAGACTTCCCTTTCCAAAGTTTGAGGTTTATCCTTCTTCTCTATTTTTATCGCAACAAAACCCTTATTTTGAATATTCTCGCCTTCATACACTACTCCATAACTACCGGCTGATAATTTCTTTATCAGCTGATATTGATTGTTAATGTAATTCATAATATTTTCAAAATAATTTAATATTTTAAAGTTTCCCCTTAATATATATTATTCCATCATTATTATAATCATGTTAAGCTTTTTGATAAATACTTTTAAAATGTGAGAGTTGAACACACAATTATAGGTTAAATCAATAAGAGATAAGCTCAAAGCAAAGAATAATCAAGATTCTTCTTTAACTCGCTTCTTTTTATATCATCAGATTCTTGATTTTGTTATTTAGATAAAAATAACACGCCTAAAATTATATCAACTAATTAATTAACATACATTAATATTATACCAAATATATCTTATAAAATTAATCGATTAAGTATTATTAAGTACTCATTGAAGTTGAAAAATATGCAAATCGCAAGAGTCTATTGATCAGAAATCAAATTAGTATTATTGAAGCTTAAATCTGAAGATTTGAAATGATCAAATTATTAAGTTGCTGAATTTGGTATTTTAAATAATTCAATGGAAATCATATCTGTCTCTTTATAGAAAATTGAAATAAGGACCAAAATATACATTAACAAGTAGTTAAGACATTTGATTATTTTAACCACTCTAACCTCAACTTTATATTAGAATTACATTATATACTATATAATTTTCTCATAAAGAGTGTCTTTGTGAATACATCACGTAACAAAAAGAATTATAAATAAATTATAGATCATTTGACTCACAATAGAGGCATTTATGACATATCTTAAAAATTTTTTTAGATTTAAATCAACCGTTATAAATTGATAAAATATTTATAAATGAAAAATTAGATAATGCAATTAAGCATCCTCTTGTTTTAGTATGAGATTATTAGGTATATCTCCTTGTACTTTAGTTTTGATCTTATAAATAAATTAGTAAATGTATTAATACAAGTACTATCCCATTTAAATTAAGCAAAATAAAATGAGCGAGTTCAAGAGATATGCCTATTCTTGCGGAAATTTTCTATTCATACTAATATGAATTAATAATATAAAACCAATATGATTACAACTTAATTATAATATAACCATATCTTAATGATACATAAATATTTTATTTAAATTATCCGTATTCATCCAAAAGAATAAAATAAATTCAGAAAAATTATTTATAAATTTCCAATTTTCCTTATTATCCCAAAATCTTTTTATCATAATTAATTGAAATTATATCTTAAGAGGAACCTTACTTTTCTACAGGAACAAATTTTTTAAAAGGAGCTTTATATTTCTTCCTATGAGAGATTTATTCAACTGATTAATTATTTTTTAATATATTTTAATAAATTTCCTTTTGATCTTTGATAATTCTATTTAAGCTTGATGTTTCTCGAGCTAATTAATTCAATCCTTATACCTTTAATTAAATATTTAGTCTACCTATAAATTTTAAATTGAATTTCCTCTTGCTGTTAATTCATTCACTTTTTCCTGTCTTTCTTAAAATCTTTTAATAAAACTCTTTGGCCTCTTATAAACACCTGAACTATTCATTGATTTTATAATTTCCAATCCTTAGGCTTGTATTTTTTGGTTGGTTTCGAGTACTTCTGAGGTTGATCTTAATTACCTTTCCTTAAAATAAAGAAATTATTACCCACAATTTATGACCGTGTCTTTCAGCATTCGTTTAGATCAAATCTAACAATTTGCGATCCTCATTTTTTTCTCTTTCTCCTTATATTTTATTATAAATAGATTCAGAAACTTGCCTTTTGCATCTTTATGCTGACTATACCACTCTTTTGTCCCAACTTTTCTATTGTTATTCAAAAGATTTCATGATTCTATTGTCTTTCTCAGCAGCTGCTCTATCAGCTTGACCAAAGTTTGATGAGGGGAGAGTAATTTGACCTTTTTTTTATTAGATTTACAATTATTGTATTTCATCCTCAACTTAGCTAAACTCCATGTCAAGTTTAATGAATTCATCCCCTTCTAGAACCCTATTTTTTGGTTTTTATGCAACCTTAGGTTTGTTCTCTTTGTGAAATAGAGTTATAGTTTTTGTATTTGTTTGTGAATCTTGTGTTTACGAAGCATTATTTAATTCTTTATCCATAATTTCAGGGTTACCAATTATATAGTAAGGAACTATCTTTCCATTTCTATAGAGCCTTTATTAATCAAACTCATGTTAAGTCGTAAAGATATTGCCATTTTTGTTTACTGTAATAGACCTCCTCAACAAATAATGTTAAACTGAAGACATTAAAATTAAATTATATATATAAAGGGGTTTATAAGTATTATGTTTTCAGACAAAATTAATTTATGAATAAGCATCTAACTTATGAATTTAAAAAACAATGCAGTAATGAATTAAATTTTTAATCTATTTTCACAATTTCGAAAGCTTTAACAAAATAACTAATTGCAATATGTTATTCTTCAGACTCTAATTTGTATTGTCATTTTTCTGGTTTTAGATTAATCTCATTAAACAATGAACCTTATCTATTATCACTCATGCTGTATGTGGAAATGATTTCAAATGTTGAAGATTAAGAATGTTAAACCAATTTCAAATTATATTTAACATACAATTTTTTTATCATTTATTAGATAATCCATTTAAGTTCTCTAAATTAAATAGGTTTTTAATATTTTCTATATTCAACTATTCGGTATGATTTAATTTAATATCACAACAAACTCAAATATTTTTATAACTTCCTGTACAAGTTCTTTTATTTATGTATCATGATTATAAGCCCTTACTTAATGTTAGATGTTGAAAGTACACATTTATTAGTATAGAAATTAAATATTATATGAAACAATTTGCAATTCGAAATGCTATCATTGATAGCGAATATAATTGAAAAGGATTACAGATTTATTGATAATTTCTGAGGATCTCATCTACATTATTAAATTGATTTGATATAATATATTTTGAATGTATGATATATATACTAGAGGCAATTTAAATAGAAAGTAAATAAATTTATTTGAAATATTATTTTAAATAACGGAAGATATGAGTTCTCTTTTAAGGCATAATTCAGATGCAGGTACCTAGAATAATAATAAAATAGCTGGTGTTCCTGCTTTGGCAAGTATACCAAGTCCATAGAGTCCAGATTATGATTGGGTTTTGGTTTCTGGATTTATAGTAATATTGACATAAGTTGGGTTTGCATTTATTGGTGCAGGATCAGTCAGATATAAGAATTCACAATCAGTAGTAATCAAGGTCTTCTTGGGATTATTTTTAACCGTGTTAATATGGTGGTTGGTAATTGATAAAGTAATTACATTTAGTTTGGCTATGGCTTTTCTTTCGGAGATGATTTCTAAACTAAATTCTTGGGAGGAACAAAATTGGCAGGAGCAAAATGGGAAGCAACAGCTTATGGAAATGATTATACAAATTTCGGTAAAATTAACAAATATTTTGAAATTAGTTTTCCGAGCATCAGGTGCAGCAGTAGGAACAGCAATATTGGCAGGAGCAGCAGCTGAAAGAATGACATTTTTGGGTTGGTCCATCTTCTCTGTTTTATATTCTGGATTTATTTATGCAGGATTAACACATTGGACATTGGCAGCTGGATGGTAATTAGCATGAAAATAATTTCTAGGTTGAGCACCCTTGGATACAAAGATTTCTCAGGTGCAGGTGTTGTTTTCTTTGCTGCAGGTGTTGCAGGATTGATTTTGACAGTGTTATTGAAACCAAGAAAGGCCAGATTTGATAATGGAGCCACCCTTGATTTTAACAGACATTCTCCATTGTACATTGGATTCGGATCATTGTTGGTCTTGGCTGGATGGCTATTCTACAATGGTGGAGTTGTTAGTTAAGGAGCTAAAACCCAATATGTTTAAGGTTTAGTGGCTGTTAACACCTTGATTGCTGGAGCCACAGGAGGATTCTTCAGTTATGTTATTAGACACTTCTAATACGGAACCTCAAATTTAGCAGCTTTATCCAGAGGAGTTCTTTGTGGACTAGTTGCAGTTAGTGCAGCTGCTGATGATATGAAACCATGGACAGCATTCCTTTATGGAGCTATTGCTGCTTTGATCTACAGCTTTTTGGCCAAGGTTATGCCTGCTGCTCATATCGATGACCCAGCTGAGGTTGTATCAGTTTATCTTGTAATGATCAATGTTCTATTGTGATAGGGTTCAGGATTTGTTGGAATTGTGTTATCAGCATTGTTTGACACAAAGGCAGGAGCATTCTATGGATTTGGAGCTAAGTTATTAGGCAAGCAATTCTTGGGATTATTGATCATCTTCGCTTGGGTGGCCATCTTCACATTAATCATACTTCTAGCTTTCAAAGGCTTCGGTATATTGAGAATTGATGCTGAGACTGAGAATGTTGGTATCGATAAAGCTTTATGTAAATATAAACGAATAGATTTTAGGTTTGGGTGAAGCCATCGTGTTCGCTAACCAAGTAGATGAAGTACCTCTTGTTTAATAAACTGAATTAGGAAATCTTAGATCAAGCTAATTAGGATCAGGATTAAGATCTGGATTCAAATGAATCAATTAGATAAATTATAAATTATAAATTAGAACATTATTTATCATCTCTCTTTCCTTAACACATTTAAGAATTACTGTGCAGCATACTCGTAGTCCTCCAAACCATTATAAATGCTTGCACTAAATCTAGCCCAAGATCTTCCATCGAACTCAAAGACAACTACTAATACATTGTGTATTTCAAAGCACTATCAAAATAATAAAGATATTCTAACTGTTCTCTAGCATTCCAATACGTAAGAGTGATCCTTGTGTGGCACCAATACATTTACCATAGCAGAATGCATGGTTTTGTCTTTAACCATCAATTCAGTTTCCCAAATCTTTGCAACCAATTCACTGCCTTCCCAAGCTAAATTTTCACAATATTAAATAATGTTTTGAAGACCAAATTAGTTAATATAATTTATTCCGTCCACCACTGATAGTATTACACTTGCATCCCTAGTTCCGTAATATTCAAATTCCTTCTCAATTCCAGCTCCGTAAAATACTGAAATCGTATTGTTATGTATTTAATTCAAATATTTCTCCTTCATATATAATAAATTAACACTGCATGGACAGAATGCCCATTTGTTTAAATTCGTAAAAAAAAAATCAGGGTCTAAGTCCTTGAGGTTGATTTCACTGATTCCTGCACCATGAGCCCCATCTATTATGCTTATTACGTCATATTTCTTGCATAATTCTACAAACTCCTTAGTTGGCAATTTTATTGAGGGCAGCGACGAAATATTATCCAAAATGGCTACCGTTATCTTCTTTGTCTTCATATTTTCTATTCAAATATACGTATTCTTACCCTCTATCAACGATAGGATTATTTCCTTATCCAAATCCTCCACTTTAAGTTCTATCCTACACGTATTCACTTTGTCATGAGTATTCATGTATTTTATCACATTCTACACCATTGGGTAGGCAATATTCAAATACAATATTGTATCCTTATCAGAAAACCCCAGACCTCAATACTATTCAAGATGAATTACCTTTCATTATGCTGTTCATGGACTCAGCTGAATTACTAGTGAAAAAACATTAATTAAAGTTTGCATTCAAAAAGTCTGCTGCAGTTCTTCTTGCTATTGGGGACTCCTTTGGAACTAAAAATCGAATAAAGCTATCCGGATTTTCTAGAAATCTCTTCTAATTCTCAATTCTTTGTTTTAAGACAGATTTTGGAATGTACCCAAAGCTACTATGATTAACACAAGTGTATCCAGATTCAATTACAAAATCTTCTTTTAATTCTTTTCCAAAGCCTTTACTCATGCAGATATATCTTTAATTATTTAAATTGAAGTTTATAATCAAACAATTAAAACTTGATACATTAAATTAATTTAATATTGAACAATAATATTTATTAATTGAATATAAGTATTAATTAAATTAAGAAGATAATAATCTTTTGGGATAATAAATACTTAGATAATATTGATAATTTATTATAATTATAAATACAATTTCAATTAGGTACCTTTTAAAAGAAAGATTAAATATTTTAGAAATACGCTCCCCTCATATTTCATCCAATTTTTTTCCATTGTGATTCCCTTCAGCTATATAATACTCACGCTTAATCTAACACTTTTCAGATAATTTTATTAGTGTTTGTATGACGCTAATTCATCCTAACCAACTTTATATATATATATTTATTTATTACATCAAATAAATAGGATGATGCAAATTTTATGTTATTAATTATAATGTTGAAATGAATGTAATATCACAACTTCTCCATCAATTCCTGACAATAGCAAATTTTAAACGGGTAGATTGGTAAACTAAATCATTGATCACATCATTAATTTAAGTGAATGTGTTTTCTAAGATGACTGCTTTTATCTTCTCTTTTTATGAATCTTAAATTGCAACCGCCCCAAAAAAATTATTGTCATGGATAAATAAATTATTTTTATCAATTTCTTTTAAACTTGTAAAAATATGTCAAACTAATTGCTATAGAATCTCTGAATCCAAATTTGATGTGGACTGCCTGCACTTTCATCATACCCTCGATATAATACTACAGCAACTATATTGCATTTCAAATTATAATAGTATTTCTCAAAATAATCCTATTCGCAAGCTATATAATATTCTACAAGTAAGTCCAATTCCTACATTCTCATGAAAAAATGGAGCCTGAGCTGATATTTGCTGTTGGATAAACCATCCCTTTAATTCTATGCTGTCATGCTATATAGATATTGGTTGAAATTTCAAGTGTCTAATTATTCAACGCAATACATTATTGTAGCAGGAAAACGATAGAGTTGTGAATTTTATTTTGATATCTACTAATTAGCAAAATCTTGAAGATTAATTTTGATATAATACTTAACAGATATATATATATTATTTTCTCTTAAAACATCTTAACTCCAAAAATTAAAGCAGGCAGAGGTTCAACTCCAAAAAAGGTTTGATTTAAATCAAGCTCAATGAAGTTTTCAGATATTTTAAGTTACATATTAAAAATAATCAATTGTTAATAATTGTTTCGACTCAACCAAAGATGGAAAAGATACTCTTCCTTCCCTTAACAGGACTTTTCTCATCTATATTTTATGTTTGTCTGCTTGTTAGACTCTGATATTGTTATTGTTATCTATCTAATTTCTAATATTTTTATTGAATGATGCAGAATTGAGCATTTAATTAGGTTAATTACAATTTAGATTTTGAAGCTTCTGATTCTGCTCGCTTTAGCTCATCTTTTAAAAAGTTGATTTCCTCAGCCAAACACAATTTAGTAGTTAGATAATGTGCTTCCATCGTATTCAAACACTATTTTAATTTCTCTATTTCTAATTTGTGCTCTTTGTCTTATTTGAAATCTAATTTAATTTTTCTGAGATTATGGATTTCTAATAATTGAGTTTTCAATTCCTTCTACAAAATCTCAATGGTTTGCTCATAATTCGAAATCTCTAAATTTTAGATTCTGAATAATAATATATAATCTTTACTTAATTGTGTGTTTGGCATCAAGTAATGCATCTTTAAGATTTTCATATTTGCAATCATTTCCAACTCTTCTTCTAGAACTATTTTTGGTTTAGAAAGAACAATAGGAATCAGATAGGTAAGATGTTTGAGTTACAGAATGAGTTGGTGAATCAATATTAGTATTTTGATGATTTTAACTAATTTGACTATCCTTGAGGAGATCACTTAATAATGCATTTTGATTGGATGGCATTTCTTGTTCGTTGAATTCAAACTTCTGTGGATGGGATTGAATGGCAATTTTGAGTTGTTGTTCATAATGGAGAGCTAATTTTTAGAGCTGTTCATTTTGTTCTTAGATAACTTAATCTTATTCATTAACTTGTTATAAAAGAGTTTCAGTCAATTCCTTATATTCCTAAATTGCCAATGTATTCTTCCTGTTTTGATTTTCCAGATACACTTATTTTCGTAAAAGTTCTTCTTTCTGTTTTGTCATATTCTGTTTTTCCCTTTGTAATTGAGAGAATTGCTTATAGGCATCTTCGCATTTCTTATCACTTTTGATAATTTGCTATAGAGCATATCTCAATCGTTCACTAGTCTCTTAGAACTTTTTGTCATAGAGTATTTGTTCTTGGCTTTTTTCTTCTCTCAAGATGTTCAGTTTTTTTTCTTAGTCATTCAATAGTTTCTCATAATACTTGTTCTTTTCTTCCAGAATATGTATTTGATGCAACAGATCCTGTTCAACCAGTTTCTTTTAATTCATTTCAAGTTCCAATGATTCAAATATACGATTGGTGATAATTCTCTCTAGATTTGAGAGTTGTTCCTCATGAAGTGATTATTGATGTTCAATTTTATATTGATAATCTTGGATTTTGTTTTCCAACTCTTGAATATCCAAAATTTGAATTTGAGTGTTGTTCTCAGTCTAGGAATTAATTAATTTTTCATTTTATTTCAACAACTCAATTTCTTTGGCTTATTCGGATATGATAAACTCTTTTTCTACAATCAGAGCAATAGCAGTTTCTTCCATTTTAATCAGTTGTTGTTTTAAATCGTTAATCTTATCGGATTCCAACTTGCCTTGGAGTTACTGGATTTCCTTGATCAATTTGAGCTACAAAGTAGTTGATCATAGGTGTACCTCATTCTCTTGATAGATGAGAATTTATTCTTCAGCCTTCGCCAATTATTCTTGCATCTATAGAGCAAAATGCTGTAATTCTGTTTCGTGAGTGGATTCAATCTGTTTGTTCAACTCTAGATCCAATTCCTCATTCCGCTTCTTCAATTGATCGAGGGAATTGATTAACTTTGATAGTCTTAAGAGTTTACTTCTAGATGTTGTTATTTGGATTGGAATTCTTGGAGTCGAATCTACTTTTTCAGTGTCTCAATTTCAAGTTATTAGGTTTAAACGGTGTCAATGAACTAAATATATGGAATTTAAATACAAGTTTCTCATCTTAGTCTTAATTCATTTATTAAATTATATTTGTTATTTTAAATATTTATACAACTAAAGTTATGATGATGGATTATAGTTTTGATAACTTTGAAGTGAATGAAAGTAGAATAACTTTGAATGTAAATTTGAGTTGTTATTATTTTGTATAGAAAGATGAAGAAATAAAGAAGTTAACACTGGAAGAAGACTTACCAGAGATCAAACGAGCATAAATTATTTTGATGAAGGGATAGCAACGTTAAAAAGTAGCTGTAATTTATTTCCCATCCATTTTTTGTATGTTAGATCTATAACAATCTACACAGATTGCTATCACTTGGTTTTGATCAATTGTATCAATATATACGAGGTGACATAATGGAGTAAAGTGAGGAAATACAGATATTGGCAGCAAGATCTTTGTTAGGTTGCAAAGTGAAGCCAAAAGAAATCATCTAATTGTCACTCCATTTCATTTAACTATATTAATGGAAATTAGCATAGGCTTGGATGCCTGTATTTCAAAGTTTGGTGTTACTGATTGATTATAAAGAATTTTAGACTTATTTAGAGAAATTGATTATCCAACTTAGCGAACCGAAATAGCCCGAAATCGGCAGATGGGTTGGGGCTAAGATGATTGTATGCATTTCTCCTGTGTTGAAGGATGAAATGAAAGGACCAATATTGGATCGAGCTCGTTTATTGTGTTCGGATCCAGATCACGAAATCAGGGAACTAGTTGCAGATGAATTACTTACTTGTTTGATATGCAACTTGTCAGGAGAATTGGTAGAACAATACTTCATTGACAAGATCAATGAGTTGTTGTATGACACCCAAATTAATGTGAAAAAAAGCATGATCAAGACTTTCTTGAGGTTTCAGCATTTGTTGCCCAGAAACAGTTACAATGTAATTGTCACATTAGATTAGAGCAGATCAAAGGAACCACCATTTTCATTGATAGTTTGTCCACCAACAACGTAGAATTGCTGAGTGTGGCTTTGCAATATAGTGGAGAGACCTTCGTGCAGATCCAGGATTTGATTAATGACGAATTCAAGACCAAATTCACCCTGTTGTATCAGAAATTCGGACAGCATCAGAATGATGAGATTCGGAAATGGTATTTATATAATTTACCTGGAATCATCTTACATCTGCATGAAGGCCCTCATGCTAGTTAGATTTTAATGCCCTATGCAGATATTTTAATGTAGGATAAGAGTCAATAGAACAAATTGCTAGCTTGCAAGATATTGCATGAGATTTCGAAATAGTTTGATGTAATTGAAGTACATAAATCTTAAAGTACAGTTATGTGTTACAAAAGATGTGGCATTTGTTTGAGTGTGTGATCTAGAGTGAAGATCTTGATTGCATATTAGCCATCAATCTACCTGAAATGTATAGGTTGTTGTAAGGCAACGAGGAGAATCAGGAGAAGCTAGTAATTATATAAATTTAGTATTCCTCTAGAAAACCTAGTTCAAAGACATCAATTAATAATTGCAAAAAGTCTACAAAAAATGCCTAAGCAATTATTAATATAATTAACTATTTTTAGAGCACCTTCTCAAATTCCTGCATCTCATAAACAAAAAGCATTTTGAGCAATTCATCTTGCCCGTCATCTACAAGGATTAATAAACCATCGATTCAGACCTCTTATCCATGAAATGTTTGGCTAAATTCTACAGTGTCTGTCAAGACTACGAAATCCAAATGAAGATCAAAGACACCATGAATCTGATGTTCTTCAGAGGCAACAACAACAAGAGAGTCCGTTACATCTTTTGGGTGTCCAATCTGGTACCATTGATCAGTAGAAAACGGTTCCAAGAACTCAATGTACTTATTGTCTTCATTCTCCATCTAGCTCAACCAAGTCGTCTCTTATAGTTCTGACAAAGCTGCAAGTGTACAAATACAATTAATTAAATCTTTGCCTTAAATCTACTAATATTTGGAACCTATTGAATACAACCTCATTAAAAATGTGAAGGGTATAACCTAGCAATCTTTGGCCAAAGAGGTCTTCCTCTAAATTCAGTAAAGATAATAGCAAAATCAAAACTTTTAGGAAGAGTAGAACTTGCTCATTCAATAAGAAGAAACTGTCTTTACTTAATTCACTTAACAACAGAAATAAGAGAAGTAGAATGATCTCATCTAAACTAATGAATACGCAAATAAATATCTCAAAAAACCCATACCCAAAATGGTCTAATAACAATCCAAAAAGACTCCAAATGCATCTACTTCTGTGAGGTATTTAGATTTTTAAATATATTTTTAAATTTAGATTAGCCAATCAATCATTTGGTGAACTTACTCCTTAATAATAATAATAACAACAATTTAAAAGAGTTCGTCGATATACTGATGCTGCCAAATCAACTTCCAAACCTTCATCTAGACCTAGCGGATTTCCACAAAAATGAGATTACGAATATTAATTTAAAACATCGACATATATTAAATAATAAATTAAATATGAGTCGATAAGTTTATGTTGGGCGTCTGAGTTCCAGGATCCGAAGAGAGCACCTTCAATAAGAGTTTGAGAAGTTCGGCAAAATCAAGGACATTGATTTACGAAACACTCACGCTTTTATTGAATATGAAAATGGAGATGATGCCAGAGCAGCCATTTCAAAAATGGACAACAAACGATTGAATGAAGGCAGTGATCGTATCACAGTCAAACCAAGAGGTAGAAAAAAGAGATGGATGAAATTGAAAAGATGATCGACCGTAAGGTGCAAGAGGACCCACATCCAGAGACGTATGTTTCAATTGCGGCCGCAAAGGACATTGGGCAAACGAATGCAAAGAAGGTATGAACATATCCCATTTCACCAGGGGACTTGCGAGACACTTGTTATCGTTGCTATAGAAAGGGTCACATACGCAAAGATTGTCCAAAATCAAGAACGCCTTCAGAGAAGAGAAAGTACATCCAAAATAGATATGTTGTAGTCGTCGAGACAAAGATAGGAAGCGAAGGAGATCTTCATCTTCCTCGTCCAAGTCTTCTGAATCCTCTAAGTCCAGGAGAAGATATAGATAATAGCAGAAACAACAGAAGAAACCAAACAGGAGGTCCCCTTCCTCCAGCGAGAGCAGATCCAAAGCATCGATGTCGTCGCAAAGCTCCAGGTATTTACGAATTATTAGTATAATTTAAGCAAATAACCATGATTTAATGAGTGTATTGTTATATTCATAAATCAACATATAATATATTAAACCTGTTTATCAAAAAATAAATATAATATGATTTAATAATTGCATCACCGAATCGGAAAGGATACCAATGTTGATTTTGCAGAACAAAGAATACGAAATTTATTTAATATTGACATTCTCAAGAATGTTCAAGTCAGGAGATCTTAATTTATTCATCAAATTCATCCCAACCCTAAATCCCTCATCTAAGAAGGCTATGTAGTTCATTCTCTGCCTCTCAGGAACTGCGATATTATGAAAATCTACAATTACCCAAAGTAAAAAATAAATTATAGTCCACTCTCTACAGCCAATGATCAAGCTCCCCAACTTACTCAAACCAAAATTCAAAGAATCATGACCACAGCCAAAAAGGACAGACAACTCAAAATATCTACTGACATCTATTCCAATACTGTGGCCAAAATGCCAGCCTTTTACACTAAACATTAATGTATGATTTTATTAAGTTGAGCCAACAGTAAAACTTAAAAATCTATGCTATCAACTGAAAGTATTGCAATCAGGATAAGATCACTTAGTAGAGTCAAAGAAAACCTTCAAGACTCCCAAATTTCCCAACAAAGATCTGCGACTCCTAATGGCAAAAAGAGACTCAGTCAATATAAGCTACTCTTGCAAAAACAAATCAATAGTCTTTTGCAAGATTCATTCTTAAATTGAAATAATTCTATGTATATTTTTATATTTATTATAAATAAATTTTATTCGATGTCAACAGTGATCATTAATGAAGATTGCGATTCTGATCTCGAGATCTTTAAATAAAGAAATCAACAAAGTATAAAGTTCAAAGATTTTAGTTTAACAATTAAAAGAACAGCAATTGCACTTTAAAGAACAATTGCTACAACATATACAAAATAAAGATTACGAATGTAACCTAATCTCCCCAATACCATATCCAATGGATCAGACCATAAACGAAAAGAATTAAAATGCACTCAACCTTCTATTATTGAACAAATGTCAAGACTTGGCTAGTGACCGTTCATAGCCATCATCAATTAATTGTCTCACAACTAAAACTAGCAAGACCAATTTAAAAGGGAACTATTTGCATAAGCAAAGTTACTTGCCTAAATCCCCATAAACTAAATTGCCGAATTGGACAACTACCAAACAAAATTACAATAAGAATCGAAGCAACCTAAATAATAACAAATCCCCTTCTAATGTTTCTACTTGTGAACAATAATCAGCAAGGACTCCAGAACAACAAAAACACAATGTTGCCATATTATCACCTTCCTCTTATAACTCATGGTTACGGAAAGAATTTGAGAGCAAATCAAAATAATATAATTTGTCTTCTTTCATTCATAAATCAACGTAAAAAGAAAAAAAGGTTGGAACTAACCAGATAATGAAAACAGAAGAAAATGTGAAAAACAATAAACTGAAGGAAAAGAAGTTAGAAAATAAGGTACCTGTTGACAAACCCAAAAAGGGATTTGATCAATGGTATAATTCATAAAAATAATGGTAAGATTGAGCTTATTATTTTAGGCTGAAACAAACTGAGGAGAAAATATTCAAATAAAAGATGTAAATGGAGTAGGAATTAAGTGAGTAAGAACAGTTTAGTTATTTTCCTGAAATTCATGATGGTTCTAGGTATATTGTGTAGAAGAAATATAATAATGCCAGTTTATTAGAAAGGCAGAAATTATATCAAGATGAATCATAATAAAAACAATTATAGAAGAAATTAAGGGAGGAGGAGGATAAGAAAATTAATTAAGTTAGAATAAGTCCGTTGTCAAGAAAAATACTAAGGAGTGCATCTCCTAAATCTGATTGTTCTTTCACAATTTGCAACTCATCCAACTAAAATTATTCAACCATAATAAAAAAATGATATATTTGTACTGCTCTGCTGTTTTGGCATATTGTATTTGATAATATTCTCACAAATCAATTTGTACTAATATTTAATAATAATTTCATTTCAAATTATGAGTTCTCTCTTTGTCTAATGCATGGCTTGTAAGTAAAAACCAGCTACCATCAAATGCTAAGAATGTAAACCTGGCCAGATATACCGTATCTGTTATGCTTGCAATACACAAGTCCATATTAAAAAGGGTCCAATTGATTCCCAACATAAAACAGAAATTATGTCATATCAAGGTATCCCTTAATATAACATCAAATAGAAATGAATATAAAGAGTTAATCTGCTGCAGGTATTCGAAATTAATAAATATAAGTAACTTATATTAATTTGAATTGCTAGAGTAAACCTGAATTAAAGTAGAAACCACAATAATAATAAATTCAATATCAATAACCATAACCATAAGCCTCTGCACAGATCTAATAATTTGTAACTTCTCAGAAAATGGGAAAGCTTGAATTGGAAACCAAAAATATCCAATAAAGTAAACCCAATTCTACTTCAAACAAAGAGGTGCCAAAAGTAGCATAAGTTTAATAGAATAAGTCTGAAACACCCCAACAGTTAACTAAAATCAAGAATAATCACAATGGAAAATAAGTGGATTAGGAATTGCATTCTGTAATTAATGATTTAACATTTATAGGATCAATCTAAAGAATTGGCAGCCTAAATTAGAAGAGAATAAGAAAATAATCAAAAGTTGTAGATTTAATTGTAGTAGACCTAGGATTAGCTTTAGAATATTAATAAAGAAGTTGAAAAAATAATGTATTATAAATTATTAATAAATAAGATCATAAAATCAAAAAGATTTGGAGAGGAAAATTAATGATCTAAAGAAATAATACAATGAGGATAAAAAGAAAACTGAATAATTGTCTGAAGATGTATATTCCCAAAATATATCAACTAGGTTAAAAAATTAAAAGAATAATTGAGAACCGCTGATTAATAGACAAATAAGAAATTAGATTCATAAAGGAAATTATATGATTAGTAAGTAAAATAATTGGAAGAAGTTGCATAAGAGAAATAGGATTAAATATTAGAGATTGCTCAAGAATTCTAAAATTATAATTTTGAGGAGATATAAGCTAAAATGGAAGAAATGGAGAATGAAAACAATTAGAAAGATTAATTGATAGTAGAATTATAAAACTAACTGCAAGAGAAGAATTCTGGAGCAAATTAAAATGATAATTAAGAAACTGATGAGAATTTATAAATTTAATTGGATTAGAAGGATCAAGAAATATTAAAACTAGAAGAAATAATAGAAAACTTTAAATAGTTATATTAACATATGTTAGATGAGAAACAAGTTCTGGCTGATGAAAATGAAAAATTAGTATCTGAGAATAATCAATTCAGAGAATTATTCAGTGTAAATATTAATATTACATAGTAAAATTTACATTTATTTGGAATCAATCCAGATGATTTGGAAGGTGGTGATGAAGATGAAACTGGAGCAGAAGCCGAGGCAGAAGATTATCGTTAACATGATGATGATGAGGGTTGAGAATTCTGATTATTTTGTGAATTTTGTATTATTATAATTATGGATATTGTAATCTAAAGTGAAAATTGTTTTGTACATATAAAATTAAATAATGAGGTCTTTTATAATTTTTATTAAGATCAATAAATATGGTAAATTTCTTAAAGAAGACTTAAAGTTATTGTAATGATTATGAAAGTTTTAAGTTAATAAAAAGTCAGAAGTAAAGTACCTTTTTGAAATTAAGCAGATTAACCAGATACTTAATAAATAATAAAATAAAAGAAATTCAAAAATTTTTCATAATGATAGACAATCAACCTTGAGAGTTATAAATTACTTTAAAAACTCAAACTATTTTTCTGGGTTGATTTTACTTAATTTATTTGGGAAATAGGTTTAGGAATTTAGAAGATTTATTTGGATATTTATTAACATTAAAAGCTTTGAATTCAAATACTAATGAAAATAGGAACTGTGTAGGTGTTTATTTAGTTAATCTTAATTAAAAATAAGTTTGAATTGGTTGACTTGTAGAAGGTATATATTTTTGTCAGAAATATTAAGAGAAAATTTCCAAAAGGTCCAAGATAATTTTATAAGATTAATAAACGATTATTGTTATAAGTCTATATTAGATCATATTGGTTTTTCAGCGACTAACAAATAACACTCAAATGGAAATGGTTTGTTCTCTCTCTTATAATCGTTTATCATTTTTTCAAGGGCTTTGTAATAAGTATCTCTTTGTTCTTATGTAGAATTAGCCAAGATTCCTTCTATTTCTGGATTGAAGAACTCCTCCACATTCTTCATACTCACAACATCAAATGGGGCCATTTACAACCAACAAACTATGTATATATAATGAATTAAATACCTGGATTAATGAATCCTGCATTAGTAGCTAATGTGATTAATTCTTCAGGATTTGACACAAATCTTCCTCCTTGCATTCCTGCTGGTGCTAATCCAGTTTCAAATGCCAACTCCTTCAAAAACCATAGGGCAGAACAATTCTCTTTTCTTCCCCAAACTGTAATTCCAACTTTTCCTCCTGGTTTCAATACTCTGAATGCTTCACTCATTGCTTTAGGTTGATCTCCAATTATTTGATAAACTAGATTGCACACGTAAATGTCGAATATTTCATTGTTGTATTGGCTTAAGTCTTCTACACTTCCGACAGATAAATGATAATTTATCTTTTTGAAGATTTCATCATCTAAATTAATAAGCCTATATATACCGAATTTGACGGAATCCACTTCCTCTTGAGTTAATATATCTAAAGATCCAATTTTGTCTTTGTTTAAGGATCTTTTCATCCTTGCTCCAGCTCTCCTTACCATTTCGGAACTTAGATCAAATCCATATAGATGAGCCTCAGGTTTCTTTTAATTCAACATATGTTAATGTAAATATCCAGCTCCACAGCCAGCATCCAAAATACTAATATTGTATTGGTCTTAGATACTTGTTCGCCTCCTCATAATGTAACATATTCAATAGGGTCATAAAAAACACGGAAGTATTTTTTTAAATTCTTCTAGCATACTTATCACTGAAAGAATCCCAACCTTTGGCTGTTCTGAAGACAACGTCTGACTACATCTATCTAATTTTATTAATAATAAAGATTTGATCATAAATAATTGTTAAATAATACAATTTTATTAAATGAATATAATCACATATTTTGCCAATTTTATAATATAAACATTGTTCATTTCTTTCCATTTTTATTTGCTGAAATAATATTTAATTAGAATTCATATTTATTAAAAGATCATTAAATAATATATTTAATTAAATGATTAATAGCAAATAACAAAAAGACAGATACTCTAATACCACATCCTCTATGTAAAATTATTGTATTTACAGATAGGTATATTAAATCAACCATTTCCAATCCTAATGTTAAATCAATCATACAGGCTGTTTCCACTATCCTTCATTCTTAAATGTAGGAGGACTAGGAGCAAGGAAAATAGATTCCAAAGACTTCAGAATTGTATTTCTTTAGTGAAGAAAAGTATATCGAGGAGAAGCCTGAAGAATTCGACGAGCAAAGAAAGGTTATCCATTATTTTAAACATTTTAGTTATTATTAAGAGAACCTCCAAGTGTTGACAATATCTATGAATTCATGAAAGCTCTCTATGATTGCGCATAGTAATCATAATTTAGTATTCTGTAGATTCAGTCCAGAATGCTGTATCATCTGTTTAGTTTACATAAATCGACTGATCGCATTTACAGGATTGACCTTAAACCCAACAAATTGGAGGCCTTTACTTTTAAGTTCATTGTTGGTAGCCCAAAAAGTGTGGGATGATAAATATTTATCCAATGCTGATTTTGCATTCATCTACCCCTTCTTCACTACATAAGTAAGTTTACAATATGAGCAATAGGAAATCAATAAATTAGAAGCTAAGTTCTTAGAATTGCTTTAGTATAATGTCACTGTAAAAGGTGATTTGTATGCAAAATACTATTTTGAATTGAGAGCTCTATTCAAAGGGGATTAAGAATTTCCATTATATCCATTGGATGTGACTCAAGTAATTTCACTTTTCTAATGAATAGTCAGCAAGTTTGGAAGCTAGATCAGCAGACGTCTAAAAATAAGAGCAAGAAAAAGCAGAGAAACTATCCTTAACTTATAACGATAGACAAACAAGAAAACCAGCTGCCATTATCAATTGATAAAATTATTTCACATATGCATATTAAAATAAACTTAGACGTAATTCAGTTTTTGATTATATATAATGGATATATAAAAAGGAACTAATTCTTCATCGATTACATATTATTATTTTTATCTATTAATTCCTACTTTTTCTTTATCTGTTTTGCAGAGTAAGAGTTTCTAATTATTTTAATAATACATTTTCATAATTATACCATTTAGCACTGAATATTTAATATTGAGATTAAATCATGTTTATGAATTGATAACTTTTAAAGGTGATGTCAATTATTATGAAAATTAAATTAATAATTGTAATATCATAAATTTTATAAGTTAGATTAAATCTTGGTTAAAAGCTCATTTAGAATTGATTAAATAAATTTATACTTTTAAATATAAAAAGATAAATAATATTTCAAACTTTATCTTATGAAAATTGTTGACTAAAATGGGATTACTTTGTTAAATTAAGAAAATCGCTTATCAAACTTATTTAGCTATGAAAGGATGTAAAAATTGTTAGTTAAAATGTAGAAAAACTTTAGGTAAAGACAATTTAGAGTCAAAAGAATTAATTCCAAACTTTGTAAGTATATATAACTATCAGGAGTTTCAAAATTCACAATAATAGAAGCTAAAATAACATACTAGGATGAGCATGTTTGATCAACAGTAATTTCAAAAATACGTTTTAAAATTATATAAGGATTTGTATCTTAATATAAATTAAAAATACTAATCCTAGTAATTTAAAGTTTATTTTTTTTGCACCCTTTTATTATATTTAACTAAATCTGAGTTAAAATATGCTAATTTTTTATTTTATATTTTTATAATATATCCTCATTTAGATTGATCTTTCAATCAAAATTATAAATAAAATGACTATGAAATTAAGTTATTAAGAATTACTAATAATATATCTACTTATAGCACTTGATATTAGACTAAATTATACTTTTTCATAAGAGTATTAAAAAAAAGAAAGAAAAAAATAATGATATCAAACCGCAAAATCTTTTAAATTTTTTTATATTCAAGATTATTTACAAAATTTAAGCCTAATTTTTATTAGGAGGAATATAACATCCTGGGAATAATAAAAATTAACACCAAGGCTTACGTATACTTTATTCATTTATTTTATAACATATCTAAATTTATTATATAGACCATCAACTTTGGATAATAATTATTTAAAAATATAAATTCCTCTATGGAAGAACCAGTGACTCGGCCTGGCAAGAAATTATGGGCTATCGCTCGTAAAAAAGTGAAGGTGATAGCTCGTATAAATGCAATGAAAAGAATTACTCTTTAGAACTATTACGGAGTTAGAGATGACAATGATTTTGTAGAGGCCACTTAAATTAATAAATGGGTAATATACCCTGACTCAAAATGTAAAGGGTTTTGGGATTTTATCATAATACTACTGATGCTTTATACATGCACAATTTTGCCTTTTCGATTAGCCTTTTAGGATTCATCAAGTGAAGTATGGAACACAATAGATGAAGTGTTCAATTATGTTTTCATAGCTGATATAATTATTAATTTCTTTACTGCCTACTAAGATGCTGATAATGTTTTAGTTACAAGCAATAAATATATAGTAATTAATTACTTAAAGACTTGGTTTCTATTGGATCTAGCTTCAGTGTAATATAATAACTATAATTCAAAGGGTTCCATTTGATTAAATATTTCAGCCAGCCCAATAAACCGAAACAAGCACAACCTAAGGATAGAAAGGTTCATATACTCAATTACTGAGATTGACAAGACTGCCTCGTTTATACAGACTTTTGAAAGTAGTAAAGTTATTCAGAATAGTTCGTTTCTAATAAACAAATAGATCTTCTCTTTTTTCGAAATTAATAAAGTCTTGTATAAAATTGGATGCAAGCATAAAAAGAATGATCAAAATAATGGGAATGTCATTGTTATTTTTGCATTTGAGTAGTTGCTTTTATTATCTCATAACGAAAATTGAAACTGATTAGGTTACATGGGTGTCAAATTTGGGTTTAGAAGAGGCTGATGAAGCAACCTTATATATACGATCATTCCATTGGGCATTGCAAACCCTAACAACAGTAGGATTTGGAGATGTGTCTCCATAGACTGATTGGGAGAAGCTGTATGCCATATTTTGGATGGGTGTAGGGAGTGCTTTTTTCTCCTTTATGATTTCGAATTTGCAAGGAGTAGTAGGAGATTCAGAGAAGTCAGCGAAGAATAAGATTATGAGATTAAATGTGATTCAGAATAAAATAAAGATTCCAGATTATTGTATTTATATAATTTATCAACTTATTAAGTGTTTACATTGATAAAGAGACAACTCGAATCCCAATAAGTGGAGAATTCTAGATAATAAATAATATTGCAAACTAAGCCACTGATCAAATAGTTACCTACATGTCTAAGATCCTCTGTTTAATTGTGTATTTATGCTCATGTGATTGAAAAAATAAAATTTTTATAAGATAAGGACATTGAATTGATAATGGATGTGATTCCTAAGATATCTCCTCTGAATTGGGCCTAAGGTGATATCCTATTTTCAACTGATGATTATGCAGAAGAAGTGTATTTTGTTTCAATAGGAGAGATTACTACTAGAGCTGCTGATGGTTCTACGATTTCTGTGTATCGAGAAGGTGACACTTTGGGATTACTGGAGGCCATCTATGATGTAAGGAGGATAGGAACTGCTATTTGTAGTAAGAACACATAACTCTTTAGTTTGGATAGAACAACATATCTTTAAATGTTGTAGGACTATCCATAACTACTGTCTGAAGTCAAGCAATAGGTTGACAAAAGGATTAAGGAAGTCAAGCCATTTGTTGAGGATGCAACTATTCTTAATAGATCTATCTATGAAGTTATGCAAGATTATTAGAGGAAGATTAATAAGATTAAGAAGATTATTGAGTAACTACAAAAGTCAGAGGACAGTAATGATATCATTGACACTGATAAAAATCAATTGCAAATATTTTTACAGAGCAATCCTCAATTAGCTGATATTATGAATCTTTAGAGAGAATCTAATTCTAGGGAATCTGTGATGTTTGAAAATGCCAAAAGCATGAACAATTTAATTGATTAACTAGCAGATTTGTGGCAGAAGCAATTGATCGAAAAAATTGATTAAATGCACACTGAAACAACATATATGATTCAAGCAGTTTAGGATAGAGTGGAGTATTATCAGAAAGCTACAAAGAAGTTTTCGAATCTGAAAAATGATTTGACTAAGCAAAAGGAGAACATTCAGAGCATGACAAAGTTATGATAAATTTTATACTAAATATTTTAATATCAAAATGGATGGTATTCTGCAATAGGCTCTAATGCGTTTCGATATAGCAGCTAATGATGGCAAAATTAATGCTGAGTAGGTGATAAGCATTCTGCAAAGTCTAAATTATAACCCTCAAGATATCACGAAAATAGTGTCTCAGATTACCTCCGATATTGGTATTTGCAATCAATATTTGAGATGTTCATTAATTCAAAGAGTTGCTCACNGAGAAGCTGTATGCCATATTTTGGATGGGTGTAGGGAGTGCTTTTTTCTCCTTTATGATTTCGAATTTGCAAGGAGTAGTAGGAGATTCAGAGAAGTCAGCGAAGAATAAGATTATGAGATTAAATGTGATTCAGAATAAAATAAAGATTCCAGATTATTGTATTTATATAATTTATCAACTTATTAAGTGTTTACATTGATAAAGAGACAACTCGAATCCCAATAAGTGGAGAATTCTAGATAATAAATAATATTGCAAACTAAGCCACTGATCAAATAGTTACCTACATGTCTAAGATCCTCTGTTTAATTGTGTATTTATGCTCATGTGATTGAAAAAATAAAATTTTTATAAGATAAGGACATTGAATTGATAATGGATGTGATTCCTAAGATATCTCCTCTGAATTGGGCCTAAGGTGATATCCTATTTTCAACTGATGATTATGCAGAAGAAGTGTATTTTGTTTCAATAGGAGAGATTACTACTAGAGCTGCTGATGGTTCTACGATTTCTGTGTATCGAGAAGGTGACACTTTGGGATTACTGGAGGCCATCTATGATGTAAGGAGGATAGGAACTGCTATTTGTAGTAAGAACACATAACTCTTTAGTTTGGATAGAACAACATATCTTTAAATGTTGTAGGACTATCCATAACTACTGTCTGAAGTCAAGCAATAGGTTGACAAAAGGATTAAGGAAGTCAAGCCATTTGTTGAGGATGCAACTATTCTTAATAGATCTATCTATGAAGTTATGCAAGATTATTAGAGGAAGATTAATAAGATTAAGAAGATTATTGAGTAACTACAAAAGTCAGAGGACAGTAATGATATCATTGACACTGATAAAAATCAATTGCAAATATTTTTACAGAGCAATCCTCAATTAGCTGATATTATGAATCTTTAGAGAGAATCTAATTCTAGGGAATCTGTGATGTTTGAAAATGCCAAAAGCATGAACAATTTAATTGATTAACTAGCAGATTTGTGGCAGAAGCAATTGATCGAAAAAATTGATTAAATGCACACTGAAACAACATATATGATTCAAGCAGTTTAGGATAGAGTGGAGTATTATCAGAAAGCTACAAAGAAGTTTTCGAATCTGAAAAATGATTTGACTAAGCAAAAGGAGAACATTCAGAGCATGACAAAGTTATGATAAATTTTATACTAAATATTTTAATATCAAAATGGATGGTATTCTGCAATAGGCTCTAATGCGTTTCGATATAGCAGCTAATGATGGCAAAATTAATGCTGAGTAGGTGATAAGCATTCTGCAAAGTCTAAATTATAACCCTCAAGATATCACGAAAATAGTGTCTCAGATTACCTCCGATATTGGTATTTGCAATCAATATTTGAGATGTTCATTAATTCAAAGAGTTGCTCACTTAAAAGGAAGAGCCGAAGCAAGAAAGAGTTCATTAATTCAAAGAGTTGCTCACTCAAAAGGAAGAGCCGAAGCAAGAAAGACTGAGCACTTCTTAAATAAGATAAATTGAAGATGAATTTCGATAAGCTGTCAAGTATGGGAACGACGATAAAGTTCTATAGTATTTGAGTAAATAATCAAGTCTATATACTGATTAGCTAAATATCAAAATCAGATTGATCTAGCAAACAAGATGGAACCTTAAAATAGATAAATTCCAACCTATGATGCAGTATAAGCCCCTACTGAATAGCAAGCATATTTAATTCTCAAAACACTCTATGAGCATGGATCTGATATCAATTACAAAGACGCTATGCAATAATCCATTATGTTTTATATATGTAGAGATGGAAGATGTCAATTATTCGATTTCCTTATTTCTAAAGGGTTGAGTGTTAATGAATAGGATTAGAATGGTCAGACTCCTATTTTCTATGCAGCCAGAGAGAATAAGGTCGAAATCCTATAAAAATTAATTTAAAATGGAGCAAATGTCAATCACAGAGACAAAATCTTAGATCAAACAGCTTTGTTTTATTCAGCCAAGGAAGGTCAATTGTAAGCATGTTAACTTTTGATAGATGTAATAATTTATATTCGATTTGATCTAGGCTGGTTGCAAAATAAGTCATCAAGATGCAACCAAGAAAACAGCAGTTGCTTATGCGAAAAAATTCAATCGCAGAGATGTCTACGATCTGTTAAGTTTCGGCGCTTAAAGATAGAAAGATGAGGCAAATTAAAAACGAGATGATGGCCTTTCCAAAATAGAGCAAAAGATTAATAGAAAGAAAAATAAAGACTTACCTAAATTTTAATATAAATTAATGCATATTGACGATAAAGGACTCTCGAAAGAAGTAACTAACGAGGATTTTGAGAAGTTTTCTTAAGATTTCCCTGAAATTGCTAAACTTATAATGAAACCTGATGATACTATAGACGAGACCATGATTTCATCCATCAAGGAAGAGTAGATGTGGGATAAAATAGCAAAGAAAATACTCAATCAACTTTGGAAATTAAAGCAAAGTGTTTATTTTCTAGAACCAGTTGATGTTAATAGATACTAAATCCTAGATTATTATGATATTGTTAAGAACCCAATGGATTTTGGTACCATTAAAGTATTAATGATAATTATCTTAGTCTAAATTACAAAATAATCAATACAGATGTTTAAAAGAATTTCATATTGACATGCTTTTAGTATTTGACAATTGTGTACTCTATAACGGAATCCATTCTGAAGTTGGATAAGCAGGAATTAAAGTGAAATAAGATTATTTGTTAATGTTGGAATAAAATGGAATCAACAAGAATTTATGAAGTTTTATGTTTTATTTATCAATTAATTCAGATTCCCTTCTCAATAATAATAGTTAATATATCTAGATTATTAATATTGTTATGCAAAATTATAAACATTGTCTATTAATTGAAATCTACTTCAATTATATAGTTTCATCCTAAATATGACAAAGATAAGCATATTTATCATTTTAACCTAGTCACTAGAATATGGACTATATAAACAACATAAATCAAAACCATATACCGTAATAGATTAATAAAATCTACTTTACATTAAGTATACAGTTCTTAATACTGCTTAAAAAGAAATAATACTTTAACTGAACCGAACGCTTAATCTATAGTAACCTCAATTCCAAAAATCAATAGGTAAGAATAAATTAATACCAAAAATAGAAGGAAAATCTAAATTAATGGAATAATAATGATATTTTCAAAAGTCATAATTGAAGAAATCTATGAATGAAATTATAATTATTATGAGGAAATGAATGGATATAAGTATTCTCTAGATATAATATGGTTGATTTGATAAATAGAAATCTTTGATTAGATATTGAATAATTGGGAGAATATATTTTATCAGGAAAAATAAAAGTAATCAAATTGATTTCTATAATATATAATCATTTTAATTAGTGCATTAAATTTTATTTATATTTTGACAACACAGCGATTTAATGTCAGAAAAGGCTATGAAAGTAGATCCAATTATTTGTATCTATTATAAACTATTTAGTGATCCAAAAAATCATCAGAGAAAATACTTACTTAACCGAAATTGATAACAAGCTCGATATTGATGATTTTCATAATCCATTAAATGTAGAAGAAACGCAATCTTAGCTGGTGGATTCGATTTTTGGTAGTTGCAATATAAAATCCCAGAAAGGTGATTAATTTATATCTATTGAGTGTAGCAAGCAAAATGATTAGTTCATCTGGTAATGTAAAGGCACCTTCTATCCACCCATATGGATCATTATTTAAAAGTGGAGTTTCCAATTACACTGTTTCAGATGAGGATGAAATTTAAAATGATTTCATCGAGATCAAAAATGGCAAACAATATAATTCTGAGATTGAGATTGACGATGTTAATTAACTGAAACCTCCAGAGTTGAAAAATTAAAAAAATCAAATAACTTATGAAGAACTGAACTAAAGATGCCAACAACTCGAATAGAATTTGGAAGTTGAAAGGAAAAAAAATTTAGAACTTAATGGTATATTTGTATCAAGAATTTAGATATTATTCTCTGTCAAAATGAGAAGATCTAGGAACTTACAGAAATCGAAAAGGCTGCGTATGAGTAGATGGATAGCAGACTCAAAGAGATCTCAGAGTTGTCGGCCAAGAACATACACTTGGAAGCATAATTGTAGGAGTTAAAGGAAAGACAAGAAAAAGAGCTGAGTAAAAATTATCTTAACTAATTTAGAAACTAGAATAAAAGGAATTATGGATTCGAATAACAATTCACAAATGAATGCAATGCTATGTATTTTAGTGTGTTATTTTATTTAGAAATAAAGGAAAAACAAATTTAATTGTTACAAGGTCAGTTGAGTAGTCTAAGAGCGGCTACGTAGTATAGATCATAAGGGAGCTATCATAGTGCATAGAGTCATGATAATATCCAAGACAATTAAGTTGTAAATCACATTATAAATAACACCAATAATAATTAGATTATCATAAAGAATGAAATATTTCAAAAAGGAATGACTTCCTTACATTAACAACCAAAAACATCAACTCCCAAAAAACAATAATTCATTAATCAGGATTCCCAATCCACCCAAAGATCCAAAAAAAGTGTGAATCACAACAAATAAAGCTCCAAAGAAACAATAACTTAACCACCAACATCATGGTTGGATCATCTACAAAAAAAGAATGACGATAAACTTAAAATTTTGAACAATCAACCTTCAGAAAAAGAATTTTAATAAGCCTATTTGAACAATTCAATTAATGATAATGTCAATAAATACATGCATGCAGATTGTATAAGAAATTTAATATTATTTTATAGTAAAAATAACGAAGGTTAACAGTCCGGCATTTTAAAGAAAAACTACTTATTAATTGACATCAGACGATGATAATTAAGATAATAAAGATTTTGTAAAGTAGAAAAGTTTCTAGCATAAATGAAATTGAATATTTACTTTTCACATCAAATTATAATATAATAAAATAAATTGAAACGAATTCTATTTATATTATATTTTATATTTCTTGATAAATGTAATACTGTATATTTCATTCAAAGCTTTCATATTATTTCATTTAAATAACAGTTATTTCATTGATTATTAATTTTATAATGAAATCCAATAGTCAATAATGTAAAAAACCATTAATCAGCAAAAGGGAACAAAATTATATGTAATTGATATTGAAATAGTAGAATAGATGATGAGTTAGCTGAAGACTCAAAAATTTTCGAACAAACAACTTAATCTTTTTCAGAAATATCTGAGTTGGATTCTAAGTAGTAAATTTAAATAAAACAATGGTATATCTGGTTCATTATTAAAAAAAAGTGAATACAATTAAAGTGAATAAGTATTCAAGTAGAAATAGGAAGACAAATAAATATAAAAGGTTTAAGTCTTCTATGAAAATATAACGCAATATATGTAATAAACAATGATATGAACAAAAACAGTCAATAATATAAACCAAAACATATTGAACTTGATGTAAAACTAAAGCCGTTCATACCAAATTACATACCTGCAGTAAATCAAATAGAAAATGGCTTATCCATACAAACACCAGATGGCAAATTTGATAATTACGGTTTATATGATGTGGTAATAAGATACCTATAAAATTAAAGAGAGAACCCGTGAGTAAAAAGGATGATAACATTTTAGCAATGTAGAAAGACGCATTAAAGTAAGCAAAAAAATAGGAGAAATAGAATACATAAAAACAGAATGTAAAAATGGGAATTATAAAAGGAAAAAAATCAACAAACAGCTTAGGCTTACGATAACCCCCAAGAAAAATTTACAGATATATTTAAAATAATTTCATTGTATTTGTAAAATTTATTTTTCAGATATACCCCAGAGAAAATTAATATAGAACCACATTTGAAACCCTTCATACCTTAGTACATACCTTCAGTTTTGGACCCAGACCCCATGCTTAAGATACCCAGGCCAGATGGGATGAAGGACAATCTAGGCCTTACTATTTTAGTAAATAAATTCTTAAGTGTTAGGATGAAAGGTTGGTGAAGGGAATCTATATGTAAGGTAATTGATATTTAAATTTATATTGAAAAATAGATTATCATTAATAATGATTTTTAAAGATCAACAAGTAGTTTATGTTTAACAATACTCTGACAACAAATTAGACATCACTTTAATGAAAAACAATTAAATATTTTTAAGTTATATATTAAATGGGGAATGGTTGCTCAAATTAAAGGGAAATGACCCAAGTATCATTAACAATAAGACAAGACTCATTTCCATAAACTAAATAGCAGGAAAGTGCTTAGATGAGTTGCTTCATACCATCAAGCCAATTAACACAAGCAGAAACGCCTCATGCATTGCTGCCATCTCCATCGAGACAAAGTATTTCTTTTGAGAATGCCATCACTTCTAAAGTGAGAGTGCCATCAGAAGAGAGTCAGTTTTAAAAATAATTCTCATAAATTGCAGAAAATTAGACAACTATAAAATCAAAGAGCAAGAAACCTATTGATAATTAAAATTAGCAAAAAAAACAAAAGGACAAAAAAGGCAAAGAGAAGGAAAAAGAAATAATGCCAAGGCATCATTCATCGAGTCCCAAAAAAGAACGTAGGCAATAGATTTCACCGCAAAGAAACATCAACTAATAATCAATGAATTAAAACAGCACAATTAGAAATAAATCCTCCTCATTTTAGAAGAAAAATGTTAATTAAACAAACGAAATTGCAATTATTTCAAGGAGAAAATTTTCTGATCTACCTCCGAAAACTGAGAATACTCAATCTAAAAGGAAGATCAGCAATACAGTGGATGATCACAATGCTCAAGTGAGTTGGGATAGCATTTCTAAAGTAAAATCATTTACTCCTAGTCCTATCTTGAGTAAAAAAGCTTCAGATAATGAAACAATCACTATCAAGAAGAAGAAAGTCCGATTCCATGATTAAAATATTATTAGATATGGTTTTGCTAACTGAAAATAAGTGCAAGAGATGAGCAATTTATAATATGATTTTGTTGCATCCAATTTTAAATTAAATAATGCATTGATTTGTGTAAATTATATATAATTATCAATAATGAATTACAAAAAGTAAACAAACTGATAGGATGTAAGAAACAAAGAAAAATTTTATTTTAATAATATTTATGTAAAAACTAAGACGTGAAGCAATAGAGAGAGCCAAATTAAACTCCGCTTGTAATACAATGATTAGTACCTTATTTGTAGTCTTGGTCACACTTCTTACCCTCTTCATATGTGATCTTTCAGGTTTAGTGCAATTGGATAAACCATTATAATACGTTTCTGCAGCGAATGCAATTAAAGATTAAATCCCAGAGAGGAATTTCATATCAGCATCTTAGACAGGCACGCTAGAACCATTATAAGGACAGCATATTGATAAGGTGAATGTGGTTAAACCTATTATTGATCATAGAGAATATCGATATTTAGAATTGGAGAACAATTTGAAAGTTTTATTGATACACGACTCAGAATCAGAAATGGCATCGGCTGCTATGGATGTTAAAGCAGGATCTTGGCATGAGCCTAATGAGTATCCTGGTTTGGCTCATTTTTGTGAACACATGTTATTCATTGGGTCGCAGAAATATCCTTAAACTGGGTTCTTCGATGACTTGATGGCAAAAGGTGGAGGTTCATCTAATGCATATACTGAAGCATAGAATACTAATTATTATTTTGAAATTACTGTAAATCATTTGGGAAAAGCTTTGGATGCATTTGCTCATTTCTTTATAGATCCCTTATTTAATGAGGATGCAGTAAATAAGGAAAGAAATGCCGTTAATTCAGAATATGAAATCGATGTAAGTACTGAAGATTGGAAAGTCGTTAATCTCTTTGCTCTCTTAGCAGATCCCAAACACCCTGCAAGCAGATTCAGTATTGGAAACAATGATGTTTTGGCTAAAGAAGGTGTGGTGTAAGCCTTAAAGAAGTTCTATTAAGACAATTATTCATCTAACGTAATGAGTTTGGCTGTTTCCAGCAGATTAACATTAAATGAGATGGAAAAAATGGTCAAGGTGTTCTCGAAGATAGAGAACAAAAATTTGATACCATAGTCAATTTCAGGATTTCCATATTAGTTTGGATTATTGGGTAAATACAAAACAGAAAAGAAGTTGGTGTTGTTAAATTGGTAATTAAGTGGAAGAGAATAATTTGTCCACTAAAAACCTTTGGAATTGATAGACTATTTATTGAATAATGGAAATCTGAAAGATTACTTAAAGGAGAAATAACTGGTGATCGAATTTGAATCATCCATTTTCATTGAATAAAATCATTTTGTGAATTACATCATAGAGTTGACATTGCCAGAACAGCCATTGGAAGATGGAAACATTTCCCTCGAGATTACAAGAATTATCAATAATTACATCCAATAATTAGAGGAATGGTTAAAGGATGAAAAATATTTGGAAGAAATATTTAAAGAGCAAAGTTAGATTTCCAAAATCAATTTCGAATATATGGAACAACCTTAGGAAATTTCGAGTATTGCAAAGAATCTGAATAAATATGAGGCTGCTGAAGTACTCTCTTCAAGCTTCGTTATGGATGTATTCGACAAAGATCTGATATTAAAATACATTTCTGAGTTGAAAAAAACAGATAACTTATTGATCCTAATTGGAGATGATGAATACTAATTTACAGATAACACTTTGAAAGGAAATAATAAAGAATTCTTAAAAGACAAGAGATTGGACAAAAAGAGTGATATCTATAGATTAGAATATGCTACTCAGAAGCTGACAAAAGATTCTATTAAAATCATCACTCAAAAAGATTCCAAACTTTAAAAATTATTTACTAAACCTGAAGAGAACCTCTTCATTCCAGATGACCTAAAATTGGTATCTTTATGTGAATCAAATCAATCTAAATTACCTATTATGGTCCATTCTGATCAATTGAAACCATTGGATAAGGAGGGAAAGTTGAATGTACTGCTTCATGCTGGACAAGATTTGCAAGAGTTCTCTCAAGATGAGTGTAAGAAGGAGGAGAATGTTTATTAAAAAAATAATCACTACCCAATTCTTCTGAATAAAGAAAACAATCAATGGTGGAAGGTTTCTACTTAATTTAAATTACCTGCTGTATATGGAGCCTTGTCCATATAATACACTAAACCCATAACAATAAGGTAATTTACATCAGCCAGGATTTATAACTTTATTTCAGACGAATAAATAAATAAGTAACTCAGGTAGCCCTTAGCAACTGGGTACTCTGTAGAATTAGATATTGGAAAGTAAATAGAAATTAAAGCCTATGGATTTAGTGAAAAAGTTAGAGGATTTTTCAACAGTATTTGTGGATGCATCAATCCATTCAGAGAAAAGTCATAAAGCCTAATAGAACTAGAAGAAAAAAAGGAGGAGGATTCTCCTGATTTCATTAGAGCTAAGCAATCGCTTATTACATCTATTAAGGATATATTTTAATTGAAATTGTATGAACAATCATTTCAATTGTATCTTCCCTCAATTTTAAGAAAAGACTTTTTTAATCCTGAATTAGTCTTACAATAAATTCCAGATATTACAGAAGAATAAATGTTGTCAGATATTAAAGATATACTCTAAAACTCCATTTAGAGTTCACTTTTGATTGGGAACATCGATCAAAAGAATGCTTAAGATCTTTCTGCTGAATTGTAGACTTGCATTTAAGACAAAGATGCCAAATTTGAATAATAGACAAGATTGCCTATTTCTGTTTTGAGTTTGAATGGTAAAAATTGGGTGTTTGCCAAGTTTGTGGAATCAGACAAAGGTGATTTGAATGGAGTGACATTAAATTATTATTAAATTGGTTAAAGAACCTAAGAGAATTTTGCTTTGATGAAGATACTATAGCCTTTGCTTAATTCTCAAGCTTATAATCATTTAAGAACTGATCTATAATTAGGGTATGTTGTAGCTATGAAATTCAAATAAGTCAGTTGCATTGATGGAGCACTGTTCCTAGTTTAAGGAAATAAAGAATTACCAATGAAGGTCAATGAATTGATAGAAGAATTCCTAATGTAATTTGATGAATACTTAAAAACAATGAATAAGAAGCAATTCGAGCATTTAAGACATAGTGCAATTGTTGAATTGAGACAGAAACCTTAAACTTTGAGTGAAGAAGCAGATAGGTTGTGGGGGTACATCAATTCAGATGATTACTCTTTTGAGGAGAGACAAGTCACTATCGAAAGTCTAAAATCAATTTCAAAGGAATAAATAATAGAATTCTATGAAAATGTGTTCATTAACAACAGATCAAAAATAAGTGTTTAATTATATGGGTATGTATTAATATCATTATTATTTAGAGAAGGAATGGTGTCATAAACTTTAAGTTTGAAGAACAATGAAGAATTTGAGTCTTACATCAAAGCAAACATTCCTGAAGGGGCTTCACTTTTTACTGATACAGAATCGTAGTACTATGATTGTCCAAATGATGTCAGTTCAGTTTGATTTCATATATATAATACAATTGTTATCATGAATAAATATAATAACTACTTTAATCAATTACATTTTTAGTTGTAACACTATATTAGTTTTTATAGTAATTATTTTAAATTTAAATCAAAGTTCATTAGAAAATGATTCCCTGTTTATTATCAGTGATTTTTGGAACAATAACTACGATGATGATAGGATTTTATTGGTATTCAATATTATTCTGTGACCGTTACTTGAAGGAAGCAAATATTAAATTAGACAAAGAACATGAATCAAGTGAATAAAATAGTAAACCTTTGATTTTAGAATTGTTGGCCAGATTCATAAAGGCATCATTAATTACATACTTATACAGCATTCTCAAAGCAAAAGTAGATTATGATGCTAATTAAAATAGAATGAAAGAGATTTGGAATTGGCGCTATCATTGGCAGTGTTTTTTTGTGTCACTTTTGACTTGTAATATTTCACTTCAAAAGTCGTTTGGGAGTAAAAGACTTGGAATTTCTTTTTTATGAAAGTGACTGAACAATTTATTTCACTTTCAACTCTTTCCATTATTGCATACATAATTGTGTGATGAATTATAATTCAAAAATTTTGCATACCAGATTTGTTATTCATAAAATTTCCATCTATAAATTTATTCATAACAACTAAATAATAAAATAGAAAAAGAGTTAAACATAAGAAGTAGAGTTCCTCAAATTTTAATGTACATAAAAAACAAATAAATGCATTTCTCTTCTTTTTTCTTTCTACTCCCAAAGCTTAACCTCCTCTTCCTTTTGTTTTTGTGTGTTATCCTCTCAAACCCTAATGATTTCTCAAACCTCGATTGCATCTTAATTCATAACCACTATGAGTACTTTATATTCTCCATCCATTCCAAATCTTCTTTAAGTTTTGTTTCAAGTTCATTAGTTGTCATTTGATAGTTCTTACCATCTTTAAAATCTCATCATCTATTAAGGAACCATCTAAGGATATTATATATCTCTGGAGCTTTGATTACTTCTGTAATCTAGTGAGCCTCCACATCAGTTAGTTCTCCTGCTATTTATGTTAAATCGAGTCTCAACGCCTTGACATCAATATTGAATCAGAATTACTCTGTAATTGATGTAGCAAAGCTTCTGCCTATTCCTTTAATACTTCTAATTCCATAAGCCAATCGTTATTTACCGTCAACATTATTATTTAAAATACGAATGATGTGTCAGAATTAATCTGCTTTTTCTAAAGCTAAACTCATCATTTTTGTTAAAAAGAATTTATTTATTTTTAAAATCTTATCCACATTAATATTTTATAAGACCTTGTCTGGTATGTTTATATTATAATTACATACACATATACTTATTCAACTATATTATATTAAGGAGAGAGTGAAATACAATGGAGATAATCTTTTTTAATCCTATTAAACTAGTTTTATTGGATTAATTCCAATAAAAAATCTTATGTGATAATTATGCGTATAATTTAAGAATTATCAAAAGCTTTATTGATGTGATATTTAATGAAATTAATTAATAAATAAAATGGCTAGCAAATCTCAACCTCCCATATAAGAAAAGACTTTTCATGAATGGTCTAAAAACAACTTCTATAGAACAAGCTATATCAACCATTACACTCAAGTATGTGAATTGTTTCATGTTATCTAGTTTCCATAAGAACCAAAAAGTACAGCAGTGCCAGGATATGCAGGCTACGTCCCATATGTGCAATCAGAGAATCTTTATGGTGAGAGATTTTCAGAAGTAGCCAGAAAATCGTATGCAGACTAAAAGTTAGGAAAATTCAATAGATTATCGTCAACTGGATTTAATTTTGATCCAAAAGAATTAATCGATGTACACAAGGAAGCTTATTCTCACAAATATGGATGCTAGACCTTATTGAAAAATCATCCTTGCACTCATATCAATAAAATGGTGACCTCCTATCAAGACGGTTTCAAAAAGCCTTAAGGACTTGTTGCTCCAACGTATAAAAAAAGAATTATAATAAAATAGATTCCGTAAGACCGATAGATATCTATAGACCTCACAAGCTTAAACTAAGACTTCTGGATTTTAGAAGAATCACATGTAATTTGATGGATCTGGCTGGATTCCTCATGAAAACATGAATGGTTTGCAATTAATTTTTTTAATTTAGGCGATTAAGTGAGAACCGAATACCGAATACAATATAATTAGGAAAAACCATTCCACAGGAATCCGATTCAATTCAAATTAAGAAAAATGAAGTAAACCGAAATGAATTATAAACATACCTGAATTTATTTATATATTTTTATGAGAATTGTCTTTTACATATATTTCATTTCTTATTAACAAAAACGATTACTTCACAGTATTATGTTCTTGCTAAATAATTTAATTACTGGAAAGGATTATCAAATTTTTTCCTTAAAGATGACTTTGTATATTTTTTTATCATCAATAAGGATTGTATTATTTAGAACTATACTTTATACTAAGTGACTTTGATAATATAATATTAATAGAATTAGTTTTTTAATTATAGAAGGAATAATTTGAATCAATGAATAATTTTAACTGATTTAGGATGGTAATAATGAAAATTAGTTTAAATATCCATTGAATATAAAGAGCACTGAATTATTAGGTGATTTTATGTAATGGATGTTTAAAAATAATTTTCATATCACTTAATGAACTATTTTAAATGAAATTATTAAATGTTATAATAATCTGAGAAAGACTTCACAATTGAGCAAGTAGTTGGGACAGGCACATTTGGCATGGTGCACCTGGTATGTGCGGATTGAATAATAGTTAGGCTACTGATAACAGAACAAAGGAGAAGGTTGCGATTAAGAAGGTGTACTAGGATAGGAGGTACAAAAACAGAGAGCATTTGATAATTTAAGAATTAAATCATCCCTGTGTGGTTATGTTACGCCACTCATTCTTTACCCCTGGAGAGAATGTATAGTGAACGTTATATTGGTTATGTAGCCACAAGATGTGTACCTTAATCTAGTGATGGAATACGTACCAGAGACACTTTCGAAGATGATACGTCAGATACGCAAGCAGAAGCAAACGATCCCACCCACATAACTCAAGCTCTACAGCTATCAAATGCTTCGTGCGCTGCTCTACCTGCAGGGTACTGAGACTTATCCCAACTAGCCATCGGAATATGCCATAGAGACATAAAACCCCAGAACATCCTGATCAACCTTGAAACCAACGTCCTTAAAATATGTGATTTTGGCTCAGCCAAAAGACTAGTAGTAGGTGAACCTAACATTGCGTACATTTGCTCTCGCTACTACAGAGCGCCAGAATTAATTTTTGGAGCAACCGATTACACTACATAAATCGACATGTGGTCTATTGGTTGTGTGATTGTTGAGATGGTCATATTGGAACCAATCTTCCCAGGAGAAAGTGCCCAAGACTAACTTTTGTAGATTATTAAGATTCTTGGAACACCAACTCCCGATATCATCAAGCAAATGAATCCAGCCAAAGCTGAAGTCAAATTACCTATGATTAAGGGCAATCCTTGGTCCAAAATATTGGCTAAACATAAACCAGATCAATTATTTTTAGATCTCATTACACAAATGCTCACGTAAAATTCATCCTTCTTAATATTTAGTTACTCTCCCAAAGCTAGAATTCAACCAATCGATGCTCTTTTGCATCCATACTTTGACGATTTAAGAAAAGAAGAATTTGCTAAATCAAATTTCAAGTTCCCAAATCTATTTGACTTCAACAAACAGGAATTAAGCGTTAAACCAGAACTAAATTCTAAATTAATCCCATAATGGTATTCTAAGCTAAATACCTGATTAAGTTCCAAAATAAATATATATATGTAAATTATGCTCTTTAATCAGAAAGTGTAATTAAACACTAACTTCTTCAATTTTATTCAACAAGCATTTATTTTTAACTCTACTAAAGAATTCTGTTTAATTATTAAATTTATCAAATTATTATTTTTATTTCTATGAACTCAATCAATTCAGGGTGATGCATTTAATATGTCTTATTGTTACTATTAATATATTATTATAGAATTATTAATTGCCATTAAACCAGTTTCTTATTATTAAATTATAAAGAATGATTATTTATTTAAAGTTTGACACTCACATGGTTTAACAAAGAAATTATTAACATTAATATATTACAAAAGTAGTTCTTAGAGAATGAATAATAAATAGAAAATAATATCATATATAGCTGTTAATCTTATATTTATTTTTGCTAATAGATTTCTATTAAAATAATGCTATTCATGTAAAATATGATAAGAACTTATTTAATAAAGGCTAATTATCATAATTCTTCCAGCTTTTTGATATTCACAAGTGGATTATTTTTAATAAGTAATTATTTAGCCTTTTCTGCATGATCAAATGTGCATTAATGCTCCTCTGGCAAACGGTGTTTATTGCAAAAATATGCTTCGCATTTGCATTATATGCCAGAAATTCCCAATTTTCTCTTACAAACCTTACATTTCGATGGATCTTCCTGATATAGACTAAATTATTATTTTTACTTTCATCTTTATTACTTCATCAAGCTATTTTATTTCTTAGACAACCTGTTATTGTTACTTAGTTTCTGTACTAGTTTCCTTAAGTATTGATCTAAATGAAAAAATCATTAAAATGATTACTAGTAACACTTAGAACAATAAAATTAAGTGGCTGCTGTTCCAAAGAAAGTCAGGCAGATACTGCATAATCTTGTTTCCTACTTATTCTCTTAGTTAATAGATTATTCTTAAGTGGCTGGACCTTGATTATTTTACATTTATATTTATGAATTTAATTTATACTAATCTCAAAATGAAAAAAAGGTTTATTATAATCAAAAAGTAAAAAAATTTAGAAAATCCTGAAAATCTATTTCATTTGGATTATCCTTATTGAATAGTTTGCATATCCTTTCTAAGTCACTGTTTACACTGATTTTAAAACTAAAAAATATTATAAAAATTATTACTATGATAATAGATTTAGAAGATCACGCTTATCTAAATAAATAGAATGTGCAATGTCTTCAAATAAATTTAGAAAGGATTGCTTTTTTTATTTTATGAATTATCTTTTCAATTTAAGTAGTTCTTCTTCATCGATAACTTTAATATTTTGCAATTTATTAATGAATATTGCCAATTCTCTGCAATCCTCAGAGTATGGAGGCACAAACTAAGTTTAGGATGACGCTTGTGATTGCCATCTCGTTTATGCCATAGTTGACATCTAGGAGATCTACTAATTCTCAGATGTAAACTCATCTATGAATTCTGCCATGCTGATAAATCCATCCTCATCTTTGTCCATTCTTCGAAAAATATAAATCAAATCATCATTTGAGGTTTGATAGTTAAATTATTAAGATAAGTACTTCTTTACTTTGATGACGTCTATAAAGCCATCTGATGTTGAATCAATTTCCTTATATATATTGAGGATGTCTGATTAACTTAAATCTTTTCTCAACTCAAATAACATAGTATCCATTATTTACTAGGTCTCAATTAGTTCTGAGATTAGAATGTTACACATTTTGGTATTCTTTGTTTCTCCTAATTTGTTTAGACTCTTTGGTCGAAAAGGGAAAATGAATTGCAAAAACTCTTAATAATCCTTGAAGATTTCCTTATCAAATTCAAGATTGTCATCAAAATATTCAGCAATCATTTATCGGATGGTTTCTTTTCTTTATTCTTGTTAACAAATGGTGTAGAAATATTTAACAACTATTTTCATTATTTATATATATTAATAATTGGATAATTAATATGTTTCATTATTCAAATTCCTCCTCCTCATAATCTTTCTAACTCTTATTTTATGCTTCACTAATTTATTACTCCGATCGCTACTAGTCAAACTATTGTTCATTATTCTCTTCATAGTTATCTTATCCATTCTATTCCTTGTCAAACTCAGCTTATTATTCATATTCCTCTTCTAATTTCTTCTATTCTTCCTCCAATTTCTACTTCTCTAATTGTTCCTCTTGCAATCTTCTTTCCTCCTCCTTTAATTTATGTAATCTTTCCTCTTCTGCCTTTTATTACTGTCTTTGTTATTCTTGATGCCTTCTCTATTTCTCCTCCTCTTCTTATTACTTTCTCGTGTCTTCTAATAATTTTTACCTTCTCGCTTCATTCTCCTACTTGATTCTTTCTTCCTCTTCCTACCTCTTTCTCTCCTCTTCCTCTTCCTTCCATTATTATTCTAATCTCCTTTATTCTTCTTCCTCCCTTTCCAATTCCAATTATCTCTACCTTTCCTGCTCTTATTATAACTCCAACAATCTCCTTTATTCCTCTTCCTCTTTTTATTTCTTTAATTATAATTGTTGAAGTTCTTCTTATTTTTATTTTTATTACTATATTTACAAATCATTGTTTTCATTATGATATTATTCTTAATTTTTTTAAATTTTAACTTATTCTTTTGGTAAATCACTTTCACTTTTTGTTTTTTGTTGAACTTATAAATCTAATAAAAATATAAATGGTGAATTTACCGACATAGAACAATTCAAACAACTTTTTGTAATTTATCTGAACTAATTCTTGTGTTAATTCGTAATTCTTCAATAATAAAAATTCATATTAAGTAGAATTAAATGTTTGTTCAACGAACTTAAGAGCCTCTTCAAGATCTTCAAGTGTACAAAGCTCTTGTTTCTTCTTTGATCTCAAGATGAAATCCTCTAAAGAGATTCTATATTTGGATAGAACAGTTCCAATTTCAAAGAATAGCTAATCTTCATCACTTTTCTATGATTCATTTCAATTATTTTACTTCCAATAGGGTGTATTTTCCAATTAAATTCTTTAGTATACTTTTGGCTCTTGCTATTAGACCTTCAGTTAGCATACTAAACTCAACAAATCTATCATCGTTATCTTCAATCAAGTATCGAGCCACCTTAAGACTATCGGCTTCATTCAACAGGAATGGTTCATCCTACAACATATCATTTAATTCCTCAATTCTAATAACCGAGTGAGCATCCCCATGAATAAACTAATGTATTTACAAATATCATTACATTGTCAATCTTTTCAAACGGCACTTTCATAGCCTTCAGTTTGAATTTGATTTATTTGCATATCAAATTTACATCATCCTTAGTTACACAAGGCAACAATTTCTTTTTTTGATCTGTGATCTCTGGACCTTCAGGTAGAATTTCAAGTTTATTTTCAAAAAAACTATTATTTTAAACAGTTCTCCTATTAAAAGATCAATACTTTTCATACCTTCTTCCTGATTACATTGCAACTTCTTCTTTAAGGGAATTATATTATTCTTTCAATTATTATCTGTCTCTCTCTAATTAATCAATTATTTGCTGTTGCTCTCTCTCCAACTCCTTCATTCTCTTATCCAATTCTGCGTATTGAGCATCTTTGGCTTTCAAACTACTTATCAATGTGTCTATTTAAACTTACTTTTAACTAGCAATATAGGGATGATTTAGTACTCAATATCTTATTTCAATTACTACTCATTTTCAGTAATTTTGTTCTGTTTCTTATATTCTGGATCTTTAAATTTTAAACTTTCAATCTGATTTTTTAAATATTGATTCAATTTATCCTTTTTAAGTTTTTCATTATAATACATGGTAGCTTTTGATTCAGATTCTTTGCATTTGACTTTCAATTGCTTTAGTTCATCCTCCATTAGCTTATAATCAGCTCTCAATCTGTAAAGATCATTATCGGAATCATTAAATTTCATTCCGATCAAAGCTTTTAATCTCTGTGCTTCTTGCTGATAGGACATTAATTCGATTTCCAGTTCTTTTATTTTCATTGCTTTTGTATTTTTTTACAGAAATTGTATTTGCTGATCCTTTTTGATCGATTCCTCTTGCAATCTCCTCAGTTATTTCTTTAGATCCATAATCAAATGCTGCTTCGAAGGCTTGCAATCCTAGTAAAATGATTCCATGTTGTTGACCACTTGCTCGCTTATCGGAGTTGCTCTAACCATTCTTTGTAATTCTTCCTATAAGTCTTAATCAATTTTACATCCATCATTTTTATTTTGGTATGTAGAGCCTGGTTCTCTCTCGACAAATTGTTATTGATTTATTTTGCATTAATAACTTCCTCATACAAAGATTCCCTGTCGTATAAAATTGCCTAAGGAATCATCTTCTATCTCTTCTATTGCAAACTGTTTCTCTGCTGGTCTTGAGTAATTGGTCTCATTTTCATTCCTGTCTACAATAAGTACCACGAAGCTTACACTTTTGTCCTCAGTCTCCAAAGTGCCCAAATTCATTTGCTATCTCTTCCTCTGCTCAGTCTGAACCTGTCTCTTCGACGTAAACGATGTTCCAGGTCTCTCCTCTACGTTCATATTTATTTTTGATTTTTTATTAAATGCTTTTATAAAACACATTAGCAATTTTCCATTTATCAAATCGCCAATGCATCTTTTATTTCAATTCCAATCACTAAAACACAAATAGTCATTCTCATCATTTTATACCAAACTTCAGAATTTCCCTGTCTCAACATTCGATGCAAATCATGTATGATGTCAACAATATTTTTGAAAAAGAAAACCAAAAATTCAATCAGGAACAATAGAATAATAGTAGGATTTATAGGGAGATTAAGAAATTACAATCAATTTTAATAATGAATTCTATATACATATATGCTATTTACAATATTTTTTAATGTTTAAAGATTTGTAATTTCTAGGATAAACAAATATTAAAGTTTTATTTTTTAAAATCTAACAAGATTGAAAACTTTAATTCAAAAAAATTATTTGGTTTGTATCCAAGTTTATTGCTGTGTTAGATTAGATTCTTTTATATGTTTTGAATACTTGAATAGGAATATAATCAATAAATTAATAAATTGTTTTATATATTTAAATAGTTTTTCAATGCTTAATTATTGATGGTACTTAAAAGTTGAATAAAGAAAAAAAGTATATAATTATTATTAATTTTATTTTCCCCAAAGATTACACATTACGAACACGGCTTATAAAAAGTCAACAAAAAATAACTAATTGAAATATCTGAACATTATTATTTATAGCTAAATTCATAGGACCTTATAAATTGGGATCAGGAAAATTAAGAAATTCAAAGGAATAAATCTAATTTGAAATATTAACAGAAATGATAGTAATATGAGGTCAATTTGATTACATCATAATTAATATGAAGTTTTAAAGATATAATAAAGAATTTGTTTAATATTCTGATAAATGAACCTGATGTAACTTATGTCGATAGTCTTTTTGAGTTTACCTTATAAGCTTAAAGGTCATCAGATCTTATAGAATTTTTAGGTTATTAGAAATTTACAGGATACTGGATAATGTTAAACAAATCAATTTTTGAACAATGACGTATGCGAAGGTGAATATTCACAATATGATGTAGACTGCCACTATTCATGTTGGAAATGCTCTTCTAGCAGTTCTTCTAGTTGTTTAGAATGTTTGAGTGATGGTAATCGAATTTTAGAGAATTTAATTTGCAAGTGTTAAGGGAATTATTATGACGAGAATAATGAGCTATTTTGCTAGCGTAAATCTATTAAGTGAAATTAGGTTGTCGTTTTCCTTGCCTAAACTGTTAAGGAAAACAGAATCAAGATTGTTTAAGCTGCAAAAACTCGATGATTTTATTTGAAAATGAATGCAAATGCGGAGAACATTAATTTTTTAATTATGTTAATTACTAATGTGAAGGTTTAAAATACAATATTTTTAATAGATTGCCATCCTACTTGCTCATAATGTAATGGATCTTTGAATTCAAATTGCGTGAAATGCAACCAAGAATAGTATACTCTTTTACAATCTAACATTTGTATATGTAAGGATGGATACTACAAATCAAGCGTTGATAATAATTGTCATTGTAAAATTAATCGATTAAATAAGAATGCCATGTAAATTGTAAAACATGTTCTGGACCAGCCAATAATGAATGTTTGAGCTGTAACGATAATAAAACTGGAAGTTCGTGCCACTGTCCATACGGATATTATTTACCTTAATTGGTTCCATAAGCTTCAGTATGCTTTTGTAAGGATAATGAAAATAATTTAAGAATGTCATCCTACATGTTAGACTTGCAGTAATTCGGGAGAGTTTAATTGTTTAACTTGTTACGAATTTGCATAATTGTAACCTGACTCTAATATGTGCCTATGCGAGGGAGGATTTGTTTGGAATGGCGATTCATGTAGTATATGTGATGGTGGATGTACAGATTAGTGTATATTCGACCCTTATAATTGCTGCGCAGCACCATGTGTTTGTATGAATTCAATAATAGATAAGAATGTTTCAACCCTAATTGTTCAACTTGTGATGCTACATAGGCATGTACAAATTGTTAAGAAGGAAAGACAGGTGCAAATTGTAACTTGTAATGCGATCCTAATTGTAAAGGATGTGATCAATCCAACAAAGCTTTGTGCACTTCTTGTAATAGCCCTTTTGTAGTGGTTGGTGGAATTTGTACCTGTCCTGCTGGATAAGAATTATCAGGATCTACATGTGTGAGTGGCCCTACTTGTCCAGATGGATTATATGGAGCAGGTTGTTCATTAGTTTGTGATCCAAGTTGTAGAAGATGTTATGGACCAAATAGTAATTAATGCAATCGATGCAAAAATAATGCTTATGTTGGTGCAACTTAGTGTATGTGTTATTTAGGATATTATTTTGATGCAACTTACAATTGTTTTCCATGCAATTATACCTGTCGATAATGTACAGGCAGTAGTACAAATTGTACAGATTGTCTGTACCTCCATAGAACTTTAAATGGATCTAATTAATGTGCTTGTGATAGTGGGTACTTTGATTTTGGAATCCCTGTTTGTTAACCAACTAATATTGCTTGTGGATTACACTGTGGAAATTGTTAATATATATCATCCTCATATCAGTGTTTAGCCTGTGCTTTATCAAGTACTTATAGATTGAACGATTTGGCTAACTAGTGTCCTTGTTAAGATGGATATTTCGATAATGGCACTATGATCTGCGAAAGTATCTATTAAATAAATAAATTCTTAGAATGTAATTATAAATGTTCTAAATGTGCTACTGCAGCTTCTTGTACAGTCTGTGCTAGTAACAGGGATTCATCAAATGATTGTAATTGTTTGAGTGGCTATGATGAGTAAAGTCAAATTTGTGTATTAATATCAGCAACGGCTAATTAAGTTGTAATAGATTATAATGCTCTTATCATGAAAACATATACGGCAGAAGTTTGCAATCTAACTAACTTTGCCAATAAGGTCACTTGCTAATGTTTAGGTGGTTATTTCATGAAGAATTCTAAATGTTTACGTAAACAATTATTTTATATACTTGTAGCATGTCATAGAAAATGCAAGACTTGTTCAATCATTTCAACTAATTGCATTGAATGTTCTACTAATTACATCAATCCTCCAACCTGTTCTTGTGTTAATGGATTTTAACTTATTGATCAGGCGTGTGTATCTTGCAATTAAAAATGTGCCCTCTGTTCTAATAATCAATGTTCTACTTGCATATCTCCTTTGGTTATGGATACTGATAACACTTGTCAATGTAATACTGGATATTACTTTGATCAATCCACCAATTAGTGTAGTAATTGTCAAACACAATGCTATCAATGCAAATATCAAGCAGACTATTGCACTAAATGTAATTTCAATAGAATCCTTCCTTTTAAGTGTGTCTGTCCAGAAGGTACCTATGAAGTATCTTTATCACTTCCATGTTAAAATTGTTCAAAACGCTGTTTTACTTGTGAAACTAATGCTTCCACTTGCATTTAATGTGCCACCCTTCGAATCAATTCACCTAGTTGCATTTGTCCAGATGGCTACTTCGAAAGTTCCAATTTAGATTGCCTAAAATGTCATAAGAAATGCTAGACTTGTGAACTAAGTGCTACGAATTGTCTTTAATGTTCAACTAATAGATCCTCCAGTTAATGCTAGTGCATTGATGGCTATTATGAGAATAATAATGAAGTCTGTATTAAATGTCATGTTAAATGTAAAACATGTAATGGATCTAGTGAAAATGATTGTCTGACTTGCGATTTAACTAGAAATTTTATTCAATCAACTACCTAATGCAATTGTAAAAAAGGATATTATTATGAAAATAACACATGCAATGCTTGTATTTAAGAAGTTGTAGAGTGCCAAACCAATTACTGTGGTGATGGTATAAAATAACCCTATGAGCAATGTGATGATTGGAATAAGATAAATAGAGATGGCTGTAATTCTTAATGTAAAGTTGAAGAAGGCTATCAATGTACATTAATTTAAAATCTTAAATTAAGTCCACTTATATACTATTCATAATGTATTCAATGTGCAGACGTTAATTGTAAATCATGTCCAAATGTTTAATTATGCTTTTAATGTAGATCAGGATACTTCTTAGATGAAAATTAATGCTCTCCTTGCGAGTAATTTTATTAATATTTATTTTGATAGTCTTCATTGTAAGGAATGTTCAGGACCCTCTAAAAAATAATGCAAGTCCTGTTTATTCGATATATTTTCAACGGAAGATTGCTAATTATGTGAGGATACTCAAGGCTTGTATCTCGAATTTGGTAATTGCGTTTCAAAATGTGGAGATGGTATAATACGATTAACAGAGCAATGTGATGATGGAAACACTATTGATGGAGACGGTTGTTCATCCACTTGCAAACTTGAACAACATTGGGTTTGTAGTTCTAATAATAACACCTAAAGCAAATGTGATATTGCTAATCTCCCTATTGCAACCATCACCTTCTAGAATCCAAGTAGTATTTATCAATCCAATATATATGGAGTAATTGCAATTAATAAAGTTATGCAAATTGATTAGATTAAAGCCTAATAACTTTGGATACAAGAAATTAAGGGTATGAATTAAACGAATTACTTCATTGAATTTGGATATGATATTAATTACGACTAATCTACATCTCAAATTACTTTAAATATTAATTTGTATGAATCATAATAGAACATGATTTATTAAATCACTTTTACTAATTATTTACCTTTTGATTCAGAGGGACAGCAATTGTCAACTCAATTTTTGGAGTACTAACTTGGAGATTTCTATAAAGTGTCTGAATTGCAATCGACTACAGCAGCAGCATCAAAGAAAGTCGGTTTATTTTTCTTGGCTACGTTAGGAGGAGCGGCTATTATTGGATTGCTGATGCAGAGTCTTGAGTTCTATTGGAATACATTGGACATGCTCCAATTATTTTCATATTTATCCTACATCAATGTTAGGTTTCCATATTTACATCTTGAATTTTTGGCCATATTTAAATTTGTTGAAATGGATTTTCTAAATGATTTGATGCCTTTGACTTTTATTTAAATTGGAGAGAATGAGAATTATCACAATTACCCATTATTGGTTGAACGAGATGTTAAGGAGAATCTACTGTTAAATCTGAGTTCCATTTTTGTGACTTATGGTTTGCCATTTCTAATTTATTTTGGATGTAGACTTATAACAAAATTAAATAATAAATACGTATTTGATTAAATTTTGATATCCGATTCAAGAAGTTTGGGTCCTTGTTCAATAAAATTGTATACTTATTAAATTTTATACTACATGAATAAGACTGCAAGTATATATGAACAAAGTTTTTTCTTCTAAATCCTTTTAAGAGTGCACTTGTCTAGTTTACTAGATTTAAATTTTGCTATATTTACAACAGTATATTGCTGGACATAACATTAAGAAACTACTCTTAATGATACTTTGTAATATCTATTCGCCAATTTGATGATCTTGGTTTAATTAGTGATAATCATTATATTGAGTGATTCGATGCTGGTTAAAAAGTATCAATTTGAATCCTTGTAATATAAACTAAAGTACGGATCTTTGTTTGAGGGATTTCAGATTTTTGGCATTCACAATCGATAGGCTGCTCTTCTTCAACCCTTTAAGAAGATCCTTTTCATGGCTTCGCTGTTGGTGTTTTTCAACAATGCTCTATATTAAATTGGTCTATTGACATCACTTCAAATGATATCTGCCATTATTTCAATAGTACTCCAACCCAGTGAAAACACTTTAGAAACAACAAAAGCCATTATTCAAGATTTTGGAATGTTGATCTCTCTTAATTTCATCCTCGTCTACTACGTTCAAGATAACTTCAACTACTTCTCGTAAGATACTATCGAATGGATCTCTTACTTTCACATCGGAGTGTATATTCTTATGTTGAGCACACAAGTGGTTATCGATTGTTACATGCAAATAAAGTTCCTTTTTAAGAAATACCCAAAATTAAAGTAATGCTCATCCAAAAAGGAAGTAGCATCTGTAACTTCAGGTAACACAAACTACTATCTAAGATAATAATTTATTGTAATCTAACCTATTTAAAGACCCATTAAGTTTAGAGAATGAAATAATAAACGGAATTATTATTTGTATTGATGATATAAACACATTAAAGATTACTCTATTTAAACATGCATTCAAAATGCTACTTATAATATATATAATTATATAATAAGAATATTTTAGCAATTAAATGATTCTACTTTTAACACATATTAATCATCTAAATTTTTTCATTTACACCATTTCCTATAAATACTCTCAATATGAATACCTCTGCTGCAGATGGATGAATTCCAACAGTCGAATCAAAATCAGATTTGGTAGCTCCCATTCTAATGGCCACAGCAAAGCCTTGGGTTACTTCAGCAGCTTCAGGTCCAATATAATGGAATCCAACTATTTAGTCAGTGTCTTTTCTGACTATCAATTTGCCCTAACAAATCGATGGGTTTCTAGCACTAATGTTCCAAGTCACTGGTTTAAAGACATTCTCAAAAATCTTGAGATTATCCTTCCCAAAAGTCTCAACAGCTTTCTCTTCTGACAGTCCGATGCAACTGTACTCTAAGGGAGTGAAGACTGTCGTAGCCACATCTCTATAATCCATAATGTCTGATGAGCCCTGATATAATCTCCTGATTAGCTTCCTTCCTGCCATTATAGCAGTTGGGGTTAGTTCTAATTTTCCAGAAACGCAATCTCCCACAGCATAAATATTTGGACAACTAGTTTGATCATACTTATTGACAATGATCTTTTGATCTTAATCAGTTTAAATTCCAACTCTCTCCAATCCTAGATTTTGAGTGTTGGCTTATCTTGAAATAGCCATCAGAACAGTGTCAAACTTCTCTGATTGCTCCTTTCCATTCTTGTCCTTCCAAGTAACAGTTTGACCTTCAATTTTAGAAGGTGTGCATCCATAATGAAACCTAACTCCCCTTTCAACCATATATTGACCCACAAATTGAGCGTATTATTGATCAAATTTCCTAAGCAACTTGCTTCTAACTAACACTTGTGTATCATATCCCAATCCATTCAGAAATCCTGCGCATTCTAGGGCCACATAGGATCCTCCTATAACCAAGGATTTGCCAGGGGGTTTTCTCATCCAAAACAGATCGTCTGATGTAATATAATTCTGAGGATTCAACCCTTCGTATAATTTCGGTCTGGCTCCAACTGAGACGATTATCTTTTCAGCAGTGACTGTACTCTTCTGGCCTCTTTAATCAGTAAGCTAAATTTGTGAATGCACGCATACCTCAATGGTGTTTGGATCAATCAACCTCGCCAATGAATTTATATATTGGACTCCTGCGATTTTGAGATTGTTCTCATGCATTCTGTTGAGTCTCAAGATGAGATTGGATACCACTTGCACCAACTTATTCCAATCATGGGAGCCATTTTCAGCAATGCCACTCCAACCTACTTTGCCCTAATCTTGTCTATAATCGCCCAATTGAGCAGCAATATGAAACATTTTTTTGGGGATGCACCCAACATTTACACAAGTTCCTCCGACACCCCAAGTCTGACCGTGAGGGGAGGGGACAACAAAGTCGGCCAAAGCAACTTTCTTTCCCAATTGGGCTGCTGCTTTGCTACTGGCCAGACCACCTGAACCTCCTCCGATTACGAAAAGGTCGTAGGAATAGCGAAATGCAATTTTCATTAGAATAAATATTTAATGCAACTAAAAAGGGGAACAATAATTGATGTATGATTTATTAGATAAACTAAATATATATATAAATATTTTGATATTAATTTATAAAGATGGAGAAAAGGAATGAAGATGAAGTCGTTTAAAGGAGTGGACAAATGCGAGTATTAAAACTGTTTTAAGTGAACTAGGCTGATTCTAAAATGGATGCTTCATCTCCGAATAAGAAGAGCGTGGCTAATGACGGACAATATGCCTCGAGAACCATCACGCATAGGAGGTCGATGAATTATGGAACCAGATCAAGCAAATCATCTTAAGACCACCATTTTGGAGTCAAAGTAGATAATTGTCACAATTTTAGAAAAGGATCGAGCAGTTTCTAGAAAGTTTCAATTACATGATATTTATGACAGTGGTAACGATTTATGCATTATTTGGTGATGATGTGAGAGTGTTGTCAACAAACAAAGTATGCTATTGGTATGAATTAGGATGGAGATGCTGCTTTTTGGGTGATAACAGCCATCTGCATGGGATTATTTTTGGTCGAAATAGTGTTGGCTTCAATTTGCAAAGTAAAAAGGTTTTTCATTCTATAAAGGATGGATACATTCTTGGATTCTTTTTTTGGTTGGATTTGTTGTCCACCGTTTCAATGTTATTGGACATCGGATGGGTGAACGAGGCAATGTTTGGAAGTGGAGGTGGTGCAGCCTTGAGTGCAGTGTCATTGGCTAGGTTTACATATGTTAAGATATTGAATATAGAGCAGGGAGAGCCTCAAGAGTGGGGACGAGAGCTGGGAGAATCGTGAGAGTGGTTCGACTTGTTAGGTTGTCCAAATTATATAAACACGCGAAACAGTCCTTGGAGAAGGAAGCAGAAAAACTATTGGCGGAGGAAATGAAGGATGAAAACTTGATGGACTAGAACCAATAAGAGCAAGAACAACCAAGTCATCCATAACAAAACAATGACAATATATCATCTTAAAAGTCAGTAGATTCATCTGACAGACACGTTAGAGATCAAGAGGAGTAACCACACATCTAGAAGACTCAACAACAGAGGACTTCAATCATGCTATAAAACAGACAAAGCAGTCAATTAAACACTGAAATTGAGCACAGGTTTCAACGTAGACAAACCAGGAAAATAGTATTGTCCGGATAAATTCAATCCTTGACCGTCATTCAGAAGAGAAAATCCATCATCCAAACTGCTGGAAAACCGTTGCAGAGGGTTTCAGATGAGGGGGAGGTTAAAGAAACCAACATCGGGAAGGAACTAACTGAATTAACAAACAAAAGAGTCATTACAATTGTGATGTTAATTTTATTCAGTGTGCCCATTCTCAATCTCAGTACTTATCGAGATGCTAATGTTAGTTTCACTACAGGCTTATAAGCAATTTAGTATTGGTCCAAAGACACAGAAATCTATAATTACCTAATCAAGGATTTCATTGTTTATCATGAACCCTTGCGAACTGGATTGGTTTTCTTTAAAATCAATTCTACAATCCTTTATCCCGCAGAAACTGAAAACCAATATGAATATGAGGATTACAGAACAGCCTCTCTATAATATTACACGTCTTCTGACTCTGATGATCAAACTGCAGTCTCCATTTCCAATACAGTAGCTGACGATGAATTGAATGCCATTTTATCAATCGTAAGAACTATTTTTGTTTCTATTGTGCTCTCTGTTGCAGCTGTGTTGTTCAGTAAAGATGTCTAAGATTTGATTCTGACACCAATTGAGAAGATGTTGGAAACTGTCAAGAAGATTTCAGAGAACCCTTTGGTTGCAGCTCAAGAAGAGGAAAATAAAGCATTTATTTAGATGATTGAAAATGGAGAGATGAAGGCCTTGGAAGATAAGGAAGATGAGAGATTGGAAACGGTCATTTTGTAGAAACTGATAGTGAAGATAGGGACTTTGTTAGCACTTGGTTTTGGAGAGGCAGGATCTTAGATCATTGCCCAAAATATGGGAGCCAATGCATCAATCAATCCGATGTTGCCAGGGAAAAAGGTGATGGCCATATTCGGCTTTTGTGACATTAGAAATTTCACTGATGCCACTGAAGTATTATAATAGGACGTAATGGTATTCGTGAATGAAATTGCTGAAATAGTGCATGGAGTAGTCGATTAATTCTCTGGAAGTGCTAACAAAAATATTGGAGATGCTTTTCTATTGGTTTGGAAATATGCAGAGAACGACTATTATCACGATGAGGATGGAAAATTGAGTCTCAAACCCTATGAGCATGTGGCCTAAATTGCAGACATGGCCATCCTGTCCTTTGTTACCATCATCACCAATGTTACTCTATCCCAAAAATTGCAGAAATACAAATAACATGAGGGATTGAACAATAGAATACCCAATTATTCTGTGAAGATGGGATTCGGATTGCATGTTGGCTGGGCTATAGAAGGAGCCATTGGATCTGAATACAAAATTGATGCCTCATATTTGAGTCCTAATGTTAACATGGCTTCTAGATTGGAGGCAGCCACCAAGCAATTTGGATCCATGATTCTCATCTCTGGATAATTGAGGGATGTTGCCACTAAAGTCACTTAGAAGAATCTAAGACACATAGACAGAGTAACTGTCAAAGGCAGCATTGAACCCATGGACATTTACACTGTTGATTTAAATGTTGACTCCTTGCTTAGAAAGGAACACAGAGCTAAAACTATACTGGATTTTCATAAGAAAGAAAAGATTAAGTAAGTTCATCTCTCAGAATCAGATCAATCGAAATTAAAAAAAAAATAAAAAGTATTAAAAAGAATGAAACGAGACAAACTCAAATAGGCTGTTCTTAAAAGCCATGTTCTAATATCTGAAACTTGGACCAAAGATCCCAACATTAAAATATCACGAGCTCTGTTTAGAAAGGTAAACTTATTCTATTTTGATTTAGGAATTCTATTAAAAGTGGAACGAGGGATTCGATTGCTATCTCTCTGGAGATTGGGATAAGGCCAAAGCTATTTTTGAAGAAACTTTGGTAATTTTTATATATCAAATGTCCCTTAGAATTTCTTGCCTAATTACAGAGACGGTCCTTCCAACACCCTGCTAAGAGTTATCAAAGAAGAACCCTATCTTAGGAATAACTGGAAGGGTTATCGTGAACTCACTGAAAAATGATTTTATGATCTTATTCATTCTTATTTAGATTGTTATTTATGAATACATTCAGTATATCAAATCATTATCTCGTAAGTCTCTGCTTGCTCACTTTTATACCCTCATCCCCTGGCTTCCAAGATTCCTAACCCACTTCATCGTGCATGTCAGTGTAATAAATGCCTCTATCAATTTTGATAAATATTCTTAAATTTTACCTTAAATATTCATCAACATTTCTGCCCACTGGAATGTCATTCAGTGTCTTAAAATTGCTTTACCATCAATAATGTAAGTTCCTCTGAACTATGCTCCATATTGTCCATTATTCTCATGTCTATCAAACATCCAAAAAATGTCGAAATGTTTTAAAATTATTAGACTCTATTCTAACTTTTCCAATATAAAAAATCAACATAATATTGAGCTTTCCCAATCTTTGTATCTCAAAATTCTTCATGTAGCAGAATTTCGAATCTTTTGATATTCCCACTACTTCGCATCCAATCTTTCTGAATTCCTATGGTGTCTATTAAGAACGAAATAAGTACTTCTACTCTATGCCTTTGAAATCTGTCAGAGAAACCTAAGATATGGATTCTATTAACTTTTTTGAACCTATCCTTGTAATAAGATTCACCACTAAAATTTGGAGAAGGTTTTCTAATTTTATTGGATTATTCTTGTACATAATAACTCAATCGTAATTAAATTAAATTGCCGTCACTGTGTATATAGGGACATAATATTTTTGTGCAAACATATAAATAAGATATGAGTTAAAAGCTTAAAATTAGAAAACCCGCTCCAGATTTCACAGCCCAAGCTTACTTGAATGGATCATTCAAGAAGGTGTCCCTTTCCGATTTCAAAGGCAAATACTTGGTCTTATTCTTTTATCCATTGGACTTCACTTTTGTTTGCCCAACTGAGATCATTGCCTTTTCTGACAGAGCAGAAGTACTTATCTCGTTCTTAACACACTCCATAGGAATTCAGAAAGATTGGATGCGAGGTTGCTGCTGTTTCAGTCGACTCACATTTTTCTCACATGAAGTATTGCCAAACCCCAAGAAATCAAGGCGGATTGGGCGATATGCAAATTCCTTTGATTGCTGACATTGCAAAGGTAAGGGATTTTCGTAAAGAATATTCTAGACTATTTCTGCTGATTATGGAGTTCTGATCGATGACCCTTAAGATGGAGATTTCGGAGTGGCATTCAGAGGCACATTCATAGTTGACAAGAATGGTGTTCTCAGACACTATTCAGTCAATGATTTGCCAGTCGGAAGAAATGTCGATGAAACATTGAGGTAATGAATGACGTAGATACAATTTCTAGATTGGTATAAGCCTTTTAATTCACTGACGAACACGGCGAGGTGTGCCCAGCCTCATGGAAACCAGGAAAACCAACAATGGTTCCTGATCACGGAAGCTAAAAGCTGTAACAATATTGGACAGAAGAACACGCAAAGAAAGAATGATTGAGTCATTTATTATATCAAAATTTATAAAATTGTTCTTCAATTAAAATTATTTGTGGTTAATTAGAGGCATATTTCAAATGCTATCGATACAGGTATCAACTTCAATTGTGAATTTAATTTATATATTTTATCATTATTCAAACATTTACTCCATAGCAATCCTATCCTTCTGATGTCTAGTCACTCTTTCCTAGTACCTGGCTCTTTCAGTTTCAGCAGTGGCGGGATTCTCTCGACAATAATCCTATATTGAAATCATGATATAGAGAGTACAGTGAGGAACCCAACTTCAGCCTCATTGATGGGTAGATGCTCATTGGGTTTGGCCTTCATGCGGAACAACAACTTATTGATTTCATGCATTGGCAAGATGGCATTGGCAATTCCGAAGCACACTCCAATGATGGCCTCTGTTGAGATTGATTACAAGAAGGTATATTCCCACCAAAGATTCGTCAACTAGTGATAGAATGAGAGGTTCTTACGCAATAAATTGGCAGGACATACTCCAATTATTCGATCATTTCTCTTGAGAGTACTGAAGAGTAATTGTACTTAATTGTTCTTCTTCTAGCAATATTGTATTTTTCAACCCAATAAAAAAAGAGTAAAGCAAAACAAGTGATTACTAAACCAATAGGAATGACAGAGGCATAGAAGGCGACAACGTACATGTTCTTCAACACTGTTGCATAGGATGTCGATATGTCAAAGACTGGTCTCTCGAATAAACTAAAAACTATAATGGAAACTGTACTCATGGAGTTGTTTTTATGTTTTGACTGAAGACTTGCCCTTTCGCAATTCAAAGAATTAGTAGAGCCATTTCAAAATAGTGGATGAGTCAACAAGTTGAATTAAAGCTGGTAAGATTGCGTTAGAGATGAACACATAAGTTTAATTGTAAACCAATCCTCCAGTGCCATATATATTTTTAGTAACCCAAGTGCTGATGGCGAAGGTAATAACTGCAGTATTAACAAATTAGGCCAGACTAGATTTACTTGCTAGACTGATGTTGAATCCTGTTTGAGTTGAGAATCTTTCAAAGAGGGAGACCTTCCTTATCACAACACTGAGGATGTAATTAATAACAATGATTGAAATGGATGCCAATTACGCTATCACTTTAACTTTATAATTAGGATTTAAATCTCCATTCTTCACTGCTTTGGCCTACTCATCAGCACTCTGAGCTTGAACAGCAGATAACCAGTAGATCAATCCACCACAGATTCCCAAGATGATAAAGGTAAGGAAATATCCTAGGATTCTTCTCCATATCTTCTGAGATGTTTGGATATGCAAATTCTCCCAAAAGACATCTGTTGGTTCTGGAGGTTATTCCACTTGCAATTATGAACCTCTGTAGATTAAGTTGCTCTTTCTGCCAAGAATTCTGGAACATAAGGACAATCTATGATCAATCAGCATCCATTAGACATCACTCTCCCATCTGAAAGTAACAAATGCTTATCCCAAGAAATACTATTTAACATCTTTCCCTTCAACAAATCTTTTCTCCAAGGCTTCCAACTTTGACTCAATCTCAGTTATCTGAGCATCAATTTCTTTAATCTATTCATTGTTGTTTATGTCCTCACTGCCTGGCAACAGACCTTGATCATACAAATCAGGCAACAACTAAAATACTGAACATTATCGATACCTTTTACTTTTAAGCAATCTTGGTTTGTTTTTCCTACTCCAATATAGTTTGTTCTTCTATGTTGTAACACAAGTTAACTGCTACCACTCTTGATAGTTTCTTCTCTGGTCTATTATTTCTTTATAAAAATTGTCTGAGTTCTTCCTCATAATCCAGAACTTCACTTGGCTTTTCGTAGGTTCTCTCGATGTAGACCTCGAGATAGTCCTTGAGATCTTGATCGAAGTCATCGTTTTTCAATCCTTCAGTGTGAGTGGGAATGTTCTTCAACAGTATTGTATAATCGGATGCATAGTAAGTACTGGAATCAATTTCAGTGTCGAAGGCTCTTTGTTCTTTCCTGAAATATTGAAACAAGATGATGAGTGTCAACATGGATATCAAATTGAGCATTTATTGCAAATCAATAAATTCTTAATCCTCCCTTTTGTTTGCCAAAGACAACCCTGTCACCCAATTGAATATACAAACTGTTTTCTCATCAATCTCAATTCCGATACTCTTATCCAATGTTTAACACGATTAACCGAAGGCTATGTTGGTGATGATGTTGTAATCTCCTGAGGTTACAAACATCACAATCAACATTAAAATACATGCCTTTATGTATTCAAAATACAAAGGCATACCTAAATGAATCACATCATTACCTGCTCCCAGAAACGAGTAATCCTAATTATTGCAATCTATTTTCACTCTGTCTTTTGGCACCTAACGAGCACAACATTTGCATATCTGTCCAACCAATTTTTCTTCTTCTGAAACATTTGGAGCATTCTAATGTAACCTCAGACTTCTCAATTAACTCTTTGATAACTTCGTTGTTCCCACATTCCACGCTTCCTAAATGATTACTCTATCAAATACTCTGTGCAGTTCAGCCAAATTAAAATCAGGGGGAATCTAATCAGATGGAAAATCCAAATTGCCCTCCTTACCTCCAAGAACGCCCGCCTACACTTCTTGAGGGAATTCTTGCTTGTTCGATACCACTCGCTATTCATCTTGGAACTACTGATATTTTTATGGTCCCTATCTGAACATCAAATCAAATCAATTAATATTACAATAAAATTTATTAACTTTTATATATATATCTAATTTCACCATCATTTTTCGATTGCCGTTTGAGAGATGTCCAATTTACACCATCCTCCAAACATTCCCTTATTCAAATGAATTAAGGGGTTCAATTATTTTATTTAACTTCTTGTAAATTGAACGATTGACAATAAATAAATAAATTATTTATTAAAATGAATGATACAATTGAGTTTGAGAGCTCTCTCAACGAAGTTACTCCCCAAGAAAAAGATATCGTCAATTATTTGTAGGAATTGAACTTAACATTCTTGACTGACCCTTAATCAAAATAGTTTAAATTTGAACAAGCAAAAAAACAACTGATCTTTTCCTATCGCTCCCTTGACTCCGACACCGATGGCTCAGATATGACACCACCCATGATCATCAAAACATAGTCACTCCTACTTACCAAGTCACCTCTAAGACAGAAACGATTATCCATTGTATCCGAACATCCATTAATCTGAATTATTTTCTGTCAATTTTTCACATTAATATTATATTAAATCTATTCGTTAATAAAATGAAGAACATAAGTTAAACAGTCGACATGAAGAACTTCGCAAAAAAAGAAGACAAAGAAAATTTGATTTTCTATTCCTCCATCAAAGACAAACTACCAAAACCCAATCCCATCCTGATTTAATAACTGCAATTAAACAAAGTAAACTCAGTATTACCATTGAAAAAAAAGTATTTTCCACTCCCAAACTATTAGCCATCTTGAACCGAACGAACAAGAAGCAACCTACAAAACACCCATCCAACAATAAGAACAAGAACTCCAGACCCACAAACCGATCACTCTCCAAGCATTCCTCAAACCCCTCAAACTCATCTACCAAAAATATCAACCTCAACAAAACCCAAACCTCTATGCAACTCTTCTCCACTCACCCAACCACAACCTCGATGCCTCCCATTACTACCAGAGCGACGAGGACATTAAATTTGACTCCCTCTTCGAAAGCGGGAACCTATTCCAAGTCTTCAAAGTAACTCTATCACATCTTAATTAGAAAAGCGATCGCGATTACATCCTACTCCTTCAAAACGACATCAACACAAAAGGCTACACACAATGGTTCTACTTCTCCGTCTCAAACAAGACTTCCCTCCTCAGCAACATCAGACTCAGCATCGTCAACATCAACAAAGACATGTGCTTCTATCGCCAAGGCATGAAGATTCTGATCAACGAATGCAACTCCTGGAGAAAAGACTCCCTGGGTCTATCCTTCAAAAAAAACCATATCCAAAGAAACGATTCCTCCTTCTACTACTCTCTCTCCTTCAATTACACCTTCATGGAGTAGGGCACTGTGTACTTTGCCTCCAATTACCCTTACACCTATTCCAATCTCCAAACATTCCTGTCTACCAAATATCTGGTCTACGACAGAATTATGAAAGTCAAAAACATAGTCACGAGCCAAGCAGGCAATGAGGTTCAGATCATCACCATAACCAATGACAACAGGGATGACAAACAAGGCTTACTCTTTATTGGGAGACAGCATCCAGGAGAAACGCCTAGCTCCTTTGTGATTGAAGGCATAGTCAATGCTCTATTGTCAACTGAGGCTCATGAATTGAGAAACAAGTTTGTTATCAAAATCATCCCCATGCTGAATGTTGACGGAGTGATCCACGGAAATCAGCGATGTGGTTTGGGGGGTTTCGATCTCAACAGAAAATGGGGATGCAATAGGGATGAAACATTAAATACAGTTGAAAAATTAATAACTAATTTTAATGAGAACTATCCCATCCAATTGATCTTGGATATTCACGGTCACAGCAAAAAGTATTACAAAATTCTAATAAATTAGACTGGCAGCCTTCTTTTATGGTCACAGTTGCAATGAATTCATTACTGAACTTTGCAATTCAGACAAAAGATTCAGTCTTGAAAACAGTCGGTTCATGAAAAACACTAAATACTTGAATCACACAGCCAGAGTCTTTTTATAAAAACTATTGAACATGAAACAGAATATCTATACGCTTGAGATTTCATACTTTGGGTACAAAGACCAAAATGTAATTGTCGATTTCACCCTAAATGATCTAAGGTCGATGGGAAGACAAATGATTGTCACGCTCTCTAAAAACATAGAGGCACAGATGTGGACTGAGAGCATTCTAATAGGGGAATAGAACTCAGACGTGAGCTTCTCAGATTCTTCGATATCAGAAGATGAAATCAGCTATGAAGAAATAAAGCAGATATCTTAGGAACCCCTAAAAGAAAAAAGTACAAATCTGGAAAAGTAATATACAAGGTCTAGTTCAATTAAATAAAGACAACTCAAGTCATCTCAATCCAGAAATAGGGCCAAATCACAATCCATACAAAATTAAATGAAATACTAATAGTTTTCTTACAATTTTATCGACAATTCTTTTAATAATTGCAATGTGAAAAATGATAATTATGATCATTAAAGCTTGTTCATTCCTCAACAAAAACCCAAACAATCTGAGTATACCATATAACCATTAGTTGTAATGCCTTCGCATAGTTTAAAGCACTAGTTCTTATGGTAGAATCGAATCAAGTAATAAAATTTTAAGGAGATTAAATTATAGAATCTCAAAGAGCAAAGAGATTTGAAGATTTACCAAGAATTCAAAGATTATGTCAATAATAAACAATACTCCAACAAGCCTTTGCTCCCTAAATTTTCATTTAATGACACAGACTTATTTAAAAGGGCACAAGCCAAAAAATAATATCTAATTATTAATTTATGATATATATAGACTGTATTTTTGTAATCACTTAATATTTATTTGTTCGTTTCAGTTAATGTTACAAAATAAAATGTTGATAACAATAGGACATGGAGTGCATTAGAAACAAAGTATATATTTCGATTCAATGAAGAAGTGGATAATACGTTCTACAACTAAATAATGAGAATTATAAAATCTAATTGACTTTCAATTATAAATACTAACGTAAATATTAGAGGTTTGACTCATCTCCACGAAAGTAGAATGAAATTGTACAAACATAAATAGGAATTTATATGAGATATATAAATGGATTGATAAATAGTAGAATCATAATTTTTCTTTAAGTTCCTATATATAATTGGTTAGAGATCTCTAGAAAATCTATCTTTTTACTTTGAAATAATTGGAAATAATTACCTTCTAAATTGGTTTCGGCGTCATGTAACTCTTTTGTCTTTCTTATTTGGTCAAGCAAAAAATTCTATAATATTTGTTCCATATCTGAAGGAGAACCTTGCGAGTTATTGATGAAATGTTGAAATTCAATTTTAAATTGATCAGAATTAATTAAATCCAATAGTTGTTCTTCACCTATTAATTCCTATATGTTTGGTATTTTGTTGCAAATGGACATAATTTTATTCTAGTTCTTCGAAACTTTTTTTAGCTTGGAATTGAGATTCTTTGGCTAATTTGAATTAACAGGATGACTTAAGATCTAAGAGGTTACTCGCTTATGTCTAACTTCAATTTCCGGTTAGGTGTTTTTTTTAATTTTATCCAAAGAAGGATTAATAGTTCTTCTGAATAGGAGCTTATTTTTAAGAAGAGGAGTTGCCTTTTCGCTGTTCTCCTAATCATTGCTTGTGTTGTCCTAGTTCAAGGTGGGTAATTTAGAGTTAAGGTATTGAGCGAGGGGTCTTCTAGGAGTGTATGGTTTGATTTATTGAATTTTCATTAGGTTTTCTTTTTCGAACATTTGCAAGACTTCTGTAATTTATTGATTTGGGGGATTGGAATATTAGGTTGAGTGTCTTTCTTTGAGAGGTTGGGTGAAGTTGAATTGAGTCATGGTTTAAATATGCTGAGATTGTAATTGTTTGGCGATCTTCTCTATGTCCTTGTAGATCGATTAGGAGCTATTGGAATGGCCGATGATGGGATTTTGAATAGGTTAAACGACTGATTGCCTTTGTTTTCTATAGTAGAATCTATGATGGGGGGATGGTTTGGTTTTGGCAAAGATACCTTCTTTTTACATCATCTCATATTGAGTGGGCACTAGGACAGGGTTGTTGTTTTCTTTGTTTTGAGATTTATTGGCAGACAATTCCATTAACAGATAAATGTATTAATAATTATCCGTTGACAAAATATAAAATAGTAATATATATATAATGGTAGGAATGGCAATCTGGGAATGGTGATAAGAATTTGCGAAATCTACAAATAAAATCGTATTAATTAGAGAATTTGATTATGATCCTATTTTGTGGAATTTAAAAAAGTTCTTCTTAATAAGAATAATAAATTAATGAAATAATATATACTTTGGCTTTCAATATTGTTTTATAGTGGAAGTTCTGAGAGTGTTTCTGATTTCCAGGGGAAGGCATTCAAGTTTACAAATAAGCAGAGCTGTAAGGCGACGAGAATTATTATTTATAGAAATTTACAAAGTGGATGTGGGATTGCCAGAAGATCAAATGGATTTAGGTTTGATTTCCTCTTATGGAGATTTTAATGGAGACAAAGCGTAAGTTTAGTTGATAAAGTTAGAGTAGACGTCGTAATTGTTGATTAGAAGAACAATAAAATAATAATCCTGTATTGGGATAATACAATAAATGAATTTGAATAAAAAAATATTTGTTAAAGCTGTTACCCAGTCAAAGACATCCTAATCCAAGGGACAATTCCATTGGATTATGATTACGACGGCTACTTGGATATCCTGGTAGTTTTAGGATATGAAGAAGGATTTATGATTAACATCTTGAGACAGAATGGGGTCTAGAATGGTTATCCAAACTTTGATAAGACACAAGAGAAGTATTCATCATCATCCTATCCCTTCGTTGGAGACTTCCTCGGCAATCACAAGTAAGATGTAATTTTAATCATGAATAGAACATCGATAATGATCACTACAGAGACTCAAAGATTGGTTGTCCAATATGGTTTACAATAACCAATTGATTTCCTTGATCTTGTCGATTCAAGTTGCTCAATTAAAGACTTCGAGAAAACAGTGAGTGCAGAGCTATTGAATCCCCACTTCAGTTCGTTTGTGGATGTAAGTTCTGATTGTCGAGCAGACTTAATTATAACATCTGATTTGGGCATAGAGTATTGGTACACTAAGTATGTACCTTCTGTTGTTGCTGAAAGTACAGATCAATTATTAAACAAACAACCGAGATTCTGTCTTCAAATGATAGACGCACTTCAGAGTGGAGCTGAGTTGAAGACCCTAGATTTTGTGGATATTAATTTCGATGGGTCCATTGACATGATCTACGTTTTCTAAAGGAATGACATCTAGAACTTGGTCATTAATTACAATCAATATGAGAATCCAAACAACCCTCCCAACTTGTGTTAATCGAATACAAAGGATTCAGAGAAATCAATGGCTTACCCCTATTCTGAATTCAGTCTGTTGGGCACAGCAACGAAATTGGTTACTCCATTAAGCAACGGAGACCAGGCAGTCAAACTCTATGATTACAAAAAACTAGACTTACAATTGGCTCTGGCTTCTTTCATAAGATTTGGTGATTATTTAGCCAACGGCTATCCAGGAGCATTCATGATCATTTACAATGAAACCACCTTCAAACCCAATATATACTATTTCAAGAATGTTCCCATCAGCAGTGGCTGTGAACTAGAATCCAGAATGTGTAGATAACTGATTGTGGATAATGATCCTGGAGATCACTTCTATTTGATCACTCAGATGGAAGGAATCAACGTAGCATTTTTCGATTTCGGAGAAAACGGAAGACTTGACTTCTTAGTTAACAGTATCTCCATGGACGAGGATCAAAAGCCAAGATACAACCTGGCAGCATTTTACAACTATATCTCTTTGGATGCCTTCTTCTTGAAAGCCTTAGGCATTAATGGACAATGTGCAGCAGATGAGGAGAGCAAGATTTCATGTCAAGGGTCTCTGTATTATGGGGCTACTTATCAATTCAGAGTGACTGACATTAGTGGATCCTATAAACCAGCTGCAGGAGTGCAATTGTATTAGTCTGCCTATTCTCCTTTGCAATTGCCTTATTCTTACATGGGTTTGGGCAGAACAAACAACTACATCGAGAACTTTTACTTGGGCATTCCCCTATTGAATGGACAGATTAGACAGTGGACTCCCATCATTCCTAACTCTTAATTGATCGTATCGCCCTACAGTGACAACACTAAATCGTAATTAGTTTTTCATTAATTCTTAGATGGACCTTGTCAATATTTATAGAACCCACTGAGGCAATATTGGTAGTTGTCATAGTAACCATTATAATTCTATTTGTGCTTGGTGGCATCATTATTTGGAAACACATCAAGGAGAAGGAAGATGATAAAAAGAATCAAGAACAGTTTTTTTAAATGTTTAGATGAATTATTTAATAAACATAATTATATACACTGATTGTTATGAATCTATTTAACTAAAATATTTTTAAAGTCAATTATCATCATATTGCTTCTTCTTATTCCGCCTATTGAATCTTATTGTCAGCCACTTCATTCGGCAGATCGTAGGATTCCCTCTTAGACGGTATGTAAAACTGGATGATCAGACATATATAAATGTTGATTAAGCTCCATTCGTTGACAGTGCTTAGGACTGTAATCTGTTTGGGTCTCAGTATTCTTATATATTGGTTGTAGAGTAAGACTATGAAACATAGTGTGGAAAGTATGTGCAAGAGCTTGTACTTCCTGATTTACACTTTTGCAAATTTGGATTAATCTTGCTCAGGGAAAATCTCGTATTGGATCTCCTAAATTTTGACTGCCTCGTTATTCACATTTGGTTGTGTGTAATTGAATTATTTGTAAAGCAAGTAAAAATAACATAGTGAATATATGGTTAAGACTGTCAATATGTATCTATCATAGATTTCATAGAATAGAATGTCCTTCTTGATGTCAAATTAGGAGTTGTTCTATTTCTGATAGAAGAGATAAAGATTCATGAATGCTTATGGCATAGTGTACAAGAGAACAATAATAATCTAAAATGCATGTTTAACTTACAGCAATTTCCTCTTATTAATGATATCTTCCATTGTCATATTTTGAAATTTCTAGAACTCAAAAATGATCAACCAGAAGTAAAACAAACTAGTGTGTACAAACAATTAGACCATATTTGTATAGCCTTGCACAAAATACAAATGAGAATATCTAAAGAGTTAGACTGGCATGTTATAAAATACCATCAGAACCAACAAAAAGGGTATCCATTTTAATATATCAGGCCATTGTATTCTTTGGTAACCATCGATGTTGATGTACAAATAACACATTGCATAAATGATGATCACAGTGAAAAGGAACTAATTTAAAGAATGTGAATAGTAGTTACTTAACATGAGAGCAGTATGCGATAGAATTGAGTACTTTCAAATGTTGATTGCAAATATTACAACTTCAAGGTTGAGTATTCTGGTGGTTTAATGATGGATATATGTGATAGGAAAAGAGTGTTTTGGTTTGTATTTATTTCCCTTAAGTCTCCGATGCAATTGAAATGATCGAACCATTTCTAGCAATTCAACTTCGTCTCTATTTGTTCATCTATCATCGTTGTTTCATATTTCTAGTAATTCTTCATCTCACTTTACTATTACGATATCATTTATACGTGGAATTATCAAGTGATTGATTGCTATACAAGGTTAATTGAACACCTATGCTACTGATTTAGAATTCAGAGGAAAGCTTGCTTTTATTCAATTTGTATAAATCTTCCTAATGGATATTTGTTGTTGTTACATTCGAGATTGAAACGTTGATCTCCAATTTAACATCCTTCATCTCGGGCTGGAACATCCCAATTGAAGAACAACTCATCTTAGTCGAATTCTAGTAATCACTTTCTTCGCATTCTTAATGATAAAATGGCTTAGAAATGAACTTCTTTCTATCCCCAATTCCGAAAAGCTACAGGCATAAGAAAAATGCAATCCAGCACGAAATCCGAACACAAATCTAGCTGTGAGTAAATGCCTCTACTTTTAAAGGAACTTATTAATAAATTGAAATCATATATATTTATCATTAATTATCCAATTCCGCAATTTGCATTGAATATTCAAAACCATAATTAAACTAAAGTTGTGATTGCAAAGAATAACCTTTCAGTTCTTGCTTCTAATCTATATATATATATATAGAATGACTATTTTTATTATACTAATGAAACAGTAGATTAACTTAAATTAATTTTAATATAATCATGAATATTGTAAAACCATCGGAGAAAAATCATCACCTATTGCAACTAATTTAGTCTTATTGTCATTTATCTTNAGACTGTCAATATGTATCTATCATAGATTTCATAGAATAGAATGTCCTTCTTGATGTCAAATTAGGAGTTGTTCTATTTCTGATAGAAGAGATAAAGATTCATGAATGCTTATGGCATAGTGTACAAGAGAACAATAATAATCTAAAATGCATGTTTAACTTACAGCAATTTCCTCTTATTAATGATATCTTCCATTGTCATATTTTGAAATTTCTAGAACTCAAAAATGATCAACCAGAAGTAAAACAAACTAGTGTGTACAAACAATTAGACCATATTTGTATAGCCTTGCACAAAATACAAATGAGAATATCTAAAGAGTTAGACTGGCATGTTATAAAATACCATCAGAACCAACAAAAAGGGTATCCATTTTAATATATCAGGCCATTGTATTCTTTGGTAACCATCGATGTTGATGTACAAATAACACATTGCATAAATGATGATCACAGTGAAAAGGAACTAATTTAAAGAATGTGAATAGTAGTTACTTAACATGAGAGCAGTATGCGATAGAATTGAGTACTTTCAAATGTTGATTGCAAATATTACAACTTCAAGGTTGAGTATTCTGGTGGTTTAATGATGGATATATGTGATAGGAAAAGAGTGTTTTGGTTTGTATTTATTTCCCTTAAGTCTCCGATGCAATTGAAATGATCGAACCATTTCTAGCAATTCAACTTCGTCTCTATTTGTTCATCTATCATCGTTGTTTCATATTTCTAGTAATTCTTCATCTCACTTTACTATTACGATATCATTTATACGTGGAATTATCAAGTGATTGATTGCTATACAAGGTTAATTGAACACCTATGCTACTGATTTAGAATTCAGAGGAAAGCTTGCTTTTATTCAATTTGTATAAATCTTCCTAATGGATATTTGTTGTTGTTACATTCGAGATTGAAACGTTGATCTCCAATTTAACATCCTTCATCTCGGGCTGGAACATCCCAATTGAAGAACAACTCATCTTAGTCGAATTCTAGTAATCACTTTCTTCGCATTCTTAATGATAAAATGGCTTAGAAATGAACTTCTTTCTATCCCCAATTCCGAAAAGCTACAGGCATAAGAAAAATGCAATCCAGCACGAAATCCGAACACAAATCTAGCTGTGAGTAAATGCCTCTACTTTTAAAGGAACTTATTAATAAATTGAAATCATATATATTTATCATTAATTATCCAATTCCGCAATTTGCATTGAATATTCAAAACCATAATTAAACTAAAGTTGTGATTGCAAAGAATAACCTTTCAGTTCTTGCTTCTAATCTATATATATATATATAGAATGACTATTTTTATTATACTAATGAAACAGTAGATTAACTTAAATTAATTTTAATATAATCATGAATATTGTAAAACCATCGGAGAAAAATCATCACCTATTGCAACTAATTTAGTCTTATTGTCATTTATCTTCATTTATCTCACACACCCCTTATTCATTGCTCCAAATCCATATAGACATTGACCTGAATCATTATCATAAAACAAGATATTGCCATCTCCACATCCTGCAATCGTCATATTGTATATAGTCTCAATAGAAAACACTGCATCTTTGGCCTTCATCATAGACACAGGCTTGAACCCAGCCACTATATCGGTTATTTTACAAGTTGCATCAGCACTGCCTGTAATTACTAAGAAATTAATCCAAAATCTTACTAAAATTCTATAGATTCACTGCCAGACCATTGATTGATCCCTTATGAATCTAACTCTAATTCACCAACTTATTGGTTCTCATATCATGAATCACCAATGTCCCATCATTAATCCCAGCCGTAATCACAAGATTATTATTTCCTCCATCTGAATACAATAAGCATTTAGAAACAGCTCCTTGATGAGCATGTTTGGACATCACAGGCTCTCCCTCATTTATGTCCCAAAACACAACAGTGCCCTACTTATCACCACTCACGCACAATGAGTTTCTCCAATCAAAATCTAACACTGCACTTTTATGTGGTCCAAACAATTTCCTACTCTCCTACATTGAACTCAATTGCCATATCGCCAATGTTTAATCATATGAACTTGAAATACAAACTGACTATTCATCCACCATCAATTTAGTAATCGATCCTTGATGCCCAACCAAATCATTACATCTTACTCCCTTAGCATCCCATAAACAGAGTTTGCTGTCCATCCCAGCTGATATTATTTACCCATTTTGCAAATGCTACACTGCACTAACCCATTCTGTGTGTCCATATCTCTTTGCATACAATTCTTTCTCGTATTTCATGGAAGACAAATTGTAACATCTCAAACCATGATCAGCTGATCCAGTAACTAAATGATCCTTCATTATATCCATACAGAAGATCCCTCTGCCATCTATCGAATTAATCATTTAATACGTCCAGGTTCCAAGGGTACACTATTTGTTGGACCCTTCCTCCATTAAGACAACAATTAATGTGATAACATTTCTACTTATATATATATATATTAATATTAATTCATAAATTTTAGGGAATCATAAAAGCACAAACATCTCTTTGTTCTTCACTACAAAAATTGAAATGACTGCATGCTTCAAATGTTGCAACGACATCCACTTTGATACCAAACTTTTTAAATTTCTCAAAGTATGAATCTGGCAAATCTTGCTTCTCTCTTCCTGTCCCAATCAATACATAGCCTATATATAAATTGATCACTTCTTACTTGGTCTTGGCTTTATCACTTCCAAAATATCAAAACTGTGAGCCCTGATATCAGCTGCAGTTTAGACATCCCATAAAAATATTTATTGAGGGAATATTAATATGCTCCCTGGATACCAAACATCATTCACTGAAAAGTACCCATTGCCCAATCCAAACACCTGCTGTAAAAAGGGTTTGTTATGCAGAGTTGGATCGATAAAATCAAATATGTATTCTGTTTTCCTTTTATTTTGTTTTGTATCATAAAATTCTCTCGGTTTGCTTATTGATGGATCCTTAAAAGGCAACTCGGTCTTCCTCTCCATTATTCGTTGTTTTATCTACTCCATATTGACAGTCACATTTTTCTTATCAATGTTTTAATTTTAACAAAATAAAAATTTTGGAAGCCTTCTCAATTATAACATAAAATTAATTATTATCAAGGAAATATACATTGAGTTCGACAATTATCATCCCCAACTTAATTGACAGAGAGTCAAAATGAAAATTTTGATGAAAATTAAAAAATCATCCATTAATCTTTTAATGATATTTATTAGGCTATTATTATCTATACACATCTATTTTTTGAATTAATATAAATAATACCTTACTCTCTATTTTACCATAAAATAAATTAATAGTTTCATGTATAAATCTGTCACTCTATTAAAATACCTTGTTGCTAATGCTAGTTTAGGTTTTGTGTATTTTGGATACTCAGTTGGTTATTTGAATCCTGCATTATAAACAGTAGACGTTGTTTTTGGAATCACAGAAAATGTTGATTATTTTAATGGCCTATTATCAGGTATAGAATACTCCTATTTAGCAATTATGACTATTGGAGCTGCAATTGGTGTTTTGATCATGCCAAACATGTTGCAATATTTCAGTAGAAGACAATCATTAATTATTTTGGACTTCTTTGGAATTTTGGGATACGGAGTTTAATTAATTGGAGAGTGGAAGTTTTTGGTAATTGGAAGGTTTGTAGCAGGCGTAGTACTTGGTCTTAATTCGGCATTGGTAAAATAATGAATCTAATTTCATTAAGGTTCCAGTTTATGTAAATGAGTTCAGTCCTCCAGAACTCTAAGGCGTATTAGGTTCCATTATGACAATGTCTGGTAGCTTTGGTTTATTTCTCTCTTTCACTATAGGATTATGGTATATTGCAAAAAATATATTTATTTAGGTATAAGCAAAGCCCAACCATAGATGATCAGTATTGGAGAGTCGGGTTTTCTTTTCCTTTGTTAGTTTGTGCCTTTCGTAGTTACAATCTCATTAGCAACTTTAAACTAGATTCGCCTAATTATTATATCAGTATAAATGATGAGCAAAATGCTATTGAATCTATAAAGGTGATATATTAAGAATAATACGTTTAAGATGTATTGAAATAAATAAAACAAAATCAAAAGTATATGATGCATTGATGTTTAGGCAAAATACGAGTTCAACAGAATCGTATAAGGATTTACTTTACGGAAGATTATTTAGGAATTTAGTTAGAATTTCTGTATTAGCATGCATAGGATAACTGTTAGGCATTAATGCTGTGATATTTTACTCAACCTAGATCTTTAACTAGATTACAAATAATGATGTGTAGAAATCAAATATTCTCAATCTTTTCATTCCTTTATTGGGCATTCTCGGAGCTTATTTGATGGGTTTTCTGCTAAATAAAATAACGAGAAAAAATTTCTTTTTATTAGGAGCTGTATCGTGCGTGTTAATTGAGTTTCCCCTTGGATATATGACATCATTATAGGAATAACCTGCTATCCTAGTTGTGATATTCATATTTCTCTTTATATTGCTATTTTCTACAACAATAGGACCTGCATTTTGGGTAAGTTGATTTTAATATCATAGGTTGTAATGCCAGAAATGGTTTCTCCAAAAGGAGTTTGTGTTGCGACTAGTGTAAATTGGTTGGGCACAGCTGTTGTGGGCCAATTTTTCCCAATGCTGGTCTCTTCTTTCAGCATATCCGCTTGCTTTTACATCTTTTCATTTGCAGGAATCTTAGGGATATTTTACATATAATACGATTTCACAACAGACCCAAAAAATATTGACACTTAGGAAAACACAGAACTGGTGATTTTAAATTAATGATTTCTGATTGTATTATAATTTAGATTGTGCAACATCTTCATAATTTTAATTCTGTTTATATTCTTATTGTGTAGTAAAATTTAATTCAATACATTATTAATAGTAGAAAAATCAATTTTAAGTTTTAAAACAAATTTTTTTAATGACCTGATTAATTATTATGGTTTAGTTATTAACATTAATTAAAAGTATTAAAATAATTAGAGCATTTAATCAATTTGTTATTTACAGATTCTTTTAAATCTACTTACATGAAATACTTCATCTTTTATTCATTCTCCATCAAGAATTAACTGATTAAACAATATTATTATCTATCCACTTAAATCGCAAAAACCCTCTAGTTTCGTCGCAAAATAGTTAAATTTGCTTATTAGATAAGAGGTCAAATCAATAAACGTTGAACTAGTGAAAAATGAAGAACCCATAATTTTCTAAAATGTTATTCGAAATATTTAGAAAATCATTTCCACCAGATTTGCGATAATAATTCAAACAAATTGATCCGACCATTCACATAAGACGAGTGTGAAAAATGTTGCCCAAATGAGGTGAACATCAAAAATTTGATATTTAAATAAACTATATAATTTTATTGAATATTTTATTGCTCAGTCATATAAATGGGTTTCGTTACCACACTTCATCTTGATCTATACCGAAATATGGTTATGAATGAGCGAATATCGATTTGGAATTATCTGGTCAGTAAATTATCAATAGAAAAAAAAATTATAAGAGTTATTCAGGCTTTAACCAAACACTAAGCTTGAGGGGATATATATTGATAATACTTAAATAAGAAAATCAATAATTGTAAAAAAAATAATGATTTTAAGTAAGGCTCATTTTTAATATAAAAATTTCTTAATATCCTAATGCTGAGCCTGTAATATTTTTTTGGCTTCCTCAATAGCTGAAACCTTATTGATCCTATCTCTTAAATTCCAGTCCAAGGATTCAAAAATATTAGTAAAATTAGCTTTTAAATTTTCATTTAATCTTTGTTCATTAGGTTGAGAGCTCTAAAAGGGAGCCTGGTGGGTTTAGATCTTATGCATCTAGTCAATTTACTTCTTTACTTACGTAGATGCCAATCTTAAACTGCTCTCAACATTTTACTCTTTAAAATCAACATCATTCATAAAACTCTCTGATCTTATATCTTTAATATTATATTAATTTAGAGGTAAGTGACCTCCTTGCATTATTTCGATATGCAAGAAGTCTGATCCCAAATTCAGTTCTATTTTTCCAGTTTATTTACAAATTGAAACAAAAAAAACTGAGCGTTTAAGGAAAAACTTTCTATTTCGTTTCTCTTTCTTGCTAAATGATGATCGAGATGAATCAATGTTCCTAATTTTGGAATGACTATCCCTAAAATCCATCTCAAATTTTAGAGGGACTTTAGAAATTTAATCAATTTCAAGATTTGAACAATCCATAAAATATAGTTAATTAATTAATAGTATTTATGAGAGAAGATTAGCTGCATAAATTTAGTAAATATTCATGAATTTGATTAATACTTAACTTATAAGAATTAAAATAGGACTTACTATTATAGTAATCTTTCATCGACACGTTATAAAATAATATTAATGTAATTAATATAACTTTTTAAAAAATCATTATAAAATATTGTTAACATAATATATTTGATATCTTTATTGAATTTGGAATAATCGGTTAACTCATGAAGTTATTAGCCTTTTAAATGCAAAAAAATAGATAATTCATTAATTTAAATTTTATCCCAAGATAAATATCCTTGAAATAAAAAGAGAGCTATTCGGGTAATCAAGTATATCTTGTAGCATTTTAATTCTCCTTCATTATGAAGCACATTGATCGTTCGTAAGTCTTGTAATAATTATTAATAAAAACCCTGTAGTATTCAACCAGTAATATAATAATATATATAAAAAAATAAATTATTTCTAATAAAGAACTAAATTCATTGATTTTATTCTTAATACTAAGAATAAATTTCATCCATTATCAATTAGATAATGGCAACTCTGAGTTCGAATCATATAACTATACAAAAAATGTTGTTGAACTCAATAATTATAAAAGTTTCATCAGATCGATAATAATAATAATAATATAATACTCAATCATGACACCATCAACCTATGTTGGATTTAAATGAAATTTTGTAGTTCTATTAAGTTGGTAAAGGTTGGATAATGTTTCTAATCAGATTTCGATAAAGAAATATTTTTTTCGTTTATTTTAAGTGACTTGAATATTGATTTTGAAGCCATGATCAGTCCTTTTTGAATAGATATCTATTAGTTCTCCTGTTGCCTCTATTTTTTAAATTAATTTTATTTATATAGTAAAATCTCCCCAGAATTGTAGTCGACTAAAACTGATGTGTTGAGAATATAAACTTTAGGTTTCCTCCTATGCTTTGTCTACTGAGGAGCCACAGTACCTAATTTTTTATATAAGTTTATAATATATTTGGCAGATGAGTAATTGATGGAGTGGAGTTTAGAAGCCTTGTATATAAATTGCTATCTTACTTGATGAATAGATAAGTGATCAGTCATTACACTTTCAATGAGTTATTATTTTAGTGAGAGACTTATCTTCTTAACCTTTTTTGGCTTCATCTTGACCCTCAAATCTTTAAATTTTTATTCAAGCATTGTTCTTTATCAAATTATTTAATAATTAAAATCCTTGTAAAATAAGACTTTATAATCTCAAAGTTATCAAAATGAAATTAGATTTATATGATAGTCATTCTAGTATTAATATTAGTCTATATTCATGAACAATAATATTTTTTGGAATTTAATTACATTTTTCATAATATATCTTGATTCGAAAGAGAGAAAAATTAACAAAACAGCAATTGTATTTATATCTATAATTGTAAGTGATTTTGGAATTATGATAAATGAAGATCTATTAATTAACCTTTGCATAGTTTACGAAAGTATTTAATTAATAATACAAAAATGACATAAATAATTTTTTGATTTTTTATTTAGTCAGAATATGTGACCCAACTTAAAATCTATTGAGCATTTCTTCATCTCATTTTACTTTACTATGAAATTTGTGCCAAGAAATTTTGTCCCAATCTCATATATATCAACTCTGTTTTTTATGCTCTTCTAATAATTATGAAAAGTAACCATAACTACTCAGTTAAACTGATTTAGTCTAAAGACTACTTTCATATGAAACATATCGTATGATATTCAGATTGTTGTTTGTCGAGAAGATTTTAAAGTTCAGCCAATCATATTCCTTCCTTTTTAAAATTTCTCGAAATATAGATTGCAGTGTAATATCTTATCAAAAGTTTCTAAGCAACCTTAAATACCTCATAAACTATACTTATAAAGTGAACACATATCAGAAGTTACCAATATGATCAAAGTTTATTTTCTATTGATATCTAATCTTTCGTTGTTTCTCAATTTTTTTCGATGAATTTGTTAGCAAAGCGTAATTATTTTTAACTTGATATTTAACTTACTATTAGGAACTATTTCATATTAAGAACTTTTAAATCATGGATAATTTCAATATAAATTGATCATTTTCCAAAAATTTCTATTATCCTGCTTAAATAGTATCTATACTAGTAACATAGCTATATCTCCCTTCTAAGTTATACGATAGAAGTTAAAAAAAAGTATTTTATATCATGCAAGAGTCGATATGTTTCTATTCTTATTTGGCGAGTAGAAATATGTTTTAAAGCTTAGCATTTAGTTTAATCTGCATACTAGATCCATTATTATTTATACATTCCTCATATCAAACTGTATCAGTACACAATACAAATTATATTTTATATATTATGTCACTTGGATGGATAGATTCATTTGACTACTCAAACGATGATTTTCAGTCTTTATTCACCAAATCCATTACATATTTATGATGTGTATTTCACTATTTATTTTGCCAAATTTTATGATAAAATAAATTTAAACTTTCACAGACTCCAATTAAAATGAATTAATAAATACATAATTTATAATGTTCCATTTCTTAAATTATATTAGAAGATATATCAGAAATTTTGTTAAATGAAAATTTTGAAAAGTATTAGTAATGAAAATGGAACTTCACACAATATGGTTATAATATATATATACAAAAGTTATGTACTGATTAAACCAAAAAGCAACTGTATTTATAGTATTATTACTTGCAGTAGTGTATCATAATCGATCTTAATAAGCGCATCTAAGACTTAAGTAATAATTAAAATAAAACGTTATCAATTTTAAATTTTAAGTGGACAATTCAGAGGATGAATCATTCATATATGACTCCTCAATCTCAAATTGCCATTGACTTTTCATAGAACTATCAATATATTTCAATCAGTTAAAATGCAAAGAACATTATGATTCTATTTAGAAAAGTGACCCTGTCTAAAAAAATTTCAAGTAAAAACCAAGATATATTAAAGTTACTCTTATTAGGCCTAAATTTGAATCTAAATATCTAGGTTCCAAAAGAATAATCAACAATTAAAATTTTAACAAACTATTTCTAAAAAAAAAGATATTTGAAATAAAAGCTGATATTAATTTAAGAATTAAAAAAATAAATAAATAACAAAAATTTTGAGTAATAATAATTCTAATAGGCAGCAAATCATTTCTTTGTAGCTTTTTTTTAGTTAGCCTATGCCTTTTTTGGATCTTATGCCTACTGTTTTTCTAAATTCTCAAAAAATTTATCAGGATCTTAATAATTAGGATTCGAAGGCTTTAAGGTAGTTTCTATCCATGTATCTAAGTCCTATAATAAAATGCTATGCTTACATCAATATCTTATTTCTTTTCTGCATCTTAATCCATTTTTACTTTATCCCTCCATAGCGTTCCTTTCTTAATCTTAGATTGAATTAGCTAAATTTTTTTTTCCATTTCTTTTTCATGCAATTAGTTAATATTGACTTTTCTTTATACGTTACTTGATCCTGTAATCAATCCTCCTTCTTTAAAAAAATCAGATGCATATTCTGGATTTTTATAAATTTTATCTCCTAAGGCAGCTACTGGCAAACTGATTTATATACAAAAATTACCCATTTCTCATTTAATACAGGTATTCTAACCTTTACTTTTTTCCCATCATTTCTTCAATCTCATGTCTTTTTTCACAATGAATTGGTGGAAATGTTTTAATGCCATATGGAACATCCTCAAGATGTCCTGACTATCCTTCTTAGAGATGCAGTCTTTATGCTCGAGGTTTCTTCTCTTATGGACGATGATCAATAAATTATTTTCCTAAAATTATAACTGCTTTTGCATACCGGGAGGAAATTCTTATGATTTGCCATCACCTGGTCTTGGTATACTTGTTTTGAGATGAGGTACCCAAGTGTAAGGATCTCCATATTTTGGATCAAAATGTACCCTCCCCAATGGTTGTTGAATTTCTCCTCCTGCAAAATCAGTAATACAATCTTAAGGTTTTATGTGAATTTTCTATAATATTGACTCAGGTTTACTTCTGAATAATTAAATTTACAGGATTACAACCCATCCCATGCTTACTATGATTACATTTGTTCTGCTATTATTATAAAGTTTTATAAAATTAATATAATCAACTTATATTCATATTATCCTGTTCAGAAATAACAACCTATTAGTTAAGACTTCACACTCTGACTAGTTAGTCTTATTTAAATTGTTCCTTATTAAACAATCAAATAAGATCTAACTATATTTTCAACAATTTTGAATATATTTCAAAATTATTCAATAACATAAGCGTTGTACGGTCTTTACTATCTGTCATTATTTTAGAATCAATAAAATTGAAATATTTATGTTTTTATAAAATTATTTTTTTCCTTAATTAAAGTAATTTAATTTGCTCTTTGAAATTAGAATAAAAGTGATTTCAATTTCAGATCGAAACTCAGGAATAAATACTAATAAATTAAGCACATCTTTATTTATGTAAATTTAGCAGGCTTCAATAACAAGCAGCTCCATGCAGTTATTCATGAATTGGAATGATTCTTGCCAATAATTTTACATGCATATAAAGAAAAAGGAATCTAATAAAAATGAAATAACAAGTGGTTGAATTTATTTTTATTTTTGATGCTTAAAAATAAAAAGGAAACAATTAAATAAGAAGTTCTCAAAAATTAATTAAATTTCTTGCAATCTGAAAGAGAAAATAAAAATGCTCTCTCCAACATTGATTTTGAAACTAAAGAGTGATACTCAAAATTAGGAAATGCTTTTAAATATGCTACTCTAGCATAATTTTAATTTCTAAACAAGCACAAGCATTGGGTTGATAATTATAGAAATTAAGTTAATAGAATTGTTTTAAGTAATGCTAAATTAGTTTATAAAGAGTTCCTCTTCAATTTTCTTATCATTTTATAAATATTTTCATTAAAAAATACTTGAATGGTTTAAGCTACTAGTTTATATACATGTGGTTTAATTAGTAGTGTAAGCATACCAAATTTAGCAAAGAGAAGATTTTAATTTGAGAATTAATAAGCAATTCTTTTGAGGTCAAATTAGAATATTGTTATTTTTGATGAATGCAGCCTTATAAATATCGTAGTAGTGCTAGCCAACAAATTTTTGGAGAATTTTTCCGCGAACTATAAAAATTATTATATTATTAAGTAGGAGTCGCATCTAATGAGAATAAAATATTAGGTATGATGTAAGGTTTCCATAATCTTAATATTTCCAAGTAATTTTTATAAGATCCTTTTTAGCTTTTAGGTGATCTGATTTATTATATGCTTTTTAATTTCCAATTTTACTGATTCATAACCCTAAATGCTTACATCCCTATTCTACTGGATTTAAAAATACTTCTACAAACTTGGAATGATATTGTAATATATTTAAACTACTTTTTTATAATAACTATATACTATAAATATATTCAATTATAGAATTATTAGTAATGATTTCTGAAATAAAGAGTAAAAACTAGATATTTTATCCTAATGGTGATGAATATACTGGGTATATAAGGCATAATGAAAAAAATGGCAAGGGTGAAATGAAATATCAAAATGGAGAAATATATGATGGAGATTGGGTCAATGATTAAAGAACAGGAAAGGGTAAATACACATGGCCTGATGGAGATATGTACTATGGAGATTGGGTCAATGATGTAAGAACGGGAAAAGGTGAATATACTTGGATTAATGGGAAAAAGTATAATGGAGACTATGAATCTAATCAAAAACATGGAGTTGGAGAGCAAACATGGCCTAATGGAAAAAACTACTATGGAAATTGGGAAAAAGGTAAAAAGTCAGGAAAAGGTCGATTTGAAGATGAAAACGGTTAATATTATGGGGAATTTTTTAATGGTTTGAAACAAGGAGAAGGCGTCCAAAAATGGAAAAATGGAGATGAATATGATGGATAGTGGGTGAATGATCAGAGAACTGGAAAAGGAAAATTTAAAGGGTCAGATGGTGAATATGAAGGTTTTTTATTAAACGGTGTAAAACATGGAAAAGGAAAATTCAAAGGGGTAGATGGTGAATATGAAGGGGATTTCTTAAATGATCTAAAACATGGATAAGGAAAATTCAAAGAGGCATAAGGTGAATATGAAGGAGATTTCTTCGAAGGAGTTAAACACGGAAAAGGAAAACTTACATGGGCTAATGGAGATGTATATGAGGGTGAGTGGAACTTAAATAAGAGAGCTGGAAAAGGCCAATTTAAAGAGGCTGATAGTGAATATGAAGGGGATTTCTTAAATGATTTAAAACATGGAAAAGGCATTTAAAAATGGAAAAATGGAGATGAATATGAAGGTGATTTCTTTAATGGTTTGAAACATGGAGAAGGTGTTCAAAAATGGAAGAATGGAGATAAATATGATGGATAATGGGTGAATGATAGGATGAGTGGAGAAGGAAAATTTAAAGAGGCAGATGGTGAATATGAAGGTTATTTATTAAATGGTGTAAAACATGGAAAAGGAAGATTTAAATGGACTAATGGAGATGTGTATGAGGGAGAATGGTAGTTGGATAAGAGAACTGGAAAAGGTAAATTTATATGGGCTTATGGTGAATATGAAGGAGATTTCTTAGAAGGTGTAAAACACGGAAAAGGTCAATATAAAGGGGTAGATGGTGAATATGTAGGTGATTTCTTTAATGGATTAAAACATGGAAATGGGAAGTTTTTATGGATGAACTAAGATGTGTACGAGGGAGAATGGAAATTGGAGAAGAGAACTGGAAAAGGCAAATTTAAAGAATTATATGGTGAATATGAAGGGGATTTCTTAGAAGGTGTAAAACATGGAAAAGGTAGATGTATAGGGGTAGGTTATGAATACGAAGGGGATTTCGTAAATGGTTTAAAACATGGAAAAGGCATTTATAAATGGAAAAATGGAGATGAATATGAATATGAAGGTGGTTTCTTCAATGATTTGAAACATGGAGAAGGTGTTCAAAAATGGAAGAATGGAGATAAATATGATGGATAATGGGTGAATAATAAGATGAGTGGAGAAGGAAAATTAAAAGGGGCAGATGGTGAATATGAAGGTTATTTATTAAACGGTGTAAAACATGGAAAGGAAAATTCAAAGGGGTAGATGGTGAATATGAAGGGGATTTCTTAAATGATCTAAAACATGGATAAGGAAAATTCAAAGAGGCATAAGGTGAATATGAAGGAGATTTCTTCGAAGGAGTTAAACACGGAAAAGGAAAACTTACATGGGCTAATGGAGATGTATATGAGGGTGAGTGGAACTTAAATAAGAGAGCTGGAAAAGGCCAATTTAAAGAGGCTAATGATGAATATGAAGGGGATTTCGTAAATGGTTTAAGACATGGTAAAGGCATTTAAAAATGGAAAAATGGAGATGAATATTATGAAGGAGATTATGTAGAAGACAAAAAACACGGAAAGGGAAAGTATAAATGGGCAAGCCAGGATGAATATATTGGAGAATGGTAAAATGAATAACGAACTGGATTTGGCCGCTTAAAATGGTCTGATGGGGCTCTATACATTGGAAATTATCTTAACGGTTTAAAACATGGAAAAGGTATATTTACATGGGCTAATGGAAGTGTATATGATGGAGATTGGATCAATGATAAGAGACATGGAAAAGGTAAAATAAAATACGTTAATGGGGATTAATTTGAAGGAGATTGGTTTGAAGATAAGAAAACTAAAGGAAAATAAACATTTATTAATGGTTCATAGTATGTTGGTGATTTTTTAAATGATGCAAAACATGGAATGGGCTTATTGATATGGGCTAATGGAGACTAATACTTTGGAGGTTGGAAAGATGATTAAAAACATGGAAATGGGACATTTAAGGGGGCAAATGGTGAATCATATAGTGGAAGTTGGGCTAATAATTAAAAGGCAACTATTTCATAATCAAAAAGTAAAGGAAATCTATTTTCAAGAACCGATTATTAGAGGTATTTATGATATATAAAATAATCATGATTTTTTTGATTTGAATCATAAACTTGTCAATCTACTGCCTAATCTGCTGAAATACGTTAATTTATTTGCCTCATCAATTATTTTTCCATTTGTTTCAGCTAAACCTAAATTGTTGAAACTGCAATTAAATTTAGTAAAATTTTAAATTAAGATTCAATAAACACCCTTAATTTTAATGCAATCTTTTTTGGATATAGTTTAGCTTAAAGATAATGAATTATTAATATCTTTTAAATTCAGAATACTCATGTGATGCTCATAATTGCAACTTTTGACAAGTGAAAGTATTAAATTTCATGTAAATGCCTGGCTCTACAATATTTTCTCTTGCTAGAGATTTTGCTGTTGTGAGCCTAAGAACCTAAGGACAGGTAGTGTATTGCAGTAAATTTTAGTATGATTGCCACTAGTCTTAAAGTCTGGTCTTATTAAATACGTTGCCTATTTAAAATAGTGATAGACACTAATAAGAAATGGAAATGTATTCATTTTAGAATTAAAGGAAAACTATTAAAAGATTAGAAGGATTTATCAAGTCAAATTTAACTACCTTCATAATGATAAGCCGTAACTAAAGGTCGAGAAGTTATAAAGGAAGATATTATAAACTAGCTCTAGCGATTATACCATATAAATTAAAATAAATTATTTCTTGCAACAAGATTGTTTTAAGTCAAAACACATGAAGATTGAAGTAGTTAGATCGTCAAAAATCTCAAATTTCAAATTAAACTTTTTTGATATCCATTTTATCAAAATAATTCTAACAATTATATTAATCAAATTTGGAAAGACATTTTATTTATCAATACTCTAAAGCTATTCTAATTGTAAAAGGTTTATATACTATTTTCGAGTATCTATTATAGTCAACATAAGTTCATCAAATTTAGAAATATTTTTATTGACATATCTTATCATTTGAATAATATTTATAATTTTTATTTTACAATCTAATTTCTGATTAAATAACTTTACATTCAAGCACTATTTCGAATAAAGTATATTTATAGAGATTTATATTTTTAATTCTATTTATCAAATACGAATAATTGCTCTTTTGATAGTAATCTTTAATACGTATATAGGTATTCAATAATTTTGTTGATTTTGGCCTTTAAATTCCTGCAAACCTTAGTGAGAATTAATATGCAAAGTATTATCAGAAATGCCATTAAAACTGCCTTGGAGTACTTTTACAACCAATGAGTGGAATCAAATTGGCGCTTGAATGGAGAATATGAAATCTAAAAAGATATTTACACAACATGGATTTGAATAAAACCATTGCGCCTCTATCAAGTCTCAAATTTATAACTTAAAAGCACCAAATGTGAAAAACGTTATAAAATTGGCTATTTATTCGTTAATGATGCATTAATAAAAAATAAATGCATTTCTATTTATGGTGATGGATTTTGAATTTATATTCTTAATTAATCAAAAGCTATTTTCATTTACAATTAAAAAGTATCCAAAGATCAAAGAGATTATATTATTTAGGAAGATATAATTAAGATCAATATTTGCATATTTTTATTAGAAAAACTGTTTAGAGTTTGAATATATACAAATTAATTCTGTAAGAACCTAGTTTATTAAAATGATTTTAATAATTATAAAAAGGATAGGCCTTGTCTTAATTTATTCTTAAAGTTGTTTATAACCACCCTAATTTAATTAATAATAACAAATCAAAATATTCGCTTTATATTACAAAAACACAATGAAATACATTATTAATTTTAAATTATTTTATTATGAATAGAGAAAAATCATTAACTTAAAAAATATCAGACAAAGAAAAAGACCCTTAGGAATTTTTTTAATATTAAATATACTCTTAACTTAAACATAAAGGTTGGTGTCAATCGATGGCCTTTACAAAAGAAAATTCCCTATTGTTTGCTTAGTTTAAAACTTTAATTAAAGTATTGTGTATTCATGAAGGGGCAATGAATCAAATTAGGATGCTATCAAGTCATAAAACATTTCTAACAACAATTACTGTTTTGTAGCAATTCAATTCTCTGATTTCTACAAGCGAAGAAGGATAAATTCATGTTTGGTCAATGGTTCCTATTGCAAAACCATTAATTATCAAAAAATTTGATGCCCCTTCATCCTTAGTTAGTTGTTTACTTTACAATGAAAGTTATGATGTTATTATAACTGGAAGTAATAATAATATAAAATTTTGGAAGAATCCAATGAAATGGTTACTCATTTAATCAATAGATGATCATAAAGGTGCTGTTTGGGCTTTAAGTTTGAATTAAGATGAGAACAAACTAATATCTTGTGGTTGGGATAAGATGATATTAATTACAGAACGATAAAAAAATGAAATTTGGGTTGTAGTTTAAAAGGTTGCTGTTAAGGATTATGGATATAGACTGTGTTTTCTTGATGATGATTATTTTTTATATTAACCTATATTTCAAAGATCAATAGGACTCTTTTCAATATTAAATAATGGTTGCAAAGTGGAAAAAATTGCAGAAAAAGAATTAGTTGAAAGGCATACAGAATGTAATGCATTTTTTCCAATGTAATTTGAAAAAAACAAAAAAATAATTTTGAATAAGATTGGTGATAAGATAGTGATATTAAAAGTGAAAGGAAAAGAATAAATACAAATTGTATAATCTATTAACTGTAATTCTCATAATATTTTTGGGAAGATGAGCGATGATGGGCAATTTCTAGTTATTTGGGATGAAAGTTCAAATAAATTATAGATAAGAAAACTTTTTAATCATTGATGAAATGAAATCCTCTCATATATATTTTATTTATAATTATTAAGCAAATGAATAAATTGATAAGCTAGTTTGCTATTATTTTAGAAATAATTTTACTAAAAAGTATTTAATAATATTAACATGATGAGTGATTAATTTCTTAATAATATGATTGAATCAAAGAATGTTCAAACTCAGATGCTATCTAGATATGAAGAAAATTCTTTAATAAATATAGATTTACAGGCAAGAAGTTATGCAATGGCTATCAATTCTTAAAACAACTTACTTACAGTTGGATCTGGGTATGATATTAAAATATTTGATCTAACTAAGAATTAAACCTAAAATACAGTATAAGAAATAAAAGGGAAAAAGGAGAATGTATTTTGCCTTCTTTTCTTATCTAAAAATTCATCTTGTAATTCCTTTATCTCTGCTTCTAATAAAATTATTATTTGGTAGGAATAAGGTGGTTAATGGCATAATCAAAAAAGTTTGAAAGCAGAAAAGCCAACTCAAATAAAGAGTTTAGTTGTTCATCCTTAAGGAGACCTTATCATATGTGGCTCTTAGAGAAATATATAATTTTGGTTTAAAAATCTAGATACACATCAAGATGCATTATAGAATAATTAATAAGAGTGGGTTTGTAAACAACTGAAGTATGATGATACTTAAGGGCTATCCATCAACCAAAATGGAGACACATTAGTATAATGTTCTTTTTCTAATAAAATCAACGTATTTAAAGGAAGCAATAGATAGGAGTGGATTAAAATCAAAACAATTGATACCAAAGATTATGGCTTGAGATTGTGTTTTATTACAAATGATTTAATCGCCTTTTAAGAACGAGGATCTCGACCTCATGATAATTTATATTTTTACTCTTTGAATGAGTAAAATTACAGTATGGTTAAGGTTAGAGGAGGTGATACATCTTGCAATAGTTTATTTCCTTTAATTTATGTTCCATCCAAAAAACTACTTATTGATAAAAATGGTTACTTCGTAAATATTATTAGAATTGAAGAAGGGCCTTCTTAAAAATATGAACTAATGTAGTATTATGATTTTAGGGAAGAATACATTTACGGTACAGTTAGTGATGATGGAAATCTATTAATTACTTGGAATGAGAAATAAAATTAGGTTTAAGTAAGAAGGTACCTAGCTTAGAATTGAATTAATATCTAGAATTAAGACATAAATTTTTTTTTTAAAACATTAACTTCCTCCTAAGTTTTTTTTTTCTAAAAAGTTCAATTCTAATTATGATAATTTAAATAAATTTTACACATGTATTGAAAGTGGATGAATCTATTTAGTTCAAAAGAACTTTGAGGATGAATTCTTCTCTCTATATCAACTTTAAAAGAGTTAATTATGATGTAGGGATTACTGAGAAAATTATTAATTGTAACATAAATAATGATTAATAAAAATAATCAGTATTTAATGTCTAAAACGACTGCTCAGTATTTACTCCTGATTTAATATCAAATGATAAAACTATTTTTTTTATATTAGTTGATGACCAAAAACTCATCTAATGAAAGAAAACAATGTTTTTTTCAAAACTATTTATGGAAAATATATCATAAAACACTAATTTAACATACTTGGAATTATAAATCTAATGTAAAGAGAGGGCAGGATCAATCAAATGATTAATCAATCCTGAAGATTCAATTAGCAAACTCTAAATATTAGATTTACAGGAAGCAAAATTTGATAAAATAAGATACGTTTAGATCAATTAGATATCTTTTAAATTAAAAGAGAAGTATTTTAGTAATATTTACTTTAATTTGTTATAAAAATGTTGGCAATAATAAAGATATTATAATTTAATATTATCAGAGAGATGCAATTTATGTTCTTTAAAGGCTTACACTAACTATAAGAATTATCTATATTTTTTCAGGTATAATGTATAATTGAAATAACTCGCCTTATGTTGTTCAATACTTAACATGCCTTTCTAAAAATTATGATTCTAATTCATATTTTATTGGAAAATAAATTAAAATATGTTGAATAGAAAACAACTAATTAATGTAATAAAAATAAGTGTAAACGAGAAAATTTGCATGAATATAAAACCACTTTACTTTTATATTTAAATATCAATTATGTTAATAATATCAGAAATATATTCCTTATGTTCTAAATATTAAATTTATTAAATTTGTATAAAAGACTTCTTGTTAAAAGATCTAATATCTCGATAAAGGAATCGATAATTGTTGGTCATATTATTATAATTAGATGCATTATTAATATATCTCTTCAACTTTTACGTTCCAAAATCGAATCCCTTTGATGTTTTTCAATACATACATTTTGTATTTATCTTATTGCTTTTAAGAAAATATCTTATATAATATACTATGCTTTTTAATTTTAATAAGTATCAATAAAAATGTACTGACTTCCATTTTAATTTATTTAATAATAAATGTTAATTAATTTGTTATTATAAATACAGAAATAATATTTAAAATATAACAATATAAATTAAGCAACTTTATTTATGAATAAAGTATATTTTATATTTGAAAAACGCCTTATGAATTGATCCAATCTATAATTAATTTTGTTTTTAATTAAATTATAACTTAAGGCTTTATATTTTAATAGTGGTTTATCATTCAATTATTAATTGTTTTATGAAATTCAATATTGAGATTATTCTTATATATAATATACTCAGAGTGATTGGCTGGAGTCAAGTGATAATTTTTTTGATATACCAAACAAGTTTAGAACTTGAAGACATTTCAACGATTGCAAATTTAGTAAGATAGTTAATAGGGGCAAAAATGCTTGAAATTATATTTATCAAGCCTAATGAAATTTTTGATCAACGAAACATTGTTAAATATTACTCCTATCTTACTAGGGCTTTATGTTTATACTATCTAATGACTCCTGGTCTATGTTTTTGTTCTTTTAGGAACACAATAAGCGGATGGGCAATCTAAGAACTTTTTGACTCTATTTATTATATAGGAAGATCAGATCTAACAGCATAAATCAAAAGAATACTAACTTATATATTAATTCCGTATACGGCATTAGGAATGTTTAGAATAATGAATAGAGTTATAGAAAAAAATTTGGATAATATTACATTTTGTAGGATTATTTAATTAGTGCTCATTATTTTTGCAATACATCACATGTACTTCATTGGTTAGAATAACAACAGAAAGAAAATTAGCAAACTTTAGAAAAATATATGATTACGTATATAATAATAAGAAAAATACATTTCTTTCAGACATTCAATGTTGAAATTTGTTCTCAAATGGAGAATTCGATTATGATTTATCCATCTATCTATTTTTAAATTATTTTCTTAGTTTTTTTCGGAATAATTTAATTCTGTTATAATATTAAAAATTAACTTTAATTAGATATTTGAAGAAAATGTTTCTCAAAGAAAATCATTCTTCTCGATTTTTTCTCGTATATTTGAACAGAAGAATGAGGGGAGTATGTTATTTATTTCATAAATTAAATAGTTAGAGAGGATGAATAACTTTTGAATTATCATCACTTTTTAATAAATTTGTTATTAACTTTGCTAGCAAGAATATAATAAATTATCAAAAATAAATATTAGAGATAAGGACCAATTAGTGTTAAATAGTTGGAATACTTGATAATTTTAATTAATTAAAAGACATCGAGTTAAAATAGTTAATTCTGCATTTAAAGAATAAATTTGAAAATAGTGAAATACGCTGGGTTCGTTTTATTTGATTAATTACATGCTCTTTTAATTAAATTTAAGTAAACTTAACAAAATGTATAATTAAGTATCAATACATTTTCAAATCCCTTTTTTTCTTATGACTTCAAAGTCTAAAACTGTATTTATTTTGGTTTTTCTACCATTTTACTATTTCAATAGACTTAATTTAGAGCTGCTAAGAAGAATGCAAAAGATTTAAAGTATTGAGTTTCTAATTAGCTGGATGTGAGTATTTATATGCAGTCTGGAACACTGGATTTTAGAAATTCTCGAATCATTTGAATAAATATGAATAATGAAATAGCATGGTTGAATCTTTGAAAGTAGGGATCCAGATCAGAAATCCTTTCAATTAATGTTAAATTACAATTACTTTTCAAAATCAAATGAATTACTAGAGAAATTATTAAAACCAATGATTTCAGCTATATATTAAACCTTTGGATTTCTTATTACTATTAATAATTTAAGTATGTTAATTAAAAATAACATAGAAATTTTATAAAATAAAAATTTATAAATTTTTATTAATTATTTCAATAAATCTATTAAATTAATTATTTGCTTCAATGATTTTAATATAAAAATGAATTTTTCATCTTCAAAATAGTTAATTAGAATGCCTTATTTTTGGATTTATTCATAATTAACAAATAGAATTGTTTTTTTTAATAATAAACTTTTAAATTTTATACAGATTTTTGGTTATTTTTAATCATATTTATGTTATAATAAGTCTTAAGAATTTTACAAGAGGATTAAATACCTCAATCATTGCAAAAATTTGAGCAATTTAAAATTTAGAATGATGGAGCTAAGGTTCTATTAGAGCGAGCAAATACTTTGTCGTAATCTGACACAGAGATGGTTTGCAGATGGATAATAAATAGTATTGAAATTTCACTTGAAAATAAATGTTTGGCTTATAATCTTTTAGGTATAATATAGCTTGTATTTAGGTTGTATTTTAGATGATGATGATGAAAAAATTGAAAACTTTAGGCATGCTTTTAATTTAGCAATCAAAAATAACTTCGATATATCTAATCCACTAATAAATATATAAAAAGTATATTTACGTTAATAAAAATATGAGAAGGTAATAAATTGTTTTAAATATTCTGCTCCATTATAAGGACAATATAAAATAGAGGCACTTCAAAATGTTGCTGAAGCATATCTTGGTCTCAAACAAATTGTTTAATGCATTGATTCTTCAAAAAAAGCTTATAAAGTTAGTAAGAGCTTATTTGGAATTAATGATTCTAAGACTAAAGAAATGGGAGAAAATTTACAATTAATGATAAATAATGATAATTTGAGATAGACTAGATATTTAAGCAATTAAAAATAAAATCATGCTAGAAGATAGATTTATAATTGCTATGGAGTAGGTTCACAAGTAGACAAACGTAGATCGTTATTCAAAAATTAACAATTGTTTGAAGTTTATAGAAAAAGATCAAATACAGCAAATTAAACAAAAGTAGGGTTTTCAAGAACGGAGAGAATAAAAAATAAATTACTAGATTTGTCAATGGAAGAATAAAAGTTACAAATCATACATAATAATGAAGAAAAAGAAGATGAAAATCAATTCAAGACTTAAGGTGCAACCTAACGTAAAGGTCCAAAAAATAACTTACATATATACCAATTAAAATCACAGAATGAAAACAATATAAGTTAATAAGACAAAATGATATATATATAGGGTTATTTGATTTAATAGTTTCTTATTGAAAGCGCTTAAAAAGAGATAAATTTTAGAGTAGATGATAAACTATTTTAATATTAAATTCGTTCAAAGTCAGTTTAAAAAGAGACTGAGACTTTTGAATTTTTTTAGAAAATTTAACGCGCTTTGGATTAAGTTACTATTTTTCTTTTTACTTGTTAATCCTAACAGGAAGCAATAAAGATTGTAACTATCTTAAGATAGGATAAAATTAATAAATAATTTAGTCTTCAGTTAAATTTATAAGAGTTTGAATTAATATTGTCTTCTGAAATTGATTTAAATGATTTTTAATGTTATTCAAATTTATAAAAACAGGCCTCAAAGTTAAAATCAAATATATGTTAAATAATTTTAATTGCTCGATTTGCATTATCAGTGAACATTGAATCAATGTAATTATAATTCTTAGAATTTGCTAATAATTCCAAATACTTTTAATTATTTAAAGAGTAATTTCAAATAATACTTGGATTTAATCCAGATGCAAATATAATCGATCCAAAAATTAAACAACTTTAGTTGAGGGAGGAGTAGTTTGAAATAATAGTATCTTAACCTTAACTGAAAATAGGGAGTAAAATGATGTTCGCAGTTGATTGCACAATTCAATTTTGGATGAATACTAAAACTTAAACAATCAATGAAGTTGAATAAAAGGTGATGAATATCAAAGGTTAAATTAATTAAATTTTTTTTTCATCTTTGAAATTAGTTCTGAATGATTCAAACTAAATTAAAGTGTGGTAGAATTTCTTATATTAATTTTATCAGAATAACCCTAAAGAAGGTTTCAATATTAATACAGAATTAGTAATAGACCTTAAAGGAGAGCCAAATCTAATTGATGAAAAATATAAACTAATAGAGTAAGATTTAAAAGAATTTTAATGCAAGAGAATGAGCTTTTAAGTTCAAGAAAACATTGCCAAAATATTATCTGAAAAGCAACAATATGAGAAGAGATTTAAATCAAGTTTAGGTATAATAGCATAATCAATTGGTAAATGCCTAATTTAAATTGTTGGAGTAAAAGATAGTAATATAGAAGTAGATATTTACATAAATGACGAAACAAAATTTGAGAATATATCAAAGCAGCTTTAGTAAGAGTTTTTTAGTGAGTTAAATCATCACGTAGAGAAGAATTTGGAAATTAAAGATTTATATACATTTATTGGATTATCAAAAGAATAATTTTTAGAATAATATCAAGTAGTTGTATCCAAGTGTTAGAAAGAATATCATTTTATTTCCCTAAATTAATATTTAGATTAAATTAAAATCATCATAATTAATACACAAAAGTACAAAAAAGAAAATAGGAAAACCAAAATACTTGAATGTCCAAATATCCTTGTATTTAATTTATTAAAAGAATAACAAATCTAATAATCAAGCATTCCAAATGATGATATTTAAATTATATATTCTTAAAATTAAAAGATTATATTATAAGGAATAAATGAATAAGAATTAGGAAATAAATTAAAAAGCATTTCTTAAAGTATATAATAACTTGAAAATTAATTAACAAGTATCACTTGCACATTTTAAGAAAAATAAGTCAAATTCTTTGAAAAACATTTTAAGCAATACTGCAATAATTTAGAAAATGATAGAAAAGCCTCAATCAAATTTCATAAGAAAATTAATTACTCTTTAATATCTTAGGTATTAAACTCAAGTAAAAGTCTTTAACTTGTGTAAACGAATGTTATTTTATTGGAATGTGATGCAATAGTCAATTTTATTATTTAATCCGAAGACAAAACAACAATGAGTGATTTATCAAAAAGAATTATAGATTTTGGAGGCTAAATTTACCAAAAAAGCGTTTTAAATTAAATAAAGAATTTCAACAAAACATAAAAATAATTTGATATCAATACTTATGAATTCAGTTCTTTTCGAAACATCCATTACATAATTAATGTAGTTACTTCTCCACAATTTACAAAAAACATATATCATTATGAAACTATAAAATAAATTTTAGATGGTCTTTTCCTTCATATAAAGGATTCCCTTGATATACGAAGTTTAGCTATGACAATCCTCGATGATACTGAAAATTAATATTCAGACAATTATTCGCTGGAAATTTACCTTAAAACAATAATCAATCATTTATTTAATGACAACCAAACTATCAAAAAGGTTTACTTAGCTGAAGAAAAGAATTCAAGAATTGTCTAAATGAATTCTATTCTTTTGAATATTTCAAAATGTTACCAACCTAAATATCAGTGGTAATGGTAGCATTACAACGCATTTGTTAATTATGATGAAGATGCTAATAAATAAATAGATGAAGCATATGAAAGATTTCTTTAATCTGGCTAGGAGACAATAATATAATTGAAATTTCCTTTAGAAAAAAAACCAAGCACTCATTTTGTAGATTTACAAAGTTTTACCATAAAGGACTTATCCTCTTAAATTGAATATGAAATAGTTCATAATAAAAACATTTAAAATAATTAAGATAGATATTTTATTAATAATAAATTACTAAATGAAGACCTTATATAATATTTTAATGCTATGAAAAAGAAAAATCATTTGTAATTCGAAATCTTTTGGAAAAACCTTAATGTGGTCATTAATAATCAAAGAATCTTCTAAATGAATAATGAAACTCAATATTAAAGAGCAATATAAAAACTTCCTTCATAATAAGAGATAAAAGTTGCAAACTAATAAATTGCCTATTAACTTTCAATTAATTCCAATTAAGAAAGTTAGAATTAATTTTAGATTGAGTCATTCAATTAAAATTTAAATAAGAATATTTTAAAAGAGATTAAACAATTTTTAGAATCATCTACAATCAAATTAAAAGTAGATATTCCTTAAATTAGCGAGAAAAATCTAAACAGTTTCTGTTAATATTTAGAAACTATTGCATAAAAAATTATAGGGAAAATTATCTAAGGGTAACAAATACAAATTGTAATTTTTAAAAACAAACAACAAAAACTGTTGAACCAATTGGAATAAATTAAGAATTTTGCAAGCTACTACCCAAAAAAATGGATTAAACAAGAGGAAAACTACATCAAAGTTCCTCTATAATGCAATTCAAAAGAATATAATAAAATTATAGGTGAATTTAAGAAAACGGATATAGGAAAAATAAAAGCTATTTTTAGGATTTAAAATAAAACTTTATGGAATAACTACATAATAGAAAGAAATAAATTATTTGAAATTTGTGAAAAACAAAATAAAAATTTACTTCCAATCGAAAAGAAGAGGTATTTGTGGCATGGAGTATCATCGCAACATCCAAAAGTAATATATACAAGCTTGGCAGAAGCCTTTGATGTTACTTTCAGTAAAGTACTAAATTTATTTATACTAGGTTGGATTATGGGGATAGGGTATTTATTTTGCTGAAAATGCCTCCTATTCAAGAAATTACTCGTATAAATTAACAAACGAAGATGATTCTAAGTACGCAAATAATCTTGTTTTCTTATACTGCCTAGTTACAACAGGCAAAGCTGAAAAAAAAATTTAAAGTGTCGATATTAGAAAACCAAGTGAAGGTTACGATAGTGTTACTGGATTAACAAGGGGGAGCAACATATTTGTTCTATATTAGATGCATGTTAGAAGAGTTTATCCAGCATATGAAGTGATATTTTCATGAATTAATTAAATCTATAAATTTAATATCGAAAAAAACCTGAGGCTGTCTACTTTCCCATCAGTATCAAGTAGTTAAAATAGAGGATAAAATTAAAATTAAATTATGCATAAAAAGGAGTTAACTAGATGTATGAAACATAAGTATAAATTAAGAAACAAAAGAAAAGTGGAGAACATAGTGAAAATTTAAGAACTTTGTTGGAATATTCATTATTGAATTCAATTATTGTGAAAAAAAAATTATATTCAAAGCTTTATTTCAAATTTACTTCTATTAATGTGGTTTAAAGCTAAAATTTGAAATAAATCTATATCTATTAAAAATTGAATTGATCTTAGAATTAATAATTTCTAAAAAGTATACTTTAAAGATATTAACTAATAAAAAAAGCTATTACATTAAATCAACATTTTCACAGATCTTGTTTGGTAAACAAGTTCTTTTTTTTTGTTGTACAAATCAAAATTCATTTATTTTAGGGTTCTCTGTTGTCTGGCAGTAACGAACAGGCCCTTATTATTATTGTTGATTTCATCAATAGACCTTCAATCATGATAAAACTCACCTTTTTGTTAACAGTATTTTTGAACATTTTGATTTTATTTAAATAGAGGAATAATCTAGAGCTGTGTGCCTTTATGTTATGGATATTTGAAATTCCTTCGTTTTATAGAATTAACAATTATTATAATCTAAATTCAATTCCCAAGCTTGATGTTGATAAAAGACAAATGAAAAATATTTAATTACTATAAAAATTATTCTTCTGAATCTAACCTAAGAACTATTTGATATCCAAATATTAAATAAAAAATATCTTAGTTATTCTTAATGACTACTTTATTATTTTATTAAGACTTAAGGTTTTGATTGTTCTTTTAGTTTGCCAAAAGTTGAAATGCTATTCCCTTTATTTTGAGATTCAAATCCATATAGTTTAGGTTTACTATTGACTTTATATGAAATTGATGTTTTAAGTTTGATTATTCATATGATAACTATTATTATAATTATTAATATCTTGACAAAATTCATAGTTCCTTTTCAATTATTAATCGACTGATAAATCAAGCTGCCAAATTGGATATTAGAATGAATTTTAGTAAAATATTTGTACAATTTTGTAACCTAATCAAATTTTTTTTTCTGTATCCACAAAGATTATTTATGAATTAATAATATCAATTTATGGAATATGATTTGGACATTAAATACCTTTTATACAAGCATAATTTTGCAAATAAATAATTTCATCAATAATAACTGGATAAATATCTATATATCCATGATTAATAATTTTAAAAAATATAATTCTTAATGGATAGCTATATTGCAAGTACAAATGATGCGATAAGGGAATGCTTGAAATCGGTATAAAATTAAATTGAAGTAAATTTGAGCTATTTATAAATTAATAGTGTTCTTTCAACAATATTGATGCATTGCTAGATTCACTTTTTAACAATGCTTCATCTTCTTTGAATTTCAGCAATCAAAGTTCATTTTAAAAATTATTTAATGAATCTTTAAATGACTTTCCATAAATGAAGTTTGAGAATTTCAGCTTTCTTTAATAAAATCAAAATATATATAAAACAAAATAAATCAAGATTGAAATTACAAGTCAGAATAGAGAGATCTAATAAATAAAAAACCCTTAGCTGTCAGTTTAGAATATCCAATAATTAAATTTTGCATAAAATATTCAGCAATCGAAAATAATTTAAGCTAATCCATAATCAAATGATAAATCATTTAGTTATAAGCTTTTAAAACAATGTTAAGAGAACAAATGTTTTATAATAGCTATTAGCCAAGATTGTTCATAACTCCTGGCTGGATGTTAATCATAAATAATTGTATATGAATTCATATAAGGAATCATGAAATAAACTTAGATTTTAAACAAACATAAGAAGAATGTATACACTCTAAGCATGATGAAAAAATCTAAATAATTTATATCTGGGGGTTAAGACAATTCTATCATTTTATGGTAAAAAAGCGAAAATCAATAATGGGTTTCTAAACAAATATTAAATGGACATGGAGGATCTATCTATTGTATTATCATTAATGACAATGAAGATTTAATAATATCAGGAAGTTCTGATGACACGATTAAATTTTGGATGAAGTAAAATGAATGGTACCTAAATTAAACAATTACAGATCATTCTAGTTCTATATGTGGACTGAGTTTTAATCAATACTAAAACCAAATTGTTACTTGTAGTTCTGATAATTCAATATTGATAATTTAAAGATAAGAATAGAAATAAGAATGGATTGTTGTTTAAAAGATCGCTGTTGAATAATATGGAGAACGAGTATGTTTTTTTGAAAATAATATGTTTGCATTCTCTCCATATAATAAAGAATCTATCTATATTTTTGAGATGGATCATATTAATAAATAGTTTGTGAGAACTAAAGATATTTCTATTAAGTGTGGAGAAGGCGGTTAATCTTTTTTTCCTTATTAGTATATAAAATCAAAACGTATACTCGTGAGCAAAAATGGTGAATATATCAATTTTGTAAGGAAAAAATAGAACGGAGATTTTGTAAATGAATAATTTATCCATTTTGGAACTAACTAATTATATGGTGGAATTAGTGAAGATGGAGAGTACTTAATCACTTGGGACTAAAATTCAAAGCAAATTTAAATCAGAAGATATTAAGAGGAATGAGATTTAACTGATTTACTTCAATACGAATTTATTGAACTTATTTTATTCATATTTTAGCTTCATTTTTTAGCTAATTAAATTAGTATGGTTAGTTAATTAAAAATTCAGCCAACCCGAATTCTTAATTGAAAACAAAATTTAGCAAAGAGTTTAAATTAAAGAGGCAATCTTGTTTAAGTACACACATATTGATTTTCTTAATTGATAATCTTATTATATTCAAATTTCAAATGTTAGTCGTGTTATTCATTTTCTGAAGCCTTCCTCTTTAAAGTTTTTGACATGATGAACGCATTTTCAACTTTGAGATGCCAAAAGGTTAATAAGGATGCAATGATTATCATTTTTTTCAGGCAATGGAAGAAATCTAAAATGTTGCGATTATAAAGTAATAAAAAATTATCAAAATAATTAGGTTTAGTAAGTTTTATAAAGTACTTTTTGTTTTTAAGAAGAATACATTTATTTAAAAATAATGACAATTTTACAAATACTTTCTTTGTTCAAATCAATTCTATTTATTTGTAAATTACCGAAAAAATGGAATGGCTTTTGCCTTATTATAAATATATTAATATCAATATGGTATAATTATTTTTACATAATTGGTAGAAATACATAAAATTCTATGGCATTTCTGCTTGATTATTGTTTATTACTAAATATATTATCAATATATATTCCTCAAAGTTAAGATGATGAAATACAGCCTTTTAGTTATTTATATCTTGGTAGGGATTCTGGTGGAATAAAACTCGTTAGAGATCTAAATAATTTTTGATTTTACCTTTATTATTCTAATTGTAGTTTTGATATATAAATTAAATGGTGTCTTAACTTATAAAAAATAGATTTTATCCTTTATTCCTTTTAGTTCCATAAAACCAATTTATTCCTTAAATATCTATCAATACATGATGTGCAACTTAAAATTTTGGTTAGATTTAATAATTGCAACAAAATCTATTTTTTATACTTTTTATGATATAATGTAATTAGACTTTTGAAAAATGGATAGCTTAATCTAATGCAAAGAATAACTAAGATCATCTAAATAATAAAGGAAGTTGTATAATTATCATGTTATTCACAAATATATTTAATTACTGCTAAAAATATTGAAATAGAACAGATTTATCCAGTTTTTACATCCAATTTATTAAAATTCTAGATAATGTAGGGTTGCTGTTCCAGTGCATATAACTAATAAAGTAGTAAGCACAATCCTAAAAGTGAAGCTTTTAAATATATATTTGTCTCAAAATAAGTTAGTATAACGATAACAAATGTTTTTTAGGCTAATTTAACCCATTCCCAAAAAAAGTTTTCTTTATTATATTCATTAAACAAATAGCAAAAGTGCTTTCTAAACTTAATAGACTCTATTTAATGCCTTCTAACGTACAATAAAACCAAAAGTGTAAATGGTAATAACCATCCTATCAATCCCAAACCAGGAATAATGAAACTTAGTATCCATTTTATGTGGTTGGGTGTGCCAAAAATAAGCGATACATCACCTTAGATGTAATTAATATCTGATATTTATCTTTTGGCCAATAATGAAAAAAATCTGATTAATAATAAAACATTTACTGTTTAATCAAAGAAGCATAATTCGAAACGTATAAATACAAGGCAGTTATGGATAAAATACTGGCATCAAATTATTTTTTATAAAGTAGTTCTATTATCACAAATCCTATATAGATAAAGAGTAGTATGCACAGCATTAATATAAACATTGTAATAATCCTCAGGTAAATCAATTATATATCATTCATTTTTGATAAGAAACAATCTAGATTATTAGCCATGAAATATGATGGATTGCTTGTCTAATCAATAAAGTTAAAAGAGAATGTAAAGCTAATATTAAATGAAAAAATAGCGGAAAATATCCATAAGTAATTAAGAAATAATTTTATGATAATACTACCGTGATCTAATTTACATTCTACAAATACCTAAATTAAGTTTGAAAATAATATTAGAAAATTTTTATCTTAATTTGCAAAGTATAAATTACTTATTTGATTTTTCAATGCTACTAAGTGTAAGAAGTGTTGAAGTAAGCTACCTAAAACATATAAGAATATATTTTACCAAATAGATGCCACAATAAATAACAATATCCTGTTAGATGGCGAATCACATTCATGGCAAAGTAGACTATATTAATTGATAAAATAATATCCATGACCTCTAATATTATACTTATCACATTCCTCACATAAGCCTCCTAAGTAGCCAGAAAGACACAGTTAATCTCCGACAAACCATCCTCCTCTACAAATAGTTGGATACTTAAAACAACTTTCAATATTGTCAGAAAATTGATTTGGTCTCCAATAGCCAACTTTTAGATTAATTTAATTAGAAGTAATATTTTCGAATTTATTTTTATCGAAAATAGAACATTTCGTTGTGTTGTATGTTACAGAATAATACCCTTGGTTTGATTAGCAAGGTTGACAACTATTGGACATATAAAATTCCCCTAGTTAGCACTTAAGAGTAGCTATCTTAATATTATAATATAATTCAGTAAACGTATTATTGGCCTAACAGATGATTAGGATTTATTGTTATTTATTGTTCTCCATGTATGGATCAAATGAAAATTACAGTTCTGAAAGATCAAAGTTTCCATAAGTTGTTTTGAATGATGTCATTTATGGAGTTTTGGATAATTCAAGTTTATCTTCAGATAAGATCTATTCTTTTATCACACATGTGGAATTTGTGAAACTAATAAGTTGCTCATTTAAGCTATTCTTAAAAAGGATAGAGAATTCATAAATATACTTCTGGAACTTCTAATTATTTGGATTGAAAATGAGGTACTTCTTTATTACTTAATTACTTGGAAGAACCAAAACCTTGACTTTAATTATTTTCCCTTGTTCAATTATATAATATGGATCTATGTTTAGAAAATTGATTAAGATCTTTTCATAAGCCTTTGAAATTGAAGGCATCTCTAAATCATTTATAGATAATTATAAATGAGTTGGTACTTCCTATAAGTTCTAAGGTGATAATTTTGCTTTGTTAAACCATAGAATAGAATTAATGAAATTTTAATTATTTAAATTACTATCTCCATTAAGATATATTCCACCAGCTTCATTTGCTTAGTTCTCTTAAATGAAAGTGTTTTTGATTAAAAAATCATTTTTCTATGATTATAAATTCAGCCCACCTCCTTAGACTTCAGCATAATTTTTCATGATCCTTGAATTATGCATTACTACTCTGGTATTTTTAGTGTATATTCCTGTTCCAAAGCCACCGTTATTAGAATAACAAATCGAGTTTTTTAATTTAATATTTGAGTGCTATTAGTCAGTAGATTGGGCAAAAATGCATCCATATCTATTTAAATTATTCCATAAACAATGAAAATCGATTATATCAATAGATGATATACCAGAAAGATTAAAATACAGAATTGCATTAAAAATGGGTTAAGCTCTGACATATGTTGCTGAAATAGAACTTAAGATTATTTTAATGGGATTAGATTGACTTTAAAAATAAATTACGGACCCTTATTAAACTGATTCAGATATTAATTTGTCAAAAAATTATTGAAATCCTATATCAGCGCTTTAGATATTTGAAATTCGAATATCATTTATACTACTACACTGTGAATCAAAAATCTCTATTATATTTTAACTGCTTGATAAATTTTTAAATTCAAGTGATTCAATTAAAGTAATATTGGAGAAAACCAAATCTTACATCTTAACCACACATTCATTGTTAGAACTTTGCACAATGTTTATTAAATTACCTTGGAGAATCATGGATATTTAATTAAGATGTATTTTTTCTATATTTACTCTAAAAGCGTCGCCTACCTTTAAAATTGAGGAATACAAAACACCTTCAAACAGGAATTTTCTAACAGTCAAAATGCAACCATGCACAATAATCACTCCGTTATCATTTAAGACTCTTTATGTATCAATTGAGGATAATGAAGTAAATTTCTATAGATATTAGAATAAATCTATTTTATTTTAGGTGATTTTGATATTCTCTATTAAGACTTTATTATTTTTTTAATTCATAGAAGGAAATTCTGTTTTAAGTAGGAGGTTCATAAGAGAGAAGCAATTACTCGCAGTAATATTTCTTATTATAATAGAATTTTTATTTTGAGATGGTTAAATAAAAATGATCGGAGAAGCAAATGCATTTTAAACACCGATTAAATATAAATTTACTAATTCTAATTGTAATAAGCTGTTTTAGGAAGAAATAGTGATGCATCCACCACTTTCACTATTCTACAAATCTAAACTTTCTATTGAAATAATATTCAAGTTGAATAATTTGAATACTCCTATTCCTTGAGTATGAATATTAAACAATTAACTATTTAAAGAAAGTATATTTTATATTGTGCCAGTTGTGATAGAACAATATTCAGCAGTAAAAGATAGAACTCCTTCTTTATTTTTAATCTTTAATATCCTCTATAATATTTGATTAATCTGGTTTTGATTTTAGTCATTCTTAAATTCAAAATCAAAGAGTGAAAGGAGAAATTTTGTATTTAATATGTTATGATTTTTAATTGTAAATTCTGATAAGTTAATCACTTTACTTTTTATCAAAATAAAAGAGCTAGTTGAATTTGTTAATACATTTAACTAGCAAGACAGATTAGAAACAATTGCAGAGCTTTATTATGCATTTATAAACAGCAGACTTGCCGTATTTTGAGATGAATCATCAATATATTAATGATATACATTCTCCTCAAATTAAATATTGTTAATTTTAATTAATTAGCTTTTTTCTGAATAAATTGACATTAGTGAAAATATATTTCTTAAATTGATTTTTAACAAAGTATTTCCAATAAATTTTAAATCCGATATATTTATGATTTCGTTTTCCTTCATTGTTTTTATGATATTTGAAAATATTGAAATAAAGGATTAATCAATACTTTAATAATTCATAATTGTTATGCTTACGAGTTCTAAGTAATTAAATCCTTAAACATAAAACAACTAAGAATTCAAGTTCATAGCTTAGATACAATTTAAATATAGTGGCACTTTTGTTTTGAGTTCTGGGTTTTGAAAAGAGGCATTATAAACTTTAATATAAGGAATAGCTATTAAATTAAAATAATTAAAATAATCTGAATTCCTTGTCGAAAAGTTATATATACTTAAATTTAGACAATTAATGTCAAAAAGATAAGTAGATAAGCTCTCTTATAGTACTTACTTATTCTCATTGAGGTTCAAATTCATAAGGTAAATATTTAGTCCATTTTGTACTGAAAAATCAGTTAACAAAATTGATGAGTTAGTATTATAATTTTCTTCAAAGACTGATTAATCTATAATTACACTATTCTCAACATGAGTTGTTGCAATTTTGATTAGTATTTATGATTATATTAAAGTGTTGCCTTAAATCAAGATATTGCGAATTAATAAACTATCCCTAAATTCTATTATTTAAGTGAACAGAAAAGTGTTGTAAAGTAATGAAATATTATTTAAACTTAGAGAGGTAGCATTTTTAATGATGTATGATTATTGAAAATGTGAATTTTTTATCAATAAGAATTGGATATAAACATTTGATTAAAGAGTCAAATCAAATTAAAAAATGGCAAATTATGAGTTTAAAAATTTACAATCAATTACAATTAGATCCAAAATTGTAACCTTAATGTTATTCTTAAATCTGAATATTGTTGTATTTGTAAATGTACAATTTTCAAAAATAAATTTGTTAATAATAAACTCAGATTAATTTCCAAAAGGCATAATTTCAAACATAGATGAATCTAATATGTTCAGATTCACAAATTTAAGATTTGATAAATGTATATTCTAATAATTAGAAGAAGTTATTTCGAATTTAATAGATTTATTCTCCTAAGCAATAAATTCTGTGTCTGCAACGAGAAAATCTTAAGGCATTTCATAATTATTTAAAATTAATTCAAATAAATTTTCTACAATTGATATTGCTTCTTTTATCTTAAAAGAGTCATAACCAATAATTGATATCATTTGAAAAAATTTCAAAGATTAATGATTTCCTTAAAACACTAATTCAACAAATTAGATTGAAAATATCTTTTATTTCAAAATGTTGTCAAAAATGGCCTATTAAGAATAGAAGCACTGATTGCAAATAACTTAAAAGGGAAATATTAATGATAATTTTTCATAAGCCATTTCATTTAAATACTTAAAGTTTAAATGAGAATTGAAATAATTTTCATTATTTACAAAAAAACTTTAAACCTAATCTATTTCAATCTAAAATTAAAGGTATTTTTACTTTATATTAAAACAAAGAGTTACATTATTGGTTATAACAATATTTGGCTATCTGAATATTAGGATCTATAAAGATATTTGGATGAGGAATAGATTTAATACATTTCATTGTATAAGTTGAATAATCCAATTCATCAATAAAAAATGGATTTACTCTCTAAATATTTATTAATAATGTATACTTGAATTTCCTCTGCAGTTCTAGGTTGACACACCTAACAAAGTTGTGCACAAGCAATACATTTTCCTTAATCCCTCACTCTAACCGGTTCCATATAATAATTTAAAAAACATTTAGCACATTAAAACCCCTCATTAGGATTTTCCATTTTTTTGCATACAGAACAATTACTGTCACAATATTTCTTGCAAAGTATCTTATTGAGCTCATATCCTTCTATGCATTTTATTGGTAAATCTTGATTATTTAGTATCGATATCGATTAAGAATATACATATCTATTTGGCAAGAATTACATTAAAAAGCTCTAAAGCAACTACATCCATGCATCTAACTTTAAAAAATCTCCTTCAATGCAAAATTTGGCAGAGACAGAATTACATTTTTAGCAATGGCCTGTAATAATAGAGCTTGAATAGCCATCTTCACAAACAATACATTTAATAACAGATAATAGAGTTTAATAACATTATTTACAATTCGAGATATATTTTTGACAATTGACTATCTCAGGTGCAATACTAAAATCATCCACTGCAGATAATGTACAAATCTCTCTCCCTTATAGATCTATAAAAGCTCGCAAACAATTAATTGTCTATGGTTTTTAATAATGACATTTCCCTTAAAGAAAATCAAAAATAAATCCATCCTCACACAAAGCACATCCCACCTTGTGGAATTCATCGATTTAGAAGTAATAAAAGTCCTTATATAGTGTGCATTAAGTTAAGTCATTGCTTTTATATTCAAAGCAATACTAACAGTTCTCTATTTAACATAGGCTGCACTACTTTTCTGAAGTAATATAATATGGAGCGACACATTTTTCTTATTCGATTTGTCCTACAATTAATTCTACACATAATCCATCTCTCAAAACATACACAATGTCACATTGCAAACAAATCTAAGTTGTTGAAATAACACCGCAAATCACACAGCCGATAAAATTACAAGGTAAACATTTATAGGGATCTTTTGAATTTGAACAAATAGAAAGTATTTGATTAGTTTCTAACTGATAGTCTACAAATACTTCATCAATCGTTTATACGTTGTAATTTTAATTATGACTGCATGCCTTTAAATTGTCACCATCAAATATATAATAAGTTTAACTGAGATCCTTTATGAATTCAACTGGACTTCCAATATCGTCTAAAAATAGATTAGTTTGACAATAAGGATTATCGATCCAATTTTTAGGGTCTGTAATACATTCAAGGCAAGTAATCAAATTATCCCTTATGATAGAAGGACTAGTCTAATTTTAATTTATACCATTTATAACAATATGATTTATAATCAAAATATCCTTGCTTACATTTTTATTCAGCGTCTTGTTATATTATCAGATTCAAACTCTAGTAATCTTTACAATCCCCATCATCAATAGTGTCATAAGGGCAGATGCAAACCTTATACTTTGGATTATAGGTGCGTCTAGATGTTTCAGGACAAGATAAACAATCCTAATTAGTGGGGCCATCACAATCTTTGCAACTGTAATGGCAATTTATTTTTTGATTCATCTAGTCATCCTAAACACAATTAAAGAATTTTGATTCCCTCAAATACACTTTTAAATAATTGTTAGTTGATTGAAAGATATTTCCAAATTATAATTTGTATTATACAACATGAAATTAGTTAACCTTAGTAGAGCGAAAAAAAATATTTTAATTCTTGCCCTCAAATAAGGTGACCTTAATTTCAATGATATTATTTTTCAAGACTACTGTCACAAATTGCCATAAATAGATATTAGGTAAATCATAAAAATACTCAATCAAAAATGGATTTTTAGTGAAATCTAAATTGTAATATGGAATTGTATAACTATATGTTGTAAATTTTATTTAATAAGTTTCTTTGGAAAATTAGTAAAATATTTAAAGAGCAGATAAATTATCATCCCTTAATTTTTGATTTTCAAAATTACCTGATAGTTTAAAAAGCTAATACAAAAATTCAGGAGAATCTGAAATTATTTATTAAACTTTAATCCAAGTTTAAAATGCAAAATAATCACAATTTTCATTTGTGGATGCAAATATTTTATAATCCAGCCAATCAATATCTACGTCAACCAGATTCTTAATTTAATTTTCATAGCACTGGCACGTCCCATCATATGTAGTTTCTATATAACTGATTACATCTATATCTAATTTTCCGAAATAGCCTTTCGAATGCTCCAATAAAGTAATTTTTCCTGGAAAATAAGAAAGTTTTGAGGTATCTTCTACTTGAAGAATTTGATAATCATCTATTATTAAACTACCTCCAAACACAATAGTCAGTCTTTCATCTAAATAAGGAAATTATATATGTAATGTTTAAATATCTACTATGTTTTCTCCTTAAAGTAAATAATAAGTAAAACTATTCTAACGAGGTTACAAGTGAACAGCAAAAAAGTACCAATAATACTCGTATTTCATTGAATCCAATATAATTTCAAATTTATATTATTTTCCTTCGTTACTTATAAACTAAATAAATTTGCTCACAATCATTTGTTCTTTATTAATGCAATCGTAATACACGAAATTAATTCTTTTATTTTCACTTTCCAATGCTGAATTCAAATGGAAGCAATGACTGTCAAATATTCCAATAGATCCTGTTTATGAAATTGTACTTAAAGGTGTGAATCTGCTCCAGATTCCATAAATCATAATTTCTTCTTATTCAAAACTTTATATTGTTCCAGTAAACGATACCGCATAAAATTATTATTTGTCATTCAGAGTCCAAATGTATAAGCATTGAACTATTACAGAATATTGATAGAATATAAGATCAAGAGTTTTCATTTTTTCAATTTTATTTATTTAATATTTATTGAAAAAATAAAATAAAATTGAAATTTTATTATCCACTTGAGGTAGTTTTTTGAGAATAACAATTGATTAAATTTTGGATTTTTCAAATCCTTTTTCTCAATGTTTATATGTAAATCGATTCTTAAAAGAGTACGTCAATTTGCATTATTCTATCAATCAAAGAGATCGTAATTGACTATCACCATTGTAATTATCATACTTTACCTATAACAACTTGATGTATATTTTAGATTTTTAAGTAAAGGATTGATGAATTGCTCTTCATAAACATTATTCCTATATATTTAAAGTTCATTATAATTCTACTGTTTTTACTTTTTTTGGGGAAAAAACTTTAAGATCTCATATAAAACAGTACTTCTTATTTAGGATTAGCAGCAGTTTTGTATGAATTTATTAGAGATGTGCGAAAGGCATCCAAACCCTTAACAAATTATCTATTATTTCAGTGAACATTTCAAGCAGGTTTAGTCTAAGAATATAATTGAAATTTATTTTATAATTTGCTGTTTTACCTTAATGGTTAACTCAGTAATTTAATTTTTTTATTCACAAGCCCCATAATACAAATTGTCAACTCAATTTTGGAAATCATTACATTTTATTATAATATAGAGATTTATTATTGAAAATATAATATATCAAATAATAATTAATCTCCAAAATAACCAATAATAATAATACATGATAGATATTTGATTTAATTGTTGTTACAAAAAAGAAAATATTAAAGAGGAAACATTCCTTATAAGAAACAAATAAAAGGATTTAAACTTTTAGATTAAGAATTAGCGTAGATGTTACTGAGAAATTTGATATGTATAAGAGTAACTCTGTTTTTCACAAAGAATATATCCTTTTCTTATAGAGAAGTTTGATTAAAATTTAATAAACAGATTTCAGAAATTATAATTGATGTAATCCTACAACATAGCATCAAGGTGTAAAAAACTTTTTAGCCAAAAAGTTGATTAGTGAATGTATGGAAATACAGTGGCTCAAATATAAGTTGTAAATTATCAAATATATGTAAAATTGTAAAATCTTTATAATGTTGGCCTGATTGAGGTTATGTTGATTAAGAAAGGATAGAAACCAGAAATAGTAATTACTGATGGTACCAAATATAAGCAAGAATGATTGAATAAATTTGCAGTATTGAAATCTTTGACTCCCAAAGAAATGTTTAGTTTTATTAAAAGTAATGGAATAGAAATTTTATTTCCAACCTATCCTATTTATAAAATAGATATTGGATAATCAAAAAAAAGTTGATAAATATAGTTGAAATAATAGGAAAGAAAACAGGAAATCGGTTTATCAATAATAAGAATGGTTATGGTGGAACTGTAAATCAAGGTAAAAGTTACGATGGATAGATGATAATAAAATAGTGAGTAAAAGGATAATTGGCTAATGGATTGATAGAATCGGAACTAAAATAGGAAAAAAGAAAGGCTAATAATTAAAACTGAAAGGAGGTCAAAACAGAAAGAGAAGACTTAAGATATTGATCTTAATTCTCAGTTACTCTTGCCCAAAAACTTTTCATGATCAATTCAAAAAACTTTTTTAACATTCTTTCAAAAATTTGATGATTCAAAACATATTTGATATATATTCAATATTACCAGTAAATATTACTATAATGAAATAAAATTGATTTATTTAAAACAAATGGTACATATTATTTCAAATGTAAAACAATAATAAATTGATAATATTATATTATATATGATACTCAAATCATACTGAACAGTATAAAAGTCAATAATCCAAATAATGTTAATCCATCAGAATTTGAACACTGCACTTCAGGATCTTCTTTTTCTTTTTCTTCTTCCTCTTCTTCTACTTCTTCTTCTACTTCTTCACCACCTTCTATACAATTATCACTCTAATATCCATTAGCCTTTTTTTATTATTCACAAGTGGGACAAGTTTTTGCTCCTTCTGCTTTAATGCAGGTAATTTCTGATGTTTCACCACTTACTGTATCAAATGTAGTTTAAACCAAAATTCTTCTTCCTTGTGTTGTTGACAATGTTGATGTAACTTTGATAATAACTCCTGTCCAAGCAATTTCAGCTTTTAGCTGGATAATAACTTATCCTTTCTTTGAGTTATTGATTGATATTATTGTAGCTTTTTTATTCAACCCATTACCTGTGTACCAAACTTCAGTTCCAATCAAATAGTAATCCATTCCATCAGTAATTACAATTTACTATAAAACAAATTGATCATTCAAATGTAAATCTGGAGTACTAAATTTTGTGCATGTCAAATCTGTACACCATTTTAAAATAGTATCTGCCTTTGCATTACAACTAGCGGAAGGAGTACAACTTGCTGTAGATGAATAACTTAATGGTTTGAATGCAGTTTCAACTGAAGCTCCACTTGCTTTTTCGACTGTAACTGAGAATTCGAAATAGAAGGTATATTGAACTTGATCAGTACCTGCAGCGTAATAAGCAATAGCAAAATACCCTTTGTAAATAAATTGTGCGCTATTTTAAGTAAGCACTAATTTTGAAGCTAATTGATCTCCTGGAATAGTAAATGAATAATATCTCCATTATTTTTAAAAGTTGTTTGAATTTGTTATGGGTAAATCTGTAACTTAAACTGGGTCAGAATAAGTATTTGAAGTGAATTTCCATAGTTTAAGGTCGAGACATGTGGTTTCTGGTGTTTTTCCATCTTCTTAAACAAGACCAAAATATTTTGGATCATTAAACAAATCCACATCTGAATATCTTAAGTTTACCTTCAAGCTTGTTGAGTTCGTAATAAATGCCACATCACCTGTAAATGCTAATTTAGTTGCCCCAGTTCCATCTGGATTATTTGCAGAACCAAATTTTTGCAAATATTTATTGCAATTTTGATCATTAATACTAATTCTTTCACCTGTTACAATGGCTAAAATACATAAACCTATTATAATGTATTTCATTTTGTTTTTATTTTTATTAATGACTTATTTCTTGAATTTTTTTGAAATTTAAATGCCCAAAAATAAAACAATTCTACTTAATAATGATTTGGTTTTCTTATTAATTCTGAAATACAAATTTTTAAATTACTATCATCATAGAACAAAAATGAGAGTTTATAGATGTTAGAAATCTTAATCCTCGCTTAATAAATAGTCTGCCAATTGAAAATTGAAGGATTCTTAATTTCCTATATATATTTATAGAATTGAAAAATGCATTTAAAAGTTGACTAAAAATAGTCAAACGTCCTTCTACTTCCTTGCTCCAGTTTAATGAATCACGCCATATATTTAAGCCAAGTATATTGGAGGCTTTATCTGAAGATTTTATTAAAATAAGAAAGAATATTCCAAAAATGAGAATTCAAAGAAGTAATTCAAATATTCATAGATGTTTGGACATTTATTGTCAAATATAAAGCAAGAATGGAGCTTAAAAAACTTAAGTAGAATAGTTTTTAATTATTGAAATTAATTCTAATTTTAAAAAAACACAATATTATTTACCTACCTGCATATCAACATCATTTTCTCCTTTTATATAAGAGCTAGAGGTCATAACAAAGGTGACATACGTAGAAGAAAATGTAGTTGAAGTTTATACTTTTTTGATTAGAAAAATTAATTTAAATGATTAAGTAGAATTGTTTTCAAAATAAATTTGAGAGAGGGAACAAACTGATTTTGGTCATGTTCTGCAATGAGAAGAAAACCTTGAATAACAGAGTAAATCGAAAGCTAAAACAAATTATCAGCCGTTGCTGATCGATTTTGTAGGTTTTTATCAAACTTAATTTCAGAATTAACATGATGATGGAACTCTTAAAGATGAATTTAAAATTTTGGGGATCATACTTAAGAATCCTTAAATGATGAAGGTCTAATTTGGATTCTAAGGTCAAATCTAAGCTAGGGCAAAAACCTCTTTCAGAATCAATTTATCTAAAACAAGTTCAATTATTTAGATGTTTTCAATTTAAAGCTACAAGCCTATATCAACACCTTTTTCAAGTATTAATGAAAAATCGTAATATAGGAGTTCTCTACTGTTGTATCGAACTTTCTGATGGCTAGAAAATTGAGCAACAATTCTTTATTTATTGAAGATAAGACATTTAAGTAAGAAGGAGATATGTTACTTTATTCTGGGTAATGCTATTATTTCCTGAACGGTTCCTCAAAATATTTTAGTGATTAAAAATCACCTATTTACTTCTAAGCAAAATTGAAATAATTAATAGCTGAAATTTGAGTTTTCATCAACAAGCAAATATTCAAGAATTCAAAACTTAACTTAAAAGGGAGATAAGATATAGATTTTCCACAAGGGAAAGTTCATATTTGCAGTAATTCATTAATATTGATTTCTGTTATCAAGAAATATAGAAAATTTAAGATTAAGATACTTAGACATTTAAAAAATAATTTGTATTGCCATTAATTTTTCAGACTATTCTATATAAGATATGATACTTTAGACTCGCATCAAACTTGTTTATAAATACTCGAAATATCTGAAGAGAAAAATTGCACTACTTTTAGTTAGTTGTTTATGACTTACTAAAAGGAGTTTATGAATTATATAGATATAAAAATATTAATATCAACTTTTTTCATATGTTAATTCTTTATTCTTCCAAAAGAATGCTTCCCTTTTGCTAGAATAGTCTCCTTAAATCCATTTTGAAATGATTGATGAATTAACCTTGTAAGTTTTAAGTTCCCTTGGCTTCAAAATGTTCATATTAGGAAATTCGTAGTACAGTTAAACAATCAGAAACTAAATTTTTAAAAAAATACACTTCCTTTTTTAATGTAGATTTTCCTCAATGTTAGGTTATAATCGTTAAAAAATCTCTTAATAACTGCTATCAGAAGGAAATAGTTGCTAATCTAAATTAATATCCCACATATTTATTGATTTATCTAAGGCTTCTTAAGCAACAATAATTCCATCAGAAGAAAAGCATAAGCTTTACGCCTAATTAGTTAATCCTTGTAACTTTACTTTTTAATTTCCAGTATTTATATCCCACAATCTTAAGGATCCATCCAGACTACCTGAAGCTAATATAGATCCATTTGGGGAGAAACTTAATGATAAAACAGATTTGTTATGGCCTTTAATTCTGAACTTCTGATTCCTGACTTTCTATCCCATACATAAATAGATGCATCAAAGCTGCCTGATGCTAATATTGTTCCATCAGGGGAGAAAGTGACTGACTCTATTAGTTAGTTATGTCCAATCAACTTCATTTTTTGATCTCCAGACTTTAAGTCCCACAGTCTTATCAATTTATCTAAGCAACCTGTAGCCAATGGAGTGCCATCAGGTGATAAACATGCTGATAAAGCTCTGTATTATAATTTTTTATCTTATTTCAAACTTATATCCCATAAATGAATAGATTTGTCATAACTACTTAAAACTAATAGATTACTATCAGGAGAAAAACCTATTTGGAAATACAGAATCATTATGGCCTTCCAAAATATACATTTCTTGCATTAAATTTAAATCCCATAAGGTGATGGAGTAGCTCTAACTGGCAAATGCAAATAAAGTGCCATCTGGAGAGAAGCATACTGTACTAATCCAACTTCGATGACCTTCTAACCTTTTCTTTCCTTAACCTGACCTAAGATCCCTTATACGGATCGATTAATCTTGAGTACCAGATGCGAGTATATTGCCGTCTCGAGAGAAGCATATTGAGCGAATCCAATTTTGATGACCTTCAAATATTTATTTTACTTGTCCCAACCTGAGGTCCCAAATGCGAATAGATTTATCTTCACTTCCAGAAGCTAAAGCTGCCCCAACAGGAGAGAATTTTACTGACTAAACACATCCGCTATGCCCTTCTAATCTTTTATTTTCTTGTCCTGTCTTGAGACCCCATAAGCGAATTGCTTTATCTCCGCTACCTGAAGCTAAAGTATTACCATCAAAGGAGAGAAGCAAACTGAATAGACACCTAACTGATGTCCATCCAACTTTGTTTTCTCTAATCCTGATTTTACATCCCACAATCGAATCGAACAATCATAATTGCCAGAGGCTAAAGGCGCTTAGTCGGGAGAAAAACATAAAGATTACACAAAATCATTCTGTCCTTCTAACAAGCATCTTTATTATCCTGTCTAAATATTCCAAAGACGTATAGATCTATCGAAACTCCCTGAAGCTAAGGTAGAGTCGTCGGGTGCAATACATAGAGTTAAGACTTTAATACGGTGAGATGCACTATAAATTGTAAAAATTCAATAATTTTTTCTTCTTTTTACATCTTTTGGATAAGAAACTTCCTAGTTCTTCTGTGATTTTACGTTGAGTAATTAACATTATTTAAGTCGCGTTACTTTATAATTCTAAGAAGCGTCATTATTTTTTTAAAGTTACGCTCTATAAGATCCAATTATTTTTTCTTCTCATACAAAGATAGACTATTATTTTAAATACATATTTCATAATGATTCTAGCCAACATGTTTTTCAAGAAATAATTTAACAATCATTTACTTTTTCATTTTTTTCCAAAATTTTCATACATCTTTCTAAGAAAGATTTCTCGAAATCTTTTGTTGCCATTAACACCTCAAATATGCCAGAGGCAATCAAGAATTCTGAAATAGATTTGTGTTCAAATTAAAAGCTGGTAGCCTTTTATTTAACAAACGAACAACTTCTTATATCTTTTTTGAGATTTCCATCTTGTCCGCCATCATTGAAAAACTCGTTTAACCATTTATTGTCATCAGTTTCATCTTTATATAAAAACCCTTATTGCTGATATTAAATCTATGTTACTTCTTTAATACTCATTTATTTAGCCAGTTTTATTTAGTATTTTTGTAAATCATAAAGAAAACGATCAGAATTAATAGATTTTCCTAAATTTCTTTATTTTTCAAACTATTTTAAATGATATTAACTAATAAATTCCTCATAAAAGTCAAAACTAGTAAGATTTTATTCTCTTAAAGAATCGCAAATAAGATTGGCTATTCTTTCATTTAAAATTGAAACTTTTTTAATAACTTCAAACTAAAAAGAATATTCTTAAAACTATTAAAGTCTATTATATAAATGAGCCTTTAATTTAACTCATTTATTTCTGATAATTAAAATTAGCTAAAAAACTAATTTTGTTCTAAAATATTCCAAATTTCAATAGATAGTTAAATATAATCGATTGTTTTTAGATTTTCAATATCTTATTCATTACATTAATCTTGTTGATTATTTTCAATTATTAGATCAGCTGGAGCTTGTTCATCTTAAGCATTTTTTAACAAATTTGAAGATTTTAATGTCTACTATTTATACGATTTTATCAGATATAGACTCATTAATACTTCTTAAAACTTTTTGGAAAATTTTAATGAAATTTTATTTTAATTTGAGAATCTCTGTTACTTTGGGCAACATTTAGGGTGGTACCTAAACAATAATTTCCATCATATAAGGGGTATCAATCAATTTATCAAGATTAATCATCTTGATCATTGCTTCATACTTTTCAACACTCCAAAGCTTCTATAAATTAATATCAAGCCTTCTGAGTGCTTCATTGCTTTATAAAGAGATGAATTGATCTTTTTTCAAAAATAGTAAAATTTCTTCTATCTACTTCTTTTATAGTAAAATTTCACCTTGAGTTTTTATTGGAGATAACTTTAAAAACTCAGTTTGGAATTTATGCCAAAATATTTCAAACTTTTAGATATCCATAGAAATTTTGTTTAGCATTTTGGTTTACCATTCATAAATTTCAAAAACCAATACTTTAATACTTAAATTGGTAAACTACTTTATGTATTCCTTTTTTTAAATTTGGTCGAATTTTAAGATTTAGATTTCTTTTAGTTTTGTTTTATCTTCGGGTGCAAACCAATCGGAATAATTGCTGCTTGTGAGAATCTCACTTCTTGTTGTAAATATAACTAAAGGGTTTGACCAATTTGAATAAAGCTTATTAATAATATATAAATTTTTTTTGATATTCTCTAATTTCATTTCATCGTAACTATCCATCAAAATTAAAAATCGAAACTTTCTTGCTTCTAGCAACTCTTTACATTCTTTTAATTATAAATCATCAAACCCGTACTCATCTTGACGAAGTGCCTCCTCTATGATTTAAAATGCAGGATTTTTGACAGAAGGCAAAGAAATATATATTGGTACAAGTACATATTCATTAACCTTAATATTACTTTCATTTAATTTCCAAATAAATTCTTCTATTTTTTTAGCAACAGTACTTTTGCCAGATCCAGCTACACCATGTATTAACAATACAGTTTCCTTTTCTTTTAACAAAAATGTATTCACTTCTCCTGATAAATCATCAAATTATTCTAAGTTCATCAAATTATTTGTATCACTTTNATTATATATATGAGCCTTTAATTTAACTCATTTATTTCTGATAATTAAAATTAGCTAAAAAACTAATTTTGTTCTAAAATATTCCAAATTTCAATAGATAGTTAAATATAATCGATTGTTTTTAGATTTTCAATATCTTATTCATTACATTAATCTTGTTGATTATTTTCAATTATTAGATCAGCTGGAGCTTGTTCATCTTAAGCATTTTTTAACAAATTTGAAGATTTTAATGTCTACTATTTATACGATTTTATCAGATATAGACTCATTAATACTTCTTAAAACTTTTGGAAAAATTTTAATGAAATTTTATTTTAATTTGAGAATCTCTGTTACTTTGGGCAACATTTAGGGTGGTACCTAAACAATAATTTCCATCATATAAGGGGTATCAATCAATTTATCAAGATTAATCATCTTGATCATTGCTTCATACTTTTCAACACTCCAAAGCTTCTATAAATTAATATCAAGCCTTCTGAGTGCTTAATTGCTTTATAAAGAGAATGAATTAATCGTTTTTCAAAAATAGTAAAATTTCCTCTATCTACTTCTTTTAAAGTAAATTTCAGCTTGAATTTTTATTGGAGATAACTTTAAAAACTAAGTTTGGAATTTGTGCCAAAATATTTCAAACTTTTAGATATCAATAGAAATTTTGCTTTGCATTTTTGTTTACCATTCATAAATTTCAAAAACCAATACTTTAATACTTAAATTGGTAAACTACTTTATGTATTAATTTTTTAAATTTGGTCGAATTTTAAGATTTAGATTTTTTTTTAGTTTTTTTTTTATCTTCAGTTGCAAACCAATCGGAATAATCGCTGCTTGTGAGAATCTCACTTCTTGTTGTAAATATAAATAAAGGGTTTGACCAATTTGAATAAAGCTTATTAATAATATATATATTGTTTTTGATATTCTCTAATTTCATTTCATCCTAACTACCCATCAAAATTAAAAATCGAACCTTTCTTGTTTCTAGCAACTCTTTACATTCTTTTAATTATAAATCATCAAACCCTTAGTCATCTTGACGAAATGCCTCCTCTATGATTTAAAAAGCAGGATTTTTGAAAGAAGGTAAAGAACTATAGATTGGTGCAAGTGCATATTAATATTACTTTTAATTTAATTTCCAAATAAATTCTTCTATAATTTTAGCAACAGTACTTTTGCCAGATCCAGCTACCCCATGTATTAGCAATACAGTTTCCTTATCTTTTAACAAAAATGTATTCACTTCTCCTGATAAATTATCAAATTATTTGTATCACTTTTCCTTTTGTCTTGACTTTTTAATGGTACATATACTTTTTTTACATTTTTTTAAGCTGCCTCTTTATGTCCTCCAAAATTTTTGTTAAATCTAAACTTGTTTGGCAATCATATCTTGGTGTTTTAATAAATTTCTAACTCTTTAATCCTTTTCAGAAGTTCAAATTTAAATCAATTCCTTTTGGCAAAATGCTGTTATTATATCAGAAAAACAATTTGATGAAATTTAAATAATTGTAAATATTAATCCCTATTTAATTTTCCATTCATCTTTGTTTTTAAAATCGTTACACTTTTGTATCATAGTTTCAAAACAGGTTTGCTTTTGATTTAATTCATCATCTATTTCTACCTCCTAGTTGTCCAACGAATATATTTTAGAAAATTTTTGAATTAATAATTCTTATTCAAAAGATATCTTTTCATTTATAAATTCTTTGTCAAAGGATTATTCTTGGGAAAAAACTTTTAACCCATTCAAAAAGTCATCAATGCTGATGTGTAAATTAATATTATTTTCATCACATATTTTCTTATTTTCATTCTTTACTTTATCCAAAGAGATCTTTACTTTATCAAAATATATCCTGGAATTTTCGTTTTCTTTTTATAAATCTTTCCAATCCATTATATATTTTCATAGTTGTTATAAACTACAACAAATTAAGATTAAAGTTGTTATGTAATTTTACTTAAGTTTCTGCTTTATATTTTTGAAATTGACAAATTCTACAAGAATATTATTTTATTTCTTGAAGTATTTTAATTAATATCTACTTTCTTCTTTAAAAGTTTTTATAATAATTTCACACTCGAAGTAAAAACCCATAGTGCTAAAGTAAATTTTTCATCAGATTGAAATCAAAAATATCAAACTTGGGAAGAATTGACATTTTTCTTTTCGATTTTATTTTCTGCTTTTTCTTCCTTTTCATCATTCAATTTGATGCTTTTCATATCATTTTATTACTAAAACTACTTTTTGAATACATCTTTTTTATTTTATAAATCTATGATTTCTTCTTCTATTAGAATTATTTAAATCTCTACGTTCAAAAATAAGGAGGTCTTTAAAGTGCCAAGGACTATTTAAGCTTAATTAATTAACTCATTTAATGCATCTACCTACAGATGGTTGCTGATATTCATTGAAAATTCCTTTTAAAAAAGTATCAATTAATTATAAAAATTCTCATATTTCTCAATCTCTAAATTCTGATGTGAAATAGGCTTATCATTTAGTATTTTTAAAGATTCATTAATTTAAACATCTTCAAATACTTTTTCAATTTTGTCAACATACTTGGATGATGATTAATTTCTGAATAAATCGCCAAACTCCTTTTCAATAAGCTCTAAATCCTCTCTGTACGCATCATTAATTTATTCTTCTAAACCCGCTTAGAACAGTAAATAATCCAAGACTCCAATTTACAAAGATAATTTGTTCGATAAATCTTCTTCAGACAGTTGAAGAGTTTTCAATTCAGTGATAGAAATCTTGTAAAAATTATTATTATAATCAATAATTCTTTTTTGGAAAAGTGTTTACTACTTCAAGAAGAAAACCCTCCAATTTAATTATTTGTAACAATTATTTTTTCAAGTAAAGAATTTACTTAGGAGATTGAAATTGGGTCTTAATAGTAGAGATTTTTTAAATCAACTTAAATATATTCCATAAATTCCAAAAAGATATTTATATTACTCATTTTCTCGTATAATTTATCTTCTTTGGTTTAATCATTTATATATTCTTTACATTCTTCTATAAATAATTCTAAAATGTATTTTATTAGTCTCATTGCATAATTTAAATTATAGAGATTTGTAAAATTATCAATAACATTTTGTTTGCCTTAAATTAAATTAGTATTTTAATTAAGATTAATAATTTTGAGAATATCTTTTGTATTTTCGAAATAACCTTTTAAATTGCAAATTATATTTTACATTTATTATTAAATGTAACTTAAGTTATCCTTTTATTTAACTTCTTATTCTTCACTAAATTTTTTCAAATTTTTTAAAACTACTCCTAATTTATCATCATTTTTTCTTAACAGGGTCAATAAATTACTTGGAATGATGAATCTCATAAGCTTTTCAATTTAATCCTCATCTACATTTCTCCATTTTTGTAAAGTTTTAGTTGCCAATATTGAGTTTGCCTTTTAAATACGATCCAATTGTGTATACTTTATTTGAATACTAATCATCCATTAAAAAGTCTAAAGCAATAAAAAATTTTCCCATCCATAAACAATACCTCGATACTTAACCTATTAATTTATTTTAATTTTTAATTCTAAAGTTGATGAAGAAGTATAATAGCCTAATCATTATTATGATTCAATTACATTAGAATCCCCTTTATAAATAACTCTTTCCAAATATTAGAAACTGACTCAATCTCTATGTTCAATAATTAATATGCCATTTCTAATTATTTTTTTTTTAAAATAGGATTGTATATTAATATTTTTCCAATCATTTAGATCCAACAAAAATGATCACTCCAACAGTTTGAGCCTCTCACTAATTTATCATATATCATCTCGATTTGGGAAATGATCTCTTCAAGATTTTAATATTTATCATCCTTAAAGTAACTAACGATCTCAAATATAACAAATCTATATAATAAAAAACCTCATATTATTTTCTGTTTGAACTTATATTAAACATCTTATAGAGGAGACAAGCACCTTGGTATAATGATTCAAGTAAATCTGAGTTTGGGCTCATTTTCAAAACAGAAATGATTTTACCTTTTAGGCAACCTTTTAAAATTTCACTTTTTTCATTGCTATCATTAGCTGCCATCTCAAAAGAAGTCTTTATTAATAAAAGAAAAAGTTCCAATTAATTATAAATTAGATCATTCTTTTCAATCCCTATAAGTACCTATAATTCATCTATGATTTCTATATATTGCTTTTAAGTATTAAATTTCATATATCTCTCATTATTGATCAAATGAAAGCTAAATATTACTTTAGATAAGGATGTTGTGATTTACAAGATATAAAAACATTTAAATGAATCCGTTCTTATATAGATCAGGCAGCTTTTCAATAATATTTTAATTCCTTCCAAGATTAAATCGTTTGATTTCTAAACACTCAAAGGATTCTTATTGAGTTTATAAAGGATTTCATCTTGGAAAACAAACCATTATATTGCTATCATAATCTCTTAAGATTCTTATGAATTAATTGTAACTTAAGCCTTAGAATCTATTATATTAATGTTTTGGTTGAATTTTTAAAGAAATCATTTTTGTCTAAATTATCAATTTTAGAAACAGGAGTTTCAACTTAATTATTAATAGATGAAGCACAACCTCCACCTCGTAAGAAGTACCTTTTTATCATGGTTCGAAATGATTAATTTTAAAATAAATAATCCGCAAATTGATAATATATGTATTAAAATAAATTAGTCTAATAATGCTAAATAAAAAAGGACATTGCAAATAAAAGTAGTAGAAAATCTATATAAAGTTATTGTGAAATTTCTAAATCAGCTTTAGAATCTTAGTAATCATTCATGGAACTACGAAGTGAAACTGGAATGTTGGTTTAGATTTATTTGAGAATTTGAACGTTAATCATATGAAATATGATATTAGAAGCCAAAGAGGAAATTTTATAGGATAGAAAAAGATAATGTGAAATAGGATAATTGTTTGTAAATATAAAAGTAATTAATATTTAATCATAATCTATTTGAGTAAGACATCAACTTATTTCGTACTAGGAGGACTAGCTCTAAATCATTTTCCAACTTCTGATTGTGCTATTTTCAACTTTTGGATAAACCTATAAAATGTATTTTTTCTAAAACAATTCATTTTACCGGTGTTTTACACCCATCAAAGTTTTTCTTACTATTCAATAGTTGCCTGTTTTAATAGTCACCATTACAATGTCAATTATATTATTTAAATGAATAATTAAATAAATCTTTTTAAACTAAGAAACTATTAAAGTTTATTGCTAAGAACCTTTTAACTAAAAAAAAAAGCAAAAATATCATTTTTATTATATCTTCAATCGTCCATATTAATCCAATTAAATCTTCCTTCCTACTCATATAGGCATTTACAGATTAGCCTCTTTATTCCTATTAGATTCTCATCAAGCAATACAATGATTGAAGAACTATCTTGTAAATTTTAACATTCACTTTTTCCCCCTCATTCATCATCACCTAATTATTACTATAATAAAATTTACATGACATTTTTATTTTCATTTTTCGCAATTTCATTCAATTCAATTGGCACTACTTCAAAGCCCTTCTTCTTCATTATTTTATCATTGTTAAATATATTTTAAATTACTAATAGGGGAAAATTTACAGATTTTCCAATAATCCGAATTTTAATTGGTTCATTATTATAACTACCAGAGATTATGATAAAACAATAATAATTTGTTTTTTGAAAAATAATTTGATAATTTATTTATAATTTGTTATTTATCTTATTCTTACATCTAATCATGAAATTTGATATTTTATCATAATATAACAATTTTTTTAGAAAAATAATAAATTGCATAACATTGATATTATAATATGACTTTAAACTATTATTGTTATAAAAATGAATCAAACAATTTTTTTTATTCAATTCATAACAATTCTTCAAGTTGTTTGATTGAATAATTGTTGTAAATTTAATTAACTCATAAATATATTTATGAGGGTTGGCTTCACTAGTAACACATCTTGTTTGGGAGTTGTTTCCACCAAAGTTTCTGGTAGTGAAGTTAAAGAGGCTTCTGATACTGCCCCCACATA